CTCCTGACAGCCGCACCTGAGAAAATCAGGCACTCCCGGGGCAGGAAGAAGGCGTGGTCGGGTCCGGGTCCAGGTCGTCTCCAGCAGGGGCAGGGGGCAGTGAGTGAGTGGGTGGGCATGCATGGGCATGGACATGGGCAGTGGGCAGTGAAGGAGAAAGTGGGACGGACGCTGGCCCAGGATCTTTTCTTCTCTTCCCAGGGCGCTTCGGATGAGCGTCTCCGAGCGACGCGCCCCATAATAATTTCGATGACGGCGTGCCAATAATGGGTTCTGATTCAGTAGATAGTCTAGTGTCTGTCTGCCAAAGTGAACTGCCAGTTGAGTCAGTCAGTGGCAGCAGCCGGGTGCAGCCAAGGGGACGGACGGAGGAAATTGGTCTTTCCGTTTCTTGCTCAACAATGCTTTTGTATGCCATGCCATGCCATTCCATCATCATCATCATCATCATCATCTTGTTCTATCTAATTGACGAACTAGGTCTCGTTCTAGTTGCAGGCCTCGTGACACGTGTGTCTTTTCACGGTGGGTTTTTTCCGGGTCTCGGGAGGGGCGGGTTAATCTATTCATCTGCAATTTTGAAATATTGAACGAGGTAGATAAATATACAGCCCCCTCGCCTATGAGATAGTCTAGATAGTTTCTATAGGATTGTTCGGTTTGATTATACTATCGTTCAGCCCACGCTCTAAGACGGAGGCACGGCGGTGCAGCGGCTCTAGGTCAGTCATCTATCGCAATACTATCCTCTTCGGGGGCACCAAACACCCAGAAAGGGCCAGGCTAGGAGTGGTTCGGGTACGCTTCCTTCTATACGAGCGCCTCACGAGTGGGCGGTTAATCAACCCATGCAATTTCACCATCTGCTATCCACCTCCACCTCCACCCGCGTCCAGCAGAGAGAAAATGATATTCCGGAAGGCAGAGAGGGAGGTTCTTGATCCTGGCCGATCATTGCCGTGGCGGTCAGCGCAATCACCAAGGATCGGACTATCGGGCCCTTGCCATGCTCCGGACGGGGAGGGGCGCAAATAAACGTGTCACAGAACTGGTAATTGGTTAGGCCCGGATGATGGGGTTGAGTTGAGTCTGACCGTCCGTCATCATCATCATCATCATCATCATCGTCGTCGTTAGTAGTATTATTTATTCTCTCTCGGTCTAAGCGCCCCCCTCCCCCCCTCCCTCTCTTCATCATTCGACTGGCCGACTGGTCGAATAATCGGGGGTATTTTCGGATTTCTATCTATCCACCCACCACCGGTTTTGTTTCGGTTTCACCGTTGGCTGCTTCGAGCACGGGCTACAGTCGACACACGTGCGATCCTCCGGGTCTGTAAGCCCCGAGGGGTAAACACTTTGTTCTCCTCTTCCTTCCGCCTGGCTGAGGGCTTGGCTTGGCTAGCGGTTACAGACTCAAAGCCAAATACGGTGGATGCTCTAGGTATCTAGATATTCTGGATCGGAATCTGCCTCGTTCATGGTTTGAAATGAAGTTAAATTTGTCCCCCATCCCGGGTGGTACTTGCCTTACTGGAACCATGGATAGTTCGTCAGGTATCCCCCCCCGCGTAGATAGCTGGTACCTATCTAGTATCGACCTGTTGGTCCAGACAATCGACTAAACGATGATGATGATGGTGAAGATGACAGGAGGATCCGTGGGAGCCCGCAATGATGCGCCAAGCTGTCGTCACACAAGGCTTCCTTCCTCCTCCTCTCGAAACACCAGCCAGCACCAGCACCCCGTCGATCTCCACGCCCATTGATTGCGTGTGTTCGCCATCCGTCAGCATATAGTACGGGGATGGGAACCAAACATCCTCCAGACTCTACTCAGCATTTACGCTGCTGAAAGTCTGAATGGCACATAGCATGCATAGTCTAAGACTGGCGCTGTCTTGCCGCCCGGCTGCAAGATTCCCATCCAGACCAGGGGGGGGGAAGGGGCCGTCGGAGAGAACAATCCAGAAAGACCCTTTTTTTTTTTTTTTTTTTTTTTTTTGGTCTGGTGGTCTGGTTTGTTTTTTTTTTTTTTTTTTGGCTTCTCACGATGGATTTGAATTAGGCGTTGCAGACAGGCAGAGAAGACAAGGGGCAAGGAAACAGCGAAGAAGGCCGCGAGACCTCGCGAGGGCCCGAAGCGGTAAGAATCGGGATCCGTAGCGTGGCTGGCGGCCACTAAGGCTGTGGGGGCCAAAAAACCGAACCGGACAGACAAAAGTTCGGTCTGCGAGGATGAGAGAGGGCCAAGAGGGCTGCTAGACTGCTCGTGGTATAGCCAGGCTAGACGAAACACTGATCGATTCCCATGACGCCCTGGTGATCGGGGAAGCTGGGAGTCGGTAGGTAATCTCGAGACTCGAGCAGAAGAGGGCAGCAGGCTAACCGGATGGGACTAGGAGGGGAGGGACGCATGCATCGCCCCGGGGAAGGATTTGATTGAACCGCCCAGTGCTTATCGCCATGTGGTCCCGGATCTAAAGGGCCATGCCTCTGGCTGCTGCTAGCTGCTATCATGACGATCTCGCCCGACTCCACGTATGCCAGGCGGCGTCGTTCGTACTGGAACTGACCGCAGCTACCCAGCCCTTTAGCACTTTACAAAAGTCGCCCTTGGGCACGTTAGCCCCGACCGTCCAATAAATCCCATCATATCCTTCCTTCTCAGACCCGCCCACCACCACAGGCACGGAGTACGAATCAGGGAATTGCCTTATCCTGCCACCACTGGACCACTGAGCCAATTTGGCCATTTGGCCATTTGGCCCCCAAACCATCCGAATTCAACGGATCCCATTTCTTCTCTCAGGGGAAGTATCTACTAGATAGACGAGGGGGCAGCCAGAAGGAAGGAAGGGCGAGCCGAAACAAATCGGAGCATCATCGGGCGGGGGCCTGCGTTAATCATCCCATCGTCGGTCTGACGCTCACGGCTCAACAACGCTCTAGCCTCCTGGGAAACAAAACAAGAGAGTGGGAAAAAAAAAAAAAAAAAAAAAAAAAGAACGTTACGATTTTCCTGAACCTCACCCAAATCGAGAAACAGAGAGGGTCAACAGTCGACCCGACTAGTTAGTTTCAGCCGGGCCTCCCACTATGCCAGGAGCTTGTTTTCTGACCACAGAGGCGGCTCTCCGCCCAGAACCCGGCATCTCCGAGTCTACCCTAGTTTGAGTAGCTCGCGCGAGGTATCGACGGTAGCTATTGCTGTTGGTCGCGATGATCAGACACGTTACGATGGCCGATGTCAATTGGGTCTCGTCTGCCTGGCAGCCTGCGACGGTCTGCCGGTGGAGCCCCAGCAGGAGCGGCAGGTGGCTTGCCTTCGGGGCTAGTATAGACTGGTTGAGTGTATAGCAAGTGAGCAACGATTGAGCTGTTGGGGCCTTCACGTGGCGATGGCCCAGGGCTATCCCCTACCGAGCACCCTGACTCAGAGCTGGGGGGTGGAGAGGCACTGGAGGGGAGGGGGAAGCATAATCCGAAATGACTGGTCCAGGTGGTCCGGAGTAAATAAACTCAGGGCTCTTGCAACAATGGTAATGAATGAGGGAGGTTCTGCAGCCGCGCAGGCGCACCAACACGGTGGTTTGATCGATGTTGGTTCTCTCCGACAGTCTGGTCTGGTCATCCCCCATTACTACCCATGCCATTATTTCCCCCCTCCTCCTCCCAGGGCTCCTCCCAGGGGGCCAGTGATGCGACCGATGCACGGCCGTTCGCAACCACCAAAACAATAACAACAACAACATCATCATCATCCATCAGCAGAGAATATATTAATTGCTGCCGAGTGTCCACCCCAATAATGATGAGCAGCACAATTCTCCACCCCCAGGGACCATCCGATCAACCGTGTTAGCCCGGAAGTTGGTTTGGTTGGAGAGAAGTGGTCCTAGGAGTGGCAGTGAATCATCGATCCGTCCTTTTGCGGTGGAGGATTTGAAATAAGGACGCCAGAGAGGAGAACCGAATAATCGAATAAAAAAAAAAAAAAAAAAAAAGAAAATCGAAAAGAATATTCCCCCCAGGCTGTCAAATCAAACGGGGCTGGCCAGGCGAAATTAAAAATAGCGAAAGGCCCGGTACCCAAAATCCAAACATACGCAAAAACCCCCAAGCCTGCGTAAAATAAAGAGTATCGAATACTTGCCCTCGCGGCTAGTGCCCTAAGTCGGTGGCCGCAGAGTCCCCATAGTCTACCACTTGAATACCGGAGGGGGTCTAGTGTGCTCTTCCCCCCCCGTATGTATGGGTACCGTAGGTAGGTATGATGGGTATGATGGGTATGATGTCGAGACAGACAGAACATGATCCGCCCACCGGCCGACAATAGGTCGTAGTAAGCTGCCAAATAATCATTGCTCCCAGACTGACTGAGGCATGGACGGACGAACCTGCTGGCTGGCTGGTCTGTCTAATCTTCGGCCCCCGTTCGCTGCGCTTATTTCCCTCCTCGTCTGCCTGCTTTCTCCATCGCCGAGCCACGAGGTGTTAAATACTCTCTTCTAGCCGGTCTTCTGGAAAGCCCTCTGCATATCAAAATTCTTTAACCCATCCATCCAGCCAGCCAGCCATCCACCATTCACCCATCCATCCACCCACCCAGTCCATACATACCCCCGTCCATCCACCCACTCCTACACCCACACCCACAACCCACACCCACACACCCACCTGGCCAACCCGCAGACCATCACCCGTCCGCTGTGGATATATAGTTGCTGTCACCCGGAAGGATTCTGTGCCTAAGACCACCTGCCTCCCTCGCTAAACTGTATGTCCCCGACCCTGATTTGCTTGCCTCCGATCTAGCATCCTTTGGCTGCTGGCTCCAAACTTCCTTCTGCCTTCCTTTATCCCTCCCTCCCTCCCTCTCTCTCCCTTTCTTACTCCTCTGTATCCTCCCTGGGACGTGTGTCTTCGTTTTCTTATTCCTGCCCTCTCCTCAGCTCGGGGTCATCTGTGCAGGCGCCGACTATCAAACGAAAGCGCCGATGTTTTCGAGAGAATTTTACAACTCACCAGGGGACTCGCACTCTCATCACAGGCCGCTGAGCAAATCTCACTCCCCCCCCAGCTGGAGTTTGCCGTCGCCATCGTCAGCACCTTTCATCGTTGACCTGGCCCACTCGGCTCCGCTGAAATCGACCACGCCGCCAGTGACAGGCTGGGCTTCGAGTGCCCCGAGTCCCGGATCTCTCTACAGCACGCCTCGCAGCCAGCGGTCCAGCATCAGCTCGGGAGACGGACAGAACAACCTGGCCCCGTCACAGCCGCATCTGCCCTTTGGAAGGACGCCTTTCCCCTCGGAACTTGTTTCCCGGGAGTGCGAGCCAGTGAGCAGAAGTCTGCCGCAGACCACCGTTGACGCCAGTTCGCGGTATGTGTGCTGCCATCCTTCCACCGAACCGCCGGTTGCTGATTCCGTCAGACCGTCGGACTACAGATCACTACCCCAGTCGATGCATCCCGGATCCGTAGCGTTTCTGACAAACACCATGGCACACAACTCGCAAAGTAGGTTCTCCCGGAGCACACGCGGGTGCGCCAGGAAGGAGTCGGGGAGAGCATCAAAGACTAACGAGACGCAGACTACGGCTGGCAAAACCGGCCGCCGCAGCCCCTGCATCCGACTTCGATGGCCATGGACCATCACTCATACCCTCACGCCCAATCCCTCCCCCCACAGCCAGGATATCCCGCCCCGTATCAACCGCAGCACAACAGTTCCCAGAGCTTCTACCAACCGGGACTGCCCTCCACACATTACCTAGGCCCCCAGCCCGGGGTGCCCCAGGCACGACCCCAACCTCGCAGGTGAGATGATTCTTCGCCCTTCAACCTGCGCGGGGACGAGAGAACTGACTGGACGGGAGTAGTTCGTCGATACCATACCCATACCCCAGCACATCCGTGTCGGGGAGCCCTCCCACCATCCCAGACCCAGCCTTCCCTTCCACGTAAGCGCATCCGGATTCGAGCAGCGTGCCATGCAACCGCGGTAGCTAACGGCCACAGATCCTCCTCCTACCTCGTCAACCAGCCCGACTACTACCTCAGCCCAAACTCCTCACTCTCGTGAGTTGTCCCTCCTCCACCACTGCACTGACCCAGCCCTATTTCTGACCCGTGTCCCCAACCCCCAGACAAACCCCCAACTCGATACCACAGCCCCACACGCTCATGTCCGCCGGGACGGTGTACTCGTCGCCCGACTCGGCCCCCAGCCCGTCCGACCCGGAGCAGCAGGTGCGCGTCATCAGCTTCCGACCCAAGCCGCAGTGCTGGGACCACGGATGCAACGGGCGCGAGTTTTCGACCTTCAGCAATCTGCTCCGCCACCAGCGCGAAAAGTCAGGGGTTGTCGCGAAGGCCGAGTGCCCCAGCTGCGGCGCGGTGTTTACCCGCACCACCGCCCGAAATATTCACGTCGCTCAGGGGAAGTGCAAAGGTGTGGCTAGGGAGCCGTCGGCTGAATAGGCGCGTCTTGCAAGTTGGCTAGCTAGCGAGATCGCTTGCCTAGCGTTCAGGGGCGGCGGGCGCGACTTGAGAGAAAGAACGTCGAGTCCCCGTCCAACTTACATGCACACACACATGCACATACCTTCTTACTTCGATACGATACCCAGCGGCCCCTGTGTCCGGGAGAGAGAGAACATGGGCCGTCTTTGTCATGCCCTGTCGTGTCATGCGGACCGCTGCATGGGCGGCATCGAATGGGCGGCATTATTTATTGCATGGTAAAACAAGTCCGCTTGGACCGACGGAACTCAGATCGGACGAGAGATAGATAGTCGATGGTCAATACATCTGTCTGGTTGCCGTGTGGATCACAGGCGACCAAGGCGACAGCACCAAGACCCACACGGACTTGACCGAAGGACACTTACTTGCGAGCGTGTCCACTTCTTCTTCATCCTGCATATCAACTTGACCGAAAGAACCTTCTTGCATATAGGCTGTGTTATTTAGTTTTTTTTGCATTTGTTTAATACCCTGTGAAATACCAACATCCATGGAGGCCATTATCTAGACACCTTCATCGCCTTATCTCCCTTCTCCTCTACTATCCTGCATCGGACTTTACCCTTTAGACTTTCGCCAAGCAACGCGGTTCTAGCCAGCAGACCGTGGAAATAAACAAACCCCAACATAGTTAAACATAGTATAGTATAAGAATACTAAATAAATACAACAATCTCATCTCTGTAGTTCTTTACAGACACTGCCACCGTGGCATTTATTTCCGATATTCGCCCAGGCCGATGCCCGTCGTATCATGAAGCACCGAAACCATGTGCTAGCGATTTCTCCCGCAGTAGCGCGCTGCATCGCTGCATCTTTGCCGATGTTAAAACCACCCCAGCCTGGATCACTAAGCACTAGTAGCACGAAATAGGGCATACATGTTGTTGCTGGCTATGCCGCTATTGGGGGGGGGGGGGGGGTTCCATTTTTATCTGAAACACCTGAGATCCCCTGCATCTGCGGCCCCTGCAGCCGACGAACAACGCATGTGTTAGATAGTTGACGGCCACGGCCTGGTTTAGGCAGCGCTGCGGGCCGGCACACAACACAACAACAAGTCATGGATGCCTCAGGACCGGACAGATGTTGCACGGCTGACTGACATCACCTGACCGAGTCATGGCGTAAGCGGTAAGGCGGCGGGTGCGGGCGGCAGGCGGTAGGGCGGTAGGCGGTGGAGGAGGCGGAGGCTCGGTTCTGGCTCCACGGGGCTCCGTATTTACTCCCGATTGCATGGATCACCGTCACCACCCACTGACTCATTTGACTCATTCGACTCCTCCTCTTCACCATGTCGGGTCTTTAAATACATCCTATCTCTTCTCCGAGGGAAGACACACCCGCCGCACCTGCAATTGATCCATCCATCCTCTTCCTCTCTCCCCGTTGCATCTCAAAATGACTCGACGTGACTCCAAACCTTCCTTGCTTCAATCGATCTCGCGTACGGCCTACCACCTACGGACGCGTCCAATACCCATATCCCAGACCCAGACTTTGACTATACTCTTGCCTTGAAGTGCACATATCTCGTTGGACTTTGTTATACAATTGCTTTCTATCTTCCTCTGTACTCCAGGAATCCTTGGAATCCATTCTATAGCCCCCTGTCTTGTAACCATCCATCCCATTCCCATCATGGCATCCGTCTTCACCTACGACCCTGACCCCCCGCGCGTCTCGTCGCCCTGGTCCACCACCTCCGGGTCCTCCACCCCCCAGACTGCAGCAGCCACAACATCCACCCCAACCGGGCGAATGGTCCCGCGCATCCGCTCCAACATACACCTCGACCGCGCAGACACCGACGCAGACCACGACCATCTCTCCGACTATGGGATTACCAAGCTAGACCCGGAGCCTCAGGAAGGCCCAACGGAATACAAGCTCCATCTCCTGCTACGTCGACGCCGTCCCTACGTCTCCATGTCCACGAGCCATCTCGTCGGAGGCTCGTATCACTCCCGGGCCAGTGCCAGTGTCAGTGCCAGCGCCAGTCTGCCTACAGACTGTCCCACCCCGCCCGCCGCCAGCTACGACTCGACCTCACGCTCGCAACCCCCACAGCAACAGCAGCAGCAATCCCGCTCCACCGAATCCCGTCAGCAGCGCCTCGAACACCTCACCACCCAATTACTCTGGCGTCTACAGCAATCCTCCCCATTCCACTCGTCCACAGCAGCGGCGAATCTGAATCTGGTGCTGCCGGTTCTTCCCGACGCGACATCCCAGGCGCAGCTCGGCTCGACGCCACCGAAACCGCCCCGTTTGTTGCCTGGGTTGGAGGAGAGTCAGGGCGCGCTGTATGAGGTCGGAGTCGCGGATGATGGTATGTTTGTGGGGCTGACCCGGGATGAGTTGGAAGAGAGTCTGGGGACGTTGAGGGTGATGGCGGCGAGTCTGGGGTGTAAGGTGGAGGTGCTGAGGCGGGTGATTGTGGGGGAGTGTGAGTGGGTGGGTGAGGATGAGGGGGAGGTCAAGTCGGGGAGTCTGTGGGTGGCAGAAGCGTTGGTTAGTCCCGACTGGGAGTTCTATCGCGTTGAGTCGCCGCGGAGGGTTATGTCTGAGGGGGAGGGCGGTGGGAAGGCTGGAGGGGAAGGGTTGGTGAGTGGTTCTTCGGACACAGGACAGATTCGCGTATCGATTGCGGGTCCGAGTGCGGCGGGGAAGTCGTCGCTTCTGGGGACGTTGACGTCGTCGGTGCTGGATAATGGGAGGGGGACTAGCCGTTTGGGCTTGCTGAAGCATCGGCATGAGATCTCCTCCGGGGTCACGAGCTCCGTGGCCCATGAACTGATAGGGTATGCGGCGGCGGAGGCGGCGGAGGAGGAGGACAGGGTCGAGGTCATCAACTATGCGTCTGGCAATGTGGCCGCGTGGGATGATGTCCATGCTGCGTCGGGCGGGGGGCGTCTTGCCTTCGTCTCTGATCTGCCGGGGTCGGTGCGCTATCTCAAGTCGACGTTGAGAGGGTTGATCAGTTGGGCGCCGCATTATGTGTTTCTTTGCATTCCGGCGACTTGTGGCGAGGGTCCGGCGGAGGCGGGCCATGGCGCCGAGCAGCCCGCGGATATGAAGCTGGTGCTGTCACAACTGGAGCTGTGTACAAAGATGGATATCCCGATTGTGGTTGTCATCACGAAGATGGATATTGCGGGCTCGGGCTTGCGGAGTAGTCTTGGGAAGGTGCTGTCTGCTATCAAGGCGTCCGGGAAGAAGCCGGAGATGATCGTGTCGACTGGTGCAGGAGGGAACATTCAGCACGTGGAACCTAAGGACACGGACGATGTGAGGAAGTTGGTGTCTAGGACACAAAACTGGGTCGATATCGTTCCGATTGTCACCACAAGTGCGGTCAACGGGTCGGGTATAGGGAAATTGCACGCTCTTCTCCGGTACCTCCCGATTCCTGTGAGACCGGCCCTGAGAGACGTCTCGCTGTCGAAGTCCCTCCCCGCAAGTCTACCTGAGAATGTCTTCGACATCGACGAGGTATTCGCCATCCCGCCATCGAAAGTCTACTCGATGTCTGCGGAGCAGCAGCAGAAGGAAAACCACGGCGTTGTCCTGTGTGGCCTCGTCCGCTACGGAGCCATCTCCGCGGGAGACGAGCTTCTCGTCGGGCCTCTTTTCACGCACGACCACGGCACCCCCCACCGAAACAGGTCCGAAAGACGCTCCGACACCCAGCAATCCAGCTCCTATCGCAGCCGACCAACCTCAGGCGACTTCTCGGCCTCCCTCCCAGGCTCCCTCCCCGGAAAAGCCCACCTCCCCATCCAAGCCCACTGGCAACGCGTGCGCGCCGTCAGCGTCCGCAACCTCCGCCTGCCCGTCCAAAAGCTCACCCAGGACCAAGTCGGCACCATTGGAGTCGAGCCCCTGCCCACCACCCCGGACGGCGAGGCCCCCCGTCTCGGGAAAATCCGCAAGGGATCGATCCTCATCAAGCTCCCAACCCCGACCCCAACCCCATCATCCACCCTATCATCGACGCTGAAACCCCCTCCCTTCCACACCGGCTTCACCGCCACCTTCCCCGCCGGCGAATTCGCCTCCCCTCTCTCCCCACCCGTGCTTCTCGGCGGCAACGCCATCATCTACGTCGCCAACGTCCGCACCACCGTGAAACTCACCTGCATGGCGCTTGCCGACGATGAGGTCGATGTCATTTCCCGTCCGCTGTCGCCAGTCGAACCGGACTTCTTCAGCTTCGACGGTGATGCTCCGGCCCGTGAAGGTGATCAGGAGCGGGGGCGCGAGCGAGAGGGCGTGCAGGATGTGATTCGTGCCGCGGGGAGTAACCCAGCGCAGGGGGATATTCGTATCACGTTTGAGTTTGTCACCTCCGTCGAGTGGGTGGAGGTTGGATCGCGGGTGTTGCTTATGCCTGGGGCGTCGGTGGCGCTGGCCTCGACGTCCGGGATAGCTTCGGGGGTGGCTTCGGGGTTGGAAGGGTTTGTGGGGAGGGTTTGTGAGGTTGTTTCTAGCGAGGGGGAGGTGTGTTGAGTTGATATGGTGTAAGGTTTTGCATCATCACACTTATGTGGGTGCCTGAATGCCTTTTTAGCCGAGTGGTTTGCTTCACTGAGTCACGGAGTAGATCGGTGGTGGTTGAGGTTAGGAGGAGTGTTGTGGATATGGTTTTTTAATGAGAGGGTTTTAATTGGTGCTGTTAGTTGGACTGTGTTGAATTAGTGGCTGTGAATAGGTGGTATTATAGTTTGTGTTCATACTAAAGGCAATCAATGAGGCCGTCAAGGCATCCACCGCAGATCGTCCAGTGACTTTAAAGTACGTGCGCTAGGCCTAGTCCGGCCTAGCGGGGCTCATGACCGGGACAGCAAGTGGATGGCCAGTCCCACTAGAGCTGACCTCCCATCCATCATCTTCCTCCTGTCCTCAAATCTATCTGCTCTGCTCTGCTCTGCTCTGCTCTTCGCTTCGCTTCTCTCCCTCACCTCCTCTCCCCTCAGCTCAGCCGAATGGTCCCCGCTGTGCTGAGGCTTGTGAGTCGTCTGTCGACCTGACCCCCACCCAGGCATGCATCTGGCCGCGCGCCTGTGATTGGCGGTTGCTCTTGCGGTCCGGTCTGGTTCGATCGGGCTGTGTTCCCACCGCGCCCCATCCTCCCTCGACTGCTTCGTTTACCCCGGATCCGATCCGTCTGCTCCGTGCTATCCTCCTCCCGACCAGCTCCCATCCACCATCCACCCCATCCCCACGAAACACGCCATTCTTGCCCACCCCCCCTGGCTGTCTGAGTGGCTGGCTTTCACTCTGAATCCAGCCCCTCCCTCACCATGAGCTATCACGCCATCTCCGACTCCAACCAAAACACCCCCATGGCCGGCTCCAGCAGCTTGTATCTCGGGTCCAGAGTCAGCTCCGATGTCGATCTGTCGGACGATGACGACCAGTTCTTGTCCAGTGCCAGCACCACCTCTGCTGGGTCGGAGGAGCGGGCTGAGAAGCGGTCCGACCAGGAGATCAAGACCGACGTGTCCCCGGCTACACCCATCGATACTCATCATGTGGATTTGGGAATAACTCAGAGTGAGCCTGAGAGGTCGTCTCAAGCAACGGGCAAACCTCTGAATCTGCTGGACTTGCCCATGGATGTATTGCAGGAGATCATGAAAGAGGTATGGACAAATGGTTTCACCATCTGAGACACGGTCGGCTGACACGGATGCAATGCAGGTGACGCATACGAACGACCTGACCTCCCTTGCTCTGACCTGCTCCGCGCTCCACGGCTTGGCGATCCCGCAGATGTACTCTCGCTTTGATATCGTCTGGCCCGATACCCTGTCGTCCTCCGACCACCCCGCCGGCGTCGACGCTCTGTCCTACGGCCTGGCCACGCTGGTGATGGGGGAGGATCTGTTCCACGAGCTGCCTCCCCGACGATCGCTCCCGTGCCCGCACTGCGGCTGCAGCTGCCTCGCGCCCGGCCGGGAGGAGGCAGAAACGCTCCGGCGCGTCCGTCGCGGCAACTACTACGCACAGTACACTCGCAAGTTCTCCGTCGGGAATGGTCCGCTGGTCTGGGTCCAGGAGTACGCGGTGACCAAGGAGACGGGCAAGATGCTGGGAACACTGGTCGCGCTGGCGGTGGCTCGGATGGTGAATCTGGAGACGTTCGTGTGGGACATGCCTACGGGGGTCTTGCGGGACGTGTGGATAGCACTGTCGTCCCTGGCGGACCGGCCCGGACATGAAAGTCGCCTGGAGCGCGTCTGGGTCCGCTGGCACGACAACTCGGAGAACGCCATGCGTCCGCTGGCAGGGCCGCCGACTGCATCGTCCGTCACGCTCCCGGAGACGCACGCGGCCGTGGCCAGCGCGACGGGCCATCCGTCCCTCGTGCAGCGGTACGGGCATGTAGAATACCCCTCCCTGTCGATACTCCCGCCGCTGAAGAGCTTGAGTGTCCTGGATATAGACGAACCATCGTATCTCGAAGAAATGGCCGTGCTTATTGAGCGCTCCCGAGACCGCCTCAAAGAACTCCGTATTGGCATCTCCGCCAAGGCCCATCAGGCGCCCTGGCTGAAGCCCGCGGGCAACTGGCAGGCCGAGCAGCCGTCCCCGATCAGCGGCGTGTGCGGTTGGCCTAAATCGGGTGGCGTGCTGGGAGCTGTGCTGGGTCGGTCCGAGGAGCCCGTCCGTCCTGAAGGAGCGTCTAAGGCGCCGGCCAGCCCGGGCTTGCACGGTGCCACTGCCACTGCCACGGCGGAGGCACTGAGCCCTCTGCCGTTGTCGACGGACAGCATCAATGCCATTACTGTGGACATGCAGAACACGCACATCTCGGAGCATTCCGGACAAGCATCTGAGCCCAAAGCGCCCCGAGAGAGCCACAAAGCGTCTCCGGAAACGACGTTCGCGGTATCAGGAGATCGCCAGTTGAAGCTTGAAACGCTGGAGCTGGAGCGCGTCGTGCTGTCCATCCCGGTTGCGCTGCACGCACTGGACTGGACGCGACTAGCGACCCTGACGATCCTCCGCTGTGACGGCCACGAGAAGCTCTGGCGAGCACTGCGTCGGCAGTTCTCCCCATCGACGTCGCGCTCCAAGCACGGGAGGAGAGGCGGGAGCCAGAGCAGCTCGACCGAGTATCAGCTGCGGCTCAAGCATATCCACACGGATGCCGTCTCGCCGTACTTGCTGCTGTTCATCAAGGACACCCTGGCGCCGAACACCCTGCAGACGCTCTTCCTGCACGAAGCGCCCATGTACGACTCGGTTGTGCACATTGACGCGATCTATAAGAATGCCATCCGCAACCACCATCTCAGTCTGCAGAAGATCCTGGTTGATAGTACGCAGCGCTCCCCTGGGGGGAGCGAGATGCCGAGTGTAAGGTGGTATAAGTGGATGTTCACCCGACAGATGATCACTTTCATAAGCAGCGGACGCATGCCAAGGCTAAGAGAGCTGTCTATTGCTCTTCACTCGCGAGATTGGGTAAGTTGCCTTGAGTCTTTCTCACCATGTCTACTCCCTCACCATCTCTACTGTCGCTGTCTACTCTCTCACTACGTATACCCTCTCACTGTCTACGCTCTCATTATCTATCTACTCTCACGACGTCTACTCTTTTACCACCTCTCTTTTCTGACTAAAATCCACAGCACTACTTCATCCAACGGCTCCCGTACATGCCTCACCTCCGCGCGCTACACATCCCCCACATCGCGCGTCCGGTGCACCGCGACCCGAAAGAACTAGCGATGCTCATCCTCGACATCGTGACCATCCGCCCGGAAGTCGGAATTACCTACGTCGGCGTACAGAACAAATGCTACGAGATCCTGGAGGCGAAGGACGGCGACCCGGGCGAGTTCTACGACACAGACGACAGCCACAGCGAAGGATTCGTCCCCGGCGGTGAAGAATGGGCTGGATCGGACACGAACGAAGAGGAGTCGGACGACGACGGCGGCGCCAGTGCCGTGGACTCACACTCGGAACTGTCCTCGGATGACCGCGGCTCGTCCGACGGCGAGGACTCTGATCTCGATTGCAACAAGTCCCGCGTATCGTTCCGACTGCGGGAGATCTTGTTCTACGATGATAAGATCGCTGTCTTCAAGGCAAGGCATGGCGTTTTGTGATGCGATGCGATGCGATGTGATATGCATATGAATATGAGTGCGATTGTGATTATGATTGTCAATTGAATGTCACTGTGACGGGCTGTATCTCGGGCGTTGGTTGTGAGGGTTTCCACGATACCATGAGCGTCTGCGTGTGTGATTGAGCGCGTTCTTATGGGATTTAAATAGTTTGGATACGATGATTTTTTTTTCATGGCTGACTGACTGGCTCTAGTGAGACCGTGAGTCCACGGGGGTTGATGTAGAAATTTACGTATTGGTGTACAGACTGCAGTGTATACTTGGTGAAAGTAGGAGTCGTAGTGCTGCTGGTAGTCTTAGTAGATGTGCTGTGGTGGTACTAAGAGTAAGGGTGGTTGAGCGGGGGATGTTCGTCGTGGACAGTCTCTCCAGCAGTAGTGGCATAGATAGTTAGTTATAGTGATGTGATAGCAGCAGCAGAGTGTAGCGTGGATACCTCGTAGGGAAAGTGTAGTCACGTGAGGCGGTCAGGCAAGCTCAGCCTCTGAGCCGCGACACTCGCTCGACATCACATCAACTCAACTCAACTCCACGCGAGAACCCTGCCGACACCACCTCGCAACGCAATCCCCCCTGATCAGCGTTCGCATCCGCCAAGATGAAGCTCGTCCGGTAGGTTTTCCTTCGACTCACGCGTCCACCCACCGGATGGGAGTCGTCCCGGACTGACAGCCCACAGGTTCCTCATGAAATGCGCCAACGAGACCGTCACGGTCGAGTTGAAGAATGGTGAGTTGTTGCCTCTGATTATTTCCACTTCACCTCCACATCTTCATCTCCGATCCTCCTCCGATCCTCATCCTATCCTCATCCTCATCCTCTATCTTCTTTCCTCCAAACTATTACACCCCCCTCCAAATCCAACCCTCAGCCCTCCCCTCTCCTCCCTCCCTCCCTCAAAAAACATCCCCTAACACCAACAATAAAACAACAGGAACAATCCTCCACGGCACCATCACCTCCGTCTCCCCGCAGATGAACACCTCCCTCCGGACCGTCAAAATGACCACCAAAGGCCGCGACCCCATCCCCCTCGACACCATCAACATCCGGGGCTCGACCATCCGCTACTTCGTCCTGCCGGACAGCCTGCCGCTCGACACGCTGCTGATCGACGACACGCCCAAGCCGAAGAACAAGGCGCGCAAGGAGGTTGCGGACCGCGGCGGCCGCGGGGGGAGAGGTGGGCCGCGGGGTCGGGGAGGTCCGAGGGGGAGAGGCCGGGGCCGCGGTCGGGGGTTCTAAACTTCTCTTCTCTTCTCTTTCTCTTTCTCTCTCGCCTCTCGCCTCTCGCCTCTCCTCGACTGGGCCTGCCTCGAAGTCATAGAGGGGGCTTTTTCTGGGTTTCGTTCGATTTGGGGGTTTCGCTTTTATGGGTTTGTTTGTGGTTTTTTTCGGAGTTTTTTTTGTGCATATGTATTTGGGGTGGGTGGTTGAAAGGGAGGGGAGGGGAGTGGAGGGGAAGGGAAAAGATGGATAGATGGGAGGAGAGCTGCGCCGTGGATAGTCTCGCTTTTCTGGAGATGAGATGACTGGACGGAGAAAATTATGGGGCGAGATATGGGCGAGCTGGCTGGGCTGGGCTGGGCTGGGCTGGTATTGGTATGCGTTGTGGATGGAGAACTGGCCGCGTGACGGTCAGCCAGTCAGCCAGTCAGCTACCCACCCATTCATTCTTCTCATTCTTCCAGTCCGTCCGTCCGTCCTCAATGACTGACTACCACCGGCAAATGCAGCATCTTCGACAGACAGACAGCAGACAGGAAAAAAAGAAAAAGGGGGTACGAATGAGACCAGAAGAGAAGAGCAGACGAGCCTTCTACCATCCTGCAACTGCAGAATGGCCATTCGCTGGTGTTGTACCTACTACCTACCACCTATCTACATGATACGCCGCAGCGACACAGAAATACCAAATCACAATGTCTATTATCTATCATACAGTCATTAATCTATCCATCCATGCCCCATCCACCCCGGTGTATCTACCAGCCCTGTATACATACCCCCCCATACAGATCCTCTAAACCAGTGTTCTCCCTCTCCCTCTCCCTGTTCCAAAAAAACCCAACCCAAATCAAACAGACCCCCCCTCCAAACCCTAACAATAACCAACTTCTCCCACCCCGCCTGCAACCCACTCCTCCCCACCACCTCCGCACACCACCTCCCACTCCCACCACCCCCATCCCCTTGATCTCCTACCTCCCACCCCCTGATCCGCTCCACCACCTCCCTCGGCCTATTCTGCGCACAAAGCAACACATAAGCAACGCCCCTCTCACTCAACACCCCCGGAATGGCATCCAGGAGGCGCTCCGTCGTCTCCATCCCATCCTTCCCGCCCGCGTACGTCAGCGAGAGGAGGTATGACTCGTGCTCGAACTTCTCGCTGCGCGACAGGCTGGAGTTGTCTGGGTCGGAGGTGGAGGTGGGGATGGAGGGGAGGTCCGGGGTGGGGACGTAGGGCGGGTTGAAGAGGAGGATGTCGATGCTGCTGGGGCGGAGGGGGGTGGTGAGGTCTGTTAGGAGGGTGGTGGTTAGGATTGATTTGGGGGTGGTGGTGGTGGTGTTGGTGGGTGTGGGTTGCTGCTCATCAATCGCCTTCAGCACCGTCGTGCGGGTCGCGACGCACGCATTGCGGTTCACGTCTGTTCCAAGCGCTAGCACGTCGGTGCGTCCGAGTATGTGTCTGCTGTTGGCGGCGATGAAGGCCAGGACGACGCCGGAGCCGGTGCCTGCTTCAACGATGAGGGGGGCGGGTGATGCTGATGCTGATGCTGTTGCTGTTGCTGTAGTTGTAGTTGTAGTTGTGGAGGAAGAGGGGTTTGCAGATGTATCGTCAGGGCGACTGAATCGCGCGCGCAGCCAGGCGGACTCGGACGCGGAGGCGAGCGTATCGAGAAAGAGGTAAGAATCCTCGGAGGGCTCGTAGATGGTGTCGAAGGAGACGTGCGAGGTGCAGGGTGTGGGGAGCATTGCGTCTTTTGTCAGTTGTCAGTCTGTCAATTGCGCAGACAACTGAATCAACTCTGGAGTATGAATGAGAATGAGAATTGAGTCAAATGCCAATGAATGAATGATGGAATGGAGAATCTCGGAACCAACACACCCCCCCCCCTCGTCGACCAATCACAATCCCCCAATAGGCACGATCGGGGCTCTCCGCCTGCGAACCGCGGCAGTATCATCGTCATCATCATCACCACCACCACCACCACCCTTCACTTCTTAGCTACTCTTTGTTTCTTGCTTGCTTGCTTGCATGCACCTTCCACCTTCATCCCCCCAGTTTAACAATCCCATCATGTCCCTCCTCCGACTCACCCCCACGGCCCGTCGCCTCGCCACCCCCTCCACCTTCGGCTCCAAGTCCAGCCTCACCGAGACCCTCGCCCTGCTGCCCCCGCTGCAGCTCTACCGCCGGCTCCTCCGCGTGCATCGCAAGAAACTCGACCCGGAGATGCGCGTCCTGGGCGATGGTTATGTGAAGGCGGAGTTTCGGGCGCATCGCAATGTGGAGAATCCGTTGCATATCGTACGGTTTATTTTTTTTTTCTCTTTTACCTTTGCTTTGCTTTCTTTTTGGGTCGGATGGTTGGTTGGTTGTGTACAAAAGGGAAGGGAAGGGAATTGGAGGTATGACTGCAGGAATAAATTTGCTAATCATATGGTACCGTGGTGGTGGTGGTGGTTTGTGATAGATCGGCTTCCTCACCGAATGGCAATTATATGCGCAGAAACTGGAGGGTGATATGTGGGAGGGGGAGAAATTGGATAAGGCCAAGTTGGATAAGTTGAGTGGTGGGTTATTCTTTCGTCCTTCCTTTTTTCTGTTTTTTTTTTCTGGATAGGGCATGGGCAAAGTTGTCTGGATGGTGGGCAGGGCTAATGCGGATATGATATACAGACCAGCAGGTCGGCCAGCTGTATGAGCTGATGCAGGCGATTCAGAATAAGGACGGGGAGGGCGGCGAGGGCGGCGAGGGCGAGGGGAAGGCGTGATGTGATGTTGATTGGTCATGGAGATTTGTGGGAAGAAAATGGAGGGGAAGAGGATGGATGGATACCCCCTGCTGTGTATGATAACTATGTTGTATATAGAATCTGAATGGGATTGCGGATTTCTGTTGGTGGTGGTTCAGTAGTTGGGTATTCAATCTGGGTGTATATTGAGATTGAAAAAGAAGTATTTAGTTCGCGTGAGCAGAACATACATACACCCACCCAGGATTATATACATGATCTGGAGAAAATCAACGCCATCTATAGAAGTAAGTACTCCATGAGTTGAATACAGATAGATAGACGGACTCGCACCGAGCCGAACCCTGGACCGGCACCACCCCCCCTCGGCATCTCGTCCCGAGCGTATTGTATATACACAAACTACCCAATCATTAATATTATTAACCCTGCAAATTCAGGAACAACCATTCTCAGTCATGCAAAAAGAAGGGGAACCCCCACAGCCACCAATCAGCCCAGTACCCCAACTAACCCAGCCATGGATACTAGATAGATAGACAATCCATCCTCTTTTATCTTCTTCTCCCACGATTTACCCAGAGGGGACTAGAGAGAGATACGCCCCCTACCATTGACATACAAGACCATCGCCTGTAGCCGTTCTCCACCGATATCCACTTTCTGAGTCCTCGATAGTCTGGCTCTTAATAATAAACAGTAGTAGTTATTTAACTACCAACTAACGGCCATTTATCTAACTAGTTATATCTATATCGACCTCCCTTCTCTTCTCTTCCCTTCTGCTTCTCCTTCTCCTGCTCAATTCCACACCATAATTCACTTTCACACCCACCACCAAAAAAAAAAAAAAAAAAAATCAAGAAAGAAAAAAGAAAGAAAATAAGAAAGAACCATGCCCGCCCTCCTCGAAGACCCCCTCACCATCCCCCCTCCTCCCCCCTCCCCACCTCCTCAGTGTCCCTCCCCCCCATCAAAACCACCCTCAAAGACACCACCACCCGCGTCACCCTCTACCCCATCACCGCGGGCCCGTCCTCCCTCCCCCCCTCCCTGCTGCACTACCTCCACGAGCAATTCTCCCTCGAGATCCAGAACGGATGCACCTACCCCATGGAGGAGGCCATGGGGTTCGACCTGTATTGCAGTTATTGGTTTGGGACGTTTGCTGTTATTGCGGTGCTGGATTGGGTTGAGGGGGAGGAAGTGGAGAAGGATGAGCTGGGGCTGGGACTGGGGCTGGGGCTGGGGCTGAGGGAGGGCCGCGATTGGGAGAAGGCGTGTTTGGGGACGTTTTATGTGAAGCCGAATTATCCTGGTAAGATTATTTATTCCATTCCTACTTTTTCTTTTTTTTTTTTTTTTTTTTTTCCTTGGGTGGGGGGTGTGGTTAGCTTGGGGAGGGAACGGAACGGAAGGGAAGGAAAGGGAAGGAAATAAAGATTGAGGTAAACGAAACAATACCTATCTACCGGTAGCTAATACAGCCGAATAAACAGGACGTTGCTCCCACGTCTGCAACGGGGGCTTCTTCACGACGCCCGCAGCGCGGAATCGCGGCGTGGGGAATGTCATGGGGGCCGCTTATCTGGAGGTAGCCCCAAAACTGGTACGTCTCGCCCTCTCTCTCTCTCCCTCTCCCTCCCTATTTTCCCAATTATTTGTCTGCGGGCTAACACGCATCCAGGGATACAAGTACTCCGTCTTCAACCTCGTGTTTGCGAATAACCTCGCCTCGGTCCGGATCTGGGAGAAGCTGGGCTTCCAAGTCATCGGACGCGTGCCTGGCGCGGCCCGGCTGGCGAATAGTGCCGAGTTGGTGGATGCGCTGATTATTGGGAGGGAGTTGGTATAGATGACATTAATCGGAGATTGCTGTGGGATAGAGACACTACTGTAAATAAGATATTACTGGTATGAGAGGTCACTGGTAGAGATGGTAGACCACGGTACATCGCTATAAACAATTATAATGCATGTAAATGGATAAACAACCTCCGAAGCAAACAAATCAGCAAATAAAGTACACCGCTAAATCAAATGCGAGTGGGGAATCAATCTAACAACCGGCATCAAGCAATCTGGTATATGACACCACTGGCTCCCGACCGCAATGCATGATACAAGGGAAGATAATGCTATGTGAACAGGAAATGCTAAATTAAATGCCCGGAAATGCGGAAATCACGAGCCCCGCCACCGCGGCCGCTCCGCGAGCTTGTCTTTGGTCTTGGGCAGCGGGATCAGGCTGATGCGTCGGTTGCTGCTGCCGTGGCCCAGCGCCGTGCCGGGCCGCGGGGCCTTGGTCGGGCTGCCCGTGCGCTCGTAGTCGTGCGACACGCTGCGACTGAACGACATGCCCGCGAAGCTCTGGCGGCTGCGGGGCGCGTTCGACATGCCGTCCGGGCGACGCATCTTGCTGTAAGGAGGGGGGTCGAGGAGAGAGCGGGGAGTGGGGGATCCGTTGCGCGCCGGACTGCGCGACGCAAGGCGGCTGGACACCCGGCTCATGGACCGGGCCGTCATCGGGCCAGGCGACACCGACATGTCGCGGCGGAACGGGAGGGTGGAGGACGGGCGCGGCGTGCGGCCCTCGGCGGACGATTTGCGGAAGGGCGAGGGGATTGGCTTGTACAGGTCGCTGGTGTTGGTGCTGGACGTCCAGCGAGGGCGGTTGTCCAACGGCGACGGCACAGGCACGCGAGTGGGCTTCCGCCCCGCTGGCGTCGGGGTCGCCGCGCCGTTCATTCTGGCCGGCGACGGCGCCGTCAACGACGCCTTGGGGATCGCTGACTTCTTCCCCGTCATCGCCGATGCTGCCTGCGGAATGCCCGAAAACCGGCGCACCTTGGACATCGTCGTGCGCGCCGCCGAGCTCACAGAGCTGCCCCGTCGGCTGGATGTCCCCAGCGGCGTGGCTGCGCCCTTGCGGGGGTTGGCAGGTGTCATAACGACCGACGAGGCTGGAGAACTGCCCGGAGTATCAACGATGCTGCCGGTCAACGGGCTGTCCATCGTCACGATGCTGGATATGGAGTCGCGCAGATGGTGCGATCGCACGAAGTCAAGGTCCTCCAGCGACGTGTCCATCACCCGGATGCTCGCTTTCAACGCGTCGATCCTCGATGTCATGTCGGACAGCAGTCGCAAGGTCTCCCCGTTCAAGGTAAGTCGGTCATTGACGCCTTTGTGGATAATAGACACCACCCGTTCAATTGCCGCGACGTAGTGCTGCTTCTTGGCCTCGTAGCTCTCAACCCTCTTCGTGAACAGCGGCGGATCGTGCAGGTGGGCGCCCGTTTCGATCGCCTCTTGCAGCTTGGCGATGCTCCGCTCCACCGATTCGAACATCTTCTGTGCCTGGCTGCCGGCATTGCGAAACACCAGGATCCAACGATCTTCGCTGAGCTCCTTCCGTAACGCCTCCGCATCCCCTTCAAGCACCTTGTAATCACGCTCCAGCTGGTTGACACGCTGGTCCAGCTCCTCGCAAGCGCTGGGGAAGATTCGCTCGGCGCATGACTGGAACATGGACAGCCGCATTGGTAGGAAATCAAGGGACGCGCGCAGTGGCTGTATCCGCGCGAACAGCGCGATGAGGCTCGCGTGGTTCGAGTCGTCCTGCGGGGTTTGGATAATGGGTGTGTCCAGGGTGGGCGGGGAGGCGTACATGGGATCGATGCTGAGCCGTTTCGTCGACAGCATTCGCCCGTTGGACGGTGTCTCTTCCACGATCGTCTCCAGTTCGCTGATATCGAGCCCCGAGGCGCTGGAGTCCTGCTCGCCCGCCAGGGTCCAGTGTCGCTTCTCTTCCATTTCGAAGATCAGCCGACTGAGACTCTCGACTTCGGCCCCAACATCGCCCAGAACGTTGCTCCACAGCTCCTCCCACTCCATCGCCAGTTCGACCTGTCCCTTGACTCCTTTGAGGCGGCTCTTGATCTGTGACCAGCACTGGATGATCGCGTCCATCTGAACGACGATGACCTGCAGGCTGTCGGTGCTCACCTCGCCGATATCATCGCGCAGCTGCACATCCTCGATCGCCTTGACGTACACGTTGACCAGACTCTCGAACCGGGTGATCGCCTTGTCGACTCCGTCGAGCCCTTCTCGTCCGCCCGCGGCCGCCCATTCCACGTCATCCTCCGCGTCCAGCCCGCTCAGCACGTCCGACGCCTTTTTAATCCATATTTGAATCTGCTCTGCGGCCCCCGTCAGGGCCCGGACAGCCGCGGGGGCGGTGGCAATGGAGGCGATGCTAGCTTCGAGCGACGATGGCTGGGGAAGGGCGATGGAGGTGAGCTGGGAGAGTTGGTTGCTGAAGGAGGCGCGTGAAAAGGAATAGATGGACTCTGAGCGTTGGAGCCCCATTGGGTTGAAGTAGATTTGTGAGTTGGAAGATGTGGTCGAGAGCGGGGGCGGTGAGTCTTTCGGGGGTGGGGGCGGCGGGTGTGACTCGCTGTCACTAGTGCTTTGTATGTACTTTTCGAAATCGCTCTGGTCTGTTATGTGAGACTGTGCAATGGGTTGGGGAATAAACGGCGGTGGGGCGTGCTGAACAAGAGACATGGCAGGGGCGTCTTGTTCTATTTCCGTCGGCGCGGACTCTGCAGTCTCGGTAAACTCCTCTGTATCCTCTGTATTCTGGGTAGGCTCCTGCGCCAACTCCTGTGCCGACTCCTGTGCCGACTCCTCTGGCAACTCTTGTATCGACTTTGTCAAATCTTCTGTCGGTTCCTCGGTAGTCTCCTGTATCGGCTCCGTAGACTCTTCTATAGTCTCCTCTATCGACTCTGTAGACTCCTGGGGGGTGAATTCCGGTGTAGACTCTTCTGTAATCTCCGCCGACTCTTCTATGGTGGACTCCTCTGCAGACGGGACCGGCTCCCGATCCAGAGGCGAATTCAAGGGCAGCTCCTCCTCGGGGGATGACGGCTCTAGGTCCAAGTCCTCCGGTATCTCCTCCGGCAGCACTGGGTCGGGCACCTCTAGGTGGCCCGAGTCACTCGGCTGCTGTTTCTTATCTCTATGAAGGCGTGGGAGAGCATTCCAGGCGCGACCTCGTCTCTCGACCTTGATGGACAAATCCCGGTGCAAACTGTCGAGCCCTTTGATCTGCTCCTCCGGGATGCGACCCACGGTCCCTGGGCTGTTGCGAGACGGGCTGTTGGTTTTGCTGCTGCCGTCGAGGAGCTTGACGCGAGCTGCTAGGCCTGGGGATAAACGACGGAGGATGGAGGAGTGGATGATCGGGTTGTCGGTGGTGGAGGTGGCAGCGGTAGGCGGCAGTGGTGGTCCGAGAAAGTCGTCGGGGTCGTCGGGGTCGTCGTGATGGCTGGAGCTCCCGAGGCTGCGGATGCTTCGAAGCGACGACTTGGACTTGATTCGTCGCGCAGCAGATTGGCCGGGCGCGGAGACTGACAGGGCGGGTGGAGGAGGAGGAGGGGGAGACCGGAAGACCTGCGAGGCAGATGGGTTGGGCCCGGAATCCGGGGGGGTGGTGGCAGTGGCCGCGGGCGACACGGTGAACATGGCTCGCATAGATACGATCCACGAGGTGCCGCGCTGGCCGGAGGTGGTGAATGGACTAGGGTGCTTAGCGAAGAACGATGGTGGGCTGAGGAATGTGGTTGACGGGCTGAGGATGCGCCAGCACGGCGGCGGGCTATGTCAGCTAGTATGTATGCGTGTGCTGCGTGCTGCTTGCTGCGTGCTGCGTGCCCCTATCCGGTTTCAGCCCGGCCACACCAACGTAATCAAATTGACTGGGTGGGTGGGGGGTGGGTTGGCTGGTGATCGGGCGTGAGGGAGAGTCTGTCTGCTTAATTGAATTCTCTGCAATGAGGAGGAGAGGATTGGGAATGAATGGCTACATGTTAAGCAATTGGGCAGCCGACCGGAGAGGGGAGGGAGGGAGGGGAGGACAAGGACAAGGACAGGCAACTTAGGCAAGGCATGTAGACGTGAGTTGAGTGAGTGACAAGGAGCAGCCAAGGCGGACGAGCTGCCGGCCTGATTTGCGGCAACCTGTCCCCTTCAGGCCTCAGGCCGATCCCTCCCCTCCGCCCTGCCCTTCGGTTCCCTTCACTTCATACGGAGTCCTCCAGCCAGGAGGTGAACAACATGAAAACAGTACAGAAACACACTAAGGAAACAAACTCTCTTTGCAATGCGGCCTTTCCCTGCCATTCCCCATCGTGTGGCGCTGCTGCTTACACCGTCCGGAGCCCTCCGTCGTACTCCGGCACCCTGCCGTTCGCGCTTGGGTCCTTGGGTAGCAGCATACTTCGAATCAAAACATGGAATTCTCCCCAGCCATCCCTATATCCATCCCCTCCCATGGATCCCTCCCGAGCCATGGCCCACCCCCCATGCCCCCGATCCGTATTCAAAACATGCAGTAAACAATATTGTGTCGGACAGGAATAGAGGTGCGTAATCAACAGGATTCTGGTAGTGATACGGTACGGAAAATACTCCGTAGTAAATGTAGAGAGATACCTAGACATGCAGTCTAGCTTAGGAGAACGAACAAACAAAGGCGGAGGGGGTGCCCCAAAATTTCAATCGGGCGGGACTGAGATAGGTAAGGGGCATCAATAGGGTCAGGGTACCTACGTGGTCCCAATAATCATCAGGACTACGGAGTACCGGCCTCCCATCCCGTATAGTATATCTATTACTATCTATCTAGATATACCGCTCAATGTCCCTCTGGCAGGTCGGACCACCAGTTTGTCTGGAGAAAGCCTTCCCGCTGATGCCCTCCTCGCGCCAGTCTTACCAGCCCCCTCCTGGACTACTGACTGTATTTGACACCACGAACGATCATCGTGCGTCCCGATGACGCAGAAGGATGCTCCTGACCGTTTGGCAGCTGCAAATGCAGTGTTTGGCACTGGCCCGGCCTGGGCCTAGCGGCCCCGGTGGAAGCCCCGCATCCAAATTTCGGCGCGGATCCCATCTTTAAGCTTGACCCTACGGAGTACTTCTGCTTCTACCCTTCTGCAATTCTACCACTGCCGGTGCCGGCATCCAGGAACTCTCGCTGCGACGATTACAGAAACACTCGCGCGGACTCGGACTCGTTCCCAAGACAGTGCTTCAGGCATAATGTACGTACATTGGAGGGGAGATTTATCAGTGAAACAACGCTCAATCCGCCGTCAAAAAGCAATGAAGGTGATCGGCACAAACAACCGGGCCAGCCGGGTCGACCCTTCGAGAAACGGTCATCCGCATCAGATCACATCCTCCCTCTCCCATCCCTTCTCTTTCAGATGATCAATTCCCTTGCTCGGGTGAGGCTTCGTCGGGTCCTTGTACTTCGCCGCATACGGGTTTGGGTCGACCCCCTGGTTCAGGTTTCCCAGAGTGTGGTTCACCTCGCGGTGCTTGGCCTCATCAGCCCGAATGTACAGCAGCAGATCCCTCATCTTGCGCTGTCCCTCCGGCATCTGCCAGTACTGGACGGCAATCTCAGGCGCCCCCTTCGTCTCCCACGCGGGAAGCTTGCCCCGTTCGAGATCCTTGATCGCGCGGGTATAGGTGAGCACGGCCTCCTCTTCGAGGTACCCCACAAATCGGTGGCAAATGCGGGGCGACAGGAGGTACGCGATGAAGAACCCGTTGAAGAAGACTCCCTGCGCTCCGAGCACCATCAGGCGCATGAACCAGCCCGGTTCCGCGAGCTTTAGGAACGTCAACAAGTGCATACGCTCGTTGTATGCCTCTTCGAGGAGTGTCTCGATCCTGGGAATCGTCAGTGCCAGCCCCATTGTCGCTGCCTAGTAACTCAGGAAATCGACCTACCATCCATTGTCTCTCTTCATGCGCCGCAAACTTCTCAGATGTCTCAACATGCCCCCCACCATACCCGGCACGCCGGCCACACTCTCCAGGAACACAAACCGGGTCATCCACTTCTGCTCAGTCATCTGGAACTTGGCCTCATGCTCTTTTCCTGGCGCAGGGTGTCGATACCCGGTCACTAGATCCATGCCCCATCGCAGCACCCGCACGCTCCCAAGCGCAACCCAGTCGGCCCAGTCCTTTGCGTCTCGGTGCGCCACGGTAATCCGATTCATCTGCTCTTCCGAGTATCTGGTGCCGTTAGCAAGCAAGGCACCCAATAACCGCATCGCAATAACTTACACAGGATGAACCCAAGCCGTTTCCACCTCTTTGACATGGGGCGCAGTCGGGGGAGGGAAATATTCCTTGATTTTCGGCTGTGGAGTGTTCGAAATGAACCGCTTGGTGGTCTTCTGCTGGCGCGTGGTCGCCAACAAAGAACCGCTGCACCGCAGTCCAGTCGTCGCAACAGCCCTCGAATAACCCCCCGAAAAGTGCAGACATGACATCGGAATGGCTGCCCGAATGGGCGCCGTAGCTGTGATCGAGTTCATGTCGATTCGATATGAAAGATGATATCGTAGTAGTAAAGTGTGTATTGGATACAGGATATAGGATGGTGATGGAACCGAGTAAAGGCTATGAGCGACAGCAAAAAAACGTATCTCATTAACCAAACCCCGCCCTTATACTTATACTTCCCTTCCAACCAAAATTTTTTATTACCGACTCATCCGCCATCAGCTATGACTCTTACCGTAAATTCGTTCGTTCCTTCTTCCTCTGTAAGGAGAACGCCCCGATCGGCAAAACCCGGAGTGCCACCGGAACCGTACAACAGGGCCAGAACGAAAGTCACGCGGACGGGAGGAAACGGCCTCGCCCGATTGAATTCGTCAGATTCAGGTTCGGGTTTGGGTCCGGCCAGTGAAAGACTTGCCTTTGTAATTGTGATCGTTTGCACTGCCTCGTACACAGCACCTTGAATCTAGGTGGGATGGGGATGTATGATGTAAGTAGTATCCGTTGGATGGGTGTCTGGGGCGAGTGTCGATCGGGGAGGTGGTATTTTAATGTATGTATTACCGTATTGGCGTTGATGCTGCACAGGATTTACCAGTAGATGATATTGGTATTTGGGTGTCTTTTCTCGAGATTCTTTAAAGACTATGAGGAACATATTACCATGTACAAGGCCAATCAATTGTATACAACGAGGCAGTATCCGAAGAACCATAAGTACCAGACAGTACCTACCTTAAAAAGTAGTACGATAGCTCGTTGTAGCTCGTTGTAATGCGCTCATTTAGCCCATATCATCCATCCACCATGACGCAGGACAAGGAATGTCTTCAAGGGTCAAGCAGATAGATTGATTATGAGTATCCCATCCACCTCGTATCCCACGCAAAAATCTACAAAGAAACCCGGCCTCAAACATCCGAGAAATGATAGTAGCCATGTTTGTAACAGCAAGAATACTAGCGCATACACCACTAGCCCATACAATTTTAAGCTTCCAAACCTCAACTCCAGCGGTGGGTCGGGTCGTTCAAGCGCTGAGCAGTGCAGTCTGCAGTCAAAGCAGCCTAGAATTTACATGAAATTTACACCACGCATGTCCTGGACTGGACCCTGCATGCGAATTTCTTCACCCCGAATGATTAATCACATGCTGTACATACCTTACTAACAAGTATTCTGCTTCTAACAATGTGAAAGTGGAAGCAAATGTGAAACTTTTTTTATTATCTTGTGATTAGTAAATGGATCTCATCTCCCGGGGCGTAAATTCGAGGTTCCGGTCGTTATTGGGTTACATGGGTTTGGTATTATATCAGAGAGCGGGAATGCCCGGACTTGATCTGATGGACCCTGCCGGCGTTTTGTCGCGTTGAGTTCGGTGTCTGTCGGGATTCTTTGATAGGATTCGTACTTTTGTTCTAGACCGTTGATTTGGCTGGGTTCTGTGGGGGTTCGTGTTGAGTTGCTTTAAGCAATATTAATATTGATTATTACTCATGTATGTCGCTGGAGCAGAATTAGCCTCTATACTGTAGTACTTTGTAGGATTGAGTAGTACCTACGTCGTAGGTAGTAGCAGTGTAGATTGGCTACATCCCTCTGTGCAAGCTATTTTTTTGGTGAAGTCTAACCACAGAATATTGGATATGTGCTAATTACTTCTAGGTGTCAAATGTGTGTAGTACATGAACACCTCAGCATGGATGTATGTTTCCAATATCCAAAGCGGAATCCTTTGCTCGGGCGAACCCGGGACGCCGTCTGAGTCAACTGTCAAGGCATGCCGAAGATGAGGGTTCGCTCCCGTGATTTGTAGTCTCGGGTGCCGGCGAAGAGTAATGGGACTGACTGATGGCAATCTGCCTATTTTCAGTTTTAAAGTTGACTCCGTGGCGCCCCGACCCCTTTAGGAAAGGTCTGCTGTTTTTGATGCGTAAGAACACACCACCTCTCTATATAGCAATCAGCCTTATATCAACCCTTTCATCTACTAACGCTAGCTATTGTAAAGGGTCGAAGAGGCCGGTAACTGCATCTTCCCCTTCTGGAACCTCATGTGACAAGAGGGAAAGAAGGCCACTTTGGTCGTTCCCAAATAAGAACTACCGTTGATACCTACTTCCACGTACCAACCCGACCTCATACAACACCCCTTGATAACAACCTGTGCAACCGCCGACGTCGTTTGAGCTCTGACAACTGGGTAGAATTTCGTACAGCCATTGACATGTCAGGCGTTGTCGGGGTTGCCTTGATCCGATCCCCCTGTTTTACGCAAGTCTCAAGAGTTCTCGGGAAATCGGCCATCTTTCAAGTTTTAACCAGCAAAGGGCTGGGTGGCTTTGAGTCCTTATAGCACTTATTAACCAGTAGTAGCTCTTGTAGCTACTTACACTGTGGTGTAAACCTTGAGAAGCATTCTAGATCAATACCGAGTGGCATAATAGTGCGGAAGTTTGAGTGAGTCCTTTTACCTCGAACGCAGAGTCCATGGGCTCAACTCAGGGCTTATACTTGATATTCCTTAGAGCTAGACTGGCTTTCGCTACACAAGATCGGTATTCGCTTCGTGGACTAGCCCTTCAGGAGCCTTGCGAACACAATCAGGCAATGAATCGCAAGAGGGCGAAGTTTTTCTTCCAGGGCTGTGAGCCGCACATTGTCCACTTGAGCTATCAACCTGTTTCCAATTCGGAGAACTTCAGGAAATCTCAATGCAATGATGCCTGGAGATTAGGGCGACAGATGCGTGATAACATGCCAGGGCTGCATAGCATCATGGTGTTAAGATTACAGGTGAATGGAAAAACCAAATGTGTGGCGAATACTGTACATTGACAGAAAATACAAAGCCACAAGTATGACTGATTGGAACTAGTTCTTTGAGAAAGAATAGTTTGAATGCAACAAACAGCTAGACCCTTTTCTGGATGAAAGTCGAACTTACGAACATATTCTTCGCAACTGCCCACCTTCTAAACTCTCCCATCTTCCAACTTACTTCGGTGTCATACCAAATTTGACACGCGACAAGTCTCTCAGCTAATTTGAGAAGGAGTGGTACATCTCTCTATCCATTGACCGGCTTTAACGTCTTGCAGCATGGCATGATATTGGAATTATACACCGCGACATCCGTGACGACGATTTCCGCTTCCCTAATGATTTTTTATGATACGGTCCTTTACGATTTTTCTCACGCTTAAACGGTCAATTTGCCATGGCCATACCCCAACCGATCCAGTCCCTTGGCAGAACTGATTCGGCTTGAACAAACCAAAGTATTGAGCATTGTGATCGGCCGGCTGGTGCATCTATACTTTTAAGTCAATAGTGACTAACATTTGAATAGTGCCGAAAGGTCGGAATTTCGTACTTACATGGCTACAAAATTGGATCTAAGCTCGACGACTGTCATGGACATCTGCTCCCAAGAGCTCGAAGACACGAAGAACAATCTAGAACTGATATCTCTGAAGATTCGACACCGACCAGATAGTAAGTTATTTACTCTATCTTTCTGACCATGACTGTTGTAACAAACTATAGCGTTTACGCATCCATCTCTGGCATCCATTTTTCCTTTCCTAGAATATGTATGACCCAAAGATTCTCCAACGTGGCATATCACTAGGGCTCGACTTCTTCAAGACTATGACTCTGCCTGGTTTCTTCACCTGCCTGAAACAGACAAACAGGTCCGGCTGATTTCATTGTCCGGAGTAGAGAGCCTCGAATTAGACGACGAAGATCTGGCCAATAAGAAGTCTATTTACTTGTCTTAGTTCCTAGATCTTGGAATCCAGATCATTACAAGCCAAGGCTCGTTATCTGTGCTGAGCGTATTGCAAAAAAGGAATGGGGTGCTATCGTTTCAAAGGAGGAATTCGAACAGCTTGGCTGCAACTACTTATAATAGATGATTATCTGCTAGAGCTTGCTTCTATACTGCCTCCAGGTATTTTGCCACGTGGGGCTTCTTGTCGCATCGCATAAGTCACCTGGTGCATTTTGTAGACTGGGGTTGGTAGTTCAGTTCTAATACATTGATTTTTGGGAGGTGAGGTGAGGAGTGTTTATTTTTCTATTTCTTAATTCCATAATGAATGAAGTGGACAAAACAGTTTCGCATATTGTCTTTGAATATTTGCAGTCTTCGTATAATCACTTCCAGGAAAGCAATCATTGAGTACCCTCATACCCCGACTCCGACGTCTTCACGAAACCAAACTCCCCCTCGCCGTCCTTCGGCGCGATGCTCTTCTTCTCCAGCTTGACGACATGCGCGTGACGAGGCCCGTTGTTAATGTCTTTGAGGAGCTTCTGTATGGATTCTTCGGTTCCTTGGGCTTCGCCCTCGACCTGTGGGGTTTAGTATGTGGGTTGTCACTATCAATGCAGAGAGCATAGAACTGAAAGAGGTAGGGTAGGGGACACAAGGGGGTTGGAGAGGACCCACTTACCCGTCCGCAGTGAGTGTTCTTTACCCAGCCCTTTAGATCATATTCGGTCGCTCGTCTCTGGGTAAAGTCTCTGTAGAGGGTATGTTTAGTCGGATGGATAAGCAGGAAATCGGGCATGGTGGCCTACCGGAATCCGACTCCTGCATGGCGTTCATATGTCATTCATCATATTTTCAACGCATTTTGATTGCACTGGGATGGGCATGAACTTGCCTTGGACCGTGCCGTGCACTTTGAAGGCAATCTGTATGTCAGTTGTTAGCATACTTAAGACATCATGACGTAGTCGGGAAAAGGCGCATCGCTTCTGTGTGTCTTAGGCAGGAGTGGAGGTGGGACCGTACGCGTTGCGATGCCATCTTTAGAGAGGAATATGTTCTTTTCCAGGGCATACAGCAGAAATCCGTGTTTGATGCGCCGAGGCATTGATCGTAGTCGTCGAGCTGTGGATGCAATCGGGCTTAGTCATTTGATATTCATGAGGGGCGGCGCTGCTGCTGTCCCGATATAGTAACATTGCCTAATCGGGATTGGGGCATCCGCATCGAGCGACAAGTGCCGTGGCCAATCAGGGCGGGTGTATCTGGATTCGTCAATTCTGTATACTGGCCTTTAATCTACAATAATGGTTAGATATCTAGCTAGTGAAGATAGGAACTAGTCATTAGTTCAAACAGACTACCTACTTTTGCGTGTGTTTTGAAGTTGCACCCTGAAACCCGAGTACCAGACGTGACCCAGCGGCTCTCGGCGACTGGGCCCCTCCGCCCTCCGCCCTCCGCCCCTGAGCCCGAAAATGGAATACGCGATGATCTCCCCAGCTTCGCTTTGTTCTCCTTCTGCTGCTCTCCGCACTCCCCCGGTCTCCCCTTCGCGCGTTTCTGAGGGGTTGCTCCGCGCGATGCTGGTGTTAAGATGAATTACTCACGACTTTCTTGGCTTCGGAGATTATACTCCCTCGACACCTTGGACACTCGTCTGACGGTCTCCTCCAGTACTCCGCCCAGGGTCGCCGCAGCCGACTCGCGAGCTGCTGCCAAAGATGCCCGCGCCGATGCGATTGCTCGCAATGCGTCTCCGCCGAAATGGCAGACCTTCGAGTTCTACATCTACTACATCGTCTTCCTGATTGCCGTGCCGTTGATGTTCATCACTGCTGTCGGCGTGTCGCAGGGTAAGCAAACAAGCTTGGACATCTCCGACACCGCGGGAGGAGCCACGCTGACTCTGCTATAGAAAGCCATCCCACGTACTTCACTTACTCTCACTTGCTGTCTCCCGGCTGGATTCTTGGTCGCAAAGTGGTAAGGAGCATGCCCAGCGGGCTTATGTGCGATGCTAACTCTTTCGCCTGGTAGGACAACTCCGATGACCAATACTCGTCCTTCCGTGATAACATACCCTACCTGCTGGTGCTGCTGGTCGGCCATCCGTTGCTCCGTCGCGTATATGATTTCTACGTGCGCCCAGCCAGTGCCGACTCTGGCCCGTCCAAGGCTTCTCCGGCAGCCATTGCTGGGGACGCTCGCCTTACCCAGCGGATAGGTTTCGACTTCTACTTTGCTCTGTTGTTCATTACGGCTCTCCATGGTGTTTCCGCTCTGAAGGTCCTCACGATATTGTATGCGAACTACAGAATTGCCAAGTCCCTTCCCAGGAACTACATCCCTGCAGCGACCTGGATCTTCAACATCGGGACACTCTTTGCCAACGAACTGTGCTCTGGCTACCCGTTGGAACGCGTGGCTGCTCTGTTGTCTTCGAGCAGCGCAGGACAGGAAGCGCCATTGGTGCTTTGGGGACGTTACTTGGATGGCTTTGCGGGTATCATGCCGCGGTGGGAGATCTTGTTCAACATCACGATTCTCCGCTTGATCAGCTTTAATATGGATTACTACTGGAGCCTTGAGTACCCCGCCGCCAGCGCCATGGAAGTGAGTCCAATCCCCCTTCTTTCGATGCATGCTCTGTCTGACAGCCATAAGAAGAAACAAGACGACCCAGCAGCACTGTCGGAGCGGGACCGTGTGAACATCCCCGCGGAGCCAGCGGCGTTCAACGGACGCTACTACCTCGCCTACGTCCTCTACGCACCCCTCTATCTCACGGGCCCTATCCTGACATTCAACGACTACATCTCCCAGCAAAGATACGCTCCTCTGTCTCTCACCAAATCTCGGACCATCCTCTATGGAGTTCGATTCTTCCTGACCCTCTTCGCCATGGAGCTCATGCTCCATTTCATCTACGCCGTGGCCATCTCCAAAGCATCCCCTGACTGGACTCTGTACACAGCCGGCCAGCTCAGCATGCTAGCCTACTTCAACCTGCACATCATCTGGCTGAAGCTCTTGATCCCGTGGCGGTTCTTCCGCTTCTGGGCCCTGGTCGACGGAATCGACCCACCGGAGAACATGATCCGCTGCGTGTCCAACAACTACTCCGCGTTCTCCTTCTGGCGCGCATGGCACCGATCCTTCAACCGCTGGATCGTGCGCTACCTGTACATCCCCCTCGGCGGAGGCAGCCGAGGCGGCGCCGACCGCGGGAAATCCTCCGGGCTCTACGCCAAAGCCCGCCAGATCTTCAACACCCTCATCGTCTTCACCTTCGTCGCTCTCTGGCACGACATCAACCTCCGTCTCCTCATGTGGGGCTGGCTCATCACCCTCTTCGTCCTGCCCGAGGTCATCGGGTCGTTGCTCTTCCCCGCCAGCAAGTGGCGTTCGCGCCCCACCGCGTACCGCTTCATCTGCGGCGTGGGAGCAGTGGGCAATGTCCTGATGATGATGATCGCCAACCTGGTTGGATTTGCCCTGGGCGTGGATGGCCTGAAGGGTCTTTTGGCTGGCATGCTGGGGTCCTGGGCCGGCATTGTCTATCTCATCTCCGCGTGCTGTGCCCTGTTTGTGGGTGTCCAGGTTATGTTCGAGATACGCGAAGAGGAAGCGCGGGCTGGCATTAACCTGAAGTATTGAATCCTTGCTTGATCTGTGGAATATTGTATAGCAGGCTTAGAAGAAGCATAGTCAGAATTGAAGTTCATGAATAAATAGTATAGTGATTACACACTTTCTTTTAATATGATATCCACCCCCCCGGCAATCTAGCCCGCTAGATCACGCAGGCAAGCAAAGCAGGCAGGCATTCATCCCACCAACCTTTACTTTCACGAATCCCATCCCCACGCTAGAAAGACAGACGGACAAGCTAACATTATCATCCCCCCCGCAAATCTCATTTTTAAAAAAATGCTCCACACCTCGAATCCTCATGCACCTTATAACAATCCAAGCCACACGTCCTGAGATGACAATTCTTGCACCGGATCTTACCCCAATACCCACACATGCAACAAAAGTACCGCGGGGAGCGACGCGACATGGGCGCGCCGGCCCGCGACGCGTTGTATGTGAGCGGGGGCTCCGCGAGGAGCATTTGCATGATGCGGTCGGAGGGCGCGGGGGGGAGGTAGGATTTGAGAAGGGGGTCGTTGTCGTGTGGGGTTTTGATGAGTTCGTTGGGGTTTTGGGGGAGGTGGTGGTGGTGGTGGTGTCCATGGACATGTCGGCGTCGGCGGGGGTTGTTACTGTCGAGGCGCGGGAGGAGGATGGCGCTGCTGTTGCGGGTGCGGTGGAGGGTTTCTTTTGGCGGGAGGCAGAGGGTGTAGGTGCCGTGATGGGCGTTGAGCTGCGACGGAGAGAGGAGAAGGAGGAGGTGGTGGTGGTGGTACCCGGTTTGGTGATCTTGGAGAGGGAGGCTCGGTGGGATGGGGTGGATGTGGATGCTGTGGCGGATTGCTGGGCCGATGATGTGCCCGGGACGGTGGTGGAGGCTTGTTGGGCCAGCGCGGCCTCTTCGTCGTCGAGATAGTTGCGGAAGGTCTTTTGGGATTGGAGAATTCGGCGCACGTTGGAGGTTACTTTGCCTCTTGATCCTGGTGGGGAGGGGGGAAGATTGGGTGGTTAGTATGATGAAGGGGAGAAGCAGGCTTGGGAGGGGAGGTACCTCTCGCAGCATCCTTCCCCTTCGTGGGAATGGGAATCTGCAGATCATGATGGTTCTCGCGATCCAGCTCCGCGAGATGGCGCACGATGGCATTGTTCTGTCGCGAGGAGAGATCGGCTCGGCCAGGATCGCGGATCCCGCGTTTGCGGCCGATGGCGGGCGTGATGGCCGCTTTGGCCGGGTCGAAGCCGCGGTCAGGCACGTAGGTCCAGCCAGGGGTGAGATGTGTGGTGCTGCCGGTGGGGAGGAGTTCGACGCGATACATGTTGATGTTGATGGTGGAGTTGGATGGCGATTCTACGACTCGAACTGTCATCTCTCGCCGAGAAAATGAGGGCGGATCCGTGGCACGCGCGGGTGTTTGTCTTGTTTGCATTGCAGGTCTGGGTGGTTGGCGATGACGCAGTGATCTGATAAGTTTCAAATCCAGAATTACTATTTCGAAGAGATGATTATCGGTGTATACAGGATCAAGATACAGGACTATTTTCCATTGACATGCCATCCCATCCCATCCGTACAGACTCTGCAACCGAACTACCTACCCAAACGACATGCTAAGACCCGCAGCTCCAACGCCCGGAAAACACAACCATCCATCAACCATCAGGAAAGTGAAAAGACAGAGACATATAGAGAATGGATATACGGGATAACAAAGATTCAAAACACAGGAGATCAAGGGAGAAACGCAGCAGACTATTTCTTCTTGTGCAACTGGTCGACCCTAGTTTCTAGCTCGCCAATGTACGTTTGCAGCTTTTGCGTCGCGGATTGAAGAGCCTGGCGATGTTAGTTAGTGGGTGGTCAGTCGGTCAGTCAGTCATCCTAATTTTAAACAGCAGCTACTAGCTACAGGAGTGGGAAGTGGGAGGCAAAAAAAAAAAAAAAAACATACGAGGATATCCTCAGTCAGCGACTCGTTCGCGATCCGATACTCGCCCAGGACGTAGATGTAGACTGCGGCGCTGGCAGTGAGCGCGCCGGTGAGAAACCCGAAGATGCTGGATAGACATCGTTAGCCAGTGCAAGAGAGCATTTTATTCGATTGGAAGAGGAGCAGAGCAGCTCAGCTTACCCTCCGCGAAACGCGCCCACAGGCTTCCTGACAGGCAGGGTGGGAGCTGGAGCTGCTGCGGCGGCCCCTTGGCTCATGAAGGTCGAGGCCGAAAAGCTCCGCGCCGGGACGAATGCTGGCTTGGTTGCGACGGCGCGCAGGGCGGGCACCATGCTCTTGCACGCGTTCATGGTCATGAACTATTCGGGCTGCGGGGTCTGAGGCTGCGATCAGCCAGGGGCATATCCAGGTAGTCCTAGTACTAGATTGGGGGCCTCACGGTGGAAATGGAAACAGAGGAGGGAGGTTGAGGCGAAGGAGAAGGTCGGGATGAGTGAGTGACGTTGTTCATTGTTGGGGTGGCTGTTAGGCGGAGGCTGCGGGTGCTGCGGGTGCTGCCGGGCCAATGGACAACGTCCACCTCAGCCGGCGTCAATTTTCCGTCTATAAGAATCAAGCAAGGAAGGAGAGGACAACGCGGCAGTGGATTGATTCGCTGCTATTTATGACTATGCTGCTAGAATCCCTAAATGCACCCTGCTGGATCGTTCCCGGACGCCCCAAAACAACGCTAGAAATGCCGATTCTATCTAACACAATCAATGAACGGATGGATGCAGGCGGTGCTACTGGCTGCTGCAAGTACGGCATGTCGGCAACGGGTATATTACATAAAATAGCTCGCAGACAGAGGCACCGGAACATGAGGATGAGGCCGCTAGTTGGCCATGGTGCTTTCGTTGAACAGATCCGCCAACAGGTCGTCGCGGCACACGTCCAGCCGCGGATGGCCCATGTTGTACGTGCTCTCGAATGCGTGGATGCTGAGTTGATCGAAGAAGGGCCGAAGGACCCGTTCAACAATCTCGTCCTTTGCCGTTTCCCGGATCCTGTCGGCAGTGAGACTGGGCTGTTTGGTCCCGTGGCTGGGGTCGCTCGCCTCTCCGAGCAGTTCTCCCGACGCGGACCGGCGCGCACCCAGGCTCTGCGAGATCTCGTCGGCGAGGGCCATGGGTTCGAATCGCTCCGGAGGGTAGACCGCGTCAATGGTGTCCGTGACATAAAGCCATTCAAGGAGCTGGAAGTCATCGGGCGCGAGGACGAGCAGCGTATCGAGAAGCTTGCAGGCCTGCAGCAGCGAGTATGGGTTGTACACCTCTTGCTGTTGCCCGAGTGGCACGGAAGACAGCGCTTCTTGAAGCTCAGAGTTGATCAACGGCCAGAACATCGAGATAGACGTCACCGTGCTCTTCAGCGCGAGGGCCCGGAGCACCATGAAGATCTCCGCTCTTGTCGTGGACGACGGCGACGAGGAGCTGGTCGCTCCGAGGAGGTCCTCCAGCTTCTGAAGGAGCGCGGGGAGCTCTGTCATAAAATAGTCGTCGTTCGCGGAAAGAATGAGGAGGCTGATCCTGCGGAGGTTCAGCTGTGCCTTGCGGTCGGCGTCAAGGCGGGCGGCAGAGGCTCCAACGCCGAACATGATGCCGGCGGTGCTTGGAGGAGTGAGTCGAGACATCAGCTCCGACAGCCGGTCCTTGTCCGCAAGCACCCATTGTCGCAAAAGATTGATCCAGCTCTCCTTTACGAGGTCCATTTGCATCCCGAAAAATCTCGGGTCGTTGAAGGCATCCGATACGTCCTTCTTCCACATCTTGGACGCAGCTGGTATCTTGGCGATGTGCTGGAGGATGGCCATCGAGTTGCGGCTCACATTGTTCGGGAAGAGACGTGCGCGGAAAAGAGGACCAATCACGTTGGTGGATATTCCAGACACAGCTGTGTTAATACGGTCAGAATCTCCCAGTGTCGTGATGAAGGCAGGCATCGAGGCGGCAAGGATACTGAGCATGTCGTCTGGCCCGATATGCGGCACTGATGATCCGTCGTAGTCTATCGATGCCCGCCCAAGAAGTGCCGACTCCTGGGATAGACCGCCCATGGGCTTGCTGGTGAAGATGGCCGTTAGAAGGCGAAGCAGCACATCCTGCATGATGTTAGACTGATTATACTGGCATGAAAGTGAATACATACCCCGAGCTCCTTTCGCATCCGACGATCTTCTCCAAAGCTCGTGTTTTCCATCTTCGCTCCAAGAATTGCCGCGAACTCCACCAGTCTGGGGAGGATCTGCCTGTGCGGGAATGGGTTACTTAGCACGTCACGTAGAAACGTGGTGCAGTCAGCCCAAATCTCATCGAGGACATCATCGTCGAGTGACCTGGCGTAGGTCACCAGAAAGCCTGCCAGTTCGGACTCGGTAAGGGTTGCAGTCAACGTGGATTTGCGACTGGGATCCAAGGCGGCTGGGTTCGTCCGAGTGTAGATGGAGTTGAAGACGGCCGGGATTGTGATCTTAGGCCGAGACCCATCCAGGGTATGAAGCAGGCTAATGATCAAGGCCGAGGTCTCGCTGTCTGACTTGGTCCACATCTCCACCGCGGTCTCAAGACATTCAAGAGCTTCAGCCGTGAAAAGGTGTTCAAGAATTCGACGAGATCTGTTCCTCATGCGCAACGATGTGTACTGGAAGGACGCCATGGATTCTGGGTCCTGGGGCAGTGTGCTTCGTTCTACCGCGCCCCACGACCATATCGTAAAGCAGAGTCTCACAGCATCCTGGAAGCAAAGGAGAACAGTAAGTCGGTTATTCGCGGCGCTGGACCGAGTATGATTCGTCTCGGATGTGAAGACACCTGACACCATATTTCCGAAAAAGCTATGGTTCTGATCCGGACTCTTGGCAGCAGGCACATTGGCCTCTTCAACCAGTAGACGCTCGTGGGCAGTTGCAATGCAGGTTTCAAGACCAGTCAGTAACGCGATTGTGGCGTGTTCAGAGCGGTCGTCCGACCAGCCTTCCGTCCGCTTGAAAGAAAGCTGAAGACTCGCGTACGCTAGCTGGATCTCCTTGCAAAAGCACTCCACTAACATGAGAATGATCTGGAAAATGGATCCCGCATACAACGGAAGCACTTCACAAAGTAGCACTGTCCATTTTTCCACTATTTCTCTGGAACCAGGAGAGCTGATGCCCTTGAGAAGACAGTCAAGAAGTTGCTGAGGCGGTTGGGGGAATAGACTTGGCACAGGGGCTTTATCTGCCTTGTCGCTTGTGAAGGACAGGATAGAAGGGCTCGTTAGACGCTCGCGGGAGCTTATCCTCTGATGTTTAGGCCTTGGGGGAGGAGGGGGCAGAAACGCCTGAGCAAACCGGACTTTCAATGCCGCAAGCAGAGTGTCAATAAGAGCTGCCTGGATGGCGACGCTGCCGCCTTTATCAAGCACAGAAGAGAGACGATCGACTAAGAACGAATCGATTCCCGAGTCGGCTATGTCTTCAGCCCCGGGCCCCAAGAGAAGCTGACGCATGACAAGCAGTGAGATTTGGTGTAGCTTCACTTCCTCCAAACTCTGTCCAGCAGTCATCGGACTACTAGCAACCCTAAGAGATGCCTGAAAGATGGCGGAGTGAAGGCTGTGGGATCTAGAGTCATCTACAGACATGGTAAGAAACGTAGCCCTCAAGGCACCTAGTAAGACATACCTTCCGATGTAGCAGCCTCCTTGTGTTTGTCGACATGAGACAACGTCTGCGTAAGTAGGTTGATCCATCCGTTGTGGGAAAGCGTGGATATAATATTGGAAACTGTCTGCAGCAGATAGCTGAACTCCTTGTGATCGTCGGGCGATAGGACAGGGTTCTCAACACCCGGTTCTAAGTCGTCTGACCGTTGGAAAAGACGGTCAAGTGTAGACACTACCATGCGGAATACCCTGCAGAACATGAGCATTGTTTGGTAATGAGGCCCATCGAAGAATGCCTAATGACTCTTCTAAACTCATTGGGGGCATGAACTTACTTGTGTATGGACGACAGGTCTTGGAGCCATCGGTGCACAGTCTGGGAAGCTTCATTCGCACCCTGGTTCAGGAAGTCCAAAACAATGAAGAGAGGACGCTCAAGCATCGAGGCCTGGTACGAGATTCCGGACTGAACCGAATCTTGCACCTGCTTCGGGGGAAGCTCGTACGTCCCGTGATGGCTGTGGGACCAGAGAATAAAGTACCTCCCAGCTTGCTCTGTTGATGATAGCTGGCGACATGCGCCTGATGAAGCCTCGACCATCAGAGATGTAATGGCTGCCTCAACTAGATGATCCGACCAAGAAACAGAGTGTAGTTGCCACAAGCAACGAACCGCCTCAACGTGGAACTTGGGGCTCAAGGGTGAGAGGAACTGCCAGAGCTGACCAACGAGCGCCGGGATCAAGTCGGAAACATCTTCATAGTTGATGTAATATCCAGGGCTTTGGATGAAGTACATGTTTGTCATAGCGGAAGCAATGGAGGAAATTGCTGCAAAGGAAGCAGTAGTTGCCTGGACTTTCTCGGTACTAATGCGGTTGCAAAGAGATAGATAGAGGCGCCTGTCTCGCAATATACTAGACCTTGGAAGCTTCTTCAATAGTATTATGAGAAGATTTATCCGTTCATGGATCTGAGTGTCCTGACCACGGGCATCCACTGCTCGGATTGCTTGCTCGTAAGCATTCTGGATAACCAGTTCTCCCAGGTGCTTAGGGACGAACGGAAGCGGCTGTGGATCCAAGCTGTTTTTGCTTTGCTCATAGAAGGCATGTATCCTTTTCAGGATGTCAGAGCCAGCTATGTCAGATGAACCATCTGCCTTAGTGCCGGACTTTTGTAAGAAGGCCCTTTCGGTAAGTAGCCCTGTCAAAGAATTCATCACCTTGGATAGCCCACTGGACACAAGCCGTAGTTGATCCTGAGCCACTGAGGGATTCTTTTCCACGGATAGCTCACTCATTTTGATGAGTGTAGAGACTGTCAGCAAAGGAACATGTCCTAGTATCATGTCTTCTTCCCGCACATTGAAGTTCTCGAGTATGAAATGCGCAAGCTCCAAGTTACTCAATAGCGCTTCCGTCCTGGAAGTCAAATCCTGAGGCCTCCAGTCAATCAGATGAAGAAGTTCAGAGAAGATGACACCGCTTTCAACGCCATCAAAAAAAGAGCTGGCGCTGCGAAAAACATCCTCGAATTGGCTCTTGGGGGCCTTTGTTCCGAATGAATGAACGCTTCGCATGATTGGTAAAAAGACCTCGGGCACAATGTAGCCTCCCACCTCCCACCTGTCCATCAGTGATAGCGATATTCGGAACGGCCTTGTCCTCTCGGAGGGCACTCCTGTGTCCTGTTCGATCATACGAAGGAGGCCCTTCACCAAGGGACCCAGTCCGAATCGAGTGAAATACTCCGACTGAGAGATTTCTTGACCATCCGCCGTGGGTTGGTGTCCATTTTCCGACATAGAATGGTGAGCTTCAAAGGAAGATCGGTCGTTGGCAGCCTCAGGGCCGAGAAGCCACGCCCACAATCGCCTGTTCAGACTCATGTCACGCCGCGCGACAACTCCCACGGCTGCAATGATCAGTCTCTGAAGGTCATCCCCAGTAATTCGCGATTGCAAGATAGGTGAGCTCAGCGGTAGATGCGTTACAAGCAGGTCCAGAAAGTTCCTCTGCACGAGGACTTGCTCATCCGCCAGCCCAGTTGCAAAACACCGAATCAACAGGCCAGGTTCCGGCAGGATCACGGAGTCAGCGACCACGGAAATGTCATGAGGCAGTTCATTATTAGCATCGCTGGTATCACCTTTACTCGGCCTGCGGTCTGTGATGCCTAGCTTAGGGAGATAGCGGCTCAGATACGCGAGTACCCCGGAGCGTCGACTAGGACTGGTTATTGATGCGAGGAACAGGCACTGCCAGAAGTAATGGCCACTGAGGCTCGCATCCGACCCTTGTTTATGCGTTTCCATCTTGCCCGCCATGTCGCGGAACTTATTGACGAGCCGCAGGGTAGGATCAAAGTCATCGCTTGTCTCCTCTTCCAACCCGGGGAGAAGGGCCAAGATGATAGCCTTCAGAGCCGGACGGATGGCCCATGGTTCCAAGCTGCATATGTATGTTTCGACCAGCGACAAGAAGAGGGGGCGCACCGTGAGCGAGGCGAACGTGAGGGTGGGAGCGACACCGGGCAGGTACAAGGGCAGGTCGTGCGATAGTCCCTCCGGCTGACGGATGACAATGACAGCGTCAGCAACTATACCATACATCCAGAGGTACGGGCGAGGGAGACCAACCTTGATTAGATTAAAGATATAGGTATATACTTCGAGCGCCTTCTGGTGGACACCGGACGGCAAGGAAGGGTTCAAGCATTGGGAGAGTCGTTTGGCAACGAGGGCCTTGTGCGGCACGATAGGCAAGTCGGCCGGGTGGGATTGGAGGGCCTGCAGTCCGACGGACGCATCAGCAACAGACGCGCGATTATTGCGGGGGGATCCTGGGGTACATGGTATATCGCACCTTCAGCAGTCGGCTGAGGAAGGAGATGTAATCGGCCCATTCCTGCAACGCGGTGTCGAACAGCGACAGGGCCCGTTCGACGGTGGTGGCATAGCGGCGGTAGTTCTTGTCCTTCTTGACGGGCTCTGTAGGATCACAAGCACACGAAGAGGGGTCAGCCCCTTTCTGTCCTAGACGGGTGGTACGACCATGGCCGGTGGTGGGTGCAGACCTTCCTTCCCCCGTAGACGGGAGCGCGTGAGAGAGCTGTCGGAGCTTGCGGGGGAGTTCGACCGCGGAAACGAGCTCGGATCAAGGCTCATGGTGGATTGTCGGGTGGTCGATACTGTCTGGAGAGTCTGGCTGCGGATCGCGCCTCATCATATTCCGACCATCAGGACCGACGGGGTGGGTTGGAGGTGGGTTGGGGAGATGGACTGGCGTTGCCAATTAATTGCTTAACGACACGGGGCCGGACGGACGAACAGGCCAGGCGGCAGGCGGCAGGCGGCCGTGTTTCCGTTTATCGCCCGCCTTTTTGGGGGGGAGCTCCGCCTGACACTTACCACCCACTCACTACTGCTGCTGCTTCTCTCCAACTGCCGTGCTTTGCGCTTTGCAACACCACCATGTGCGGTATCGAGCAGTTCGGTTGACTCGCACCGCCCAGCGTTCCTCTCGCTCCCGACTCCCTTTGTCTCTAAATGATCCTGTTGAGCGAAAACTATGGAGTCGACCCCTTCTGGTCCGTCGCCAGACGCTCCCGCAGATGACACCCCTCACACCCCTCCTGCGGAGATCGACCTCCACCCATCATCGTCTGAGATACCCTCCACCGACTCTCAAGGTCGCGACCGCAGTACAACCCCCGAGGAACGACCGCCGCCCTTGCCCCCGCGCCCAACCACCTTGACTCTGCTGGATGACGGGGGCGCGCCTCCCCGAACACCAAACCCCAGCCAGCCAGCGCTCCAGTCTCGAGCTACGACAGCCGTGTCCCTCACCGATATTGCATCACAGGATGCGGGGAAGGAGAGCTACACGGTGCGCAGCCTGCCCGGGACGCTGAAGGCGAGGGCGAGCCTCAGCCACTTGACTAGCGCAAGGGGGAGTGAGGCCGGCGACACGGCAAGCATCAGGAGCTCTGTGCCTCACGGGGATGTCGGCGACGTGGAGAATGTCTTCGGGGACTTCTTATCAACAGAGTCCGGTCTTATTCGTCAGCATAGTTCGACTGGTCTCTTGCAATTCCCGGAGTTCCAGGCGGATGACGTGGAGGACGATTTCGCAAGCGAATTTGAGCCAGTCGGGGAAATTGGGGAGGATGGAGACCAGGAGGGTATGTGCCGTCTGCGACATCAAAGACTCAATCAAATACTAATCTGTCGCTCTGTGCAGAGATGGTTCTAGAGAAATGGAAGGCGAAACGGAAACATTATCTTATCCTCTCGGCTGCTGGGAAGCCCATCTGGACACGGCATGGCGATGGGGGACTGATATCGACGTACGTGGGCGTCATTCAAACCATCATATCGTTCTACGAGGACTCCAAAGACCAGCTCCGCAGCTTCTCCGCCGGCGACACCAAGTTCGTAATCGTGAGCAAGGGGCCGTTATACCTCGTGGCAATCAGTCGATTCCTGGAAAGCGATACTCAGCTCAAGCTCCAGCTGGAGGCCCTATATATGCAAATCCTGTCTACTTTGACCCTTCCGTCGCTGACCCATCTCTTCTCCGTACGTCCTTCTACCGATCTGAAGCGGCCACTCCAAGGGTCCGAGACCCTCCTATCCACGTTGGCCGACAGCTTTACGAGGGGTTCGCCGCCCACTCTACTTTCAGCCTTGGAGTGTCTCAAGATCCGCAAGTCCCATCGACAAACGATCAACAATACTCTTATGAAGACTAGAGTTAGCAGCCTGCTTTACGGCTTGGTAGTCGCGGGTGGTCGGCTCGTCAACGTTGTGCGACCCAAAAAGCATTCATTGCACCCCGGTGACCTGCAACTCTTATTCAACATGGTCTTCGAAGCAGAAGCGGTTAAGGCCGGCGGTGGCGAAAGCTGGATCCCGGTATGTCTGCCCGGATTCAACAGTAGCGGGTATCTCTACATGTATGTCAGCTTCCTCGACTTGCGGGAGGATGCGGGCAGTGCTGCGGACGACTCAACTACCAAAGAAGAGTCCGTGGCGATTGTTATGATAAGCGCGAACAAAGAGAGCTTTTTCGAACTTCAAGGGATGCGAGACGCATTTGTCGAGGTTAGTAACTGCTACCCACAAAACACCCCCCCAGACTAACATACAACCACCACTCGCAGCAATTGGAAAAAAACGGCAGCCTCAAGATCATCAAAGACGCCGTTGACAAAGGCCGGCCAAAGACTACGGACATCGTCCCGGGGACCGTCTTGCACCATTTCCTGTACAAGTCGCGTGCCAACGTACAGTTCACGATGTCTTCATGGGACCCAGACTTTTCAACAGTCTCCCGACGCCGAAGGTTCGTGATTCAGTCTTCCCCATACCTTTCATTAATGCACTAACATCAACCCCTCAGACTCATGTCCACGTACAACAATCTCCACGCGAGTATCCACGCCAAGCACACTCATGTCAAAATCCACCACTGCGTCTCTCAATCATCCAGCTCCTTCGCGTGGGTGACGCCCATATTCGAGTTCTACTGTGTGGCGGGCGCGAATGCGAACCGCAACGCGCTTGCCCAGAGCGCAAGTAAGATAATCGAGTGGGTGCACAAAGAGGAGGAGAGATTGTTCATTATTGGTGGCGCGGTGAGTTCTGTCGCTATCTGTCTGCATTTGGTCGATGTGCTAATTTGTCGTCGGATAGGTTTTTTGAGCGAACTTTTTTTTCTCATTTATATATGAACTATCCATATATGGATGAGAGAGGTATCACATCATACAACGGCATGCCTTTGGAATATAGATAGACACGGTGGCCCGTCCTGCCCTGCCCGAGTGGCATTCGATTTATTCAATATCCGATATCCGATCTATATCCCACCACTACACTACCATCGAAGCATAGCATCGCATGACATGAAGAGCAGATCTACCCTACCCAACCCGCCTTTTCGAAAGCAATCTTCATGCTATATCCATATAACCCTTCCACCTCAAAACCAATATCCAACATAACATCGGTACCAGTCCCTATACAACCCCCCCCCCCCCCAACATCCCTTCAAACCCACCTAAACCCACCTAAACCTAATCAATTAATCAATCGTATCATCCCTCAACGCAAACAACTGCCCAATAAGCTCATCCGGCTTCGCCCGAATCGCATTATGGTACATAACATTCGTAATAAACTGCTTGCAGCCCTTGATCTTGGCGGCCGTGTTCTGCGCGTGGTCGAAGTGCACGTACATGTCGTCGATAAAGGTCGCGGCGTACACCGGCACCTCGTTCCTGGCGAGTTGCGCTTCGTCGTACAGCGGGGTCCAGTCGGATGTGCTGGCGAGGATTTCGGCGGCTTCGCGGATTTGCGAGAGTTCCGTGTAGGAGGTGAACATGTCTTTGTAGATCTGTGGTGGGGGGACTGTTAATTTGCGTTCTGTTGGGTTGTGTGTTGGGGGGGGGGGGGGGGGGGGGGCGTGCTTACCATTTCACCTGTGAAGATGATCTCGGGTTGCGTGGAGTTGATCTGGAAGTTGGGGTTGGATGCACGGTATCTGTCTGCGGACCAGTTTGAGGGTTTTCTGATGCAAAGGGTTAGTTTTGGGTTTGGGTTATAGAGGGGAGAGTGTGAGAGAGGGGGTTAGTAAATGGAGGGACTCACCCCTGGCAGTAGATAGCCTCGTGCAGGATGGCGTAGATGACATTGTTATCCATGCCGCCGTAGCTGTCGATAGCGGTGAGGGTGGGATGCGTGAGGAAGCCGAAGACGTCCAAGTCGTTCCAGGCACGGAGCACGAGATCTACATGATGTGGTTAGGGCTGAAGATATAAGTTTCAATCTGGGAGAATATTACCATGGATGCCGTCGAGGCCACCTGGATACCTTAGTATTCATATTGCGTTGCAGACAGGTACTTCCAGGGCTACTCACCGTGCATGCCAAACAGAATACCCAGTTGCTGGAACCGCTCCGGGGTCAACGTTCCAGTCGGTAGGGCAACCTTATTGTCCTTGAGGTATTGGGTGATCTCCTTGACTCGTTCCACGTCCTCGGGGAACTTGGCGTAGTAGGCCTTGTTCCGCTCGATGACCTTTTCTGTTCAGGCTTAGCGTTGGTGCGTTCGACGGACTGCTCAGATAGAATTGTGGCAGGGACTCACCGTATGTGCGTGCGTACACCGGATCGGGGTCATTCACGAGGGGAGGAAGTCCACCGCACATGAAAGCCTCGGCTAGACCTTCTGGGCTGTTCAGGGGATTAGAAAATCGGTATTTCACGAGACGTATGGGGAGGGGGTTTTTCAGATTAGAAGCCAGACGCACAACAAGGAAAGGTAGGTCACGGCGCAGAACCCTCCGAAGCTTTGGCCGATAATGCTCCATTTCCGCTTTTCCTCGGGGTAATCCGTCATGAGACAGCGACGGATGGCCTCGCAATCGCGCACAATGTTGTCTGCGCGGAAGTTCTTCAGGTACTCTGCCTGCTTAATGGCATTGCCTTGGCGAGCCAGCGTGCCCGCCGTGATGGTCGAGCTCATGCCCGTACCACGTTGGTCCAGGAACAAGACCTGTTGAATCAGTCAGTGACGTCCATTCTATTTCAATTCTGGGAGAGTACACACCTGGTAGCCCTTGTCAAGGGCCGTGCCAACCCAGCCGTATTCCTGCGGGGGACGACACCCCATGCCGGGACCGCCCTGCAGGTACACCAGCCAGGGGAGCTGCTTATCGTCCTTGCTGTCATCGCTGGGTTCGACAGGGGTCACCAGACGACGGACACTACGGGCGAACAGTCTCAGGTTGCCAGCATCGGGGGCGCTGTAATTGACGGGGACGTCAAAGAAAAGCTCCGCCACACGAAGCCTCCCTACAAGGCAACCCCACCTGTCAGCAGGCCCAGGGCCACGTTGTTGTGCCTGACGCACGCACCTGGGATGTTATGGAAGCGCCTGTCGATCAATTTGGCAGCCATGGTTGCGACTTCGGGGACTCCCACTGACGGTCAATCGGTCAATTTGGGTTTGTGAGATCGCAAGAATAACTCGCGGGGCGATTGAGGGGTCGCGAGGACGAAAGTGGCCAGAGACACCCCGAGTGGTATGGTTCAGATGGGGAGTGGATTTAGCCCGGGGTTAGTGAGACAGAGACAGTATTCTCATTACGGTACGGAGTGTGTTCAGAGCTAATAATGGGCAGCCGAGCCGAGATAAGCTTCCCGCTCCAAGCCCCCGGCTCGCTCTCCGCTTCGGGGCCCAAACCGGCCGGCTAGACATGGATGCCTAGAATTACCAAATTTACCCTGTCATACAGTCATGGTCTTCGGAGATCCTCGCTGCATATCGTCCTTCCTGCATCCAACAGGTCCTGCCGCCCACTTGAGTCATGCTCATGATTCTTGGCAGGCTTGACTACATATTCTGCCCATTCAATCTCTGTAACCTGTAGTAGACCTCTAACATAATAAAACGTTACAATATCACTTAGGTTGGTCATCCGTTCCTTCGGCTGTGCTGGAATTCTTGCCCCAAACTGACAGTCTTCAAGTAAAATCCAATCAACCGCACCATGAAGCTTCAAAATGTCGAGAGGACCGCCCAAGAGCAGGGCCAGCTACACCAGAAACTATGGGAGATGACACAAACGTGGAAACCCGATGGTGTATTGCCCAGTGCCACTGACTTGTCCCGGGCTCGAGCATCTCTGCCGGAGTCCCTGACGGAAGAGGGTGCGGGATTCGACAATACCACGCAACATATCCTGAACGACCTCGTTCCAGCCTTCAATCGCAGCAGTCTTAGCCCCAACTACTACGGGTTTGTCACTGGCGGCATTACTCCAGCCGCGCAATTCGCAGACAACCTTGTCTCTGCCTACGACCAAAACGTCCAAGTCCATCTGACAGAGCATTCCATCTCGACAGACGTCGAGCACAATGCTCTGGGTCTCCTCGCGGACCTTCTCCGGCTGGACCGGCGCCAATGGCACAACGGTACCTTCACCACCGGAGGGACTGCCGGTAATATTCATGGGTTGGCCTGCGGGCGGGAGTTTGCCCTACGGGCTGCGGCGAAGAAAAAGGGAATCGCCGTTGAAAGCGTTGGTGAGTATGGCCTGTTCGAACTCATCCAGGCGACGGGTCTCTCCGGAGTACAAGTGCTCACGACAATGCCCCATTCGTCGTTGACGAAGGCGGCCGGCATACTTGGGATCGGTCGTGCCAATGTCAAGAGTGTTTGCCGGGATGACCACTACCTCCACTTTGATTTGGAGAAGCTTGAAGCAGAACTGGCACGATCCGACAAGGCGAGCATCGTTGCGGTTTCCTGTGGAGAGGTCAACACGGGACACTTCGCCACGTCCACACTGTCGGAGATGGAAAGTCTGCGCAAGCTTTGCGACAAGTACGGGGCCTGGATCCATGTCGACGGCGCATTCGGAATATTTGGTCGCGTTCTGGAAGGTCCCGAGTTTGCGACCATCTCCAAGGGATGCGAGGGAATGGAGCTGGCGGATTCCATCGCGGGCGATGGACACAAGCTCTTGAACGTGCCGTATGACTGCGGCTTTTTCTTCTGTCGCCATGCCGGCGAAGCCGAAAATGTCTTCCAGAACGCGAACGCGGCTTACTTGACGGGGGGTCAATCCGATGGCCCTGCGATCCCGTCGCCACTGAACATCGGGATGGAAAACTCGAGACGGTTCAGGGCGTTGCCCGCCTACGCCTCCCTTGTGGCGTATGGCCGGTCTGGATATCGGGAAATGCTGCAGAGGCAGATTCGGCTCGCTAGAATGCTCACCGGATGGCTTTTCGATCATCCCAAGTACAATGTGCTGCCCGAACTGGGTAGCAAGGAGGCCTTGCTGGACCAGACGTACATCAGCGTGCTTTTTAGCGCGAAAGACGAGGAGTTGAATGCCAACCTTCCAAAGCGGATCAACGCGACTTCGAAGATGTTCCTGTCAGGCAGCGCCTGGCAAGGAAGACCGGCCTGTCGGATTGCGATCTCGAACTGGAGAGTCGAGGAGAAGAGGGATTTTGCGGTCGTGACAGCAGTCTTGGACAGTGTTTCTGGGGGTAGATCGTAGAATGTCGCTGGGTTGGCCCTAGAGCCTTTAGTAATGTATATTCTGATGTAATACTACCCGAATAGTAAATACGTGATACTTCTGATAACTCGTTCAAAAATACACAAATACTACTAACGATTTTGAGGTTGCCGCCATGCCAGTGTGGGAATATACTATACTGCAGAACAACCTTGTCCCGAACAGTTGGGTTGCTTACCATTTTTGATGCATCCAGCATGTTCAGGGCTTTCTAGTAATAAGAAGAGTAAAAATTATAAAAAAGAGGACACCTGACAAAAAATGATGCCTATTCACTACGCTAAGAATGGATGCCTTGGGCAAGTAACTAAGCGCAGTGATGACTAATGCCTTCCTTCACATCCCATTGACTCGGCTTTTCCCTTCGTATACTTTCACCATGTTCACAGATGATGCGGGCATAGGACTCACTGGTAATTCTCATCATGGTGTACCGTGGAAAGCCATCCAAATCATGCCGAGAATGTCGACGGCGGGATATCAAAGTATCAAAGCCCCCTTTGCCGCGAACCTTCCCGGATGATCCGCACTCACTACTCATTAGTGCGACAAGAAGAAGGACGGTTGCTCTCAATGTTCCCGCGCAGGACTGTCCTGTCCTGGCTACCCCAACCCCCAAGATCTGGTGATTCTCAACGAGACTGCCGCAACGACTGAGAAAGTAGCGAAGAAACGCTTTCTGCAGGGTCAATATTCCCCGAATCCTCTATCAACAGGCCTTCTCCCAACTGTTTTCCAACGTGCAAAGCACCTCTACATCTCCCAATACGTCCAGGACACACCAGCAGGGGGTCTCTTCTCCTACATGCAAGTCTTTCATCCGTCCTCGCAGCATGATTTTCCTCTCCTAGAAACCGTCGTCAATGCCATGTTTATGGCCACCTTCTCGTCCCTGCAGGGGTGTCGCTCGACGCTCTACCATGCCCAGGTGGCTTATGGATCGGCCTTATCTCTGACTCAGAAGGCGATTGAATCGCCCAAAGAGGTAGTGTTAGATAGAACACTGTTTTCTATATTGCTGATGAGCGTTTTTGAACGACTGGCAGTTTCTGAACACGAAGGGTTCAATCTCCGGAATGGTCATCTGCGAGGCGCCTTTGAACTTATGTCCCTGAGGGGCAGGGGCCAATTCACAAGCAAAGGCGGTAACGCCATGCTTCTGCATCTTACGGAACTTGTGACTCTTGATTGCCTCGCCAACGAAATTGATATTCCATCCCGCTTTCTAGCCTTGAGGCGGAAGGCTATTGACAGTGGCGTGGATACGTCGTCAATCAAATGGAAGTTCTGGGAAGCTATGCTCCAGTACGCGGAGTTAGAGAGCTTTACAAGAGCGTCTTTTGCTGCGGAGGAAGCGATTCATCGTGCGGAAGTACTCGACAGTGCTTTTGAGCAACTATCGACGCATCTCCCTTCCTTTATCTCGAGAAGACAGAACCCTGAACCGCTATACGCTTTAGAAGGCCGATCAGATATCTATCCTGATTGTGTTGCGCGACGATGCTGGAATAATATCCGTGTGGTTCGCATTTTGCTGGCCAAGGTCGTACGTGAACAGTGCGTCCGGCTATTGGGGAATACAATCGACGATGGATCTGTCATTGAAAAGCTCTACGAATCCAACCGACGAGCCATTTCCCTTTGCTCAGACATATACCTCTCTATCCCATGCGACGGTGCCCAAGACAAATCTCTTGACGATATCTCAAGCATACAGTCATCCACGCTACTGTTTCAACTTTACGTGGCGAAAGAAATAGGGTGCCCATCGGGTGAAATACGACTGTTTATTGAGAAAGGATTACAATATTTGAAAGGGAGACAGCCTCCTGCGCGACAAAGAACAATCGATTGCTTGCTAGATGGATCTCAAAAAGTACCTGGTAATGTTTGGAAAGTGTGGCTAAAGATTGGAAGAGAGGATTATTCGATCTGATCCTTGAGTCATAAAGATAGTCCCAGCTTCGTTGGCTTGGCCACCCTAGTATTGGTTCAACTTCATGGCCGCCACTGGGAATCTCTCCCCTGCAACGAGAAATTCGTCCAGGATGGAACCGATCTTCTTCAGATCCTCCTCCGTCAGCTCAACTTCTTTGGCGTTTTCAAGCACCCTAGATTCTGATCGTGCACCCGCAACAGGCACCACGAGCGGCATCCCGGGCTTCTTGCTCTGTGCTTTGATCCACGACAAAGCTAGCTGAGCTGGAGTGCATCCCTTCTCAGATGCCAGCTTCTCAATCTGCTCCACCAGCTCCCGGTTCTTCGCCAGGTTGTCGGGATGGAAGCGAGGGAAGTGGCGATGGTGGTCGTTTGGCGGCAGATCATCGACACTCTTTATGGCACCCGTCAACATGCCAGCCCCCAGCGGGGTATGCGCGATGATTGCAATGTCATGCTCCGCGCATGCCTCGGCAACACCGTTACTGAAGACCTCTGTCGCCCAAAGACTGACCTCGGCCTCGACCATATCGACCTTGGCGACGCTGGCAGCACGACGGATCGAGTCAGCATTCACCTCGGTCAGCTGGATGCCTCCAATCTTTCCTTCGTCCTTCAGCTCTGCTAGTGCCTTCACACTTTCCTCGATCGGCACATTCGGGTCGACTCTCGCACAGCCGAAGATATCGATATTCTTCTTGCCATCCAGTACCTTGAGAGCGTTGTCCACGAAACCACGAAGACCTGCGGCTGAGCAGTCCATCGAGAACGTCCTCATGTCCTTCAAGCCGGACTTGATGGAGAGAACAACCTTGTCCGCATCTTCGGGGTAGGCCGTGAAATAGCGATTCATGAGATGCAGAGAGTTGTTGTCAGGCGGGCCATAGAAGTCTGCCCCGTTCCATACATTGACGCCAGCAGTCAACGCCGTCTTGAGGACCTTGAATGCTTGCTCGTCTGGTGTTCCTTCCATCCCAGTGATACCTGTAGTGGGTTGAATCAGATGGACGGGTCTTCAACGTGCGTCAAGAAAGAGAAGATGAGACAGGGGAGAGCTTACGCATGAGCCCCAGACCATTGTGGGTGATCTCCTTTCCAGCGAGGGTAGGCATGGCGAAATAGTACGTTGGTCAATCAATTACTGCGGACAGAGAAGTATAAAGTGGTCAATGGCTCAGATCGGACCAGATGCTGTGTTTGATATCATCACAAAAGCTACACTGATCGGGGCCAGAATCTTGCTATTTATATGTCACAAAGACTGAACACGAACACTCCACGACTGCCCCCTCGGTTTTTGGAATTCGTCTTCCCCGGCATTAGATACGATGGCAAAAAGACTTAACTCCGCTAATGCCGTCATGACCAGGTGGTTACCTGATTGGGATTAGCTCGGAACAGCCACATGTATCAGCCTGAGGCATGAGTTTCCATCGCCAAGGATCACACCTTTTGAAGTATCCAACCATACATGCGATGCTATTAGGATAGAATAGGCTCAATCAACTTTTTATTTTGTAAAATATGGAGCTAAATTCACCATGTCGATGAATCAGATGTTTCTGGCCCATTATACACGATTTTGAATGACCGCACGGAGTATTTTATCCCATACACTGATGCTGTCCATCCACAGAGTGAACAACATTATAATATTACATTCTTGGACGATCCCCATATGTCTGAAAATTTCCCCACAGTCCTCAAAGCCTTGCCCAGGCTCATTTGCATGGCATCCGACAAGATAAGCGAATGGAAACCTCCGCCTCGGTAACCGTTTTACTTACAGGTAAAGTAACCTAAGGTACTCTGCTCCGTAGAGGGGCATCCCGGAAATTATTTTTTCTTCCGGCCCCACGCAGTCCAGGCTTCACTCACCAGTACTAGAAACCATACCCCATTGATATCAACTGCAACTGCATAAAACTTCCCCCCAAACCAAACCAACCAAACACAAATAATTGAACTACCCCCCCCCTCCCCCTCTCCTCACCCCCCACTAAAAAAATAGAGACAAAATCAAGAGTGAAAATGGGCAAAAAGAACAAGAAATCCGCCGAGCACAAGGAGCGGGTGGCGGCGAAGCAGACGAAAAAAGCGGCGCAGAAAGAGAAGCGCGGCAAGGGGAAGGGCAGCAAGGACGCGGACAGCGACGTGGAGGATGCGGACCTGGACGCCATGCTAGCGCAGTACGCGGAGGAGCAGGCGAAGTTCCTCAAGGTGACGGAGGTGGTGGGCGGACCGCCGACGCCGCGGTCGTCGGCGACGGTGCTGGCGTCGCCGTCGAACCGCAACGAGCTGCTGGTGTATGGCGGCGAGTTCTTCGATGGTAACCTGGCGACCTTCTTCAATAATCTCTTCGTGTATAATATCGATCGCGCGGAGTGGAGGGAGGTCACCAGTCCGAATAGTCCGCTGCCGAGGAGTGGGCATGCTTGGTGTCGTGGGGGGAATACCGGGGGCGTGTATATGTTTGGTGGTAAGTTGTGATTGTTGTGGTGGTGATGGTGGTGGTGGTGGGAGTCTTGATGGGATTGGGATCTGATTTTTTACTGTCTGCAGGAGAGTTCTCGTCGCCGAAGCAGGGAACGTTCTATCATTATAACGATTTCTGGCATCTCGATCCGTCGACGAGGGAGTGGGCTCGTCTGGAAACGAAGGGCAAGGGACCCCCGGCTAGAAGTGGTCATAGAATGACATACTTCAAGGTGAGTTTGAGACTGTTGACTACTGTTCGGTGGGGATGATAGCATGCTGATCACCACGCAGAACTACATTATCCTCTTTGGTGGATTCCAGGATACCTCGCAGCAGACCAAGTACCTCCAGGACTTGTGGATCTACGACTGCTCGAGATACACCTGGTTCAACCCTACGCTGACCACAGCATCCCAGAAGCCTGATCCTCGGTCTTCTTTCACCATTCTTCCGCACGAAACGGGCGCTGTCCTGTACGGTGGATATTCCCGCGTGAAGGCCAGTACAGGATCCCAGGGAAAGCCTGTCAAACATGGTCATCATCGTGTGGCCATGAAGCCCATGGTGCACCAGGATACCTGGTTCCTGCGGATCACGCCTCCTGCTGCTGACGCTCCTGACCATGCGGCGCCTACCGTCCGCTGGGAGCGCCGGAAGAAGCCGGCCAACTCTCCCAACCCGCCCCGTGCCGGTGCCACGATGGCATACCACAAGGGACGAGGAATCATGTTCGGTGGTGTGCACGACGTGGAGCTGAGCGAGGAGGGAATCGACAGCGAGTTCTTCAACACCATGCTTGCGTGGAACACTGACCGGAACCGCTTTTTCCCGCTGGCTCTGCGTCGTCCTAGAGCGCCGGGCAAGAAACAGCTCGCCAATCAAATGAAGTCTCGGGATCGAAGCAAGGCCGACGAGGAAGAGCTTCTGCAGAACTTGAAGGCCCTCGAGGCTAAGGGAGGCATTCAGAGCCAAGATGACGATGATGAGATGAAGCTGAGCACGCCCAAGGCGGAAGAAGACAATGATCAGCCGGAGAAGCCTTCTATCGTCCGCTTTGAGATGCCCCACCAGCGTTTCAACGCGCAGTTGGCTGTCCAGGATGATACTCTGTTTATTTTCGGCGGAACCTTTGAAAAGGGAGACCGGGAATTCACGTTCAACGACATGTACTCCATCGACTTGGTCAAGCTCGACGGAGTCAAAGAGATCTTCTACAACGAACCTGAGAACTGGCACCTGCTCAACGAGGCGGACAGCGACGACGAGATGGATGAGGATGATGAGGATGACCTTGAAGACGAGGAAGACGAGGAGGACGCCATGTCCCTGGACACCGCTTCTCCCGCGCCGACTGAAGTGACTGTTCCATTAGTGACCCAGGAGATGGAGCAGCTGGAGGTGGAGGAACAAGGAGAGCCGTCTGTTCAGGACAGCAGACCTCTTCCCCGTGCCTTCGAGAGTCTGCGCGAGTTCTTCAGCCGCACCTCTGAGGACTGGCAGAGGATCTTGCTGGAGACCCTAAAAGAGAAGGGAACCGCTACGGAGAAGAATATCAAGGAGCTGCGGAAAGACGCGTTCAATATCGCTGAAGAGAGGTGGTGGGATTGCAGAGAGGAGATCATGGCTCTGGAAGATGAACAGGAAGAAGCCGGTATCGGTGAGGTCGTCAGCATCGCTGACAGGGGAGACAATGCTGGCGGTGCTGGACGACGCAGGTGATATCGTGAACAGGTTGTTGCTGGTGTGTGGTAAATACCTGGGGGTGATGATATCATAGCTCTCTTTCTCGAAAATATTCTGGTTTGGTACCTTTCTTCATAGACTACTAAAACTGACCGGATCGCACCCGTAAGCTGGCTTTTTAGCTAAGGTCAGAATACGGCACTCCATCTTGACCTTTACACTCCATATGGTGTGTAGAGCAACACGATACAGAGTAGTTATTTACTCCGTACAGGAAGCATAGCTGGCGGTGGCAGCGCGGCCACCGCCCACGTGACGACGCGCAGGGACGCGTCCCGCAACAATCGGATCGACCGCTGCGATGGAGCAACAATCGACCTGTTGCTTGGCAGCACAGCGCCAACTACCACCACGCAGGATCATTGTTATGTTGCACCTCGTTGACAGAAACATGAAAACAAGAATACGGCCTTATGACTAAAAATAATCTAGCAGCGCACCTCAAATGGCTGTTGCAGCAAGGCCCTTCGCTCTACCCCTCTTTATCTCCGTCCGAGCCCGAGACTCGTAACGCGCCCAACCGAAATTCCACCACTGCCCCAGAGCCAACGTGGGGAGTCCCAGCCGGCCAGACAGCGAGCTTCGCGATCGGTGATTCCCAGCCCGTCACTCGGACAGCAGTCAGAAACGATGTGGACGACACTGCCAAGGTAGAATCCGACACAGACTCAGAAATGGCCCGGTTGCGACTCACGCCGGGGTCGGGACGAAAACCGCGGATGCTCATTCTCGGCCACAATGAACCCGTCGCGCGCACACCGAAGGCTCCGACGAGTCGCCCGTATGCAGAATCGCCGGCGAGAAAGCGGGAGGCCGTGCAGGATCAGGGTATCAAAGGTACGGTAGCAGACATAATAATCCTTGTCGAGAGATCCGCAGCGACTTACGCCTTGAAGACAACCACAGCTCCCCTGCTCAATTTACTAGCCCCGATTCCCTGTTCGTGTCACCGTTCGAATCCAAGCGAGGTATTGTCAAGAAATCACCAGCAGCGAAGATCGACATCGACACGATAGACTTAACTGGCGAATTCGATCCCACGGCGTTTTCGTCAAGCACATATGATGAGTTTGGTGAGCCGAGTCGGCTATGGACCGAAGACGCGGCATTTCGAAAAGACCCTGTCGAGAACTTCGAGAAGCGTGGGAAGAAGCGGAAGAGCGATGAATACGTGTCTGATCTGGTCTCGCCCCGGAAGAATGGCGCGAAAGCGCGCTCGCCCTTCAAGGATGATAGCCTGACCATCTCGACACAAAACATGCACAGGAAATCCCCGCGAACGACCAAAACCGATGATAAACCCCTTCGCGCGAATAAACCGGCGGCTGCCACTTCCCATTCCCATTCCCGCGCGGGCTTTGTCATCGCCGACTCTGACGAAGATGGCGATGATAATTTGTTTGACGACTGGATGCAGAATGAGGATGGGCCAACACTGGACTCCCACGAATCTCTATATCCAATTCTGCCGACAGAAGATAGTTCGGATGAGCATCCGGTTGCCAGCCCTGTGAGAAAGGCCAAACGTTCTTCACCACAAGTATCCGATGCGATGGATGTCGTCCCGTCCAGTACTCGGAAATGCAAGAAAGAGATACATACCAGTCCTGTACAGATATCTCGTGTACCTCCGTCTACCAGCATCCCAGCTTCACAACCCCAGAACAAAGATGTGACGAAGTTCATGTCTTTCGCGGCAGAGGCTCTTGACAGAGTGATTGCAAGCCATAGGGACACCCTGACGAAGAACTCGGAAATCGTATATGAGCGGGCAATGAAGGGAGAGCTCGCCCCTGATTTGATTACCGAAAATAAGACTCTCACGGACAGGATCGAGGCAATTGAATCTTTGAAGCAACTCCGGGTCACCTATAAGACTTGTGAGTCCAAGAAAGAGGGGCTAAAGAAAAGGATCATGCAGGTTATAACACAAGGTCGGGATCCGCACAAGATGCCAGAGCTAGCAGAAAGCCGAGAAGTTTCATCACAGTTGGAAATGGTCGGGGCGGACATACAAGGTCTGCTTGCACGATCCAAGTTGCTATCGTCTCTGGAGACTTTGAAATATGAAGCCCCCTGGCGTGCTCCAGAGCCCCTGAACCTGTTGTCTGGCCAACCTTCTTCAAGGCCAGCGAGTATCAGGGAGGACAGCTACCTACACGATGCGGACACATTTGTGGCTCCGCCCTCGCGGCCACCTACACGGCCAACGATGGACTACAATGGCCCACGCTCTGAAACTTCCACTCGTGTATCAGAGCTTTCCTTCAAGAATACCAACGGAACCTCGAGTCACAGAGCTTTTGACTACGATCACCCTACGACGCTGGATGACGACGACGTTTTCACCAGGACTATGGGCTCGCCCACACTACCTCCTGCAGAGGCAGACGAGTTTGACTTGGACGATGAGGATATGCTGGAGGCTGCCGGGTTTTTCGATAACACATTTTCGACGGACAATCACGACCCTCACAATCGCAAAGTTTTCGCTGAAACGTCTGGAAACGTTTCTCGGTTGCCAGCGTCACAGAAGCCCCAAGGTCATAATGCTCTTTGGAGTAACCATGCGTGGTCCAAAGACGTGAGGAACGCTTTGAAGGACCGTTTCCATCTCCGCGGGTTCCGTATGAACCAGCTCGAGGCTATAGACGCTACTTTGAGTGGGAAGGACGCATTCGTCTTGATGCCTACGGGTGGCGGCAAATCTCTGTGCTATCAGCTGCCCTCCGTTGTGTCTTCTGGCTCGAGTAGAGGAGTCACGCTTGTGATATCGCCACTTCTCAGTCTAATGCAGGACCAGGTCTCCCATTTGAAGAAGTTGAATATCAAAGCGCACCTGCTGAACGGAGAGACACCGAAAGAGCAACGTCAGTGGATAATGAATACGTTGTCGAGCTCCCTGGCGGAGGAAGACATCGAATTGTTGTACATTACACCGGAGATGGTCAACAAAAGCCAGGCCGTCATTCGGAGCTTGGAGAAACTCAACCGCAGCGGCAGGCTTGCGCGCATTGTCATTGATGAAGCGCATTGCGTCAGCCAGTGGGGACATGATTTCCGCCCCGACTATAAAGAGCTGGGGGGGCTTAGAAACCAGCTATCGGGGGTTCCTATGATGGCGCTGACTGCGACAGCCACGGAAAATGTCAAGGTCGATGTCATCCACAATCTCAAAATGGAGGGTTGCGAAGTGTTCTCTCAGAGCTTCAACAGACCGAATCTGACGTACGAGGTGCGGGTCAAGAAAAAGGGAGCGGAGCTCCTGGCTAGCATTGCCAATACTATATCAACCTCATATAAGAACAAGTCTGGCATCGTCTATTGTCTTTCGCGCAAAACTTGTGAAAAGGTCGCGGAGCAGCTCCGGGATGAGCATCGCGTCAAGGCAGAGCATTACCACGCTGGTATGGACTCTGAATCACGTGCAAAGGTTCAGCAGAGCTGGCAGGCTGGAAGGACTCATGTCATCGTCGCGACGATTGCGTTTGGCATGGGAATCGACAAACCGGATGTACGATTCGTGATCCACCATAGCATTCCCAAGAGTCTGGAGGGATACTACCAGGAAACGGGACGTGCTGGTCGAGACGGGAAGCGGTCCGGCTGCTACCTCTATTACTGCTATAAGGACACGACAACTCTAATGAGCATGATCGACAAGAGCGATGGCAGTAAGCAGCAGAAAAACCGACAGCGACAGATGTTGCACAATGTCGTACAATACTGCGAAAACAAGAGCGACTGCCGAAGGGTGCAAATCCTCGCCTACTTCAACGAGTACTTCCGTCGACAAGACTGCAATGCCTCCTGTGACAATTGCAAATCTGATTCGGTTTTCGAGCTCCACGACTTCTCCGAGTACGCCGCTTCTGCCATCAAGGTTGTGCGCTACTTCCAGTCCATTGAAGACAAGGTGACGCTGTCTTACTCGGTCAACATCTTCCGCGGGAGCGTGAAAAGGTTCAGGTCCCCTCAACACCGACAGGCCACTGGCTATGGAGCCGGTTCGGACCTCGAACTGGGGGAGGCAGAACGGCTGTTCCATCGGCTTCTTGGGGAGGGGGCTCTTGTAGAAGAGAACGTGGTCAATGGCGGTAAATTCGCCGTTCAATACATCAAGCTGGGACGGCGTGCCGCTGATTTTGAGAGCGGCCGCTGTAAACTGAAGCTCGACGTGCGCCTCTCGCCGAATGGAAAGGGTCGAAAGCCGACTGCAGCTTCTCGAGCAAGCAGTGGTAAAGAGTATCATCCGCAATCTACGAATGTCTCATCGCCTGTACAATCCGCCAACCAGCGTCGTCTGGCTCGCTTCCAATACCGCGAGGCCGGAGGCGAGTCTACGCAGGATGAGGACAGCGATGGCTTTGAACAAATTCGAGTCGCCGGCAAGCCACGCGCAGAACGAAGGCGTACTCCTGGCCCGCCAATCACCCAAGACCACAGGTTTGATCAGCTCGACCCTCTTCATAAGGCCGTTGCGGAAGACTTCATGGTCTACGCCAAGAACTATTGTCAGGACGTGAGTGTTCCCATATAACAAATACTACCTCGAAGGATGCACTGACTAACTCCCAACAGCTGGTGCTACAGAAGGGCCTTCGCAATCAACCGTTCACCGACAGCATTCTGCGTGAGATGGTGATTGTCTTCCCCAAAGGTAGGAGACCTCCTCTTTCAATGGTATCTGCAAGCAGAACTGACCTTCATCAGACATGGCGGAACTTGCTCGAATTCCCGGCATCGATCCGGACAAAGTGAGCCGATACGGCGCCCAGATCATGAAACTCATCCGCGACACGCAGCGCCGTTACGTGGAGTTGAAGAAGGAGCAGGACGATGCCGACGGGGTGGTCCCGGATCCAAATCATCACAATGTCATCAACCTCACCACCGAGGATGAGTACAGCGACGGTGGCATCTTTACGGACCATCCGTCGACCTTCAATCTGGACGAGACGGTGTCCAGTCGGTATTTCTCGACCCAGGCGGCCGACGATGACTCTGACGATGACGAGCCCAGCAAGACCAGTAAAGGGAAGTCTCGTAAACGCCAGTCCACCAAGCGCCCTCGTCGCCAGAATAATACCGCCCCCAAATCCCGGGCCAAGACCCCGGGAGCGAGGAGGAAATCCGGCGATCGCGCCGAGGGCCGTTCCTCTTTCGCCCGAAAGAACACGAAGACAAAACAACCGAGCAGTCGAATCGGGATGATGCCCATCTGATGGGGCTTTTGCAAGTGCAGCGTTTCTCGGATCTCATGACGAACTTGATGGTATATTTCGGGGTGACAGTTACGGGTTTTCTCTTGTTGCCTTCCATGCATGTACAGGCGTTACGCTGTCCGGGGAGGGGGTTCACCAAGCATTGGCATGATTAATGTACTAGGCGCCTTGGCTTTTTTTCCCGAGCGAATATATACAGCCTGCATTTCTTCCCTTCCTGTCATTTCCTTTCCTTCATTTATACCTTAGATGTGACGTGATGTGCATATATCAAGCGAGCAAAGAGGAGAATATTCAATCGTCTAACGAGCGCCCGAAATCGATCAACCGCAGCTTTCTCGCGTCGCGGGGATGGAACTGCGCCACTTTGGCTCTAACTAAAAACCGGGACGCGGCAGATTCTCGGGGAAGATCAATGTAGGAGGAAGAGGAGCTTGCCTCTAGCAGCTTATCGAGAAGGTTACGCATCTCCAGGCCGGCCGCTTCCCTCCGATTAGAGGCCTGGTCGTTGTTCCCTTGCCCCGATTGCGATTGGCGAGGAGGAAGAAGCTCATCGATCCGCCGTTGACTGGTATCAGGATCCGCCGCCGGCTGCGCCGCCCTCGGCTTTTTCGGTTTCCCGTGATTCGTGTAGCCCAGTTGCAGCGTGGCATCCGAAACCCAGGGCGCGTCTCCCACGGTAGGACCGCCGAGGGCCTCCGCGGCCAGCATCGACGCGAGGGAGTCGTCGACAAACTTGTACAGGGCGGTCTTCATCTCCTCCGTCGAGGAATCCAGGTCCTCCTGTTTCGTCGTCTGCTGGTCCACAAGCTCGCGCGCGAGCTGCGCAGCGGTCTTCTTCTCCTTGCTTGCTTTCTCGCTACCCAGGGTCTGGATCCGTCGTCGCAGGCCATCGCGGATGGAGTGCGCGTCGCGCAGATTCGCCTCCTCGGCTTTCAGGCGCTGGCGGTTAGATGATAGCTTCTCGGCTGTCATTGCGATGGATACTTTGCTCTCTTGCACTAGACGCATCGTCTCCTCGATTGCGACTAGAGAGGGTAGAGGCGATCCCGGGGCTGGGAACTGCGTCTCTGATTTCAGGAGCGATTCATAGGCTTTCTTGGCTCGGCGGACCTGAGCCACCCGTGACCAGGTGTTGCTGCCTATTTTGGAGAGGTCGAAGGTGTTGACCTCGCGTAGCTGGGCTTGGAGTGTTAGGATTTGGGTCCTTGGTTTGTCTGTTGGCGCGGGATGGGGTGTTTGGAGACTGGGACTGATACATACCGTGCGCAGATCATCTTCTTGGCGCTTGACTTGGTTCTGTAGGTCGCGTAATGTGTCGTCGAGTTTGCGGTTGTAGGCTTGTAGCGTTGCCGGGCTGATTGTCTGCGTCTCGTAGAATCCCTCGGCGCGTTGGCGCTTCTCCGCGAACCGCCGCACTTTGTCGACGGTTTCTGGGGGCACGTCCATGGGGTTGATGGTTCGGTGGGTGGGAATGGTGGCGGATTGGAGTAAGGTGTAGTTCTTGATTGCTGCAGCGTGTATCTCCCCTCCTGTGTCTCAATATCAACCGTGGCAGGTGGTGGTTGTACATTGGCATCGCTGCTGTTTTGCATGGGGAGCACGTGAGCGCACGTGAGGGTCAGGACGCGTTGCCGGACAAGGACTAGCGCGGGTGATGCTGGCCCGACGTGACTAAGCGGTCAGGCGGAGTTGAGTTGGGATCGCAACTCGCAACTCGCAACTCCTCTTCGTCTCGTCTCAACCTCATCCATCCATCCATCCTCACCGCGATATTCCCATCTCGCCTCTCTTCCTCCATCATCCTCCCCCCCTCCTTCTCCTCTTCTCTCATCCCCCCCCCTTCCATCGCCGTCGCTGCCCCCAGCAGACCGCTTTTCTCGCTTCGACCTTGATTTGACTCGCGTGTGCTATTCCAGCCTCGTGTGGGAGACCGTGTAGCCGACCCGTCGTGGTGCTGTCCGTCCAAAGGAGTCGCGTTTTTTTTTATAGAAAGGGAAACAAAGGGATAATTTGGGCTTCATCTTCTTTCTTATTTGGACTCTTCCCCATCCCCGCTGTCCATCCTCCGACCCTCTGAGCACTCACTCCGTCACCACCTCCCGACCCGATTGGTTTTGTTTCCTTCTACCCTCTGCCTCAAGCACTGCTTCGCTCTGCCGAGGTACATACCAGGCCCGTCAAACCCAGCATCATCTTTCTCACTCTTCCTCGTCGGCCCTCCTTTCCAACATCCACTCCACACCACCACCAATTCTTCCCAGTCCTTCCAAGCACCAGCACCAGCACCAGAACCTCCCTCTCCACCCGATTCGCCAGCACCAGCAAGTTTTATTGGGAACTCCTGGTGTACATAGTCGCGCAAATAAAGCAGAAGAGAAACAGAAGAGAAAGCAAAGCAAGCAAGCAAAGCAAAGCAAAGCAAACAAGCTCAAAGCTGTTCTGACCACGTCGACTTCCTGCGTAAGTGAAGAAAGCAAACACAAAAACGGAACCTGCATCATGTCTGCCTCTCCGTCCGCATTGCAATCGACCAAGCGTCCCTTGGAGGATCCCTCCTCGCCGTCCGGTCCCAACGACCAGCCGGAGGCCAAGCGCCCTGCGCTGGACAAAGTAGTAAAGGCCGATGAGTCCGAGGCGTATGCCGATGTGAAGTCGGAGGCGCCCCCCGTCGTGGCCGATGACCAAGGTGATGTCGTCGTCCCGGATGTCCACGCCGAGACGCAGCCGATCCAGTCGACTGCCTCTCACGGCGAGGGCAGCGGCTCCCAGGCCGACCAGCACCGTTCCCAGGACGAGTCGAGCTGGATCCACATCCGGGCCGTAATCTCCAGCCAGGAGGCTGCCACCGTCATCGGTAAAGGTGGGGAGAACGTATCCCAGATCCGTCGTGCGTCAGGCGCCAAGTGCACTGTCAGCGACTACACCCGTGGTGCCGTGGAGCGGATCTTGACCGTCAGCGGCCCCCAGGATGCTGCGGCGAAGGTGGGTTCCGCGCGAAGTCGCCCTGATTGATTGATGTTGCGCGATGGCGAAGCTAACCCTGGATGTCCTAGGCCTTCGGTCTGATTATCCGTACCCTCAACAACGAGCCCCTTGAAGCCCCTTCCACTGCCCAGTCCAAGACCTACCCCTTGCGTTTGTTGATCCCCCATATCCTCATTGGTTCCATCATTGGCAAGGGCGGCAGCCGTATCCGCGAGATCCAGGAGGCCTCCGGCGCCCGTCTCAACGCTTCCGATGCCTGTCTCCCCCTGTCCACGGAACGGTCCCTCGTAATCCTGGGTGTTGCTGACGCAGTGCACATCGCTACCTACTACGTCGCCGTGACTCTGGTTGAGCAGCTGACCGAGCGCTTTGGCGGCCCTGCTGCCTCGGCGTATGCCACGCGCAGCGGTGGTCCGGCCGGTGCTGTCCCTGGAGGCATGCAGGTGGTGCCCTACGTGCCCCAGCCCGCTGGAGGTCAGTATGGCCACCCCGACACCTTCAAGCGTCACAACCAGCACCCCAACCGCGGCGCGGCAGGCGGCTATGGCGTTCCCTACTTGCACGGCGGCCCTGCGGCTGCGACCCCCGTTGCCCAGCCCGCATCCATGCACTACGGCGGCACCCCCCAGACCCCGTACGCCGGCGCTGGCCCTCACCAGCCCGCTCCCTACGGCGCTCCCCAGGCGGCGCAGGCTCGTGGCGGCGCTGGCCCGACCCCGGCAGCCCCCGTGGCCGGCGGTGCCATGCCCGGCCAGCCACTGACCCAGCAGATCTACATCCCCAACGACATGGTCGGCGCGATCATCGGCAAGGGCGGTGCCAAGATCAACGAGATCCGTCACCTGAGTGGCAGCGTGATCAAGATCAACGAGCCCCAGGAGAACAGCAACGAGCGTCTGGTCACGATCACCGGCACGCAGGAGTGCAACCAGATGGCTCTGTACATGCTGTACTCGAGACTGGGTGAGTTTTCGTCCCAATCTTCCTAGCTGGCAAATGACTGGCAATACGATACAACTGGCCATATGCTAACACCCCGCAGAGAGCGAAAAGCACCGCATCTAAGCCCGGGGGGTGAGTTGAGTCTGCTTCTGCTTTTGCTTTTCCTGTTTCGTCCGTCCGTCCGTTCCGTTTACGTTCCCGGGACAAATTGTTCTTCCTGTTCGACAACAACAACATTTTCCGGTGTGGTGTGGCTCTGCTTTGGTTTTTTTTTTTTTTTTCCCTCTTCTTTTCCTTGAGTATGGCTTTTCGGGTATATCTGCTCCTGCTCGTGTTTTCTTTCTTCCTTTGAGGATTTTCTCTTCCGGCTGTAATGTATTTATTGGAAAAGCGCTCTTCTCAAGCTCCCGTTAATAATATGTTCTACCCAATTATTGCTCGTTGTACATTCTTCCCTCTCATACATACACACATCCACCCATGCACCTCCCCACCACTCATCTGCCCATCTGCCCATCTGCCCATCTGCCTATCATTCCACCCCCCTAAAAACCACATGCCTCATCACCACCTCCCCTCCCACCCCCTTCAGCATCACCTCCCTAAGAGGCTGAATCCCCCTCCCAAACGCCTCCGTCTTCTTCGCCTCCAAATGTGCCTCCAAACTCTCCCACCCAGCCACAACCACCATCCCCCACGCCTCCCCAGACGGACTCCCCGCATGTTTCCTGACCCCGGGCCTTTCCACCTGCCCCATGGAGAATGAGACGGGTCCTGCTGTTCCCGCGGGAAGATTCTCGAGGAGTTCGCGACGGAAGGAGATCATGTTTTCGTGCACGGCGGCGGTGGCGGTGGCAGTGGCGGCTTCGTGGCCGCTGATGGTGGTGGGGAAGGAGGGGGTGAAGAGTTCGGTTATCGGGTTGGTGGGCAGGGTGTTGGCTAGCGGGGGTGTGAGGGTTGCGAAGAGGGTCGTTATGCTTGGTTGGTTGTCGTTATCAGTTGGGAGGAAGGGCGAAAGGGTGGTCGCTGTGCTTCCTGTGCCGGAGTGGGCGTCTTTCCAGTCTGTTGTTTGTTCGGGGTGGGTTGTTAGTATATGATTCTGGACCGGAGCTTCCTAGGTCTTTCAGGTTGGACTGGACAGACAGGCTGTATGTGTGTGTATGTATATATGCATATACAAGTGTAAATAGATAGAATATCACCCCCTCCCCCCTTCCCCCAACCCAACCCAGCCCAAAATCCACCCCGCCCCTCCAAAACACAAGCCAAAGAAAAAAAAAAGAAAAAAAAACTCACCAATAACCCAAACAATCCTCCCCTCATCTTCCACCGTCCTCCCCCACGCGGAGCTCAGATATCCAGCCTGCTGTTTCGCGGCGCGGAAGTGATCCAGCAGGGCGGCGCCGGGTTCATTGGCGGGGTCTTCGGGTTTGACGCCGGGGGAGACAGGGAAGGAGATGAATTCGGTGACGCCGGACATGATAGATATTATTTTTCGCGGTGTTTTGGGGGGGGGTTGTTTTCAGAAAGTGGCAGACAGGGCAGGTTTTGAATGGGAAACTTGGGGAGGGAGGAGGATAGAGATTAGAGGGTGAGGTAGGTAGATGCTGTGTTGACTAACTACTGATCAAGGTTGATGGATGGATGGGGTTGACGTGACGTTGCGGATGATGATGTCAGTTATGCCTTAGGCAGAAATCTTATATATGCCGTATAGTTAACCTACCATGTAAGGTCACTACTGATAGCTACACGCTACGCTACAGAGTAGTATGCTGCACAACTGTAAGACTGTGTAGCACGATCACATTACCGCAAATGTCGGCCCAACATGCCAATCCGAACACCCACGCACACATAAATCCGCTCCTATGTACAGATAACGCTACCCAAGGTCGAAATGCCTGTTGCACCACGCCACGCCATGACCCGTGATTTTGGTGTTCGTAACAGACGACAAGAAACAAGACGATAAGAATAGTAATACGCTACAGATCATCCACGCCGCGCACCTTGGTTTTCTTCTCGCCGATCGCCCGCTTCAGACTGCCCACAATGTGCTGGCGCCGCTGCAGCTTGGTCTTCCACTGGGCGCTCTCCTCCTTGCTGACCAGCTCGCTGGCGCCTTCCACGCTGCGAAGCCGGCTCCCGGTGATGCTGGATCGGAAGTTGCCGCGCGCGGCGGAGTCGGGGGTGTGGTAGGCGCTGGAGGGGCCGTCGGCGGATCCGGGCGTCGTGGGGAATCGGGTCGCGCCCTTGCGGGGGTCGTGAACGGTGAGCCCTCCCGGCTGGCTGCCGGAGCTGATGTGTCGATACCCAGCTTCTTGATCTGGGCTTCCAGGACGTCGATGTCGCTGCGCTTGCTCTCCGCCATGTTCATCATGGTCGCAATCGTGGATGTCACGGCCTCCACGGTCGGCCGTCTCGTAGCCTGCCGCGATCCATCGGGGCGAGGGGCATCGGCAATCTTGGCCCGCAGCAGAGACACCGCCGATTCAAGTTCTGCCAGCTTCGCTTGGATATCGGTGGATGCAGTCCGGAGGTCCTGTTGGAGGTTCGCTTGTTCGGCGGAAAGGGGCGCGGAAACAATGGCTGCAGCATCCGTGTGAGCATCCAGAGTCTTCCGGATGCTGGCACACTGGCCCCGAAGGGTCAGGATGTCTTTGCTCAGGAGCTCTCGGCAACTTTCCAGCTTCTCCTCCACGCCTTGCACGCGCTGTTGCTCCAGCGAGCCAGCCAGCATGACAACCCCTTCGTCAAGCTTCTCGATATCGCACAGAAGTAGCTTCTCGTCCAGGATGTTAGCCGGGTGGTCCTCCTTCAACATACCAACCCAGTCCGCATTTTGCGACTGTCTCTGGTACAGAAGGAAAGCAGCCATGGACCGCGCGTTGATTCCCAGAGTGTCCACCATGGAGTTAATATCGCGGTACAGCCGCTCGATCTGTCCCGGGATACCGGGCTTGGTTGTCTCGCCAGCGTAATTCTGGTGGGGCAGGAAGGGGTCGAGGGTAGGAACGGGCTCCAAAGGCCGTGCAAGATCTGCACGAAGCCTCTCGTCCTCATCGTCGTCCGAGAGCGACTGGGCCTCCTCCTCCATCTGCTTCGCTTGAGCTCTCCGAGACTCCTTCGGAGAAGGCTGCGGTCTCAGCAAGCTTTCGCGTCGTGCGGTCTCCGTGAGAGATGCCTTTCTAGCAGCAAGTGTGCTTCCAGGGGCCTGGTGCTTGCCAATGGGCTTCTGGCCCGGGTGCTTGAACCTGGTCTTCTGGGGACTGCCCCGGACGGGACTAGGCGACCTTGGAGGCTCCCGGTTTTGGAACGCCGGAAACACGGGTTTGCCGATCTCGCCAAACAATGTCCGCTGCTGCGGAGGTTTGGCAGCTTGCGAAAACACGTTAGAGGTAGTGCTAGATCCGAATTTGAAGGAGCTTTCAGGAGTGTCCCCAAAGCTTGCTTCCGGGGATTCGGGTTGGCTGATGTCTCGCGAGACGTCCTCTCCGCTATCAGCGAAATCAGATTCTTCATCCTCCTCACTCTCTCCTTCTTCATCCTCCTCATCCTCCTCTTCCTCCTCATCCTCCTCATCCTCCTCACTTTCCTCTCTCTCCGACTCATCAAAATCGGAATCTTCGGGGACTGGGGCGGATACCTCCTCGGGTGCTGCTGGCTTTTTGATAGTGAAATCAGGAGGCAACGGGGCATCTTCAGCCTCCTTCTCTATCTTCTTAGGTTTAGCCGTGAAATCCGGGGGTAAGGGTGCATCGCCTCCAATGTCCGCCGGTGCAGTCTTCGGCTTCATAGTAAAGTCAGGGGGGAGTGGAGCTTCTTCGAATGAACTCTTGGAAACGTTCGACGAGGCAGAGGTGTCGCCTGGGCCATAGGAAGTTTTGCTAGTAGAGTCGGGCGGCAGAGGGGTTTGTATCGAGGCGACGGGTGTACGGTGGACATCCTCCGATGGTGTCTTCGTTGAGGGGGGTGTGGCAATGGCAGTCTTTTCGGAGGGGGGAGACAAGGGGCTTGTCACTTGCTTCGCAGGTGTACCATTTCCAAACATCGAGAAAGGCGATTTGGAGGTCTGGGGTTGGCCAAACGGATTCGGGATTTGCGAGTTAGAGCCAAACACTGAGGACGGCGAGGAAGTGGGTGCCCCGAACAATGATGATGTCTGCTTAGGTTCGGGGGCAGCAGCCCCGATTTTCGACGGCGCCCCGAACAACGATGAGGTCTGATTAGGCTTGGGGGCAGTAGTCCCGATCTTGGACGGCGCCCCGAACAACGATGATGTCTGCTTGGATTCGGGGGCAGTAGTCCCGATTTCAGAGGGCTGTCCAAACAAAGACGGCGCCTCCTTAGGTTCAGGCTTCTGAGCAGGAGCAGGCTCATCATCCATATCGTCCATCGAGTCAGTTGGCGGGCTAGTTTTGTTGCTGCTAGATACCATATCATCCATGGATTGGCCCGAAGTAAAGAAGCTGTCTGCTTTTTCGGGCCTAGGAGCATCAGTAACAGCGCTACCATCACCCTTGAACATAGATCCAAGTACAAATGGACTCGATCCTTGTCCAAACGCTCCCTTTGACTCGGTTTGAGGGAAAGCAGTCTCGGTCTTAGCCTGGCTACCGAACGGTGACGGGACCGAGGGCTTGCCGAATGGGTTTTCGCCGCCACCTCCCATACTAGCAAATGGCGAACCTCCTGCCGGCTTTGACGCCGCGAGACCACCGAACCCGCCTGTGCTTGCGCCTGCAAATGAGCCGAAGCCACTCCCAGCACCACTTGCCGATGCGCCGAATGGAAGAGGTTTGGCGGGTGTTGACGGCTGGCCAAATGTCGATGCGCCACCGCCCATTGCTCCAAAGCCAGATTTTCCGAAAGCCGGCTGTCCAAGGGCATTAGGAGTGCCGAAAGAAGTCCCAGCCTGGGATGGAGTCCCAAAGGAAGGCGCACCGAATGACGATGTTCCAAAAGCCGGCTGTTGGCGAGCGCCCAGCGGGGAAGGACTGCCAAAGCCAGGTGCACCAGCGGGTTTCCCAAATGCCGATGATCCTAGAGTGGACGGGCTACCAAACGATGACTGTCCAAATGCAGGCTGCTTGGGAGGCTCGGGCTGTGCTGGCTGTACAGGCTGTACGGACTGCTGTTGCTGGGTCTGAGACGCCATACCGCTGTAGGGGATCTTTTGCCGAACAGCATCCGAGTATATGAACCACCAGGAGGAGAGGCATCCTTCGTTGTTGAGGAGCAGAAGGTTTGGTACAGGGGTCGAGCTCTCAGCGATGTCCTCGCCTGCAATAGGAGCTATCACATTTTCTGTACTAGACAGGTCAGTTCCCAAACCAATCACGGAGGTCTCATCCGTAGAGTCCTTCAAGGGAAGGGAGGCTCTCTTCGTGTCATCGTTCACTTCTGTCGTAACAAAGAGCCCTGTGGTCGCCTTCGCAGCATCATCGCTAGCCAACGGTTGATCGGCACGGGTGATCATGCATACGTCGGTGGACGCTGTGGAGGATACGATGAGGGCGTCCTTCAGATGGGGCTTGTAGTCTCGGAGGCGCGCGATGAATTGGTAGGCGGGGGTGCGCTTGACGCCGAAGGGCATGCACAATTCGGGCAATTTTTGGATCAAGAAGGGCGCTTGCTTCCTTCGGGTGATAATGTAGTAGGAAGAAGAAGGCGTCTGGCCCATATCATCCTCCGCGGCGTTAGACGTGTACACCATCAAAAAGATATCATTCTCCAACCAGGCAATAGACGACACTGCATACAGTCAGACATGTAACGATCGATACATCTTTAGCTTTCAACGTACCATGGCAGTTGTCTTCAAGATCAGGAGGGCGCGGAATGGCATCCTTCTGGGCACCCTCGGGAGTCAGTTGGAACGCGGTACCATCTGCGAGGCCGGCCACGAGTTGCTTGCCCTTGTTACTCCAGCAAACCGTGCTGACTCCAGACTTCAGGACCTGGCCACTCGCACCCGAAACCAGGCTGCCTGCCTTGATGTTCGCTATGAGAAGGTCGCCGCCCGTCGTGACGAGCGCAACAAGGGATGAGTGGGCGTCTTCCGCCGGCGCAGGATTGGGGGCAAGGAAGCGGAAGGTGGTGCCATTGGTGGGGATGGACAGAGCGGGTTGCGCATTTCCTTGCAAGAGACTCTCCGTCTGGAAGACCGACAGCTGCGCGCCGTTCTCCGTAGCCAATACCAAGGCGCTGTCGCCCGACGCGAAGGTGATGTGTGTGGGTCGCGCAGGGAGGGGAATTGTAGCTTGCGGCTGAAATGGCTTGGTCTTGACCTTGTCTTCGCCGGTCGGTGCCGATATGGCCGCTCGAACAGCGGAGGTGGTGGCGATATTCAAGGTGTCAGGGCCAGCGCCGACAACGACGCCTTTGGTGGGCGCGACGGCCAGAAGAGAGCTGGTAGGGGCCGGAAGGGCATCTTCGGGCCAGGGAGTGGGGAGCAGTCGAATGTTGCTGTCGCTGGACACGCCTTTGAAGCCAACTTCCTATTTGCCACGACTGGGTCAGCCTCGAATCGATCCAGCACCACGCGCTCTGTTGCGACATACCTCCGCAAAAACATCCGGGAGCTCGGGTCCCAATTCGAGAGGAGCGCTCCCTCCGGCGGGGGCGGACGCTCCAAAGCTGAAAGCCATTCTGAGTCTGTCGTAATCGGCTGAGATTGAACGCGGACGGTCGCCTAAGGATAGCCTGGGTTTAGGAGCATGGGGAGAAGGCGGACTTTGCGGCGAAGATGAAAAGGAGCGACGCTGGAGTGCTTGAGGACTCCGGTTGAAGAGCTTCCAGGTGCGCGCAAAAATCTTGACCACCTCCCCTTGAGGGAAGGAAGCAAAGCTGAGGGAATGGGGGTTTCAGGACCCAAGAAGACAAGGAAATGACAGCACGTCCAGAGACTGACTGCCTGGGGAGAAGCAGCAGAACGGAGGTGGTTGTGAGCGCCAACGGATCCAAAGTCGGGCGATCTTCAACCACCGGACAAAAACAGCGGAATTGGACCCCATTAGATAATACCGCCTGCCTGAGGCCGCCACCGTCAGGCGCCCGGAGCTTCGTCACTCGAACAGCTCCTCCTCGCCGTCTCCGCCATCAATCCACCCTCCGTCCACCCAGCTATCTAGCTATAGCTTCTCTCCTCTCGCTCTCACTCTCTTTCTCGCCCACTTTCTCTCCCTTCATCCTCCTGAGCTCCGACTCCCCACCACTTTCGCCTCCCGCCTCCCCCGTCCAGCTATTATCCCTCCACGCCGTCGCCATGACCGGCTTCGATTTCTCCAACTACAACCGTAACGCGGCCCTCCACGCCAAGGGAGTTCCTCTCCCGAAAGCCACAAGCACCGGTACCACGATTGTGGGGTGCATATTCGACAATGGCGTTGTGGTAAGTGTCCTCCGGGGTCGATGGAGAGGATGGAGAGGGAGAGAGGAGGGGGTTATTATTGACGAAACTCACTCAACTCACACATCCATCATAATCACAGATCGCAGCAGATACCAGAGCCACCAGCGGACCGATAGTAGCAGACAAGGTAAACCCAAAAGCCTTCCCAGAAACCATACCCGTGGCTAACCAACACACCCTCCTCCACGCGTCCAGAACTGCGAGAAACTGCACTACATCTCGCCGAAGATCTGGTGCGCGGGCGCCGGAACGGCCGCGGACACGGAATTCACGACCGCGCTGATCAGCTCGAACGTGGAGCTGCACTCCTTGTCGACGGGACGGCCGCCCCGAGTGATCACGTGCATGACGATGCTGAAGCAGCACCTGTTCCGATACCAGGGACACATCGGGGCGTATCTGGTGGTTGCGGGGGTTGATCCGACCGGGACGGGCCTGTACACTGTGCACGCGCACGGGTCGACGGACAAGCTGCCGTACGTGACCATGGGGTCTGGATCGTTGGCGGCGATGTCGGTGTTCGAGTCGATGTGGAAGCCGAATCTGGACCGCGAGGGCGCGGTGACTCTGTGCGCCGAGGCTATCAAGGCCGGTATCTTCAACGATCTGGGCTCCGGTAGCAATGTCGATGTGTGCGTCATCGAGAACGACAAGCCCACCCAGTTGCTGCGGAACTACATGAAGCCCAATGAGCGTGGCCAGAAGGAGCGCAATTACCGCTTCCCTCAGGGTACTACCGCTTACTTGAACCAGAAGGTTATCAGCAAGGAGGACATGCGGAAGTATGTTACTGTTGAGGAGGCTTCGGGGGATTCTAACTTGATGGAGGTGGATATGTAGATTAGCGCGTTGTTACGAACAGGGGAGAGAGTCCATGGCTTGTTGGTTTTGCGTGGCAGAATTATGTCTAAGTACTCTTATCGAAATCGGGGCTACTCATGAATAAACATTATGGTTCACTTGAATTGTAGGCTGGCACCGGAGGCTGATATAAAGCCGGTCTCGTATGTAGAGAAGTATTACGTCTCGACATAGGTATCTTATATACGCCTTCAGAGGCATGTATGGGTATAGGTATGCTCTAATTTTCTATGTACAGTCCCAGGCACAGCCCGAGTTTCATGTGGTTTCATAGTCACCAGATAGTGCCCATGAACCCGTGGGGTGAATATGCCCCATCACAAAGACCTCCATATCACTCAAGCCACTGTTGTTGACGTTGACTTATAGTCGTTTCCATCAGATCAGCAAAAACATCCGGTCCCCCAATCTCCTTCATCAGCTCTGTAATGTACCTATGCCGGCTAGGCGTGACATGCATACCCCTGCGTCGATACCTTACCACACCAGCATGGTACATGGCGCGGACAAGACTCGGCTTCACCGGGGCGCCATGTTTCACCAGGAAGACATACAGCCAATGGATGAAGCCGAAGGAGCGACGTGGATTCAGGCGCTCGGCACACGCCACCGAGTCGGCGAGAAGATGGATCATCGCCAGGGCGACATGGGGGTCCATGGAGGAGGATCCAGTTTTAGCCCCGTGGCGGACGAGTAAGTCCTCGGGATCTTCTGGAATGTACTCCCACGCCGTGGAGATGACCAGCTTGAGCGGAGTATGGCAATCCAGAACACGGAACAGGGTCCAGATGTCTCGCGAATTGCCGCTTCTGGCGATATTGATCGCCTTCTCGATGAAGCTGGGTGATGTGACGTCGATGTTCCGCGAGATTTTCTCAAACTGGCTGTAAAAGCGAGTCTTGATATCCTGGAAGGCGTCGGAGCCAAATATTTCTTCAAAGGAGACGTCCGAGGACTCCATCACCGTCAGGTTGTGTCGCGTCGACTTGACAAGAGCCTTTTTGGTCATCATGTCAGCAGCCAGCACTAGGAGACCATTAAAAGGCAACTTCAGATCGAGAAGGTCGTTCCTGAAGCTATTGAAGAAATCATAGCCCTGATCGTACATCCTTTCTCTTTCGTAAACACGAAAACATCTCATGATCGGCCTATCAGTAGGCCTCTTATGTTTGATCCAGGGTCCTCCTGAAGGAAAGCTCTTGGCGAGTGACCGCAAAGCCCATAGACGGATAATGACTTGCTGATGCGGTGCGAAGGCGTGATTGCTTGGAGCGATATGAGAATCAAAATGCCCCCTTGTCCATCTCTTTGACGACGCAAGGTCCTCAATGTTCTCAGCCTTGGTCAAGCATTTCTGCCACCGTTTCAAAGCTTGGTTATTCTTCTCGAAAGCCAGAGATTCCGTGATCGATATGATGGTAGCAGTCGCAACACCAGGTTTCAGCTCGCTCAGCATCTCATTTGCGTAATCCTCACCCACTTCGACACGCAATCTCTCGGGGCATCCCAGCCAATCTATGATAAACAGGGACGCCCACGAAGAGCGACGAGCCCCCCGAGGAGACGCCAGACCTCTGGCACCCACGATGATGCTTTTCGCCAAGGGCAAGTTTTCATACATGCCTCTGTCTCGGATAGCTCCGAGCCACGTCTCAACGATATCCTCGTTCAGATGCCAATGACCGTAGATATCGCACCGGCCAATCGCATCCCACATCCTCTGATCTATCTCCGTCACCCTAAGCGGGGGCGGTATCCTGCTGTCCTTCTTCGACGGCACCCAACCTGAAATCTTCTTCAGCATAGCTTCCAGCTCATCCGGAGGTATCAACCCAAGCTCCAGAGCCCGTGGGACAGCATCAAACAGCACACTCCATCTCATACAGTCCGAAACAATCAGTTCAATCACAGTAAGATAATTCCGTGCTCCCCGAACATTGAGCTGCGGGTCATCCAGAAACAAGGCCAGCTCCCCAACCCCCTCACTCCCCCCAACCGTCGTCGACAAGAAATGGTCGAATATCAGCTGACTGTACCCTGGCTCTCGAGCCATATTGATTTCCAATTCCTTCACCAGACTCTTCGCAGATTCCACCGTGTCACACCTCAGCAACCGCTCCTTAAACCGTCTGCCGCGCGAATCCTTCTCCGAAACCGCGGATAGCATCGATGATGGCTCCTCGCGAGCCTCCCATGAAACATGATCATCATTATAACCAGACACTGACGTCGGCGTTGTCGTCACAGGTACAACCGGAGTCGACATCGGAGGCGCAGGCGGGGGCGGGGGCGCACCGAACCGTAAAAACTGCGAACCTATACGGCAACCAAGTCAGCCACAGCCTCGAACCCCCAAATATGCGCAATCCCTCTCACCCTTCCCTGAACTCCCCCCATCCGCCCACTTCAAATGCTCCTTCCCATTACGCCCAAACAAACAAGCGATATCATCCAGCGGGCCGGCACCCGCAATGACTGAGAGGGAGGTATTCTTGCGCCTAGCGAGCCGTCTCCTGGCCTCCAATGGGCCCGGGACGCGGCTCTCGTAGCGTCGTTGGCCGTTGGCCGCGAATCGACGGAAGGTGGAGATCAGGAAGTCGTCGCTGATCCAGACGTGGTCGGTGATGCCGTGCGACGAGGGGACCGAAGGCTGGAGTACATGCCTGCAGGCATGTCTGCCGAAAGACATGGGCGCCTGCGTGCGGAATTGGCAACTGGGTTCAGTCCAGGCCTGTCGGGGGGGTGGTTTGTTGGATTGGATTATTGGCAAAGTCGCGGACCGGACGGAGGAGCTCTTGCCCGGTTGGGCGGATGAGTCAGCGGGTATTGGCTGGTGCGGGTTGGTCCGTTCTCGTCGGTCACTTATTTATTGCCTGGTGAGGAAGGACGTCAATCATTTCAGCCTTGTATGGCTGGCCTTGATGGGCTTTGATTTTGAGTGTGTTTTTGCTGGGCTTTCCGGGCATGCGTGCTAACGCCTGTTCTGGACGTCGGTATCCGCATCACGCTGCTAGATGTCTTTCATGGACACAAGAACTGAAGCATGAGAGTATATACATTTCGGACAGCATATTTGCAAAGCCAACTAGTACAATAAGAAGAACCCCCACACGCCTTGCATGCACTAATCTCTCTGCAGCCAATGGTATCTTATGCTAATGCTAGCCATCACAGTAACAGGGCGAAAGATCAAATTCAAAGACCACTAAACACCAAGAAAACGCCCAACCCCAAGAAAGGAAAATGGTGTAAAAAAAAAAGAAAGCTATCATCGCTAAGAAATAGGTACTTATGACTGAATGCTTTCGTCTTATGTTCCTGGTGGCGCAATCAACAGAACTAAGCCCCCTCAATGAAGAAGAGGACTCATTCGGCCGTGGATGGTTTCCTCCCCGTCACGACGTGATAGTTCAGATACGCATGAACCTCACGATTCTGGACAGACTTTCTCACATCGACGAGAAAGACCTCGATTTCGGGCTTCGACCAGCCCAGAATACTGAGGGGCTTGTAGGACCAGCCGGCGACAGCTTCCATGATATTTGTCTCGCTCCATGAGCCGATCATTTTGAGGTGCGAATCGCCGGGCCACGGATTCACGGGCACTTTGACGACCCGCTCCTGGACATCCACGAAGCCGACGTCTCGCATCCAGCGGACCAGGCGATGAGCCACGCGGAATTGCCGCGGCGGGTCGGAGACCTGCCCTGACCGGACGTGCAGGTCCATGAGATCCTGCAGGGCGTAATCGCTGAACTTCTCGTCGTCCATCGGGGGCATGGTCCCGTCGTCGCATTTGGGTATCGGGTCGAACTCGTGGCTTTCGACGTAGCCGCCGGGCGTGAGGTGTTTGAAGCTCAGCCGCAGCAGGTCTTTGTATGATGATAGGGCGCCGGAGAGGTGGCCGACGTGGACGAGGTCGAAGTGGTCAGGACCCCAGAGCCAGTCGTCCTCTGTGGCGTCGTCGACGATGAAATGCACGTTTTCGGGGACTTCGTTCGGCTGGACGGGCGAGAGATCGGTGCCGATGATTTCGGCTGTGGGAAATTGGGTTGCTACGGAGAGAGAGATAGGATAGTGTGAGAAATGAGCCGTCTTATAAGGTGAATCGAGGGGAGGAGGGGGGAGGGGGGGGGAGGGGACGACGGATTCTTACCCAATTCGATAGGCCAAATACCGGAGCCAGTGCCGATATCAAGGATCCTTCTGGGGTTCTCTACCGGGGCGAAGAACAACTGTCCGCTGTTGATGATTTTGAGCATGTGGTGTTGCAGGTCCATGCGGTCTAGCTCTTGCTCGTCGTTCGGGTACAGGTATGCTGGATGGAATATTCAGTCAGGTCATACGGTCTGGCTCCGGCAGAGGTCGGAGTGGCCTAGACGTACCGCCTTCATGATATCTGTGGTATCGTCTTCCATGTTCCATGGGGTAGTCCATTACACTCGCAGTCAAGGACTGGGTGTCACTGTTGGAGACACATTCAGCAGCGGCACATCAGCAGGAGCACAGCGGCAGACACTCTTGCGTCTCTGTCTCCTTTGGAGCGTGTGGACTGTGTCATTGACTTACTCCTGACGGGTTGATTCCTGAGACATGGCGTGTTAGTAAAATCACACGTCTGGGCGATGGAATGCAAGATGTAGACAACGGTTGATTACACCAGCACGGGTGTCCCGAGTAATAGTATCAACGGCATCAAATAGGGTTCGCATCAACGCTCAGAAAGGGAAAGGCTCACAGCCGACCTGCCACCAGTCATCTTGGGTCCTAGCGGGCTTGGGAACTGGGGCCTTGGGGGGGGGGGCAGCTCGCGAGTGGGGTGGAAAGGGTACGTAGTAGTACGTCGGCAGTATCCCAGACCAGGGTTCGGTCAGGGTGGGTGCTGGAGAACGAAAGAATAGCAATGGCGATAGTGAACGTGATGAAGATGAAGATGGTAAGAAGGCGACTGAGACTCTCAGACGGAAACGAATTCAATTGCGACCCAAGTCCAATTATAATAATAATAATAATAATAGAGCGCTAATGAAGATCCTGGGAGGGAACGGTAGAGTAGTAGTTAGTGGGAGAGGAAGGATTACGAGTACCCGTTACTGGATGGAGGCATGGATTGGCAAACATCAAACTTCGAAGGCTTAACCCGACAATGGAGCACGTCCGGGCCGTCATGTATTTAAAGTGCCCGCTGTCCCCCAGCACTCGGGGATCCAATGATGCTAGACAGGGGGGGGGGGGGGGGGGACATGGTGGGTATTGGGGGGCAGGAAGAGGAGGAGCACCGTCGGTTCTCTTTTCCCCAAATTCTTTGCCTGAACCCGACAGGTTGGATTAAGTTTGACTTTAGCAGGATGGGGAGAATCCCTAATCCTGTTCGAAGTTAAGTCCGGATATGATAAAATAAAAATTAAAATAAAAAAAATTAAAATAAAAGGATAACCGGCGGGATAATCACCATAATTAGGGGGCATTGATGGTACTTTGGCTGGACCTGGACCTGGTACAGGCCCTGGTCTAGTCCAGCCTGAGAGTCTGAGAGTCTGACAGTCTGACAGTTTGACAGACAGTCTCACTACCACACCATCCAGCGCCGAGACAACTTGTACCCACGGGCAGATTCCGCCATCATCAGGGTCGTCGACGGTCGTGGCTATACAGCGGCGCACCGAGTGGGCGGTTCTGGGCGGGTGGCGCGAGGACAAGACAGAAGGCACCCATTAGAATGCCCCATATCCAATGTCTAATCCTAATCTCCCTGACGTACCTGAGTCCTGGGCGAGTCAGACGTACCTAATTCGACTTTGACTTTTGCATTGTTCGTTGCGGTACGATGGGGGAAAAAAAACGGGGGTCGTACTCACTACAGTACCACCACCACCACCATCCCGTCCTCAGTCCTTCGTTCTGCCGACCAAGGCCAGTCAGACAGACCCGGTTAGCTTCTCAAGCTAGTGGGGAAACAATAACAATAACAATAATAAAAGAAAAGAAAAGAAAAGAACCCCAAAGCAAAAACCACCCTCGGAAAGTTTTCTCTTTTCTGCAGTTGCCGCTCGGAAAGAACGGGTACTACCGTAGGTAGATTGTCAACTTACGATCCTTTGGCTTCCTGCAGGGGTTCTCTGATCACCCACGGCCGCCGACGGCGGCCAGATGGGCTGGGCAATCGGCCATTCCCAAGACCAGACCCAAGAAACCATCTTCAAGGCGTGCGGCAGGCGCAGCGGCATAGCGATAAGTATCTACACACTAGCATCCAATAATTGCGTCCCGAATGGAGCGATGAACAGCGCATAGGTCACCAAGATCTTCCAGTTCCTGTGCATTCTGACTCCTCGTCTTTTCTTTTCTTTTCTTTTCTTTTCTTTTCCTTTCCTTTCTTTTGACGTTGCATCTCTCCTGCTGCCACTGGGCACCGACGCCCTGGTTACTGGGTAGAGACCGGGCTAAAAAGCACGGGCGTCCCAGTCTGCCGGGAACCACAAACCAAACGGGATGCCAACCACTATCCATCCATCTATAGTATAGTAACTAACTTGGTAGCCCTGGGTCTAATAAAATACCGAGATGCGCTAATCAGGGGGGACGCTGGTCGGTCGATATCACAACTCCTCGCCAATCGGGTTGGTTCATAGCTCAGCTGATGGCTAGATGTAAATAGACATCGGGTTACATCAGACATACCCCGGGAACTTCTTCGGACTTTGTCGACTCCATACCTACTTACCTAGACAGTAAGTGTGTATCGAGGTAGGCAGCCTTCGCAGCATAGCCGAAATACCTATTGATCTGATATTCCCCTCCCTGCGCAGTGCGCGGTGGGTACAAGGGAGTACGTAGCCAGTACCTCCCAATGGGGTAGTGGTACAACCCGAGAGGCCTGAGGACGGGATGAATGATCTTCAGCCGAAACCGGGACCCAATGGGTGTTGGTGCCACCCTGCTGGAAAAGTCCCATCCATGGGATCTCCCCATGATCCGACTGGGCTGAATTATTCGGGCGGTGTTGCTGCGCATGCATGCATATTGTTTGGCCTCGTCCTCCCGATGTCTCTCGGTAGAAGTATCCACCTAAGTAGGTACGCTGAGTAAGTAGACCAGATAAGCCCGCGCAATTTACCTTTGACTCGACAGAAAGTCTAATAGATTGACAGGTATCGATGAGGGTGCGAAACGCGCATCTTCAGCGAAAGGGCAGGCGGGTTACTTTCTCCCTCCTCCCCACCCCTAGCCTGCACCTCGCCGCAGCTCGTTGCAGTCTCGGGGAGAAGCCGTTCCTCTCCCCGCCCCTCTCCACGACTGGTCCGTATGCCGTATGAAGAGCAGTAGGAAGGTGGGACGACGCGCGAAGGAGGGAAAAAAAACGAAAAAAAAAAAAAAAAAAAAAAAAAAAAAAAAAAAAAAACTCATGGAGGGAGTTATCTACCGCAAGACTAACCAGTCTGCCGGATCCTGGCCCCACTCCCTCGGCGGAATTCCCCTCCACCGCGTCCCACTCACTGGACCTCAACAGCTTCTGGCCCTCCTTAGTCACGATTTTATTTCAAATTCACCAGCTTCGAGCTCCACTTGCGTTCATTCCGGGAAGCTCCCGTCTCGGGAAGCGACTATCATCTTCTTTCTCATGCACATTGTGGCGGCGGACGAGAATCATCGTCATCGCCATCTTCCCTCGGCGTTCGGGGTCCACTGATCAGTGTGGCTCACGGAATTTCGAAATATTTCCTCGGGGTCATGGGAGTACTACCACCGTGAAAGTTGTCGGCGGGGTAGGTCCCGTAGGTACCTCTGCGTACCTACTGCCTACTTGGGTAATATAGTCGTGGTTCGTCAAATGCGGCGTGCTTCGGTGCCACCTGCATTGCAGTCAACGTCCGAACTTCTGCCCCGGCTTTCATGCCTAAAGGAGGGACGGGAATCCTAGTATCGTACGACAGGCGCAGATGTTCCATGATTTGAAATTGTTCGGTTGCCTGGATACTGGACCGCCCCGGCCGAGAAGTTTCCGCCTGAGTTAAACAGGAAAGCTGGAGCCAAGGAACAATATCGTTTGGAGGAACCCAGCTAGCGTATAGTAGTCTATGCTAATCGGGGTTGGACCGACGCACAGCTACAGGCGTGGATGAACGACCAGTGTCAGAGGGAGAATAGCCAACCCATGGCACTGATTTTCTGCATGCAACAGGTAGTTGAGCAGGAGTGGCGCCAGCTTGCAGGGGAAACACCTTGTCATGGACTGGAATGCCACTCCAACTGTCGGACGGAAGATTAAGCGTAGTAGCGTGGACTTTCGCATGATGTGCTCGCTGGAACCTGTAGGTACCTACGTGGTACCTACGTATTAGACTACTGCTTAGTGGCAGATTGTAGACTGTATCTAGTTCTTTGTAGATACTCCGTAGTGGTAGCTGTCTCCAGTCTCCACTGCCGACAGTGGGTGGCGCCGAAGCAAGCGAGATCCCTATTCGCTTCTGGATTTGACGGATGAACCCTCTGTTTAGCTCCCCCCCCGAGGTCATACTAGACCAATGACTGCCCAGGTAAGTAATAATCCAGAGAGATACCTTGGTACCTTGGGTACCTGTCGGTACCATACTCGTATAACTACACGCCGCCTGGTACCGACAATGGCCCCTGTCGGGTTTAAAGGGCGAATAACTATCATTGTCACGACCAGAGCCTAATTAGCCTGGTTTATCTCACAGGCAGGAAAGAGAATGGCACGCATTAGGTACAGTTCCTTGGGCAATTGCATTTAGCAGGGAATGACCATCTAGCTCAACCTTCCTCCAGCTGTCTGTAGGGATGTAGATGGGTGTCCTGGCTATACTTACAATACCTGGGGTATCACATACCTGCTCCCCGGTGGCGTGAACGTCCCCAAGGGTATTATTAGATATCTGTCATAGCTTGAGAACCGTAAAAGACCCCAGTGTCGGATAGTTATACATACTTACGGCAGATTGACTGCAAGGAATTCCCTAGTACTGTGGTCGCAGATTATGGCCGATCTGAATCTGTACTGGGGAAGGTGGCAAGCTTTTCCGCCCTTTCGCTCCGCTCCCCTCTCTCAATGGCCCGCGCTTTTTTCCACATGCGAAATATATCATTCGTGGCTCAATGGGGCAAGGGTGCCATCGTCATTGGGCATTTGTTTCCTCGCCTCCACTCGTGCTCGGGGGGGGCTCTGCCAATCCCAGAGTAGTCGTGCACAAGATTTTCTGGTTGATATGGGGGGAGAGACGGCGTGTGCAGTTGCACAGTCATCCCTTAGCTCAGTTAGCATCTCCCACTAACAGGGATCGGTGCCATGTTTCAACTTTCCGGGGCGAGCGCTATCCACACGCGCACCGAGGCTAATCTGGGAGTCCAACAAAGGCAGGGATTTGACTGGAATGGAAGTGCTGTCCGAACGAGACGGAGAGTTGTCGGGAAGGCCGATGGGAGCAGGAATCAGAAAGTACCGGGGAGGGAGTTATCTAGTACAAGTAGATACTTAGTAGGCCGTTAGTCGGCTAGTCCGCGAGAAAAAGAGGGGGGCCAAGGGAAGGAAGAGCAAAAGAGGAAAGAGCCAGGGAGGCTAGACCGGGTTGACGCCGCCTGCCTGCCTGCCTGCCTGCCTGCCTGCCTGACGCTGCTCGGGGTTTGGACACTGGAAATCTGCCAGCGGTTCTGTCAGTCCTCGTCCAATTCACGGCTCCCTCAGTCACTACTGAACTCAGACAGAGCCTGCTGCTGCACTCGCTAGTTAGCTCTCAGAAGAGCATAGCCACTGCTGAGCTACTGCATGACCAAATACCAATACCCGTCAATCAGCGGGATACACTACCATTACTATCAGACAGATCCCTCCAACGGCTTTGAGTCATTTGGATCCCTGCCTGGGACGGCTCATCTCAGCCCAGCCGTGTCCACTGGTCACGGTGGCCTGGCTTCCTTCGTAAGTTGCTTTGGTCCAAGGGCCGAGATTCCCCGGAGCCTCCCTAGGATCTGTCTGTTGTCGTTGTCGTTACCTGGCAATCTGGCTTCGCTGACGACTTTAACCTCCGGGCCGGGGCCGAAGAGTGAACCAGAAAGAAATCTAGGTGATCTACCACCACACCTTCGTCCTAAGAACGGGCACCCCGCCTGCCAGCGACCTTGCCCGGGCAGATAGCGCTCCCACCGGGCTAATCCATACCCCTAGACTCGGACCATGAAATACCACGTAACAGCGGATCGGTCAACAACCTTGACAATTGTGTCGTGTGGATCACCAATGGTGCCATGACTCGGTTCTCTACATCTTGGGCTGTAGAAATGGTATATATGGGTAGCATGGGATGTTTTCACCGAGGACTTTTGAACCTGGTATCCTAACCACCCAGGAATGCTCTTGTGGTCGTTGACTCAAGTGAAAATTAGCGATAATGAACGGATACTGGGAACAGTGACTGTCCCAGTAGCTTCAGCGTAAGGTGAGATAATCGAGATCAAATTGGGTCTACGGCGTGCATGCTCCCTCACTTGAGTGGGCATGATTTACGCATTCTTGCTTCTGATAGGGGGGAATATTCAGCTCCAGGGAAGAAAGAGAAAGAGAACGACATGCCAAGACTTGCAAATGACGGTACATAGATCTCCATGGTCAGCATTGGTTCGAGGACACCAACTAACCGGGATCGTTCCGGTATACTTGGTCGCTTGATGGGAATGATTCTACCGAGGATCTTCCAGGCAACGGGATACGGAGCGCGGCCGGCATAGACACGCAGCATCTGGCTGCTGTCCACCTTTTGCCGCCCCAAAAGGACGAGGTCGCCGATCCAGAGCCGTGTCGATGAAGAGTCCAGACTCACGCACCAGGATCACTCGTATGTCTGTCGATGACTAGGCGAAAGCAGGCCACGACTCTCCCAAGGTTCTGGATCTGGGACACGATTATGCCAATGAAAAGCATCTACTGATGCACCAGGCCCCGAGATGCAAGCTTACGCCGGAGATCATTACGTAGTACGCCTACCTAATTCCAGAGTCAAGATGTCCCGGATAGGTGTGCATACACCAGTTGCAACGTGCCCTCGATGGGGAACTTCGTATGAGCCTGACCCTATTAATGAGTTATATATAGTCCACAGTCGAGAATCTTCACGTCTGGATTGTCCCTCGAATATGTGATGCCACGGAGATTCTTTCCTTCCGGGGAGGCTGATCCCCGCTGCATTTCGCAAATCTTTCCTTATACTCCGCGCATACGGAGTACCACAAATATGCAAATGCATGGTGGAGCGAGGAGGTTAGTGGTTTCAGTTCACTGCATGTGTATATGCCTAAGGGAAGAAGCAAAGATGTTACATTGCAGGCCGCAGCTTGCATCGATAACCCTGGGAATTATAGGCGGGGATGTTGGAGCCAATCCGACGGGCTTCTGGATCAAAGTATGGTGTGCTTCCTTAGGCTGGCCGCGATCCAGTTGTATGTCCGGAGTATATCTGGCTCGCTTCATTTCTCCCATCGAACATGGCCACTGGGGAACAGCGTCCGTAGTAGTCCGTGGCTAAGATGAACCCCCTATGCAAGCCACTGCTTACCTCGGGCCTGCCTCACCACACCACGTCGACAGTCTGGGTGGCGGAGGATGGTCCCGAGGCAGTAGTGGCCGTGCTCTTTTCTTTGTTGCGGAATCCGGATGTGGATTTAGATTCAGATTCAGATTGCACGGGGTTGTTGGGCGCCAGGGATTCCCATCCCAGCCATTAATGGCTAGACATATAGCCAGGAGCACCTACCAGGTCGCAGATCCTTCCCCCGTTGGTGATACGAATATTGAGTATTCCGTACGGTGGACGATTGAAGGTGTCCGCGAGATGTTGGTGGTCGAAATTGCCTCGACTAGATATCGATTTCCTCAATTTCGGTCCCGATGACCGAATCGCTTATTTCCGGCTTCTCTGTCTGTTAGAGTACTTTGGCCCGGGGGAGGATCACAGTGATTCGCTTGTATTTTGTGTGTTTTGTCGTCTTTCTTACTCCGTAAGGTACCTTACTTACATAGTTTGTTTTTCATCTGTTTCCTTGGAGTGTCCCCACCCCCACCCTTCCTTCTTCTTCTTCTTCTTCTTCTTCTTCCCTTGCCTTTTCTTTCAGCAGTCGGCTATCCATGCGCGCCATTGTTAGTGTCACTCACATGCCTGGTTGGACAAACGGCCTCAAGCCGACGGTGTGACCTTACCAGTAAGCTACCAAGTACTTACTCCGTACCAATGAAATACCCAGCTCTCATTCGAGACGGGTTCCAAAACAGGAAGGAACCCCAGAGGGCCTGATCCACCCCGAATTGGCCGAACTCGTCCGTTTGTCCGTTGCTCACTGCATCATGTCCACTTTCGACCTACTACAGGTGTTACCACTTACCACGTCCCTGGCTCTCCCATTCCATGGCCTTGGGACTGCAATCAATCTCCTTCATGTCGGTCGACAAGGTAGGAGGAGGTAAGTAGTCTGTACTACCGCACAGACTGACATATCCTGGCATACTACATACATGGCCCGTGGACAGCCACGGTTACTCTATTCCTCTTCCCAGCAGAATAACTAGCCCAGAATCCCCATTCGAATCGATTGGCACATGTACTGTGACGTACACCCGTATAGTGCGCAGTCCAGGATGCCTTCCCTCTTCCCCCCCCTCTTCACCACCACAATCAAGACTTCCCTGTATCCACAAGGGTGCAGGAAGATCCAGCTAGCTGCATTGGCCTCCTGCCAACTAGTACTCCTACCATCGTTCTTCCGGTCAGGTCCGACGATACCAACGCGACAATAATAATAATCACTCACCACCACCCACCATCTTCACTAACCCCGCCCATCGTCGCGATGATAGGATGCTATAATGGTAAGCCTCAAAATAGACATGGAAACTCCGCTAATACGTGGTCCGCATAGCAACATCCACCAGGAAAAAACTTAATCGTATACGCCGGTCGTGCCAGCGAAATGCGCCGTCTCGTCCAAACCGCCACAGTACATCGAGCTAAACGGGAACGGGCACAGCTCGACGCGCTGTTCGGACTTTGCCTACCCCTCGATTCCTCTTTCCCTTTCTGCTCGGTCGGGTTCGTGTTTGGGGGCTGTCGGTCTGTTGCCCCATACCGACCCGGGTGAGATACAAGGCGAGACGTCCAGTCGGATCCTCTACATTCGTCGTCGAACAGGAGAGTCAATGGCCAAGTCTACGCCCCAGAGAGCTCAGGACCCCGATGAAGAAGAAAATAGGGAAGTTTGGAATTTCATTGACTTGGCATCCTGGATTGACTTTTACCAACACTTAAGCAATACTTAAGCTTTTCCGACACAATGGATGCGCAATCGCATAAGCACCCAGACGTCCGACCACATCAAGTCGCCAGAGCCCTCTGCACGGAGGCTATATTAGCCTCCATTGGCTGCATCTTGTCCGTTCTATACCGATGTGAGTTGAAGAACAGTGGGTAAAGAGGAGAACAAAGCACACCCACCTGGTGGTTATGCGGATGTCTGTCTGAATCCTGGCTATGCCTTCCTGGTGGACCAAGGAGTGCGCGTATCCGATGATACGGGCGACCTGGTCCCATGAACCCTCTGTGACCAGTCAGATTTCAAGGCGTGCAGGAAAGGGGCTAGGTGTTATGATGACAGCCCGTTCAATAGAACCAGTTGGGTAGGACGGCACAAATACAACGCCTGTCTATCCGAGGAGTTGTCAGAATCGAGGCAGAGAGCAGCATACCAATCTCCGTTCCAGTAGCATGCATCTGGTACTTGAGGCCAGATTTCTCCATCAGACGCTGGATATCTGCAACCTGCTTCGAAAAGGATATGTTCGGACCGCCGATCTACCCCATAACCATTAGACTGATGTGTATTTAGCTGGGCTAACCCCAGCTAAAGTATAGCTCAGAGTCACATACTGGGATGAGAGAGAAATCTGCGGTGCAGTTCTTGGGGGTGTTGAGGCCTAGGCTCTGAAATTCCATTTTGACGTATGTCCTAACTGTCGACTTTTGTCAGAGGTGACTACCTTATCGTGACGATAGCTTCGAGGCCCTTCATATCCTTTATAACCACCCCAATCATTCAAATCATAATGACGTTCATTCGAAGTACAACAGTCTACCCCATCCAAAGCACATGCAATGAGCTCACTATGAGAAAAAGCAGACCTTAACCTTTAGTGGCTCCCACTCAACCCCGGTAATAAGACTCATCAACGGTTCTCCCACGCCGCTGCGGAGGCTCACTACCACGCACATACGTATCCTCAAACAAGACATCCAGACTGGTTTCCGGGGCCGGCATATTTTCAGCCTCCTGTGCCTCTCGATCAACAAAGGCTCGGACATCCTTATCCATAGCCTTCGCCTCATCCTCCGTAAATACGCCCCAATCGATCAACTTCTCCCTGTAGTTGATGATCGGGTCGTTAGCGCGCTCGGCCTGCACCTCCTCTTTGGTTCGGTAGGCGGTTCCAGGGTCGGATACGGAATGCCCAGCGAAGCGGTATGTCTGGAACTCGTAGAGCAAGGGGCCGCGGCCAGATAAGATGTATTGCTTTCCGTACCGCACTGCGGACATCACGGCCAGGACGTCCATCGCGTTGATGCGTAGCCCCGGGATGTAGTATCCGTGCTTGTAGTACTCTGTCATCGCGGAGGCGCGCTCGACGGACGTGCCCATGCCGTATTTATTATCTGGTAATGGGTTAGATGACGGGTCAGATGACTATTGAGGAAGAGTGGAAGCCATAACAGGCACATAACAAATGATACTGAAGAGGGTGGCAGAGGGGGGGGGGGGGGGTGGGGGGAAGTGTGCAGGTCAACTCACTCTCACACCCAAACAACACCGGCAACTCCCACAACTTAGCCAAATTATAAGTCTCATGCACCTGGCCCTGATTCGCCGCGCCATCCCCATAAAGATTGACCGTGACCTTCTGCGTCTCCCCATACTGCTGCGCGAACGCTATCCCCGCCCCAAGCGGCACATTGGCCCCCACAATGCCATTCCCCCCAAAGAAATTCTTCCGATACATATGCACCGAGCCGCCCTTGCCATGTCCGATCCCATCTCGCCGCCCCAGCAGCTCCCCTAGAATCGATCGGACGGTGCCGCCCCGCATCAGAGTGAACCCGTGGGCGCGGTACGCGGTAATGAGCTTATCGTCGGGCGTGATGGCATGTTCGATCCCCACTGCCACGGCCTCTTGGCCGGTCGAGAGGTGGCAAAACCCTCGCACTTTGCGCTCTTTGTATAATTTGTCGGCTGTTAGTTCCAGCCGTCTGGGGTGAAGGTTAATTGGGGTCTAGAGCGGGCGGTGGCTGCGGTGGGAGGTGGGGGGTGGGAGACGGACCTTATTGTTGTCATGTCTTGGTATACTTGCTTCAGTTGGCGTTTGGTGGTTTCCACGCTGTAGGGGGGTGGGTCGAGTTGGTAGGTTTCGAAGCTGTCGTCTGGGATGGGCACTGTGAAGGGTTTGTCGTCTTCCTGGTGTGGGGGATGGTGTTAGACAGGGTGGGATGATGGGGGGGATGGGGGGTGCTGGGGATTGAGGATACGCACGGTAGGGATGGCTTCGATGTTAGAGACGTGCGCCATGAAGCGTCGGCTTGCGGGGTATTGCATCGCCATGGCTGGACGTGTCCAAGGGACTTGGAGCTTTCCCCTCGGTTTCAGGGATCTGGGAAGCATGGTTCCTATGATGCTATGCTCTGCCGGTGCCCGTGTTGCGCGGTGCGGAGGGGTGGAGTGCGTAGAAGCTAGAGGAGAAATCGAAGACGATAGTTATGCTTGGTCTAGGTAGTGTGATGGCGTGTCAGACAGTTAGATATTCAAATCTCGAGGGCGCGCTGGGTGTCCTCCATCTTGATGTATGGCGATCGTCCTGGTCCCCGAAAACGTGTAGTGACGCAATACATAACTCAATTCGACCGTGGGGGCTGCACTGCCAATGAGGGGCTTGCATGATGTGTCTGTGAGTTAAGTTGCCTTTGCTTGTTTCTGTCCTTCAGCAAGTATCTGATCTATCCTTTCTGTTGTTCAGCCCTGTTTGAGGAGAGCTGGGTGTCTGGTAGAGTCTCTTGCTTGGAAGGGAGGAAGACTATATTATATGGCTTGGGGTGTGCATTGGCCTTGGTAGGCCATGGTAGTTTGGTGGTAGCATTTTGGCTATATATCATGGCTCCATGACTTTAGTGCATCGATCTGAGGTGCAAAGCAATCTCTGCAAGAAATTGGCAAGTCGTATAGAGGAAGCAGAGGGAGGAAACAATATGAACATGGTACCTGTTTTGGTAGGTAAGGCGAACCGGAATGGGTTTGTGCCTTGCTGCCTGGGACGCACGGACCAGAGGCAACTATGACGGGTTCGACGCGTGACGCGATTTGCCCGACCAGGAAATCAATTTACCGGCTCGATCTAATCAGGCTAATACTACCACCACTGCAACTCCTCCTATGGCTCACCGCGACCTTCCACACGAGATTGACTACGATTCCGAGTTGCGATGAACCGAGGGGAGAAGCCGGGTACCGCCGCCAATACCAGCCACGCACAGCAATTCCAACCCCCAGACAAGCCTCTCAGGATCCGTCCGGCGCCGGTATCTCACGCGTCCAGGGGGCCGTCGGCCTTGACGACTAGAACCGAAACCCCAGCGTCTTCCGCATCGACGTCGAGGTCCTGGAAGAGAAACTCGTTCCCCGCCGGCCGGCGCGATCAGACAACTCTGACGCAGATTGATTTCGTCACGCCGATCTCCCAGGATACTGGGTCGAATGACGATGACCTCGACTATATCGACGAGCGATCTCGCAGTCGTCGGCGGAATCCGCGCGACGTGATTGAGATTGACGATGATTCTGGCAATGATGCTGAGCAACAGCCCCCGTCGCGTCGGCAGCCGAATCGGACCCGCGGGGTCAGGTTCGAGCAAGGCGCAAAGGACGACACACCCAGGCAGAAACGGAAGAGCTCACCGAGTGGAGGCGTGATAAAACAGAGACGCAGGAAAAGCGGCGAAGGCAGCAAAAGCGCTAAAAAGGACAAAGACAGGGCGAAGGGGAATAAGACCCTGACGCAGATGGACTATGTGCGGCGCTACCTGAAGATCGAACCGGACGAGGATGTGAAACTGGAGTACACATACATCACCCCGAAAAAGAGCGATGAGCGTAATCTCCAGCGAACATATACCCGGGACACGGAGGGTACGCCGTCACACCAGCACCATGGCGAGCAATCTTCGAGCGAGCGTAAGAGGAAGCTAAATGGTGACGCAAAGCCAACAGAAGGTCGAGGAGAAATGTCCGCAGGTCCGGTTACCCCGCGAAAACAAATCAAACATGAGATACCTTCGTCACAGTCTCCAGAAAGCCCCGGGATCGCGATCATCACGTCGTCACAGTTTCGTGGCGCTACTCGTTCTCCACAGAAGCTTGCGTCTGCAAGCACGGCTCGCATCAAGGAAGAATCGACTCGACTTTATAACATCAAAGAAGAAGCATTCCAGGATTCGGAACCGATGTTGTTATTCCCCGACGAGATACCGTCACCTTCCATTGTGCCGAATTCCCCGCCATCCCGTCAACATACCATAACCGACGAAGCATCCATCGATGCCTTAGTCGGGCCAGCGAGGCCCCAAAACATACCAGCCCCTGAAAACAACCTGGAGACCCCAGACGATAGAGAAGCGCCTCTGAACACACAGCGAACGGTGGTATACGAGACCGATGCCGAAACAGACTCTGGTGACGACGAGGAGCTACCGGATGCTCCTGGCTCTCCTCGAAACCCAAAAACCCTCGATCATATTCCTAGAATGGCCGATGATCTTGAAACGGAATCTCCGAATGGTGAATCGGAAGACCAAGATCTCCCACCCATAAACCCATCCGGGCTGGATGTTGAAACCGAACCGCCTTCGGAAATCAACCCAACCTCGGAAGCATCTATATACTATCAGAGACTACAGCCAGCGACGCAGTTCCCTCTTGGGTCAATCCCCACTTTAAATACCCAGAAAATGGCCGAACTCTTCCCGGAAGACTCGAATGACCAACAGAACCTCAGGACGATGTCTCCGCTGCCTTCATCTCCCCAAACGCAAAGCCGTGCGATGCATAAGCCCGACTGGCCGGTCATAAGACAGACTCAAATACCAGATCCGGATAGGATTCAGACCGAAATCGTCCCCGAGTCTTCACCTATCGCACGCCATGGAAATGGCGCAGAAACCCAGGACTCGGTACCTCGAGAATTCGTACAGGTTGAGTCCTCGCAGGCAGTAGACCGACTCGCGAAACACAACAGGGAGGAGGATTCGGGCCCCCGGGGGATCTTCTCGCGCAGTCAAATCCTAACCTCGAGTGTTATGGAGAGTATCCCTCTCCCGGCATTTCTGATGGACAGCCAGGATAGCGTTGGAGAACCCTATAGCCAACCAGAGTAACCAGAGTCGTAGGGGCTGCTTAATTATAGATACCATACATGGCGATAATCATGACATTAACGAGCGACGGCAATCAACAATTCAACAATCAATCATCTTCATAATAATCCTGCACAGTCCATTCCATTGTCCAACTTGTACTACTACTACTACTTACTATACCCGACCCATCCACGTGGGGGCGGTCGGGCCGTCGTAGCCCCGGGAACGAAACCGCCCAGTTGACACCTCCGCAGCTCCGTCATCCCGACGATTCCCTTAACCCCCCCTCCTCTCCCCCCACACCCAAGATAGACATCGCCTCCCCCTCCTCCCCAGCTATGGATGTAGCGTACGATCACATCCAGGAGGAGATCTTCTCCTCCAACGACTCCTCGAAGAAGGAAAGCGCCCAGAACGAGCCCTCCCAACCCGAACGCCCGAACGTCGACCTCAACTCCGAGCTCCAGGAAACATTCCGCGCCTTCTCCGCCAGCCCCTGGGGCGCCCGCATCGGCGGTCTCTGGGACAATGTCCGCAAGCAGGGCGAGAGCTACTACGAGGGAGCCCGACAGGAATACGCCGCGGCGAGTGAGGAAGCCGTCAAGGGGTTGTCCGACCTGAAGAGCAGCATTGTCGGGCGCACTCGGGGTCTGTCCCTGAGCACGGCATTCAACCCGGCGGGAACCGACAAGAGCAAAGACGACAACTCCACACCGCGAGCATCTCAGGAAGAGGGCAAGGACGCCCTCGAGGGCGAGACATCCGGCGAGAAGAGTGGCAATGGTGGTGGTGATGCGGGGCCTTCAGGATCAAACGAGGGGTTCCTGTCACGCTTCAAGGCGGAAGCGGCCCGACGACTCAAGGAGATCGAGAAGGCGGAGGAAGCGGCCGACGAAGCCATCCTCCGGTTTGGAATGAACATCGGCCAGAAGCTGCGCGATGCCGTGAGCATTGTGCCTCCGGGCTCGGAGTCGTCCAACAAGCTTCTGTTCGAGAGTAAGGATGCCGATGGCAAGCGGGTCATCCATGCTACGCGCTTCGAGGCCCAGCTGCACGTTATCCATTCCAATCTGGACAGCTTCACCAAGGATCCCGTCAGCGATGAATGGGCGGCGTTCGAGAAGTCTTTCAATGTAGAGGGTAAGACCGATGCCATCGCCGCCGATCTGGAGAAGTACCCGGAGCTGCGCTCTGCGATGGAGAAGCTTGTTCCGGAGCAAGTTGAATACGCGACTTTCTGGTCTCGGTACTATTTCCTTCGTCTGGTTATTGAGACTGAGGAGCAGAAGCGTAAGGAGCTTCTTAAGGGTATGTCTATCTATCTGTCTATCTATCTATCTTCTTCCCTTCGTTGTCGCACTATCTCCATGCCCACGCCGTCCTGGAACTACTCCATGATCCTAACATGTTCTAGATGTCAACGTCGACGAAGAAGAAGTGAAATGGGACGACGACGATTCCGACGACGACACCGACTCCCCCTCCACCCCCCAGGTCAAATCCACCACCCAGACCGACACCCAGACCCCCACTGCTCCCGCCACCGATAAGGATGCGTCCAAGACCACCGAACCCCGCCGATCCAACGACCAGCAATCCCAGCCCGACAGCGAATCCAGCTACGACCTCGTCAGCGGCGCCACCAGTCGCACCCCCGCCAGCCCCAAGGAGAAGCCCAAGGACGAGGACAGCGACGACGACTGGGAGTAGATAGACTAACTAACTAACTAATGGTTCGAGGTCGCAAGTCCGATCCGTTCAGATCGGATCGGATTCTCCCCAGTGATCGACCGTCGTTATATCGGTCTTTCGCCCTGACCGCTGGCTGGTCCGAGAGATTTTCTGGTCTGGTGCAAGGTGTTCTGGTGTCTTTTGCCCCTTCTTCGGCGTTAGGATTACATCTTTGTTTCCTCCTTCTTTCTCTTCCTCTTTCTGCTTTTGTAGTACTCGCGAGTAATCAGCAGTGCTCTCATACCATCGATCCCTTTCTGTCACTGGTCGTATGAAATCCATTCACCCTCTGCTGTGGTGCTCCGGATATGTTTCAATGTTAATTCGCTGGGGTGCGTTACTACTAGTAGATTGGTCGATTGCAAACCGCGAGGCATGTGGTCTCTGATATACAGCCCAAGTCTATTCTCACACGTGCGTTATACAACACACACATGATAAAGTATTATCATTTCCCATGTACAGACTTCATCGCATCAACTTCCAGGTTTCAGCTTTCGGTTTTCTGTCAGTTTCAGTTTCCGTTTCGTAGTCGTAACAGTCAGTCAGTCCGTCATCAGCCATCAGAACCAGGATGCTCATCCTCATCCTCCCCCTCCCCTCTCCACCACCCTCCCGCGAACGCCAATCTCCCGACCCCGGCGTCGACTTCCTCGAAAGCGGCGACGCCCTCCGATATCTATCTCTATCTCTATCCCTCTCATCCACCAGAGCCGACCCCAGCCCCCTCCTTTTCGACTCCATCTGCCCAACACCAGCAGCAGCAGCAGCAGCAGGAGACCCCCCTTCCCTCCCGGGCGTCTCGGGTGTATTCTCCCTGGACCTAATCCTCAACCCCCTCGACCACTTCTCCCCCGGCGAATAGGGCAACTCGCTCGTCTCCCTCGAAAACCGTAGGGGTGTGCCTTCCGGCGCGCCAACATACTGATAGTCCTCTCCTCTGCGCTTCATGGGGCTCTCGTCGTAGGGATCCCAGCCGACGCGACGTCTTGCGTCGGCGCGGAGACGCTGGCGGTGGTGCTCGTCGCCGCCGGCGCCGGTGGTGGAGGATTCCTCGAGGAAGAAGTTGAGCAGCTCGTCGCTGATGGAGAGGTGGGATTGTTGCTGGAATTGTTGGAGGGAGGTCAGGCGGAGGAGGGTCTCGAGGAGGGAGAGCGACGTGCGGATGTTGTTGAAGTGGGGGTTGGAGACTGTTGCTGTTGCTGTGGCGGTTGTTGGAGGTGTTGCTGGGGCGGGTGTGAGGTGGGATGGTGCTGTGCGTCGATGTTGGTGTTTGGACGGGGTGGGGGTGGGCGACGATGATGAGGAATCGAGGGACAGCTTGGTCATACTTTCAGGGTCGGGGTTTTCTGCTTCGGATTCGGAGTCGGACTCGTCCTCTTCGTTGTAAACTTCGAAGGCGATCCACTCTGGGTCGAGGTCTTTGGGGAGGCGCCATTCGTCGGGGATGGAGTCCTTGTGGAAGCTGGCGGATGGGTGGGTGCTGGATGCGTCGTTGAGTTGGGCGTCCAGCTGGGCTTGCATCTCGTCGACTGAGCCGTCCGACTCGTAGTCGTGGGGTTCGGAGGGGGCGTAGCCGAATTGGGTTTCGCGTTCGACCATGCGTCGGGGTGGGATGGCGTTGATGTCTCGCTTTAGGAGAAGGACGGGGTTGTTGGTTTCTCCCTCCGTGTTGATGTTCAGGATTTTGCCCGTGTCTGCGTAGAATATCTTCGAGATCTCGTGGATGGGCAGGATTTCGCGGACGCCGGCGGTGCTGATTCCTTCGTAGCTGTGGGGTTGGGGTTCTCTCTCGTCGAAGGAATGGACTCGTCCGTCGTCCAGGTCTTCGATGATTAGAACTTGGTAGGCGAACTCGTCTACCCTGGCCTCGGCGGGGAGTTGCGGGTCAGGTATCTGGGTTTGTGAATTTGTGTCCATGGGAACGCGTCGGAGCTTCAAGCGGGCCTTGTGCACGACCTCTTTCCAGGTGGCTTCCCGGATCCCTTCCTCGTCGTGTGGGCGAAGATGGCTGGCGAAAAGCATGTACATCGACAAGGTGAAGGTAGGGCCGATCTGAACCGCCTGTGACGGCGGCAGCATGGAGTACTGGGTGTCTCCTGCGGTCAGGAAGGTGCTCGCCTGCAACAGTCGCGACGGGGATACGGTTGACGGGAGGTTCGTTGATAATTTGGCACCGGAAGTCGTGATTGCCAGGTTCATCAGGGGCACTGCATCTTCGATGCGGACGAGAAGCTTCTTGATCTCCCGGATGATGATCTTGATCTCGGCCTTGTGTTGGGCGCGGTCTCTCTTGGGATTTGCGCCTTTCAGGTACAGCTCCTCGGAGGCCGCAGCCCTCGCGAGTCGCTGCCCGAGCGATTGGATTTCCCAGCGGAGCGACTTGGTGAGAAACACGGCCGACTCCAGCGATGTATTGCCTCTTGCGGCACTGGAAGAGGTCAAAGCTCCGGCCAAGACTCGGAGTAGGGGTATGGGATTTTTCACTTACATGAGTTCGATCATGTCAATCGCCGGAGAGATGACCTGGATCTTGCTCTCCAGGCGCTGCTGGAGGGTAATCAACTCATCTTTCTCCTCGCAGTCGTCCACATTCTACACCCAGCACGAGCGTGCATCGTTAGTCATGCATTTCCGTACCACCCGATAGGGTCACCCTTATAACTATATCCACTCACTTTGAGCAAGCGCGACGACTGGCTGATGGCGTATTTAGCAGTGATGGCGATTCCCGAGCTAGAGCGACGTTAATTCTTCCCCCGCGCCGTAGAGACTCGGGATCGCAGCACGTACCGGATGGCATAGTTCATTGCCTGCTGGGTGAGCTGCCAAGATAATCAGTCTCTGCATGGGATGGGTCGAGCGGAATACGCAGAACATACCCTCACGAGAAAAGCGTCCATTTTTGGCCGGATGTCCCACGTGGTCCAGTGGGGAGTGGGGGGGGAATTGGCGATGTCTGCACTCTGCAGACTGCAGAGCAGAGGCCGTTGGGTTGTTATGGCTTATCGATAACCGGTCACTGACTGTGGCTGCCACGCTGCAGGCGAAGTTACCATGCATAAGACCCAGACTTGTGAGAATCCTGCACCTGGTTGTTTTAGTAAGTAGTTGTTGAAGTAGTAGAGTACTACTCTGTATCCTCATAGACAGGACAAACAATGCAAAAGGCGAGACGCGCCAGGCGCAACAGCCGCGGGGGGCGAGGCGGGGAGACGCGGCTGAGTCAGCAGTGCAGAGTGCAAAATCAATGCCTGACGAGTGGAGTGGCTGAACTGAAGCCCGAGCCTCCGCAAGAAAAACGAACGCCCCTCACTTGCCGCCTTCATCTTTCTTCGCCTTCCACTCCCTCCCTCTACCTCGCCTCTTCCTCCCCCCCCCCCCTCCCCCAAGATCACTCTTTTCCATCGGGGTCCCTTTTCTACTTGTTTGTCTGATTCTCGTTTGAATTAGCGTCCTTCACCATGGCCGATCAGACCCCCGAATCCTGGGAGGACGAGCTCTCCAGACAGACGGAGGGCGTCCGTCTCAACCCCAACGCACAATCCCGCCCCCAGCCTCAGGCACCCTCATTCCGGCCCGGTGTGGCCTCTTTCACCCCCGGTGCCGCTTCCTTCGTGCCCGGACAGGCCTTCCAGTACGGCGGTGGCTACCCCCAGTATGGCCAGCAGGCCTACGGTGGATACCCCGCCTACGACCAGCAGCAACAGCAGCAGCAGGCCTACGGCCAATACGGCGCATATGCTCAGCAACCCGGTGGTTACTACAACAACCAGCAGCAGCAGCAGTACGGTGGATACCAGCAACAGCAGCAATTCGCTCAGCAGCCCCGTCAAGCAGCCCCCGCTGCTGCCCAGCAGCCCAAGCCTGCTGAGCCCGCGAAGCCCGCCGCCCCCGCTGCGGCTCCCCCCAAGGCCAAGGTCCTGACCATCGGCGGCGCCAGCAACTCCCCTGCCGCCCCCAAGACCAAGGTCCTGACCATCGGCACCCCCTCTCCCGCCCCCTCGAACACCCCGTCTTCCGCTTCGGGCACGGCCACTCCCGGAGACAGCAAGGGTCCTGCGGCTGCCGAGGCCGCCGCTAAGGTGACGGCCTCCAAGGCCATCGACAAGACCGAGAAGAAGGCGGATCAGAAGGCTGCCGCCAGCGGCAAGTCGTCTCCCACCCCCTCCGGTCGGTCCAGCCCTGGACGGTCGAGCCCGGCCCGCGGTGAAGCTGCCAAGGCCGCTCGCCACGCCGACGCCGTCGCGCAGGAGCAGCAGGCCGATGTGGATGATGCTACACTGAAGGAAATCTACGGTGAGAGGAAGGAGCACGTCAACATTGTGTTCATCGGTCACGTCGATGCTGGAAAGTCCACCCTGGGAGGATCGATCCTCTACGTGACGGGCATGGTGGATGAGCGTACTCTGGACAAGTACAAGAGGGATGCCAAGGAGGCCGGTCGTGAGACCTGGTACCTTTCATGGGCCCTGGATCTGACCAACGAGGAGCGTGCCAAGGGTAAGACTGTCGAGGTCGGCCGTGCCCACTTCCAGCTCACTGTCCCCTCGCCCGATGGTCCTATCACGAGACATTTCTCCATTCTGGATGCTCCCGGCCACAAGTCTTACGTCCACCACATGATTGGTGGTGCTACCCAGGCTGATGTCGGTGTTCTCGTTATCTCCGCGCGCAAGGGTGAGTACGAGACTGGGTTCGAGAAGGGTGGTCAGACTCGTGAGCACGCTTTGCTGGCGAGGAACAGCGGCGTCAAGACTCTGATCGTCGCTGTCAACAAGATGGATGACCCCACCGTGGAGTGGGCCAAGTCTCGTTTCGACGAATGTACCATCAAGGTCTCCAAGTACCTGGAGGCTCTTGGCTACAAGAAGGCTGACCTCCACTTCATGCCCATCTCCGCCCAGCGGACCATGGGTGTCAAGGACCGCGTCCCTACCGAGCTTGCGCCTTGGTACAACGGCCCCTCCCTCTTGGAGTACCTCACCGACATGAAGCTTCCCGAGCGTAAGATCAACGCGCCTTTCATGATGCCCCTCAGCTCGAAGTACCGCGATATGGGTACCATGGTCGAGGGTCGCGTTGAGTCTGGTGTGATCAAGAAGAACGGCAACTGCATCATCATGCCCAACCGCACGAAGGTCGAAATCGCCGCCCTGTACGGTGAGACCGAGGACGAGATTGCCACCGCCACCTGCGGTGACCAGGTCCGCATGCGTCTCCGTGGTGTGGAAGAAGAGGATCTTCTTCCCGGATTCGTGCTCTGCTCCCCCAAGCGTCTCGTGAACTGCGTTTCTGCGTTCGAGGCCAAGATCAAGATTCTTGATCTGAAGAGCATTCTCACCGCGGGTTACAACTGCGTGATGCACGTGCACTCCGCCGTCGAGGAGATCACCTTCGCCGCGCTGTTGCACAAGTGTGAGCCTGGTACTGGACGCAAGAGCAAGCGCCCGCCTCCGTTCGCCAGCAAGGGACAGACCATCATTGCCCGTCTCGAGGTGACGAGCACGGCCGGCGCTGTCTGTGTTGAGCGTTTCGAGGACTACAACCAGATGGGACGGTTCACCCTCCGTGATTCGGTAGGTTTGATCCCACCTGACACATCCCAGCGTCACGAATAGTACTAATATGCTTCATAGGGACAAACCATTGCCATTGGTATGATTACCAAGCTCATCAGTCCTGAAAACGACCAGTAAACGTGTAAATGTGCGATCGCTCTGCAATATACATACCAGTTCCGCTACTATGGCCTGGGCCACGGTCGAGCTGTGCGACTGTAGACAGAGAAGGTGGGAGGTGTGGGAGGAGATGGGAGGTGGCTCGGCGATGATATCCTTACTTGGTTGATGATGATGAATTTTGATGTTTTATAGAACCGCATTTCCTTGCTCCGTTGGCCTTCAATAAAAATTCCTTTGCTCATCACTTTGCCTCAATTATTATTGTGAAGCGTAGTAGAAGTCTAAACAGATGAACATATGAGCACAAGCGCATACATCTCATCTCATCTCATCTCATCTCATCTCATCATCTATATGGTATCCGCGCAATAGAAATTTTGTATCCCCCCCCCCTCTCTTAACAACAACCAAACCAAACCAACAAGATAAACTAAATCACCTCTTCTTCTTCGACACAACAGTCGTAAACCCATCCTCATCCACCTCAGGCTCGACCCTCTCCCTCGGCGCCCTAACCAACGCCGGCGCCTCCCCCATATCCATATCCATACCCTCACCATCCTCATCCTCATCCTCATCCTCATCCTCACTCCCCTGATCCTCCCCCCTGGTGATCCCCACCACCCCATCACCCTTCTTCCGCTGCCAAGTCTCCCACATACCCTGAATGACCCCGAACTCGCCGCGCTCCGTCTGCCCCTTCATCTCCATGATCAGATCGGCGACCTGGCCCGCGCTCTCGTCGTCCACCGCGACGTCGAACTCGTCGTTCATGACTTGGATCAGCACGTCCTCGAGATCCTCGGCGTCGGTCTCGGGTCGCTCGGAAAGCATCTCGGAGATGGCGCCGCAGAGCCAGTCCCGCTTGTCGGAGGAGGTTGGGCCGCCCCAGTTGGATTGCACGGCTAGGGTCAGCGCGGGCCAGGTGTGTAGCGCGAGGGTTATGCCGAGGTCGAGGTGTTGGGTTGCTGTTGTGGGGGGGTTGGTTGGGACATTGTGGTTGTTTTGGGGGTGTTTGGGGGGTGTTGTGGTTTTGTGGTGGTGGTGAGTGAGTGAGTGTGAGGGTGGATGGGTTGGTTGGTTGGTTGGTTGTATGGAAGTGGAAGTGGGAGTGGGAGTGGAAGTGAAAGGCGGGGGGGAAGGGGGGGGTTTGCGGTGCGATGCGATTGACGGCGCTGATGAATGGATAGAGAGGGAGGGATCTCGAGGCTGGAGGTTTTGATCCGCGGTTTGAAGGAATCGGTGGTTTTTATTTGAGGGTTCGAGGACCTTAGGGACAGCGATGGAGTAGTTCCTAGGAGTAAAGGCGAGGTAATTAGGTAGTGAAAGAGGAAAATAGTGGGTGTCGGTTATCTGACTCTCTCTCTCTCTCTCTCTCGTGCCTGAAATTTTTTACGATGGTGATTATCGCGATTAGATAGACAAGGCGGTCAGGTGATTGATTGGCTTCCATACGGCATGCATGCATACATGGGCGGGTAATGTACTAAGGTGGTATTTGGTTTTGGGACGGACTTGGGATGATGATGACTGTTGATTGACATGACATACTTCTTACATGGATGAAATACCTGCAAATGAATAGTCGTGTTGGATATGTGTGTTGGTTGTATAGGCTCAAGTTCCAGAAACCTGGAGGCAAAAAAAAAAAAGCAAAAAGAAATGAAGATATATGCTCCGATAGGGGGAATCGAACCCCCGGCTGCCGTGTGAGAGACGGCGATGTTAGCCACTACACCATATCGGATCTTGTTGAGGAAATTATCAGAGTCTGGCACTACAAGCTTGCGGCTTGAGGTTGATGTTTTCGCGCGGAATGGAGTTGCAAATAAATACATCATTTTGTCTGTTTGACGTGGTTTTGCTTCGGGGGTTTGTGTGTCTTTATGCATCTTCTGGATAGTATCGACTATTGGGGGGAAGAGGGTCTATTCAGATGGGGTGGTATATGTGGGGAAGAAGAGTGCGGATATCCATCTTTTTTAAGTATATCTCCGTCTGGGGTGGTCACTTGCAGAATCGTAGATTTAGGGATGTAGATATAAGCACCTTGGGATGTACATCAGGAATACTTATCTAGAGAGTAGAATGCTATAGAGGTGCTATTACTTTGATGGGTATATCAAAGGGGCTGTACTCGATTATATAAATGTAGGGTAGATACATGCACGACAGTCCCCACAGTCCAAAAGAGTCCATTCAGTTGGATCTAATAAAAACCCAGTCCAGATTAGCATAGAGACACAGACAGATGAAACCATGAATATCTCGTCAATGTCGCCACAAATATGCATTTGTTGGATACAACTTATCTACGAGACATTAGATTAGCATCGTTTCCATTGTTGGATGCGGGCCCTGTACACTTCCCACCGGAACAAAAGCCCCGTTCCAACGTCGACTAATCAGTATAGCAACCCATCAAGCATCTCGATCCTGAAAAGGCCATACTCGACTCCAAGCCTCCCTCTCCTCCGGGCCCCGAGCCACATGATCCAAGAACTGCTCCAGAACATCACCCATCAGCTGCACACCTTCTTCCCACTTCTGCCGATCTACCTGATGTTGCTTGATATCGTCTTCGGTGACAAGCAACGGACAGGGTGCTCCGTCTCTGCCGACCGTCGCATTCCATTCCTGAACAAGCTGGATCAGCTGGCCCCTGATAACGGTTTCCCCGTCGTTAAAAACCTGGGAAACAAGCGAAATAATCTGACATGCAAGGGTGTTGGAATACTGCAGCGCTCTGAAGACTTCCTTGTTCCTGTCGACCCGATTGGATCCCGTAAAGCTTGTATAGTGATTGTTGAGTTCGCAAAAGTTCAGCCTCGACTTGCTCCTCGGCGCTCAATGCCGAGACATTTTCAGGCAGGGCAGGGACGGATAGTTCTTCGCCAGGCTTGGGTCCATTAAAGTCTAGGAAAGCTGGCGTGATGAAGGCGATGATACTTTGAGTCAGCTCATGCTTCTGGTTGGTGCTCATTGTTGCCCACTGAAAGCTCAGTGATACGCCCTCTGCCTTCTCCATGATGATCAGTAGTATTCAGCACCGACAGCATTGTCATCTGCATCTGCATCTGCTCGATTGCTCCAGGCATGATGAACCTGGGACATCGGGATTCCCGCGATGGCCCTTGCCTAACCGAGGTCATTATCAGGACATAACAGTTTTCTTTCGTTCTCCCTTTTTTTTTTTTTAATTTCTCGACCTTACAAATTCCATTGTGGCAACTTCACTGGCAGTCTTGTAGAAAGGAAAGCCGGCGTTCGGATTTGGAACCTTGGCCACCAGTTGACGCCCATCCGTCATGGTCAGAAGGATCCTATGCTTTGTTGTAATTCCCCTCGGGGAGTTTTCCCACGTTCGTACAGACCTGCGAGCCGGAATCCAGGCTCTGTACGGCGACTTTGACGAGTTCATCCAAATCAAAGTCCACGCGTCTTTCGGTAAATTGTTGAGTCTCATTCAACAGCCAGCGACCTGCGTTATAGCTGTGGAACTCCGGCCTATCCCATTTTCGGCCTCACGAAAATCACATTCAACATAGGCCAAGCTCAGGCACATCATGTCTAACCTTGAGTGATTGACGTGGTAAATGGAACCCTGGGAGTATCTAGGGTCCAGGATCAGTGCATGCCGAAGGGGGGATTCAGAACTGGCTTGCGAGCAAGGAATCGATGAAAGTCGGCATACTTAATATGTATATAGTCTCTGGACTCGGACCAGGCATACTCGAATTTAGAAATTTCCCACAGGGCCACGGAATGGCCAAAAATAATTCTACCATGTATAAAATCACCAAGCCGATATTACAAAACCCAATCAAGACCAAGAAGCATACATATGCGCTATCACACAAACACATAGCTATGTAAAGCCTCTATCCCAAACCCGATACCGTGCCTTGACAATTTCCACCCAATCCAAAACAAGTCCAGTTCAGTCCAGTCCAAAGCAAACTTGCACAGTGGTATATCCTATCCTATTCTGCATCCAACAACAAAAACAACCAACTATACACGGAAAAGAACAGAGACAGGAGGAGCCAAGACAGAATTATCGTTATCCAAAGAAAAACAACAAGTGGAGGATGAGAAAGCTGGCTCATATGCCCAAAACGCCACATTATCACCCAAAACCGTAAGTAACTTGGTATAATGGAAATAGACACAACCAAAAAAAAAAGGAAACCCAAGAAAAATAATCACAGGACATAGCTCAGCATGGTCTGGGCTTTCGCTGCAGTCGCAATATGCCAAGGGAGTGTGCCATTCTGCACAGTGCGGGTACCTCTGGCCCGAGCCAGAGTCGCCAGGTCGCGATGCATTCCCAAGATCTCCCGCAGGAGTGTATCGTAAGATGATGGTGGACGACGCGTATATATGATGTTGATGTTCATGGTGTACAGCCCGTCTCCGTCGGTAGAGCCCTTCCGGCGAAGTAGATACCCGCTGGCCAATGCGGGGCGATACTCTGTCTGGTGGAGCGAGCTGTTTAAGCGATGCGATAACACAACCCCCCAAGTCTCATCGCATATGTCCGTGAGTTGAGATTCTGACTCGACCTCCGGGAGAGCGTCTGTTGGCGTGGAGGCGCCTGCGGCTGCTCCTCCCCCGCCGGGAGGGGTGGGTGCATTGCCTAACTGATCTGGTGAGGATATGCTGGCAGCGAGGTTTGGAGTGGCGACGGGGGTGGAGGAAGGATGGCCATTGAAAAGGTTCGTCGGAATGGGTAGGAATGGAGGCTCGAGGAGGAGGTCGGGACTAGTGTTGACACTCAATACCACCAGATCTACCGTTGTTGACTTGGCTTTACCATACTGGTCGGCGAAAGTCGACCACGCTACAACAACCGTTAGCAATGACTGAGGAGGGGAGGGTGGTGCTCTTACTGTCAACCTCCTCCTGATCCACAGGGTCCGTGTTTACAATGATGACCCTCCACCGCGCCTGGATTCTCTCCATGATATCCTTCGTTGCCTTCCAAATCTCACCCCGCACCTCTAGGAGAGTCCTGGTCGCGAGTGAGTTTCGGAAGCGTAGACAGTAAGACATGTTTCGTTGAAGTGCTCCAGTGCTGTCCGACCAGGCTACACTTATCCAACGTTGATCTAGGCTTCTGGAGCATGCGACGTGAAGGCATCTGCCCTCCTGCAGCGGAGAGGATCCCTCCGAGGATAACCTGAAACCAATCGCCTTTGGAAGGTGTTCCGCAAGAAGAACCGGAGGTGCGCAGTTTACAAGGCTTGGCTGAGACGATTTAGGCGGGCATCGGCTGTACACCTCGAGCGCCAGGTTCAGATACTCTGCCTGTGGAGGTACAACTAGAGATTCTGCGGACATGATGAAATCAATGGGAAGGATTTGCAGCACTAGCTCATTAAGTTGCTGCGCCTGTTGCCTGTCAGCATCGGCCACGTACTTCTGGAATAAGAACCAGAACGCGGAGCAGATATCGACCGATGCTGCAGCGTGAGTGAAAGGGTTTATTATATAGATCACGAGATTGCTATCTTTGCTCGACGGGCTTCTCAGAAAGGCGGTACCTGTATGATTATTAGCGCATGAATGAACAAGACGGGTAAAGACATACCAAGCTCTTCACAGATGGCCTTCAAAGATTTCATGACCTCAGAATAGCGCGATTCCGCTGATAGGCTGACGTCCCACGAGCCCAGCCCACGATCAAAGAAATTCGACCTATCACCTCGGCTATGTGTTCCCAGATTGCAGCCCGAGTATACCAAGCCAAGGCGCTCCAAGAATGCATCGGCCGCTTCTGCGGCGAACTGGGGATGAATGCAATAGGCGAATATATCCTTTTGACCGTGAGCGGGCTCTAGCCCGAATGTCTCCCAAAAGGAGATTGCCGGAGGCAGTGTCTCCAAGAAATCCTTACCGCGGCGTACACGTAAGTGCGGTGGAGGAATCTTCAGTATCGTGCCTTTGCTGGTATCCCTACGTTGAGAGGACTGGCGTGCGTTGGCACCGTTCGATGTAGGAGGCGGAATCAAATTGGCGTCCTGGAGTGATATAAAACCGTTCAGGTCCAACCTATCCATGCGGTCCACAGACGTCGGATCACCTAGAGGGGGCTGAACAGTATATGCCTCATCATCACAGTCGGACAGCCCAAGTGTGTCGTCAAACTTGTGGTCCAAGGAAGATTGCGTGATTTGGTCGACCAAGAGCTGGGCAATCTGGACTTGGATGTCCCTGCGAAGAAGGACGGGGGAGACTTGGTTTTGCGCCAGTGAAAAGAAGCCCGCCATGGACCAGTCGGAGAAGGTAGACAGGAAGTTTCCTAGGAAAACCGAGTCTTCTGGCCTATGGGTAGGGGTGTCTTGGTCAGCCCCCAAGGGGGCCTTTTCTTGCGACAAGGCCAGTGAAGTGCCCGAGTTAGAGCGGGTGCGTTTTCTTTTCCGCGTGGAAAAGGTGGCGGGTGAAAAGCCAACCTCAGAGTCGCTCTCATCGCTCTCGCCGCTCGCAGAACTGCTCGATTCCGAGTCTGACGACAGTTGTTCCACTGCGCCGCTGGTAGGACTCTGGTGGCCATCCGGTTCCCTTAATACGCCTCCAGTCTTGATCTTTCCACTGCGGCGCGGAAGCCCGATGGTTGGAATGTCCCCCGTTGCAGCATTTGCAATTTTAGGCGCATCCATTCCCCGAACAGTGAAACCAAATTTTCCATCTGCTCGATACTTTTGGTCCCAAATGGACATGTTGTGCTTGAAAGCAACCGCGTTGTAATAGCCCGGCATCTTCATAGACTGACTTCCCACTTGCGGCTCCGGGAAAAGGATCTTCTTGACTTCGACAGGGCTCAACGGGGGACTTATTGCCACAACATTATCATCGCCAGGAGGCGGTGATGCCCTATGATCGGGGGCAGTCGTTTCGGGTTGGACTTCCGGTGTTTCGTTTATCGGACTCAGTCGGGGAAAATCAATGTGCAACGCCGGGGTCTGGTCCGGTGAAGTTGGATCTGTGACAGCAGGTGGCATGCAGGGTTCATCTGTATCCATGAAAGCAGGCGTCTCGTGGACGGGATCTGCCTGGTCAACTCTGCCTCCATGATCAAAGTCCGGGTCGTCGAAGAAGCTGAAATCCGCGTCGGTGATTCCTTTCGACCCAAAGTCCCTTTCGTTGATGTCCCCGAACAAATCGTCATCTTCGTTGGTGTCGTATAGACCGGATCCCACCATAAGCCCCGCCGATGGGCCAAAGTCCATCTCTAAACCATTCTCCACCCGATCTTTACCGGGTGGCTGGGCGTAATGGGCTTGCCTGCTCGGCTGCATGAAGGTTGAGCCGTGGTCAAGGTCTTCCGCAAAAGCATCGGAGGACAGGGTAGGGACCAACCCTGCTGTAGCGGCCCCGTCAGGCGGCGTTGGATATACAAGACTAGCGGTCTGAAGCTCGGGGTACTGTGAGGCTCGCGAAAGGCTGTCAAAGCCTTCCGACAAGCTAATGATGTCGGGCGATGCTGCGTCTTGATCACTGGCCGGCGGTTCTGGATGGACAGACGGAGGCTTAGGGCTCGCATTGGTAAAGTTGGGCTTTTCTGTTACGCGCCATTTCTCCGCAAAGTCTAGAGGGTCACCCACAACAGGACAGACGCTTTCCATTTGACCAAAGGAATCTGAAGATGCTGACTTTGTCCTCTTGAAGCAGTAATTAGCCGGCCAAAGGATCCGCTTTAGCGGAAGCGTGGACGAGCCTTCATCGTTTGGCCGTAATACCTCCCCAGCAAGTCTAGAGTAAAACGGCTCCCAAACTTCAACCTCCACCCAGGCGTCCTCCTCAATGTCATCCACTGGAAGACCGAAATTGGCCAGCCACCATAGCACATTGACCTTCCACTGTTTGCGGTTCGTCACGCCCGGCTTTTCATTCCCTAGACTGCCAGCACTAGGAGGATACGGCGAAGGGGCGTTCGTTCGGGGCGGATTGGTCGTCACTAGTCTGGCGATGGACCCACTGGGAGATAGCCAGAGGTCGGTGCCGGGCGGAGTCTCATGGACACGTGCAGGATCATCGTCAGGTGTGCGTAATCGCATAAGGCCAGCTTGCGACACGGTCTGCAAAGCCACTGTCAGCTTTCCAACAGACGTCAGCTGGATTTGAAGCGTAGTGAGACTTGGGGCCGAAATAGGGTCGTTCTTGACAACCCTGGAGTTCTCGTAAGAATCTCTTTCGACCGCGGTAAAGAGAGTGCGCGACCCAAGGGGAATCGCATTGCGCTGGCGGATCAGCTGAAGACTGACTGCTCCACTGATAGCAGAAATAAATGATGCATAAATCGTGGCGTAGGGCGTAAGAGCGTTCGGCCTTTGAGGACCGGTGGAGCTCGACGTATTTTGGGGCTCCGTCGAAAGGTTTTTGACCAAATCCGAAGAAGAGACGCTCCCGGAGGAGGAAACTGCAAATCACGCTTGGTATTCAACGCTGCGAGACAAAGGGGGGAGAGGAATATCAGATGATCGGGTGCTTACCTTTCAAGGTTGCCGAGCCGATGGCAATCCTGTTCGATTCGTCTTTACCTTCTGTGGGGGGGAAGGAAGTGAGGCTCTCAAAGCCAGGGGTGGCGGAGAAGAGCCATAAGCAGAGCCGGCGAGGGTAACTTGATACCAAGCAGTCGCGGTCTCTCAGTTGGAGCTCGAGGTCTTTGAGGCGGCTGAGATGTTTAAGGATGGTGTAGCCATTCGCCGGAGGCTCGCCGGGATTATTGGCGATATTGGGCTCCTCAGTGTAGATTCTCCAGTAGATGTGGGAGAAACCATCCTGGCACCGCGGATTAGAGGTTTACCGGCGACTTCTGACGGGAGACACCTACAATGACGCGTATGTTGGTGATGGACCCCCCGGGGAACTCCATGATTTACCTGTCGTCGTTCTTAGATGTCGCCAGGGAAGCTTGCGCGGCAGCAGGCGGATTCATTTCCAGTCAGTAATACAGGCGAAAGAGATCATATCTCAGTCAGCAGCCCGTCGCATTTGGGGGGGGGAGCTTCGAACTTCGGAATCAGTCAGTTCAGTAAATAGCACGGGAGATGCCATCGCGGGTTGGCAGTGCCAGAGCAGAGCAATACCGGGAGGGGGCGAGAGGCGCAGAGATCACTCAGAGGAGCAGCGCCATGGCGGAGGAAGAGGAGGATGGCAGGACCCGATGAAGGGGACGGAGTTCAAGCCTCAGATACGGAATACGAGCGAGTCTTGCAGCGGCGAGCATCCCAGACTTCCGATGCCATCGAGACCCAACGGAGGTTGGCTCGGCCCGCGCGAGCCAATCACGCCTGATCGCCGCCCGGCGCGTCACGTGGCCGCAGCTATCGCTATCGGGCGAACTTTTTTTTCTTTTCCGCTTGGGAGAGATCTTCTTGCGACGAGCAGCTTCGCTTTCTGCTTCCCCCCCCCCAACCTCCCTCCCCTCGCCTCGCCATGAAGCTCTCCAATCAGTCGGAGGTCCCCGTCTACACCATCTCCGGGTCCAACACCGCCCGCCCCCTCCCGGAGTGGCTTGCCCGTCGCAGAAAGCGCAGTCTGAAGAATGACCCGGAGTATGCCAACCGCATCGAACTGCTCCAGGACTTCGAGTTCGAGGAGGCCAGTCAGTGTGTTCGCGTCAGTGAGGACGGAGAATGGGTCATGAGCACAGGTGAGCCTTGCAACATGCAACGGAAAATCTCTCTCGAGTTTGCGACTTGACTAACCGCGTTTTTCTCCAGGAACCTACAAGCCCCAGATCCATACCCACCACCTGCCCCAGCTGTCTCTCTCCTGGGCCCGCCACACGATAGCCCTGAACACCACCTTCCGTTTACTCTCCTCCGATTACTCCAAGTCTCTCCACCTGCAGTCCGACCGGTCCCTCGAGTTCCACACACCCGGAGGATGTCATTACACCACCCGCCTTCCCAGATACGGGCGTGACCTGATTTACGACAGACAGTCGACTGAAGCCTTGGTCCCGGCCGTTGGCGTGAATTCCGATGGTATGGGAGAAGTTTTCCGTCTCAATCTGGAGATGGGACGTTACATGCGCAGTTTCGAGGTCGATGTTGGTGGTGATGATTTCACTTCGGCCGGTGCTGGGACTCTACAGGGTGGTATCAACACGGGTGCGGTCAACACCGCAGCGATTGCCGAAGAAAGTCACAACCTGCTTGCGTTCGGTACCACACTAGGCACGGTCGAGCTTTGGGATCCCCGCGCCAAGGGCAGAGCCGGAGTCTTGCTACCCCCCACACAGTCCGGCCCTGACGAGTTCCGGAACGAGATCACGGCCTTGGAGTTCCATCGGTCGGGCCTGACCCTCGGAACCGGTTCCTCGAACGGTCTTATCCACCTCTACGATCTCCGGTCCCCAGTACCTCTCCTCAAGAAAGATCAGGGTTATGGGTTCCCTATTCACACCCTCAAGTTCCTTCAGCCCTCGACAGCCACCCGTGAACAGACCATGGATCCCAAGATCCTTTCCTCGGACAAGAAGATTATCAAGATCTGGGATCCCCGTGATGGAACCCCTTGGACGTCTGTTGAGCCGGCTGTTGACATCAACTCCGTGGCATGGTGCCAGGACAGCGGTATGATCCTGACCGCCAACGAAGGTCGCCAGCAGCATTCGTTCTTCATCCCGCAACTCGGACCCGCTCCGAAGTGGTGTTCGTTCCTGGACAACCTGGTGGAAGAGATGGCCGAAGACCCCAACGACCCCAACGCTTTCAGCAGCGGCCAGACCGGCGCTGTTTACGACAATTTCAAGTTCTTGACCCAGCCCCAGCTGCGGAACCTGAACCTGGAACACCTGATTGGCAGAACCAGTCTCCTGCGGCCTTACATGCACGGTTACTTCGTGGCTCAGCAGTTGTACGAGGAGGCCCGTCTGATCACCAACCCGTACATCTGGGAGGAAGAGCGTGCCAAGCGCGTCAAGGAGAAGATCGACAAGGAGCGCGAGAGCAGAATCCGGGGCAAGAAGAAGGCCGCCGTGAAGGTCAACAAGAGGCTGGCCGAGAAGCTGCTGAGCATCGAGGAGAAGAACGAGCGCAAGAACGCCCAGCGCGTGCTCAAGAAGGGAGGAGACGCCGACATGGTCGATGCGCCTGCACCCCCCGCCGCCGAGCCCGGAAAGAACCTCCTGGGCGACAGCCGTTTCGCGAAGCTGTTCGAGGACGAAGACTTCGCCATCGACGAGACGTCCCGCGAGTTCCAACTCGTCAACCCCAGCACCGCCCCGGACACCTCGACGAGAAAGGAGCGCGGCCTCACCGCCGTCGAACAGGAGGCCGTCGACGACGTCCCCGGCTCCAGCTCCGACGACGACGACGACGAATCCGAGCCCGAGCAGCCCCAGCAACAGCAAAGATTCTCCAAGCCCGCATCCTCCGGCAAAATCTCCACGTCCACCTACAAGCGGACCAACCGCCGTCAACCGCGCATGGAAATCTCTTCCTCGAACACTGTCGGCGCTACTCGCGACCGTTCATTTGCCTCGCGCGCTCAGAACATGAACACGCGCCAGAAGCCTCAGCGTCGCAGCGGCGTTGTCGGCGAGAGAGAAGTCACCTTCAACCCGGCCGGCAAGTCACGACAGAACAACAACAGAGGCCCCGCGCCCCCTCCCACCCGCTCAAACAACTTCCGCGACAAGGAGCGGCGAAGCGCTTCCGGCAACGCTTTCCGGAAGATGTGATTGCCATCCGATGGTCATCTTCATGTCCGGTGAGCCCTGAGGACCTTCTCCTTCGCCTATCAGAGCTTCTTCCCGTCCCAAACTCCTCGCAGAGCTTCGATCTCTGTCTCAGCTCCGCCCCGCCACCTCCTACCTGTCGACTCGAGACCCTCGATACGGACTTCTCTCCTGCGCAGCAGCGAAAGTACACGTGTATGTGTGTCTGTTTGTGTGTCTATGTATGCGTGCGATCGCAAGACCTATCTTCTCCACACGCATACCTATCACCCGCTACTTACTACCCACCATGTCCACCCTGCGCCACACGTGCATACGCACACATACGTTAAACCTCCGGATGAGATCCTCGGATATCTCCGGTAGACAAGACAAACACGTTACTTCAGAACCAACGAGATGAGAAAGAGACAGAACCGTCCCCGCTACCTTACCCACCACCCACCTATTTCACCTACCTACACCTACCTACCCACCCTCCCCTGTCTGTCCTAGGGAAACCCATATCCACCGGACGCCCAAACCCAAGGATCACTCTGTGATAAGCGCAGCAGAGCAGAATCATTTTAAAATGAATACCCATGTACATATATACCATTTCTTAAAATTGGAGAGAGAGAGAGCGAAAGAAGGAAGTATGTTATTTTTGGTTGAATCTGTTTCGGCACATTGAGCACGTAGAAAATGTTAGATCTATTCTTGTGAGATTTGAGTTTATGAATTTCTCTTCCAATCTCTTTTTGCTATATCATCTACACAAGGACCTACCTACGATGATGTGTGTCCCGATAGATTATTTACAGTACCATCTCTGGAACCTAAGTAGATAGATAGATACCTTAGCCTGCCGTTTATCACTATCCATCTACAGCTGAGACCATCTAGAAGACTTCCTCTCCAGCTATTATTAGGATGAGGATTAGGATTACCGAAAGCACCGAAGCCTAAACCAATCGATCTACATCCTAAATCCCAAAGAAAGACAAAAGCATGCAATAAATAATATGGGGGATTCCGATTCAACGTAGTCCTGGTAGCTATCGACCTCGACCACAACAGCCACAGCCCAGACCACCGGGGTCGCGTACTCATAACCCGATTACAGATAAAAAAAGGATGCAAGCCAATGGTCCAAGGAACAGAAGGATCAGAAATAAGACAAAAAGGGCGAGAGGGAGGAAGAACGAGACAGATCAATGTCCCGGCCAGTATCGAGCATGAAACCAATGGATACAAGAAAAATCCAAAAGAAAAGACGAAAAAAAAAAATAAAGACAACCCGTTAGACTCCAAAATGCAAAAAAGGGCCGTGGAACGAAATTTTGAACCCAAGAAAAAGAAAAGTAACAAAAAACAATGAAACCGGAGAACAGCTTCCCCATACCATCCTCTATTCGCCGTTCCTGGTTGCGGGATGTCGCATTGCTTGCAGATCAGTCTATAAACATAACCACCCTGACAAAATGGCATAGAAAGATAAAAGGACATAGGGGGAGAGGATGAGATAGAGATATCATAACCATGAAAAGAAATCCAAAAATATGCAAAGGGTGTTAAAATGGAAAATGCAAAGCAGGTAGAAGATAAGATGGTAAGAGGTTAGTTAATGCGTGCCAGCGCTAGGACCAGACATGGAAGCCCGGAAGCCCGCCACCCCGTCTGCCACTGCCGCGTCTCGATCCACTGCCGCTTCCATTCGATTCAGCGCCATGATTGCCATGTCTGCCTTCCTCGAAGCTTCGCCGAGAGGCACCGAAGTCACTCATGGCAAATAAAAGAGGCTCGTCCTCTTCCAGCTGCGACTGTGGGGGTTGTTTCGCCCCGAGCTAGGTCGTCGCCCGGTTCCCCGGCGTTCCTCAACAGCCGAGGTGCCACTGTTACTGCCACTGCCATTGCCATCGCGCTCATTATCACGATCCGCGAGGTAAGAAGGAATGCCGCGTGCGAGGCTACTTGAGCCGGAGCTGAGGGAGTGTGGCCCGCCAGATAGTCCCCGTCCGCGAGGAAGGCTGAAGCGAGGCTGGTATACACGTTGATTGAAGGAAGAAGAGGATGAGGTTGCGGTGGGGCCAGAGATAGATGCCCCCTTGTGAGAGCCCATGTCGCGCGCTGTGGAGCTCGGTGTCAGACTCGGATCTTCCGTCATGGATGGAGCAGATGGCTCCCTCTGCGCTTGATGTATGTCTACTTTTGCCCCTTCAAGATCATGCTGGCGCTGCCGTGCGCTTAGGCTATTGTGAGATCTTTCTTCGGCCCCAAGGCTGATGCTGCGCAGATTGAAGGGGAAAATCTCATCGTCATCGGTTGAAACCGTCTGTCGATGATGTGCAGCGGAGCTGGGTCGACGATAGGTGGGGGGGAAGAGTGACGCCGGTGATGTGGGGATATCAATAGCTGTCACTGTCACAGTGGACGGGCGATGTACCATAGTCGTGCCTTCGCTGGAGTTATCTTCGAGAGAATCATGTTCAACACGGGGATCTCGTTGCTCGTTGTTCCCATAGTCGACGATGCTGTTGGAGCTTAGGCGAGATGGAATAGCGGGGGTGTGGGGAGTATGAGGGGAAATTGGTTTCCCGGGTGAAGAAGCGGTCGAAATTGAGGTCCCGGCCACCATTGGCGGCACCCCCGACAGCTGCTTGCTTGAGGCGTTCGACGAGCGATGCATGAGCAAAGAAGAGGACATCGAGTCCGACAGAGCCGCATTTGAGTCCCTCATTCGCTGAAAACGGGTCAGCGCGGCAGAAGTGGCCGTTGTCCTGCGTGCAGTGGCATCGACTGTCGCAGAGTTGGACGGGTTGAGCAAGTCTTTCCTCAAGTCCAACATCTTTAGGAACTCTGAGATATTCTCATCATCTGCGTGTATAGAATCCGCACTCGTCCCAGTAGCCTCAGCGAGTAATCCAGAGCCAGGCTGGGGGTTGGAAGAGGTTGCACTGGCCTTGCCACTAGAGGTGTCATCCTCTACCTTGATTATGTTGCCAGAAGATGGCCTTCCTCGCCGATGCGTAAATGCGCTGTGGTACCTTGAAATCGAAGATGGCCTAGGAGACGCAGCATCCGGAGACACAGCCGCCGTCTCCGAAGGCCCCGGCAAAGACTTGCGGGCGGAAGCTGCCATAGAAGGCGGTTGCATGGTTTTGGTCTCGAAAAAAGGTGTGCGAGCTGTCGGACCTGAGCGGGGAGAGATGCCCAGTGGTGGATCAACAAGGGATGGCGACGCTGACAGTGGTGGCGCTTTGAAAGGTTGAAAAGAGATCGACGGCCGTCTAGCAACGCTTGGGCTACCTTCACTGGCAAGAACGGCAGCACGACCAACAGGACTAGCCTTCACAGCAGCTAGAGGCTTTCGCGAAGACGAGCCGGGAGGCGAAGGAGACGAAGCGCCGGACTCTCTTGCAGCTCGGAGAGCTGAGATTGGACTTGCGCTGGTCGTGGGACCGACGTGGTGGAAAGTCGACAAACTTCCGTATGCTCGACTGGGGTCTGGATCTTCGACAGTCCTCTTCTGAAGAGGAGCTGATCCGGCTTCGGGATTGGCAGCTTTGATGTTGGATTCTCGGCTCGGAAGTGAAGGGCGGAAGACCTCATCATCAGCCCCCATGAACCGTGAGCTCAAAAGGGCCTCCGAGTCATCCACCCGGAACTCGCAGCTGGTGCGGTACGTCACTTGAACGGAGAATGGACCCGCAGGCGACTCTGTGACCCCAAAGCTGTACGTATCCACGACCTTATTACTGCTGTCAAACAGCGGCGTGGTTAAATGATCCCGCTGGGAAGGGTCCGCATTGGGCTTCCCAGTCAAGATACGGTACTTGATCCGTAGGGCCGGGTGCGTGCGAAGCCTCCCGTTGCGCTTTGCGAATTTCCAGGCAGGCAAGAATTTAGAGTAGGTGAATAACGATCTGAAAAGGATGATGCTCTTCTTATATACCGTGGGCAGGATGGAGCCAAGATCAGCCGGAAATTGGGCAGACATATTCCCCAGTTCAACCCTCCACCGCTCTAAAATAACATCGTCAGTCCTTGACGATAGCGGCCCCCCGGGATGTGGCCCCGACGGCGTGGAAAGAGATTCCGAAACGTCAAATCGCTTCCCTTGCTCATCCAAGGCAACGAGGCTTTGGTTATTGGTAAGCCCTTTCGTATCCAAGTATGTTTCGATGATCAATGGCGGAGGCCGGCTTTCACTTGCGTCGCAGGTTCTCCACGTTCGTAGCTGTTCACGAAGGACGTCGGTGTCTTCGACCTCAACGTTGAACTAAGAGACGTAGAAGGGCAATTAGCATAAATCCACAGACGTGAACAGCAAAATAATCACACGAAGGGCATATGAGTAAATGTGACATACCCAGCGATTCACCCTGGGAGTGTCGGAACCCTTGACGAACGCGGGAGTCAGCTCCACACGGGAATGCAAGATTATCAGCGCCGCTTTGGTATAGTAGTTCTAGGGCGATTAAATATTAGCCCAATAACTCTCCCTGGCAAAGAAAGAGGGTCCCAAGAACGTGATCCCGTACCGATATGATCTGATTGAGCTTGGCAATCGCCTCTTTCGCTGGCTGGGGAGCATGTGTCTGCTCAGGCGACCCCGGCTCTGTGTCTATGCCCAGCCCTCTTCCAGTTTGTACCCTAGGATCGAAAGCTGGGGAGCTCGGGCGGAGATCTTGTTCCCTGCGGTCATCCGAGCGGGCTGTACTCGGCTTGGTTGCAGGCGGTGGCGCCTGCGGCGCCGGCGATCGAGGATGTTGATGCATTATCAGTTCGCAGGAGGGAGGTGGAAGAGATATGAACGCTCCAGGCGAGTCGGCGGACGTCGACAGCACTATCCAGAGCGACTGCGGTGTGTGTATCGGTCGAATCAAGGGAATGGGGAGGTGGCGGTCCCACTGCGGAAGGCCATGCTAACCAGCCCAACAGCCAAAGCAAGTATGATCGAGGAAGATAGGAGGAAAAGACTGGGCGCTAAGTAACAGGCACTGACTGAACAGAAGCGAAAAAGGCCGATTTCATCGTCTGCTGTACTCAGGCAAGCAGGCGTTTGTACATTCGGGGTATGCGGTCTAGACAACCTTGGGGGGGGGCTTCTCCGCATTGAAGATTAGGCGGATCCAGTTGTCCGGGGGGTTTGTGCACGGCGTCCTCACCGAACAAAGGAATTAAGAGTCCATTATGAGGGATGAGCGGGCAGTAATTGGGGAGGGGGTTGGAGGGTCGAGGAGGTGCGAGAGGGTTGGAAAAGAGGCAAAGGAAGAGGGTGAAACGTTAGTGTAGGGAGAGTAGAGGTAGTAGTACTATGTACGAAGTAGTGGTCGTAGGAAGGGAAGGAGGAAGACGAGACAAGACGAGACGAGAGGAGAGGGAGCCTATGTGAGCCACCGGCAAGTCAAGCGTACGGGAACAGAGGGTCTGTGACGCACACCCGGTGACTCGGTGGTCAAGTGCGAGCGGTCAGGCTGACGGCTGGCACAACTGCGATAAGGGGGGAGGAGTAGTGAGCCCGATGGAGGAATGGGCCATGCGATCGATCCTGGATGGATCAGTAAGGGAGGAGGATGAGAGGAAACGCTTCGCCAGGTCGAGTGATTTCCTTTTTCTGGTCCCCAAATGCCAAATGCAGGCTGCAGGACGGTTTATCGCTGACCTCCAGACCTCCAGACCTCCAGGCCTGAACGATGCTCCATCCACTGGCGATTGCAGGCGGAAGGCGGAAGGCGGAAGGCGGTCAAGGCTCCAGCAGGCCGCTGCAGTTCTGTACCGTACCGTCCCAGCCAGGTACGGGAGCTCCGTCGGGACCGTCACGAGCGGTATGCCGTACGGACCAGATACAGAGATAAGGGCTGCTCGGCCGGTGGAGTCCCCAGAAGGCCTCAGGCGGCTCATGAGGTCATAGGCTGGCAGGCCACGGCGGCTGACAACTGGCACGGGGGGTTCTGCCCGCCCGGGTAATTACCCCGTCAGCTGGCTGTACCGTACCGGAAAGAAAAAGGGGCTCTCTCGTGAGCCTAGCCCCCCGATGCGGCCTAGCGTCCCCAGTTACCGCTTGCGCCTGGGCGATCAATCAACTTGCATGATAATCTCAATCCATGACAACATCCTGGCATGCTTTCGACTACTGTCGGAAGCTGGGAACACTGGAACTGGAGCTATTCTAACTTTAGCCATCCACCGGGGTACTTCCCCCAGCCAAAAGTCTCCTCCTCCACCGGCGCATTTTCGACCAGACACGGCCCAGATTCATCTTGCAGATGGGATGGCAGTGTGGCTCCTGGCAACAGAAGACAGACCCGACAGCCTCGAAGTCCCGTCAGCCTGGACCACCCTCCCCCAAAGCTCCTGGGACTGGCTGCCTCATCTGCAGCGGCCTGCTGGTTAGGTGGAGAGCAGACGCCAGTCGCCCGGCCTACAAGGCACAGTGCCTTAGTCCAGTAGCTACACCTTCCAGCTCGAGCCAATCCCACCGCGCCTACTGTACAACACACTACCGGCATGATGCACCGGAACTGCGAGGTGTGCAGCTAGGGCTGCTGGCTAAGACCCCCTAGACAACCTAGACTCGTTCCATCTCCCCCAACTCGGGGGACAGAGGGCTCCCTCGTCTCCAGTCAAAAGCGCTGGGACTCGGCCCGTCGAATGAGACGATGGAACAAGGGAAACCCAATGGCACCGGGACCTGGCTAGTCGTCGCAAGAGAAGAGACTTGGAAGCGGTTGTTTGGCGCCAGTTGGTGCTGCAGCTGTATGCGCTAACCTCGCTAACATTGATGGGCCTGGCAGCGCTCCGTCCTTCGTACCTTTGTCCGGTTCGATCGTCTCGCCCAGATGATAATCCAGGCGCACACCTGCTCTTTTGTCGTATCAGTCGGACCAGAGCACATTCACCCTACGGAGTAACCTAGTAGCCACTACCGGCAAGATCGAGGGCCATCCGGACTTGGATGGAGCAGACCACTAACCTTTGGTGTTCTGCCTTTAACTTGATCATCATCCCTACCACTCTTTTCCCCCTTGGCCCAGCCACGGCGCACCAAGCCATCAACCTAATCAACCTGCTACTGATGTTACTGGCAGCCGAGTCATCGTCTGTTGACTCATCCCGCCGGGTTAATAAATAATAATAACTCACCTATACTCCGCAGAATTGGCTTCCATGACTCTACCACCCCTGCCAGCCACCACACCACCAAGAACCAGTTTATCTTCTGAACTGTCACCCAGTCCCATCCTAGATTAGAATACTAGTGAAACCGTGAAAGGGCAGAAAGGCACTATCTATGGGGCTTGAAGTAGTCCGACGTTACTCTGGATGTGCATGTTTCGATCGTCCCCACCCGGGACAATGCACATATCAACTTATCAAGATGATGCCGTACTGTATGTATAGGTAGGCCATCTGTCTTCCGTGTAACCCGATCCGATGCCTGCACCCACTTAGGACCGGATTCCGGATTCACCACCCACTTCCTACGTGCGGAGGCGAGTCGGAGGCTGCGAGGCCCGTGCTATGACAGCACGTAGGCCCCCTTCTACGGAATGGGGGTGGCGGTGGTGGCCACAAACCCCGGCCGAATCCCATGATGGATATGGTGGCACGGCGGTGATCTGCCTCCCCAGCCCTCTCCGCACGAACCTGGACCGACTGGGATGTCTGCACAGACCTCATAGGACGACTATATCCCGACTCATCGCCTGATTGAGTCTAGCTCCACCTTGTCTGCTCCAGCTGGCTTCGGGGATGTGCATCCAGGCAGCCGGAGGTTTGTTGTCTACGCTATCTACTTTAGATATATATGTAGCAGACTATCTATATCTACGGCTACCTACCAGGCTGCCGTGGTAGTAGATTAGAGCCTCACCCCCCTGATTGCGCACAACCAAGAACGAGAATCCCAGGGAATTTCAGTTCACTCTACGGAGTACATACATACCTTTCCATCGTTCCATGGTCTATCCACTCACTCAGCACCCACGGGTCCGATGAAAGTCATCATCGACATCATCGACCTCATCTCATCATCCGCGTCGGTTTCGCGGTCGCGTCCCGTGCGGTGGACCCTGTCCGACCGCTTTCCTTTCTCTGCCATCCCTTCAGTTGCCACCTAGGTATATGAACAGGATCGGAATGATGGCAGAGTAACTGTAATAAGATTGATAAATGGATAGCTTCCACAGGGTCAGTTTTACCCTGTTGAACAGATATAGTACTCTGTATACACAGTAGGAGGGAGGTATGTGCGTGGATCCCTCCGCGGGGGGGGGAGAATAACCAGTCAGAACGGTTGTTTCGGTCACCCGCCGTGTGGTTCTCGTCTCGTCTCGTCTCGTCTCGTCTCCTCCTCGGTTCTGGTCGGCGCGCCCGCCACCATTGTGCTTACAGCGATGCTCTCTCGACTCCGACTCTGCCTCTGACTCTGACTCCTGCGTTGATCAGAGATTCCGACACACGGCAATTCGGGGCACATGAGTAGCAAGCTCTGGGGATTTTTCTTCTACGATGACGTCGAGAGCTTCCAGCGGCTCCTGGCAACGGCCACCTTTACGGCGGGCAGCCAGCGAGCCGGAACTGGAGGGGCCTCCAACTTCAAGGTCGGAAGCCCCGCCACAGCAGTGACAGTGACAGCCTCCTCCTCTTCCTCCTCCCCCTCCGGCATCGCAACCAGGAGCAAGAAGCTGGCCGGCACCTCCCCAGGCCCTGGAACCCCCGCCCCCGATCGGTTCTCCGGCTTGCGCCCGGGCAAGACCCTCTCCCGAGACGAACTGAACGCCCGCGATCACTACGGCCGAACTCTCCTGCACCATGTGGCCTCGTCCCCGAAACCCTCCGCTATCGACTTCGCTATCGCCCTACTGGAGGTTCCCTCCCTTGATATCTATGCGCAGGACTGGGAGAGCGGGTGGACGGCCCTGCACCGCGCCCTCTATGCGGGGAATGCTACGATCGCGCAGGCGCTGATGGCCCGGGATGTCCGCGATGCGACGGACTTCAGCAAAGTGAGCAGTTCCGGACACCCCAGTGGAGGCTTGATCAAGATCAAGGATCGGGAGGGTTACAGTCCGTTTGACATCTACGGGTCCACGATCGCGTCTCGGGATATCAAGCGTCTTGTCTCCCCTACGACTGGCCAGACTCCTTTGCTTGCAGACCTGGAGAACAGTGACGCTGCGTCGGACTTGTCCTCTCCGGAGGACGATTTCGATGAAGATGGCCGGCTTGGGAGGCATACTTTGAAGCCAAAGACAAATCTGTCCGGCGATGAGGTGTTCACTTTCGGGAGTAACAAGAATCTGAACTTGGGTGTCGGAGATCAAGATGACCGTCAGTTTCCCGAAAGAATCGCTCTCAAGCGACCCGAACATCTCCTTCAGCGTTTCTATCGGGAGTATCAGGAGAGACAGCTGGATGATGATAGGCTTGACGAGCCGAGCCAGTCCATGGATTTGCCGGCTCTCGTGAAGAACAAGCCCATCAAGATTCAGGATATTGTCATGTCAAAACTTCACACGGCCATTCTAACCACCGACCCTGAATCAAACCTGTTTCTGTGTGGGTTCGGTCCCGGTGGTCGTCTGGGTACTGGGGACGAATCAACGCGGTTCAGCTTTGTGTGTATCGAGACAGGGGGCCTCGCAAATCGGAAGGTGGTTTCTGTTGCTCTTGGTCAGGATCATACCCTGGCGATCACGGATCGCGGGGAAATCTTTAGTTGGGGAAGCAACAAATTTGGTCAACTCGGATACAGTCTTCCAAGAAGCAACAACCGGGATGATGTGCCGATCCAGAATGCGCCGCGTCAAATATTCAACCCCTTCAAGAAGGAAGTTATTCTTGGGGCGGCGGCATCTTCGATTCATTCGGTTGTCTTTACCACATCCGGTCTTTACACGTTTGGCAAGAACGAAGGACAGCTTGGGCTTGTCGATTCCGACGCTCGGTCGCTGGAAACACAAACCACGCCCCGGCGTGTCGGAGCATCGCTTTTCAGCGCACCAATACAAAGTGTTTCCGCGATTGATCAGGCGACAGTAGTTCTTCTCCAGAATCACGAGGTCTGGGTATTTTCACAATACGGGTATTCGAAGCTGTCGTTTCCTTTGGATGTCAGCTCGAGATTCATAAAGGACAGTTTCATGGCCACGCGGTATGGTTCGTCTGTGAACCAGATTGTCAAAGTCAAGTCCGGAGGGAATGCCATCTGTGCGCTGTCCAGTTTCGGTGAGGTGTTCATGGTCCAGGTCAATAAAACGGAAAACCCGCCAAGTTCGACGTCGACCACGAATCCATCTAAGACCCGGAATTCGCTGTCCCTACCGACTCGGGTCTGGTCTATCAAGAAAGCATATATGGCCGCTGCAGATGTTGATGTCGGACAGGATGGTTCAGTCATTATCAGCACCGTATCCGGTTCTGCGTGGAGGAAAGAGAAGCGCGGAAAGGCGAAAGATGGTGCGTCGAAAGACTACAAGTTTGCTCGTATACCTGGGCTTTCTCGAGTCATTGGTGTTTGCAGCAATGCCTTTGGGGCGTATGCAGCTGTTCAACGTGACTCAGAAGTGACAAAGGAACAGATCAACATTGACGAGTCAACCCTGTGGAAGGATCTTTTACCGTTATCTCCCTTCAGTCTGCTAGGGGAAGCGATGAGTTCAGTGGACCAAGTTGATGACCGGGTTGCTTCCTTAAACTTGGTGCATGTCTCGGCTATCAAACAAGCTGTCATGTCGTCTTCAGAGATTGAGCCCTACTTTCAAACATCGCAGTCAAAAGCACCAGCTGGCACTGTCTGGCTCATGACAACACTATCTGACATACGGATACCTGTTCACGAGTTCATTTTAACCGGGCGCAGCTCCGTGTTGAGGAAAGCATTCAGAGACTTCCGCCGTGATCTCCAGGGCTCCATTCCTGATGTCATGACCATTCAACATGACGACCAAGGCCAGACACAATTAGTAATACCCGCTGTTGATGTCTTCACTGTTCTGAACATCGCCTTTTTCATGTATACAGACAGCGCCCTCGAAGTCTGGCAACAGTTTAAATACTCGCCGGAAAGTGCTCCAAGATATCGTCAAGTCCGTAACGAGGTGATGCGTGTTGCTAGTCACCTGGGCCTATCAACGTTGGAAAGGGCCGCCAGACTGATGATTGAGCCAACCAGAGCCCTGAAAATTGACATGGAGCGAGCTATCAAAGACCCAACCTTTTTTGATAGTGCGGATGTGATCATCGAGCTGAAGGGCAAAGAAGTGAGGGCTCACAGCCAAGTGATCTGCCAACGCTGCCCGTTTTTCTACGCGTTATTTGTTGGTCGCTCAGGGGGCGAATGGATATCGTCACGCCGTGGTAATCCGGGAGATCTCATTCGTATCGACCTCAAGCACATCGACCGGGGTGTTTTCGATTTCGTTCTTCGGTATATGTATGCAGACACCGAGGTGCAACTATTCGACGAAGTCCGATCGAAGGACATTGAAGATTTTATTGACTTGATCCTCGATGTTGCGTTTGTCGCCAATGAATTGATGATCGACAGATTAGCTCAAGTATGCCAAAAGATGCTTGGAATGTTTGGTAAGCACCCCTGGCCCCTGACACTTGAACAGTAGTGCTAATAATGGCCATTCAGTGAATACACGCAACGTATGCCATCTGCTCAACGCCATTGTGCCGTGCTATGTGACAGAGTTCAAGGATGCTGCGTTGGAATACATATGTTTGAACTTGGAGGACCTGCTGGCAAACAGGTGAGTGTAACTTTGTGCCATGGCTCCAGGAATCCCACTTACACGTATTTCAGGTTACTGGAGGATCTCGATGAGATCTTGCTCGAGGCACTTGATTCTGTGTGCCGCGAGAACCAAATGACCAGCTTCCCTGTTTCGCGAGGGCGCAACTTGGAAGAATACGTCTTGGAGAGATATCCCGAAGTTGTTTCGCTGATAGAGGAGGACAGAAAGCGGAGAATCGATTCTATGAGAATCCGATTCCGCCTTAATCGTACTGATGTGCTTGATGGAAAGCCACGTATAGCGAACAGTGAGAAGGCAGGTATCTCGCCATTAGCGCAGAAGGTCAAGCCCAGCCCGGCGAAAGACAACTTAACACCGGCGACTCGTAGCCCGATGTTGAAATCAAAGCAGTCTAGCGGTGATCTGATGTTTCAAATGGACGACGAATACCTTCTGTCCCCTGGCGATTCCGTGAAAGGGAAGACTCCAGTTCGGGATGCTAAATCCTTTGGTGGAAATGGATATCGGCCATCTCTGGATTCGCCAGTTCTCGGGTCCAGTCTGCCAGACGGGGAATCTTTTGAAGACCGGGGCTATCTGGATGATCAAATGGCCACCCCGCAAGATAGTGTTCCCGAGTCACCGTCCGAATCCCGAGCTGCAGCGCTCTACAGGAACAGGAACGGAAACGGCTCCTTTACACCACCTGACGCGAGTCAGCCATGGAGCTCGTCCGTGATATCATCGTCCAAGAAGAACCTGAAGGATATCATGAGTGAGGCGTCAGGAAAGCGGGTGTCGAACCTGAGCATGAGCATGGGAGCTCGCCGAGAGAACAACAGCAACGCCACATCCAAGCTATCACAGAAGGAGCGCAAGAAGCTCCAACAGCAGCAGATGCAGGACATGTTCGCCGCTCAGCAAAAGGCCAAGGAAGCATCCCAGAATCCCTGGAAGTTGCCTACCCCAAGCAAGTCTGCTCCTCCGGTCAGCATCAATGGACAGGATAGTCCATCTGCAGTGCCCACCAAGTCAGCCTCAAAAACCCCCATGACTCTCCGTCAAACGGTTGCCGGCACGCCACCGCCCGATGCAAAGCCCAAAGCAAGCCCAGCACCAACGCAAGGCCGCAGCCCTTCCATCAGTGTCCAGACACCCCCGAGGTCTTCGGTTTCGGGACCCTCAACCTCCGCAGCACCCCCGACTTCCAACATCTCGTCCACCCCTCAACCTTCCATCCAGTCCATCCGCCACATCCCTCGCCCTGAACCGTACCAAACGAGCTTCCATTCCCCATCTCCAAACTCTCTATCCCTGGCCGCCATCCTGATGCAACAACAAACGGAAAAGAACGAACTGCACGAAGCCGCAACAGCCAAGCACAATCTCGAAGAAATCCAACAGGAGCAAGAGTTCCAGGAATGGTGGGACAAGGAGAGCAGACGTATCCAAGGGCTTCCGGAACCCAGTCCGACTCCCAAACCAACAACCACCACCACAACCAATAATCAAGGAAGAGATGCCCGAAATAACCGCGGACGTGGTAAAGGCCAGGGCCAGGGTCAGAGTCAAGGTCAAAGTCAAGGCCAAGGCCAGCAACGCAAACGACGCGGAAAAGGCAATACCAACGCCACCAATACCGTGGACACACCTACACCCACCCCATCCCCAGCGGCACCACCACCTCCAACAGGTGCATCCTCTTCCTCCTCCCACCCCCCTCCACGAAAAACCTCCTCACACGCGCCCAGAGGCAAACCCACAGCCCCCCGTCCAGACCAGCCGCAACGCCCACCAAACGGGAACCACGTAGACACAACCGGTGGCAGCTCCCGTCACGGTGGCAGTGGTGGTGGTGGTCACAGAGGTGGTGGTAGAGGCGGTGCTCGCGGCGGGGGACGAGGCAATGGCAGCGGCAACGGCAGCGGCAACGGCAGCAAAGATCGCGCACGACAAGGCTAGCCCTTCTTTCTCTTCTTCTTCCTACGTTCTTCGGAGTATATATCTAGACAAACATACATGCACATGCACACCTATCTCTTTCCCGGGTCATGTCTAGTTTGTGACATTCATGGATCTAAAAAACCTTTTTTGTCTACAATACCCCCTCCCCTGCCTACCTTCCCTATCCTTCCACCTCCATATTGTATTTTTTTCTTCTTTTTCTTCTACTTCTTCCTAATCTGTCTTGTATCTTTTAATAATATAGACGGGATAAGATAGAGATGGGATAAATCGGGATGTTGTAGATTCATTTCGGTCCTTTTCGGTTGCTTATGCCTATGTTTATGCTGTGGCTCGACCAAATGACTAACTGGCTGACCACCTGACCACCTGGCTGACCACCTGGCTGACCACCTGGCTGACCACCTGGCTGACAGGCTGATTGACTGATTGACTGACTGACTGACTGGTTGGCCTGAATGGACATTTTCTGGGATTTCCTACATTTTTTTCCTACTTTACTTCAGTTTGTAATACTAGTTACTAGTTAACTTGTTGATAGTACTATATTATATGCCTCCACGGTCTCAACACTGGTACCACTACTGGGTAATAGCACGGAAATATATACATAAATAAATATTTACTCATGTGTTTGAACTGCAATATATGTATCTACTACATATATATCGATCCACCCATCTCACCGACCCAGTAAATGATTTACTTAACAGTATGATGCGCTTATATATCTATCTCTACGGGACTTACATGGTTGTATGGCAGTTTCCATAATGTTGTATCATTGTTAATGTTGGTTATAGATAGTTGTGATGTGATGTGATGTGGTGTGGTGTGGTGTAGTAAAGGTGGGAGAAGGTTGTATTACAGTTGCGAGACAGTTATCTACTGCTATTACTGCTATGTATGACTACTACTATCACTACGGTACGGTAGGTATGGTGCGATTTTCGAAGCCGTTCGTGACAGAGATAAACCCAGAAGTCATGATCAAGTAAGGCAGGTATTATATAGAGAGGTTAGAGGTACCGTAACAGGAATCTACCAGGTCCCCTACTAAACAGTAGCGTATTGCACATTCAACAAGATTCGCACAATGCATTAATTACATTATTAGATAAAGATATCTATAGTCACTCGTAGTCCCGGAGAAAAGAAACCGGACACACAGACGAAGGCTAAAGTAAGGCAGGACGAGACTCATCAATCTGCCACGAGGAGGAAGAAAGGGAGAAAGAGAAACGATCAATTCCGAAGAAAAGAAGAAAAACCAGCCCAGGGTAATATTTCGTTACGGCGCGAACTCGCGCATGGGATAATAAACTCCAAAACAACACTGTACGCTACAGCATGCATGCAGTCCTGAACACCATGGTTGCTAACAGCAAAGACCAAGAGTGAAAATGAACAGAAGTGATTAAACGAGGAATAGATCTGGTGACGTAGGGTAGGAGGATGATGGCGGTGCTGTACAATTAGCCGGCGATGGCCACTTCGCGGCTATCCCAGATGCGACGGATCATCATCTCCGTTTCATTGGGGAGGAGAGGGTCTTCTGGAATTTCCTCGGGAGAGGAATTGCCCTGGGCGGGTTCGTCGGATGTGGAGAGGATGCGATGCGATGGGTGTTGAGATTTGGGTCCCGGGCCTCCATCGGCGGACTCGTTCACAAGGTCATCCGGGTCTTGGAGGTAGTTCTGGGAGGCCGATGTGTGCATTTCTGGTTGCCTTCTGCCGATCAGTTGTCGAGGCTCCGGGCTGGCACTACTCTCTTGCTGCTTTCCGTCTTGCAGGTGTGTCAGCGCCGGAGCCGATTGAATTGGCTTACTGAGTGATGTGTGTCGCCCTGGGCCAGAGCCATCGCCTTTGGTGTTGTTGAGAATGATGTTCAAACGGTTGAAGCTGTCGCGGCTGGGGGTCTGAAACCTTCGTACGACCGTCAGTTCCAGAGCCGTTTTCTCGTACGCTTTCCGGACATGTTTGGATTCGTTGTCATGCACCGTTCCACTGGCCCTGGTAGATCCGTTTACAAGCGTCCTGCCGGTCTCAAACGGCCCCACGCCCGGTCGTGCGTGGGTTGTAGCAATGAAGGAGGGGTCGATCGTAGCTGGAGACACCGCCGCTGGCCCGCCATGCCCATCGGGCGGCGAAGTATTCAGTGCCGCGGTGCGCTGCAACCAGAGCTTCTGCTGGGTGCGAGAATGGGGCTGGGTGCCTGGAGGTCTGGAAGGGGGAGAGGCTCGTGCCTTCCTTGAAGTGGTGCCGCGATTAGGTGATGGCGGCGTCTGAGGGTGATAGTGTGGTAGGAAAGACGACGGAGTGTTCGGATCTGAATCGAAGGCATGGGCCCCAGCTTTGTTATTATTAATGATAAACTTAGAGACGCCTCCCTCGATAGAAGAGGATGTGGCATGTGTCAGGTTTCCAGGAGTGTTCGAAAGCGTGGTTTGTGACGAGGAAAGAGGGCGCCGTGCACCATCATGACCGGAAGCCAGATTGGTTAGGGAGGCGTTGCGAGAAAGGGAATCCACCACAGTGGGCTTCACTGTGGCCGATATGGAAGACATGGCAGGCGGGGCTTTGGCGGAATGGGACAGACTCAACAAACGAGCTGCAATATCGGCGTGTTCGGCGGCACGACCGGACCCGTCGTGTCTCTCCTCGGTATAGGAAGGCTGTTGTGGATCGTGTTCGTGTTCGTCGTCGTCGTCGTCGTCAGAAAGATGGTCGTCACCGAAACTTCTGATGGTCGACTCTGGGAGGCTGGTCGCGCGGGCGAACTGCGGGTAAGAGCGTTTGACGAACGTAAGGGGGTCTACCAGGACGGCAGGGTTCTCAACACTGTCTTTTGACTGAGCGACTGAGCTACGGCGAGTGCTTTCAGGTGACTGAGTGGTATCTTCCCAGTCAGCGTCGTCGTTGTCCGAATCCGCCAATTCAAATCCCACAGTTTTCTTCTTCCCCGAACTGGTGTGAGGGCGGTCGGTGACTAGCGCTTTCTTCCCCAGGACGCCCGAAGGATTCCGTCGGAGAGCCGGACTGGAGTAATTCTTTTTCATTGAACCGGTGCTTTTCTGGGGTTCATCCAACAGCCCATCCCAGCGGACGTGATGCCCACGCGGGCTTGCAGCGGGCGTCGCGGGGGCGGATTTCTTGCGCTGATGCAGGCGAGCGGAACCCTCCGCAACGGTCACGATCTGCTGGCTGGACTGATGCCGCTGTAATTTGTTCAGGTTCTTGCCGAAGGACGGGTTGCGGTGATGGTTGCGACCGCCACCAACGAGATGGGGACGATGCGGCCGGTGGGCGGCTTTCTGGGTGGTGCTGGAGGAGTGGGAGTGAGCCAGATCGCCTTGGGTGGATGAGGAGGTGGTGCGCGTGACGACCGCGTGTGAGGAGACCGCACGGCGGCCCAGCCCCGGGCGCTTAACGGGGGAAGAGGTGTTGGAGGTCGGCATGGCGGCAATCACAGGCAGGGAGGCAGGGAGACGGGGAGACAGGCAGGCTGGCAGGCTGGCAGGCAGGACGAGGCAAGGGCGTCCGAATGGGGCACGGGAAGCAGCTCCGGATCGGGCGACAAGCAGCAGCCGGGACAATGGCGATCGAGGCGATTGGAGGGCTCATGCACTGGCGGGAACCGACTGGGAGAAGCAACCTCGGTGCCACAGCAGGATGGATCTAGACGCTGCAGGAATTATTGACGGGCGGGCGGGCGGGCAAGCCAGCAGAGGAAAGAAAAGCAATGAGAGACAAGGGCAGGCTGAGTCGATGACTCGGCTGCGCGGGGAAGAGGCAATTGGTGGAGGACGAGAGGTGGTTACACCGAGGTCGGAACGAGAGGGGAGAGGCGAGGAGGGAGGAGAGATTGCGGAGGGAACGAAAGGAGAGAAAGATGCCTCTAGGACAACATTGGGATGGCGAGATGGAGCGGAGGTGGGAGGGGGAAGGGGGACGATGGGAAGATGGAAGTGGAAGTGGAAGTAGAAGTAGAAGAAGAGGAGACGCAGGAAGATTTGCGCTGGGGAAAAGCAAAGGGGAGGAGAGGAGAAGAAAGACGCGGGAGAGGCGGCAATACCCGTCATTACACTGCCCGGATACCGAAATTACCGCCGCCGAGTGCTGGAGTCCAGACCCGATCGAGTAGTTGGTTCAGTGGCTGTCCGCGCGTATCTTCGCCACTGCCGATCGGATTTACAGAGTACTACAGTACTACAGTACTACACTACAAGGGAGCCGTGCCATGGAGGGATGTACATTCAATTTCGGGGCCTGCAAACAACCAATCCGTTTGGTATCATGGTGACAAAACAGTAGTATATAAGAAAGAAAGCATAAGAAAGCATTAGGGACGGAAAACCAAGCCATGCTACCCACGAGACTCCTTGCTGTACTAGGCTACGGCCAGGCCAGGCCACATTCCCCGGCCCCTACAGCTCGATCAGGCTTTCTTCCACGGCGGGCCGGGAAGGCGCCGGTTGCTGATACTGCTGAGGGGGCGCCGGCATGCCCACGGGAGATACGTCCCCAACGTGGTGACTGGGGTGGACGGGGGTGCCCTGCGGATAGGGCGGGAAGGAAGGTCCCTGTGGAGGCTGATGTGGGGCATAGAACGATGCGGTGGATGGGTCGGTCGGCTGATGCTGGAGCGCAGGTTGGCCGTTGGGTTGCATCGCCGGAGGTTCCGCCAGATGCATGTAGCCGGGGGCTGGCAACGGCTCCGTGGGGGCGAGGTCCGGTGCGGACGGTTCATATTGTGAGCTGCGCTGCATGACAGGCGAGGTCTGGTAAGGCGTGTCGGATTCGAACTGTCGGGCTTGCTGAACGGGTTTGGTGTCCTGCTCCAGGGGCGGGGGAGCGGTGTAGTATTGTGCGGGGGCGGCAGACCCGGGGTAGGCCGAAGGGTTGCTGGGGTAGGCCAGGCCGGCACTTGAAGGCTGCGGAGACGCAACGGCATGGGTGCTCCCGTTCCAGGGCGCGGTGGGTGGGATGGCCTGGGAGGGATGCGGGTATGCGCCAGGGCTCATAGTGCCAGCGTGTGAGCCGACTCTGTCGTGCGGTTCCCTTTCGGGCTGGGGTTGCGAATAAGGTGTGCTTGAGCTTTGGTAGGTCTCGGCCACCGGGTTGCCGTAATAGTAGCCTTCCGATCCAGTCTTCCCATCAGGCGCGGGAGCAGGCATCGAAGGGTAGATGTTCGGGTATGGCGAACCACCAGGGACCGGGCCATAACCGAGCGAATGTTGCGAGTATGCGCTGGATAGACGTTCCTCGAGCATGCGATCGTAGTATCGGACAACTGTCGACAGTTTGGCATGTAGGTCAAGGAGTGTATCTGAAGCCAGATTAGCTCTCAACGGAAGAACAGGGAGGGAAGAAGGATGTACCGTGCTTGCTCATAGTCTCTCCATAGCTCCGCGCCAGCTTTGGACGAAGGGCGCCGATGCTCTCATACAATTCTTGGATTTGAGGTTCGCGTAGTATAGTCCCCGGGGGCTGGTGTTGTAGCCGATCCACGAGAGCGGCGAAAAGGTGAATGTTCTCGACCTCAACCGGGCTGAGCTCATACGGGTTCTTGGGTAACGGGGTCGCACTGGGGGTCTGATGGGACGAGGTATCTGAGGACGTTGTGTTCTTCAAAGCGGCTGCATGCTTTTGTTTATGTTGTTCCATGTCGCGTAGAGATGCTTCAATCGCAGCTTTCAGGTCCGCGTCCTCATCTTCCTCGATACTGGCTCGAGTGGGTGCCTTGGGAGGCTCCTGGGCCGGTCGGCTTTGGGGGATATAACCAGCTGAGCCCTTATTCTGCGCCTCCTCTAAGCTCATCTGCAATGCCCGACGCAGATCGTCATCAAAGCCACCCTCTGCTCTAGCCCCTCGGGGCTCCATCACGCTGGACTTGGTAATCGAGTTGTTTTTGAATGCGGACCGGTCCGAAAGCCCGGTCGGGGGGAACGGCTTCGAAGTCAACTTGGCGTAGCATCCATCGTCCACTCGAACAGGCTGTAGTATTCCGAGGTGAGGCAAGGGGAGGGTTTTGCTAGAGCACTGCGCATCGAAGACATTTCCGCAATTGCGGCAGTGGTGCTTGCGGTTCATAAAGCTAAAGGGGGTGCGGCAGCGCATGCAAACGTCGGAGTCAATCCACTCAGGAGGCTTGCGCGATTCACTTATTAGCAGGTAAGCAAAGGCATCGCCACAACAGACCACTTACCGCGCTGCTCTCCAACATGCTCCCGCTGATTTGGGTCTTCGGAGGGAAGCGGAAGCCCTCATCCTGCAGGCGTCGATAGGTCTCTCCGACGTAACTCAGGTCCATACGGCCTTGAGCCGCCATGGCCCAGTCCTGTATCAGCTCCAGCATCTTCGACTTCACGTCCGAATTCAACGGAGCCCCTTCGGTCTTGAGGAGCGAGACGAGATTGTCCATGAACTCGCGCGACGCGATTTCTGCCAAGAAATGGGTGCCGCCATTCTTCACGCACGTATCAGTCAACTGAGCAGTAATGCCCCATCAGTATAGATTCCGTCGAAATGGCGTAGAGCAGCCAACCTTCAACGTTGCCAGTTGTATGTTAGGATTCTTGTTCTCTAGTCGGCGTTTCAAGGATCTCATCGCATCCTTGGGCTGTACCCCCTTCGATCGAATCAGGTCGGAAATTTCTAGGTTGAGAGGGATGTCTTCCCTGCGGTTGCTGTTAGCTCCGGGACGGTGAGACTGGCTAACTTCAATCGCTGCCTGACCGCTGGCCGGCAATCTGAAGACGGAGGATTGGAGACACGTACAAAGAAGACCCGGTGGCCCTTTCCACCTGTTCGTCGATGGGCGACGTTGAAGAAAACCACCCCGCCATGTTGACGGTGCGCAACGGATGATCTGAGGACGGGCGGAGCACAGGATCGCGATGACGTTGGGTAGCAGCGAGGGGAGGGGGAGGGAAGGGGGATGGCCCGCGAGGACAGAAAAGAGAGAGGTGGAGAGGAGATGCAGAGGATTGGCTTGCACACCAGGGAGAATACTCTTCAGGAACAGGCCGAGGTGCCGATGCAGAAGAGGAAGGAGAAGTAATAACAAGCTGCAGGCAGATCCATCGATAACGGTTCAGTGATGATGGCGGGAGGTACCAGTCAGTAGGGGAACCATTGGCCGCCCGATGATTCAGCCGCCGGGCCCCAGGCAGCCAGGCAGCCAGGCCCGCTGGGCTTGCTGGGCTTGCTGGGCTTGCTGCCCTGTGGCGTCATAGGCTGCGGGCGGTGAGTATCGAATACGGCGATACCGTGGATTACACGGTTACGATTACCCCAGAATCAATCCAGCTGCCTTGGATTGATTGATTGATTGCATCGTTCGTTCCCACTGGCAGCTCTCTCTCTCCCTCACCCTCTGCCTGTCTCTCTCTTGCGCGCATCTTGTTTCTCGCTATTCGCTCCCCCGGCTGGCCGATCTCGCGGGTGGTATAGCTCCGTTCACGCGTCCTGTCGTTCATGAGCGCTCCGGGCCTCTCTCTCGGCCCTGTGGTCCTCTTCCGTCCGAATCCTTGAGTTTGTCTGTCATCTTCCCCCCTCCGACCGAGCTCCTCGAGAACCCCCCGCCTCCCCTACCCAGCCGTCTTCCAGGTCATGTGGTGAGACCCGCCGCCTGGCTGTGCTAGAATGTCCTCCGATGCAGCGGCTTTACCCTCTCCTCCAGATTTCGCACCCTGGGAAAACACCAGTCTTCGTCCCCAGTCCCTCGGTGGCATGTATTCGGGCGGAAGGCCACCCGCCGGACTAGGATCATATCATGCCAACAACACCACCAACAACTATGGCGCCCCCTCAGGATCACCTCCGGCACCGTTCCCCAATATCAAGGACCTTCAGGATGAAGCGGCAGCTCTGGACATAAGTGAAGATACTTCGGTAGGTCTCCAGTCTCGATGCGCGTGCCAGTGGCCCCGCAGGTCGCTAATCTCGGACTCGATGCAGCTCAGCGTTTTGCTGGAGAGGGGACAGGTGGCCATCGATCAAGCCCGGGCACTCGCCGACAGCGATCAACTGGATAGAGCATATGTGCAATACCTGCGCGCCTCTGAGATCACGATCAATATAATCCCGCATCACCGCGACTATCGTGTTATTGCCAAAGAACGTCCAGGATGGTACAAACGGTTTGCAGATTTGATGATGGTATGCGATTGCTCCTCCACTGCCTACCTGGAGCTTTAAATTGCTCCAGGTATGGTAGCTGGTTTTTATCATGCATCGACTAACCTGAAGCCCGCAGGCTGTGCGAACGAAGCAAGGGACCATGGACGACATCAAGCAACAGATCCTGGAAAGCAATTTGTTGAGCAATGTGCAGCCGGTGGGGCCCCTTCCGTCAAACTCACCCCGACAAACATCACAGGTATCTTCCTCTGGACCGTTTCGAAGTCCTAGCCCAAGAGGCCGCCCGATCGATGCAGGCAACCACTCCATGCGGATGCCGAGCCCGTCACAATACCGCGAAGCGGCAGACACAAACGCCAAGTTCAATCGGCATTCGAGTCCCGCGGGTGACCTACTTGCCCAAAGATTCGCCAAATTAAAAATGTCACCACCTACTTCGACAAATTTAGGCCCAGCAACCAGTGGACCGAATGGCACTGCCTCGGCACCCCCAGCGCGAGATCGCCCTCCCCGGCCATCGTCCTACATGCATCAAGGCGTACCGCAACGACGTCCTCTAGGGCCTCGCAGCATGGGCTCCTCTCATAGCGTGCCAACCCTTCCCCCGAAGGTGCCTCTTAACACATCCCTTCCCCGCGCTCCGGACCCGGCGTACAGCCCGATCTGGACGGTACCATCGCAGGGGCCTTCGAATCCGCCCCGAACCTCTACTGAGATCACTCGTCCCGTCAATCCAAGATACTCCCAGATCGCGACGTCACCTCGCGGCAGTCCTAGCCGCAACGGCTTGGACGAGAATCCTTACAGAGCCCAGACTCCGAACGGGATACACCAGGTCAAAGAAGTCCGAAGCAGTAGTGCCGATCTTCCCCACAACCCTACAATTGGCCCTCAGCAGTTGCTGGACTATATGCGCAAGTACAATATTCTCCTGATTGACGTCCGTCCACGGGACCAGTTTGATAGCGGCCATATCTATGCCTCTTCAATTCTATGTATAGAGCCGGTGGCATTAAAGGAAAACGTGTCAGCCGAGGAGCTCGAGGAGCGCCTAGTGGTTTCGCCCGAGCATGAGCAGTCGCTGTTTGAGAGACGAAACGAGTTTGATATGGTTGTGTACCATGACCAACGGACGGCATCCGTCAGCTATCTTGCGGGGTCACCGGTCGGCACTTCGGCACCCCATCTTCGAGCGTTATATGACACTCTATACGAATTCAACAACTATAAGCCGTTGAAAGATGGACGCCCCCCTGCACTACTGCAGGGCGGACTTGATGCGTGGATTGATCTCGTTGGCCAACAGTCTCTTGCCACGTCCTCCACTGCTGCGGTTTTGGGATCTCTTCAAGTGAAGAGGCCCGTCAGGAAGCCTGGCCGACCGCTGGGGAGAGTCCCAACGGTCGTCAGTGCCAACTCCAGCTTGGAAGTGAGGAAAAGAAGGCTTCGCGAATACAAGCCTTTGAACCCCCAGGAACTCACTGAATGGATGGAAAAGTCGAAGACGGAGGAGATCGACACTGAGACCTACATTGAAGAGGAGCCGCTCGAAGAAGAACCGGAAGGAGAGCAAGAAGCACCTGTTTCCCCGTTCGTGCATACCTACGAAGACTTTCTACGGCGGTTCCCCGAACCGCAGGGGATGCAGCAGTCGATGGTTGCACCGCATGTTCGGCCAGCCGGGACGCCTGCGCCCAACTATGCCACCCCTGTTCCTGTTGCTCCATCACGGCCTCCCCCTGCCGTTCCCCGGCCCAGTTACAGTGGCGTGTCGGACGGCCGGCAAATCCAACCAACCCTCGAGCGACAAAACTCTGCAACGAAGACGGCTCTTTACACGCCCAGCTCGATGCTGAACCGGCGGAAGCTCCCCCGCACGGGCTTGACCAACTTCGGTGTGACCTGCTACATGAACTCGACGCTCCAGTGTCTGAGCGCAACCGTGATGCTGAGCAAGTTCTTCATCGACAATCGGTTCCGGTATTATGTACAAAAGAACTGGAAGGGCTCGCAAGGGGTTATGCCCGGCTTGTATGCAAACCTGATCAGGTCCCTTTGGAAAAACGACGTGGAGGTGATCATGCCGACGTCCTTTCGCAACTTCTGCGGTCGGCTGAACCAGGAGTGGGCCATTGATCGCCAGCAGGACTCGAAGGAGTTCTTCGACTTTGTCGTCGATTGTCTGCATGAAGATCTCAACGTCAACTGGCAGAGGACGCCACTTCGGCCGTTGACGTTCGAAGAGGAGATGCAGCGGGAGAGAATGCCCGTCCCCAAGGTCTCCCGGATCGAGTGGGATCGGTACTGCCATCGAGAGGAATCCTTCATCTCCTCGCTTTTCGCGGGCCAACACGCGAGCCGTCTTCGTTGCACCACCTGTCAGCGGACATCGACTACATACGAGGCGTTCTATAGCATCAGCGTCGAGATCCCGCCCACCGGGACGGGGGACATCTACCAGTGCCTGCGCAGCTACTGCCAAGAGGAGATGCTGAGTGGTGACGAGGTGTGGAAGTGTCCTTACTGCAAATGCGAGCGGGTCGCGACCAAGCAGATCATCATCACGCGGGCTCCGCAGATCCTGGTTGTCCACTTTAAGCGGTTCTCCGCGTCAAAGACGCAGACCGCGCGCAAGATCCACACACCGATTGACTTCCCTTTGCATGGGCTCCGGATGGATGACTTTGTGTTCGCCTCGCAGACGCCGGGCCAGCCCAACGGAGTGCTGCAAGACCCGGTGGCCGCCACGGTGCCCCCTTTCACGTACGATGCGTACGGGGTGCTCCGGCACATCGGGTCGTCGATGGGCAGCGGGCATTACATCTCGCTGGTGCGGGATGCGCAGCGGCAATGCTGGCGACGATTCGATGACGAGCGGGCGCTGGACTTCAACCCGCGCGACCTGCGGCCCAAAGACCGGCTGCAGAACGAGCAGGCCTACATTGTATTCTACGAGCGGGTTCCCGCGAAATGAGGGGGGGATGGGGGTGCATTTTATATCTTCTCCTAACTCCGCTCGGGTCTCACGAGACGCAAGGACAGATAGATGCATGGTGGTGTCGTGTTCCCTTTTTTTTTTTTTTTTTTTTTTTTTTTCTCTTCCTCTCTCAGTTTTGGTCCCGCGACGAGACGACGATACGCGCTGCATGACGGATGATTTTAGCATATAACGAACTATACCTTTTTGTTTGAGTGTCTTTTTTTTCTTGCCCTGTTTTCTAGATATGTCCCTTTACGTTTTCCAGCCTTCGTCGCATCTTCTTCCCCCTTCAATCTTCAGATGATGAGCCAGCCCTTCAGCGGAATTGACGTTCATTCAGCCCCAGCCCGCGACCGACGACGACGATGATGATGATGAGGATGTATAGATAGATAGAGTGGACTTCTTCAGCATGATACCTCATCATATACCCTACTCATTAGAGTCTAGACCCGTAACCAGAATATATTATCACTCCGGACGGAAAGCGGGGAAACCCAACGTCCGCCTGCAAGCAGAAGTAATACTAGGCAAGTAAGTAGGTAGGGAGATAGTAACTAGTAATCCCGAGCGCGCTACCCGCAGATGATCTTCCCCGAGGTTAAGCAACGGCTACGGTTATGCCGTGTCGAAAGGGCGGAATTACGGGAATGGGAGCCGGATTGTAGATACAGGGTTGGGGTTAATTCCCGAGGGGGTGGCGTTGGGGTTTGGGTTTATATTGATATCCGAGGGTGATCTATCTCGATAGTTAGTATTATTGTACTGATAATAGTCATACTCAATGGCTGTCACAGATAATATCATAATAGATAATAATAAATAAGGTGGTGGAGCAAGCACATGAGAATGATCGGAGGGGATTCCGCACCACTGTTACTATCAACCCACTTTGTTACTGTATCTAAGTAGAGAGACCCTTCCACACTCACTTACTCACTCAGCGTTCATGTCACCGACTAAGTATCTAGTTAGGAAATTATTTCCCGAGTGCACAATGTGCAATGTGAATGATAGTGTGAAATGCTGTGCCGATATCTAGTAAATAAAGACCAACCCGAATAGGCCTAGCCCGGAGCCATCCTCGGGTCTGACTAAGATGCAGAATAAGCCGGCGCTGATTGGCGCATCGGCGCTTTCCCTATCAGGCCACTTTTCCAGATTGCCATTTCAGGAAGGTGTTGGGGGGAGATGGGGAAAGTGAAGTGTGCGGATGGGAGAGACTGAAGGGACTGGAGGGACTGGAGGGACTGGAGATACGGGATAGAGTAAAGAGGAGAAGGGATGTAGATGGAGGCTGGGTGGGTGGGTGCCTGAACAGGCCAGGCCAGGGGGGGCTGCCTCAGGTTGTGGGTGTGTTGAACAGCCGGGGATCAGCTCCGACTCGGAGGCTCTCCTTCTCCTCTCGGCGCTTGCGCTTCTTCTTCTTCTTCTTCTTCTTCTTCTCCTCTTCCTTTTCCTTCTTCCTCGTCAGCCACCCCTCGATCTTCTTCTTCACTCATCCACCGCTGTGCTCCTCTGTCCGCTGTTGTATCCCCGTGCAATCTTTGGTGAGTACCCCCCGCTTGGGTTTGGGTTTGTCTCGTTCGCATTCTGCTTTTCCGCGCCCCGTCCATACACCGACTGTCTGGCCCTCCCTCCGAGGGAGGTGAAGGTGGCCAGACAGCCTGGACAGGACAGTCCCTCTGTCGCCGCGCCCTAACCTCAGCAAATATTCCACATCGGCCCTGTCACTGGCCTTGCACGCCCCATCACACCCCCCCCTCCTCGGACAACAATCTCCCCCGATCGTGCATTCCAGCGTTTCCGAAATTCGTCGCTTATCATATCTCATCATATCAATCGCTAACATGCCCCTGTTTCTCCCTTCCAGTCACTCCCGCAATCATGTCCGACGCAAAGGAACTCACCCTCCAGGAGGTCAGCGAGCACAACACCAAGAAGGACCTCTACATGGTCATCCACGACAAGGTCTACGATGTCTCCTCTTTCGTCGATGAGCACCCGTACGTGTCCCAACCCTATCTCCTACAGATACTTTTCCCGAACAAGTCCACCACGGGAGTCAAGCACACCAACTAACCCCCCACAGCGGTGGTGAGGAAGTCCTCCTTGACGTGGGCGGCCAGGACGGTACCGAGGCTTTCGAGGATGTTGGACACAGTGACGAGGCCCGTGAGATCCTGGACGGTCTACTCGTCGGCAACGTGAAGCGCATGGTATGTCGCATCCACCAATCCCTTCCAACCCATCCATCGATTTACTCATTCACTCACTAACAATCCCTCCCTACAGCCCGGTGACCCTGCCCCCGCGCTCACGCCCAGTCCTCCTCCGGTCCCTCCAGCTCCGGCGAGGCCGGCATGGGCGTTGGCCTCTACGCCTTCCTCCTCGTCGGTGGTCTGATCGCCTACGGCGCCTACCAATACCTCCAGACTGCCTCCGCCGCCGAGACGCAGTAAACGAGTTTACCTCCCCGTACCTCCTTACCTACCTCTCTCTCTATCTTAATACCATACCAAAACCAAACTACACAAACAAATACCAAAAAAAAAAAAGAAAGAAAGATAAATGAAATATGATCCTAAAGACCTTTTCTTTTTTCTGAACCCTGCGCTGCGCTCCACTATTACTGCTACCCATCTTATCTATTTGGATGTGTCCATTTCGGCTGTTTTAGCTAAAATACTACTTCCGTGCTGCAAGCTCTAGGGGTTGCTTAGTGGTTGGGTGGATGATATCCATTGCAAAAATTATTTTTCTTCTTTTATTTCATCTTGTGGTTTCTGCGGCTCGCACGGTTTTTGCATTCAGAGATAAAGTGCAATGTTTCTCGTCTAGAGTGCAATGTCACATGCTTGCTTGCTTGCTAACTTATTTATTCAGCATATATGTTGATGTGTTGGGCGAGGGTTGTAGCAGGCAGGAGAAGATTAGATTTGGTCTTGGCCATGATGATCATGATCGTGATGACGGCTGTTATCTACTACTTTGCCTTCTTTTTAATTGTGGCTGCTAGCATAGCTCAATTGAATAATATGGAATGGACTGGAATGACTGATTGATGATTGATGATTCATGATTGACTTGTACATGACTAGAGGGTGTGTTTCCTTATAAGACACTCGCTTCACTACTACCCCATACTATCTATCTATCTATCTATCTATCCAATGCTCATCGGATAATCATTCATGTAGTGGCATTTATATAGAGTAGTGAGGCCTAATCACAATATTCTCAACGGATGCGGATATGCAGCCGAGCTGCCCGTCATGCTAGCAGTAGTAGAGGTAGAGGTAGTAGTAAAATGTATATAACAGTCTTCTTTTAAGAGAGAGAGAGAGAGAAACATAAGACAGAGATAGAAGGAGAAGGAGAAGGAGATCTTGGGCCGTGAAAATATGGTCCGGTTCGTGCATGCAAATATATCCAATTCAATCCAATCCGATCCAATCGAATCCAATTCATCCAATCCAACACTCACCAGCATCGTCGTGACACGACATGACACTCACCGGGAGTTACCGCTCAAACCAGCGCGGACAGCCTCGAGGATCATATCCTTGGCCTCTTCGAGGCCGTCCTTGCTGCCCTTGATCTCAATCGCCTCGCCCTTGGCCTGGTCCTTGGGGACGTTGATGCGACAGCCAGTCTGCTTGCGGATGGCGTTGATCTGGCTACCGCCCTGGCCGACGACGAAGCGGTAGGTCTTGGGGTCAGGCAGGATGAGGTACCCGGTGGCGGACTGCTGGGAGGCATTGGCGATGGCCTTCTCGAGGGCGGACTTGGCGCGGGCGACGTTGTCGCTCGATCCGGCCAACACCCAGGGGATGGTCGCGGGCTCCGAGGGGTCAGCGGCCGCGGGGCTGTTGTCGACGATCTTCCAGGAGTGGGCATCGAGGGCGTCGGTGGGTTCGTCGGTGATCAGGGGGAGGGAGGAGGCGCCGTTGGCGGCGTCGCGCGAGTCCTCCGAGGCCGGACGGGAGGGAACCTGCTGGCCGGCGTGGTCCACGGTCACGTGGTAGTCATTGCGCAGGCGGCGGAAGAAAGAGCCGTTCTCAGAGATAACATGGTGCAAATGCCGGGGAACCTCGATCGTCTCGCCCTGCTGGTCCTTGAGCATCGACTGGATGTGCTCCTTGGCCTCCGCGACGGCGTTGCTGGGGCCCTTCAGCTTGATCTCGGAGCGTCCAGAACCCTGCTTGGGAATGTCCAGGGTGATGTTGAATTTCGACTCGATGCCACGGCGGGTGTCGCCTCCGCGGCCGATGAGCAGGCGGTGTTGAGAGGAAGGAACCTCCAGGACGGTGGTCACTTGGTCCTCACGCTCCTTGACAAACTCCTCGATGGCAGCAACGATCTTGTCAACAACCTGGCCGTCTCCCTCAAGCTTGATGGCGGAGTCGGTGCTCTCGGGACGCGGGAACCGCACAATGCGAGAGGCACTGCCATCGGTAGGGCCACCGGCGTCGGCGACAATCTTGCGGATGTTCGCACCTAGGTTTGTTAGTGACGGAGGTCAAAAGTGTAGGGGACGGGTACTTACCGCCACTGCCGATGAGCGACTTGTGGTACTTCTTGTCCACCTCAATGGTCTTGGTCACGATAGAGTCGAATGCACCCGAACGCTGCAGCAGGATCTTCTTCGCTTCCTCCACTTGCTGCTTCGTGCCGCGAATCTTGATCTGCACACGGCCCGAATCATCCGGGGCATCGTTGACTCCGGGGACGTCAATCTGAGCACTGGTATCCGCACGAAGCTTGTCCATCTCACGGCCGCGCTGGCCGATCAAAGAGGGAATCTGAGCCTGGGCCACGGAAACGGTCGCCGTGTAGGAGTGGTCAATGACCCACTGCAGCAGGCTCAGGATCTCGTCACGGGCAGAATCGGCACCCTTGCTGGGGCCCTTGATGATAACCTCATCCAGAGCCTGCTGAGGACGGTTGGGGCGAGAGCTGCCCGCTTCGCTGGAGGTATCCGCGTCATCACTGATGCCGGAGGCTGCAGCCCGGGGGAACTGGACGCGGACAGAGTAGCGGTCCTGGAGTCTGTTGACCTGGCTTCCCTTCTGTCCAATCAGTTCACGGTGGTACTGGGCAGGGACCTTCAAGACGTGAGTCGTCTCGTCTTCGAGCTTCTTGCCCATGTTGATGATCCTAATCTTCGCGGCATCGGCCTTGGCCTTGGGTCCCTTAACCTCGACCTTGCCGTTTTCGACCTTAATGTCAACGTCGAATTCATCGCGAAGCTTGTTGATGTTCTCGCCTCTCTTGCCGATCAGGAAGTTCGCAAACTTCTGGGGGAAGTCAAAAGTGGTCGTGTATCCTCTTTCGAGATCATCCTGCTCCTGCTCAACAACAAACGCCTGAAGCTTCGAAGCAAGATCTTCCACAAGGCGGGAGGGGCCACGAAGGGCGACCTCGGACTCGTTACGGGAGGGGCCTTCTCCGACAAGGGCGCGGATAGGGATCGCTTCCTCGCTGGCTTGCTGTTCGCGGATGATGAACTTGCGGACCTTCTCCTGGTACTTGCTCGGGACGCCGACGGTCTTCGCCACAACGTCGTTTTGATCACCCAGGGCGTTCAGGAGATACTCCTGAGCTTCCTGGAGGACCTGTTCGAAGGTGGCGAGTTCGGCAGCGGTAGGTCTCTGGCGGGGGATCTCAAACTGAGGAGCAGCAGCCGAAGGACCCTCGTAAACCAGGACCACATCCGGGCTGTCAACCTCGTCAGGGACAAGGAGGTGAACACCATAGTCACTACGCAACTTGGCAATGCTCTGGGCGCGCAAGTACGGGTGGAAGTAAGGGTCAACCGCGAGGGCACGAAGCCTGGTCGGGGGGTGAGCCTGAACAAGGTTCATGATATCAGACCGCGCACGAATCGTGTTCTTTCCATCTCTGGAGTAGACCTCCCAGGTCACGGGCCCGTCAGAGCTGGGCGGGAGAGCGATGCGAGCATCGTACATGGTCTCCAACTCCTTGATAATCTGGCGTTGTCTGAGGTAGCGGGTCAGGGCGCGAGCGTGAGCGTGGGGGCCCATGGGAGCAGAGGGGTGTTGCCGAGACAGGTCAATGCTGGCCATCTGCATACTTGTCGCAAGGTCCATGGCCCGGTTGATACCGCTCTCGATGCAGTCGACAGGACCGGTGATGGTCAGGAATTCACTCTCGTCGGAGGCAGGAGGCAGCACAATGGCACAGCCAGTATCGGCGAGGAACTCGTGCAGGGCGTCGGCGTTATCGCCAAGGATGAACTGGTGCTGGCCACGGTTGATGGCGAGTTGGCGAAGGGTCAGCTGGCGCTGCAGGTCGACAGCAAGTCTTTCGATCTCGGCACGAGCCTCCTGGGCCGCAAGGCGCTCACCAGAGATACGGATGTGCTTGTCGGGGACCGCCGCGAACTGAACGTGGCCAGGATCAGCCTCCTGGGGGGGAGGCTGGCTGAGCCAGGTATCGTACCGCGGCACATGCACTTGAGCCTTGGTGCGCTCCTCGATTTCTCTCAGGTTGGCGTTGTGGGCGCCGGCGATGAAGGGGAAGAACTCGGGCGGGATGGACTTGAGGCGGAAGTTCATGTTGGAGGAGCGTTCCTTGACAATGGCCTCGATCTCCCGACGAGCCATCTCAGCAGCGACAGCATCACCCTCAATCAGAACGTCAATGGTATCGCTGTCGTCATCCTCGTCCCCAGCAGCTTCCTCCGCACGGGGGACCTGCACACGCGCACCTGTCCGTTGCTGGATGTCCTGGACAACGGCTCCTTGCCGTCCGATGATGTGAGGGCGAGCAGATGTAGGAATGGGAACGCGAACGGATTGCTACACAAAAGATTAGTCCACGTTCCCCCCGAACCAGGAAACGTCCAACGCACCTTAGATCCGACCTGCTGTGCGACCTCCTTCAGGGCCTGTCTGACCGCATCCACGGAGCCCTTACCCTCGAAGATTATGGAGCCACCCGGTCCACCGCGCATGTCCACGTTGGCCTTGGATCGCTTGGAGATGTCGCGCAAGATGTCCCGCAGGGGCTTCTTGAGCTGGCCGCGGGGCAGCATCTGGGAGGGTGCCAGGCGGAGCTGTTCCATGTGCTTTCCGGGAAGGCTGATGATCCGGGGAACCTCAGAACCGAAACCTGCAGGAGCTGACCCCAGATTATTAGCCCAACGAGTGTTTCCGTACACACAGGGTCGGCGAGAACATACCTGCCGGCGAGCCGCTAGCAGCACCGTTGGCGACAGCGGCAGCCGAGGGACCTCTAGCACCCCAAGCAGAGGCAGCGGGGGCCTTGGGCTTCGGCCCACTTCCGAGGGCAGGGAACAATTCCTCGGACTGCACATCAAAGGCCGGGGCCTTCTTGGGAGCTGCCTTGGGGGCTGCAGGAGCCGGCGTCGCGGCTGGGGCCGCCGGGGCGTCGGACTCGGCATCAGGCACCAGGGAAGAAGGAGGAGGGTGCAGGAGGTCATCTTCATCGGGAACATCCTCCACGGTGGGGTTGTGCGCCTCATCACGGGCATGCTGCTCCTCTAGCATGGCTGCCCGGGACTTAGGACCACCGTTGACGTTGACAGAGGGGGCTTCGGAGGCCATTGTGACAGAATGACGATCGGAGGGGAACGAATTGTCGGTGATCGGGTTAGCAAGGCGGAGGGGAGAGCTGGCGCGAATCACTGGGGGCGCTGGAATTAGTCAAGTAAGGCAAGACGGAGGGTCACTGGAGGGCCAAGCATACCGGCAAGCTCTAGGCGTCAATGGAATTATAATTGGCTGTCAACGTGGAAATTAAACACCGAGATCGGTGGTGCTTGGTGCAGCGAAGAAACCGAATGTATAGAGGCGTCGGGCCCAAACAATTGAGAGTCAGGAAGAGAAGAAGGTCAATTGCTATCTGCTGAGGCTAAATGCAAAGATGAAAAATGGAGGGCGCTGGTCGCAGGCCAAGATGAAGCCGAGAAAATGAGGGGGGAGGAGGGAGAAGAAGAGGCGGAGGCAAAAGTGGAAGTAGAAGTGGGAAGGCGAAGGCGGAGAAGGAGGAGGAAAAAGGAAGAGCGGAGGGGGAGGGGAGAGAGGTGAACGGAAGGGGAGTGGGGGGGGGGAAGGCCACAAAATTGACACGATCCAGACGGAGTGATGGAGGTGGATGATGGAGAGGAAGAAGAGAGAGAGAGAGAGAAGAGGAAGAGAAGAGGACAGACAAGCCGAGTGGACGGGGAGCAAAGAGGAAGTCATTCCCTTTCGGGTCATGGCTGGCCCGCGGAGCCGCCGACCCCGAGAGCCTCACCAGGCCAGAGTCTCCCCAACTCTTCTTCCCTCTCCACCGTCTCTCTCCAGTCCCTCGCACATCATCCATCTACATCTACATTCTATCCAACCTCTACGGTACATAGATTTCCAGTGTCCATACTCCGTCCCAATGCGCGCCGATCTTCACTGGACCCATGCCCCACTCAGGAAACCCTCCCCGTGCCTAGCTACTCTATCCCGAGCCGTCACACCAACTTCTATAGGCCTCAACCGCTCTTCGTGAAAAGCAATTCAATGAACGGGTCAGTCGCAGTCGATCGGGCGCCCTGGGCTGCCTGCTCCGTCTGCGTTCTACGTACGGTCGAGTAGTCCAGCCTAGCGCATCTAGTGACAAAACAACAGCTCCTCCATCTCCTCTGAATACAGCACGGCAGGACATTGCCATGTCGCATGTCGCATGTGCCATTCATAATGGCATTCATGCCCCAAGAGCGGCAGCCAGCGGTGCGCCGTCCTGTGAAGCCCAGGATTATCGAGTTGCACGTGCCCAGCAACAGCCTTCGATCCGTAACATCGAGGCCCTCACTGACCCCGTGATACATAACGAGACGACAATTGCCAGTGATCATTCCAACAGCACCTCCCAAGAGCAGGGATTTCTACTCGTGAGATGATTATAGTAGATCGAGTTTTCCCGGATGGTGGGATGGCTTCTGTACCAACTGGATATCATTCGAGACTCCGTGGGGGGACCCCATTCCATTCCTCGAAAACGGTCGAACCGCTAGTGTCAGACTTCAATTGCGACAACTCTCCGCCACGGTGGCGAATAGCTGGAGCCCTTTAAGGGCGCTTCCGTCTATGGTGTGAGATGAGGTGGTGAGGTTATCCTGTAGACCCCCGGTGCACGCCATTCCGACGGCAGATCGACAAAATCCCCGCGTGTGGTCTGTGTCTGACAGTTTGCGCCTTCTCAAAGCCCCCGGGAACAACCAGATGGGTAGATATCTCATAGATATAATCGATCGAGGCTAAGCAAGCCCGATGCGATTCTTCTCTATCAGAGCTGGCGCCTAGATTAGTGCATCCCGGGGGTCTGGAAGCCAGCCAGCCATGACTGGCTAGAAGCTTTATCTCCTTCGACGGGCAGGACGGGTGTTGCGTCCGGGGTTGCCACCGTGCCTTAGCTCATAAAGGGCCTTGTTATGTTATCAGCCCACGTTGCATCGGCGAGCAGTTGGGAGGGGAACAAGCAGGCATCCGCCAAAGAGAGGTTGCATGATCACAACAATGATGCTGTCTTGACCATCTGCGCTTACTTTTGGAAACTCTGTCCTTTGCCTTCCATTTGTGACTGCTGGTTGATTGTCCATCGTTTTTATTTATTTAGTATTTATTTATTTATTTATTTTCTTTTTTATTTTCTTTTTTATTTTCACTCCACCACCAGACAAGCCTCGCTGCCAAGACCTGGCTCAAAGGACCCATAGCAGTCCTCTATGGAGTTATCGACTCTGTACCGTCCTCGCTTATCTGAACCATGATCCTGATCGAGGTCTTTCCCTCTGTGAAGGCACCAGGATTGATTTGGCCGGCAGCGTTGCAGTGAAGCCGACCCACAGAGAGAAGATGGGTACTGATGACCCGACAACGAACAGCGGGAATCTCCGACGAACAACAGTCGAGTCGTAGATAGATAAAACCAGAACCCCGGGAAAAGACTGGAAAGAATGGGGGCTATCAGAGGGTCTACCCCGTTAGCCTGGCTGTTAGAGTCGGCCAATATCTCTGCGCACCTGATAAGAAAATCCTGTCCCACAAATGACAGGCCCCAGATAAAAAGAATGTGGACGGGGGGCACTAGCAACCACCACCGCCGCCGCCGCCGTGGTTCACTGGTTCGCCCTGCCCGCCGCGCCATGGCAATTTTTCTCTTTTCCATACTGTGATCAAATATAAATGCATGGCTCGACGCCGCTTTCTGGGGAAGTGAAGTGAATTGCGAGTTTCCCTCTCAGACTCCCCAATCCCCCCCCCAAACTTGTCCGTCCGGTCAACGTCTCTGTCACTGTCACCCATGGACTACTCCAAATCCCTCGAGGATGGCTCCGAGCCCAAGCTGGCCATGGCTTCGGTGGCAGAAGAGACGCCCGTCAAGCCGGTCGGGTTCTTTGCCCGCGTGCTCTACTATGAGGAGTTGCTGGACCGCAAGATGGGCATCGAGGCGCACAGTCTCGATCGCGTCCTGCCCGAGGATCGCCAGCCCCCCAACACCCTGGCCATGGCCTTCATCTGGGCCTCCGCCACCATGAACATCAGCTGCTTCAGCACGGGCTTCATGGGCAAGGAATTCGGCCTCAACCTGGGCGAGACCATCGCCATCATCATCTGCGCGACCTTCCTCGGCGGTTGTATCACGGTTCGCATCCTGACCTGACCTATCCCGCTTCCTGTCCAATGGCTTACATGTCTGTTCCCAGGGTTGGTGTGCTACGATGGGACCTGGAACCGGTCTGCGTCAAGTCGCCATCTCGCGCTACTCCTTTGGCTTCTATCCATCCTCCATCATCGCGGCGCTGAACGTCGTCGAACAGCTAGGATGGGCATCGGTCAGTTGCATCACCGGCGGACAAGCTCTCCGGGCCGTGTCCGATGATCGCATCTCCATGGTAGTCGGCGTGGTGATCGTCGCCTGCCTCAGTCTCGCCTTCAGCTTCTTCGGGTTGAAAGCCGTCATGGGCATCGAGCAGTACATCTGGATGGTGGCCTTCGTCGTCTTCCTGATCATCTTCGGGGAGTCCGGCCACCGCGCCAGCCTGTCGGACCCAGGCACCGTCTCCGGGTTGACCAAGTCCGGCAACGTGCTGAGTCTCATCAGTGTGGTCTACGGCTCGAGTGCATCGTGGAGTTCCATCGTCTCCGACTTCTACGTGCACTACCCCGTCAACACCTCCCGCACCAAGGTCTTCATCTACACGACCTTGGGTATCTCGCTCCCGACCTGTGTGGGCATGTTGCTGGGCGCCTGCATCGCCTCGGCTCTCGACTCGACCCCGGAATGGGCCACTGCCTACGACCAAGGAATCGGTGAGGTGCTACAGACCATCATCCACCCGCGGCCATTCGCCAAGTTCTGTCTCGTCCTCCTGATGTTGTGCGGAGGTAAGCCCCCCATCCTCCATCCCCCATCCCATCCCATTCTAACCCACCCCAGTCGGTCAAAACTGCATCGCGATCTACTCCGGCTCCCTATCCGCGCAACTCTTCGCGAAGCCCTTCCAAAAAATCCCCCGAGTGATCTGGACACTCATCGTATTCGCGTGCATCATCGTCATCGGCATCGCCGGACGCGACCACCTGCTCACCGTGCTGGACAACTTCCTCTCGCTCCTGGGCTACTGGAACACCTCGTTCTTCGTCATCCTCTTCACGGAGCATTACTTCTTCCGAGGCGGCAACCTGGCCAACTATGACCTGGACGCGTGGAACACGCCGTCGAAGATGCCCATCGGATTTGGCGGGCTCATGGCGTTCCTGTGCGGCGCGGCCGGTTGGATCGTCGGCATGGACGAGACGTACTATATCGGGGCTCTGGCGAAGATGATCGGTGCGGATGGAGGTGATATCGCGAATCAGTTGGCGCTGGTTTTCTCGAGTCTTTCGTATATTCCGTTTCGCATGCTGGAGTTGAAGTTCATTGGGCGGTAGATGGTGAAGATGGAGCGGGGGAGAGAAAGAATGATGATATGATTGATGTGCTTGACTGGGAATACTGTGCACTGAAATCCTTGGTGTATATGTAGCATGTAGAGTAGACATAACCCTGCCATCTTACCCCATTCCTCCCCTTCCTCCCCTTCCCTCCCTTCCATCCCTTCCTCTCTCCCTCCCCGCACCCCAGCCCAGCCAAGAGACGCACCGCACCCGTCCTTACTTCACACTTGCCTACCCACCCACCCTACCTACATCGTACATCATACATCATGTCATACATGCCCCGAAGTCAGACAATCAGTCAAGTCCATCCCTAAGTAGCCTCGGCCCCGCCATGCCCACCCGTGCCTATCTGTACCTACCTCTACATACCCCCTCCCTCCCCACCCCGCCGCCGCCACCATCCTCTGACAGACGCGAGTATGAACGAGCCCTGCATTGCATCCTCTTGCATCATCCCGCTCCTGCACCCAATTGGCGCATCCACCCATTCCCCACAAACACAGAACTCTTGTTCTCCTTATTCTTTCCTTCCTAGACTCCTGAATGCGGGGAAGGGGAGGGTGTGCATGATTACTTACCTTGTAGGGCGAAATGGGTCTAGATTCTTGTGCTTGGGATTGAGGATTGAGGATTGCTTGTGTTAGAGGGATGATGAGAAGGGGGGGGGGTATGATGGGATGTGATGAGAGCTCTGTAAAGCTCTGTACAGCACCATACTGTAGATCCTGCTCACAAGCAGTAGTAGTCCTATCTAAGGTACACAGTTACAATTCAAAGCCAAAGCAAAGGTAGATAGAAGCCAAAATCAAACTCACCCCGAAGCTAACAAGCGATCCATCCATCCCACCCAGACAGATAGATCGAACAGAACAATCTCGGAAATAGTTATTCCCTCTCGCTTGTGATGTTACCGCACATCCCCTCCCCTCCCATTCCTCCAGTAAGAGAAGGCGAATAAGTAAGTACTAAGTAGCTAGGTAGCTAGGTAGCTAGGTCGACTCTAGCTACTCCGTAGCAAAGCGGGTATATCTCGCGATATGCGGGATGATCATCCGATCTGGTTTTTGGGTCTTGATCACTCACTGATCAGTGCGAACTTCTAATAGTAGGATGGAGATGGATCCAGTAGTTAGCTAGATAAGCTAAGCTACACGAACCAAGGTTACGGGTACCGAGGTTGCTCTCTCACTAGTTATAGTACCATCACACATCACCATCACCATCACCATCACCATACCACTAACGTCATTACTACCATTATCATCCTTACTATGGTAGGGAATAGATAAAGTAGGCAAGTATCATCTTCCCCGCACTTTTGTTTTCTGCCATTCAAGGTCTTTTTTTTTCTTTCTTTTTTTTTTTCAGCTTTCAGGGCGGGGGTTGCTGAGTTTGAGTTGGAGTTGAAATTGTTAGGTATGGCTTATTCAGCTTATCCATTAACTAACCATCCATCATCCAATTAGTATCTATCTGCGACCGGCTGGATGGCTGTGCTGAAAAAAAAGACTCAAGAGACAGCCCTCGACTCTGTCTTACTCTTACTCCTACTCGTAGTACGTATGTCTTAGACAGACAGCAACGCACCGACCTACCATCTCAAGACAAGACAACCACCGACAGCATCATAGCACCCCACAGCACACCACACCACGCCCAGAAAGTCGAGCACTGAGTAAGTAGATAGGTAATAGTTAGATAGTACTAGTACAAAAGAAGTAGGTTTGCTTCGGTGTTTCGCGGCGGTGGTTAGTGATTTTAGCGGCGGGGTGTTAACTAGGTTGGTGTGGTGTTGGTACTGACTGTAAATATTACTACCTGCCTTACCTAAGTACATATCCGCCGAGCGCAAAATTGCACTTACCTACTACCCACCTAACCATGATATCCTCCTCCCTATTTGAGATAGTCAGGTTGGCACTATGCTTCTCACGGGCTAAGTTATTGGGAGACATCCACCCATGGATGGATATTTTCTCATCACTATTGCAACTCATGGGTCGATTGGGAGTTCTAGAAGTTCAGTACTGTTTTCGAGAAGGAGAAAGAAAGGACCGGAGGGGGGGGGGGGTGGGGTTGGTTATGTAATATATTCTCCGTATCGATCTTACGGGACGGGGGTCCAATTATTGGGGGATCGAATGGAAATATCTACTGGTGGCAGGGACAATCATTAGCTGGTGGACTCTTAATGGGATTTGGGGGTTTGGGGTTTGGTCCAGTGTGGTGGAGGGTATTGGATAGTTATCAGTTTCATGTATTAGGAAGGAGGTACAGAGGTAAGTAGGTTAATATAATGACAAGTGGTATACTAGACAGGCCCAGACCCAGACCCAGACCCAGACTCATGGCATGTGTCGCGTTTCAAATGACTCTCGTCTTTGATTGTTAGACTTGTATACCGTATCTATGTGAAAGGGATGCCAAAGCAAGAGATGAGATTGAAGGGTGACATGGTGGCGGCAGAGAAAAACCGATGAACCATTCACCAGAATAAGGGGAAGCGGTCTTGAGTTTCAGGACGGGGAGTGCCATCAAAGAGAGCCAGCGGCCAGCCTCACAGTCAGTAGTCACATTGTAAGAAGCAGGAGTAAAATAAATTGTCTTTTGGCTACGATGGTGCCTGCTAGATACCTAGGTATAGGACTTACATAGTTACCTGACAGTAGGAGATAGATAGTAGGAGTCACAGTATAGTATGTATTCACGGAGCAATGGAAGCCTACCTTATCAGACCGCATACATAATATTGAATTCGCAAGTCCGGGCGACAGGGCGGATATATACGGTGTGGCGCATATTGCGGCGTATTGGAGGAGTAAATAAATAATATATCAAGTAGTCCTACGTAAGTAAAAGGCAGGCCAATCCACCACCCGAGAAGGTTGAGCTGCCCATATCCGGATTCCAGATCGAAACTCGTTGGCGATGACATCAGACCACACAGTCGACACTCGAGACAAGGTCTCGGGTCCTCCGTTCGGATTCTACGCAGGCCTCGACCGGGAATGAAATGACGGGATTTGCCGATCGCGCCATGGCAGTTTGGAGTAGACTGGTCACCTTTACTATGTGTAGGTATATTATTGTTATTATTATTATTATTATTATTATACTATTATTTCTCAATCTCGGAGTCTGGAGGTGGGCGCCGAGTGGACGATTGCAGCGAAGTTTCACATAAGGAAGAAAGAAAAATGATATATCAAAATGACAGAGCCGCGAGGCGGGATCGACGCCTTCATTCTGAGGTTCGCGGTGGAGGACATCGGACGGGATGGGACTTACGGCCGTACCCATGGCAGATGATGGCAGATGGCAGTGGCAGTGGCAGTGGCCGCAGTGAACGCCTGTGTCAGTGGTTGCTGCTGTTGCAGATTGCAAGGACGGAGTAAGTACCTCCAAAGTACTTTGTAGGCAAGGTACCTAGGTAGACAGATAGGTGGTGTATCAAATCATCAGGATTTCCTCTCGTGGAATTCGCCCACCAGTCATATCTGATATGCGCCGCCTGCCTCACCCGGGACGAGCCGTCCAGAGATGATGGCTCATTAAGGGGGCAGGGAGAGCAAGCAAGACATACTGTACGTACATGTGTGACTCGTCGGGGTATCTACTGTACTCCGTACGTAGGCACATCTTCTCGACGTCTGCAGGTGCAGGGGCGCACGACGACTGGGAGGTTCTACATGTCCGGTCGGTTTAGGACGATAGGTACTCCAATAGATAGATAGTAGATAGGTGGCCCATTGTCTGTACATCGACTGTACCTGCAGAGTTTTCAGCAGACTAGAAGAAGTAGCGACCCCATGGTGCAGCGGGCTCCCAATCATTGAGATGTCGGGATAGGCAACTGAAGCGGATAGTTCCTGGCCTGGGAGCCTGGGAGAGTGGGAGTGGGAGTGGGAGTGGGAGTGGGAGAGGGGGGGTGGTGAAGATGACGCTATGGGAGACCCGATCCATCAATAATGAAGCTAATATTGGTGGCTGCCCTGGCCCATGGAACGCGTACCCACAGGGTTATGGAATAATGAAAGGAAGCAGATTAATTCGACGGGAGGGAGGGGGGAGTGGAGGAGAAGGAGGTCGGGTGCGGCAGAAGTCGGTTGGAATCTCTGGCGCCGTGGCTACGCTGGATTCGAACAGCCCCGCCTTTCCTAGCGTGGCTTTATAGTCCGCACCGCTTCATCTGTCTTGAGGAGATAGATATCTAGTATCTGACTGCGTAGACGGGTAGGCAAATTGTACCTAGGCAGGGATCATTCCGACGGATGGGCTAGCTTTCTTCGGGGTACTACTCTGTAAGTTGTCTCTCACTTTCTTCCCTACCTACTTAGTCTTGATGATATCCACCTACCCATCTATCTGACTGTATCAGTAAGTATGGACGAAGATAAAAGGCAGAGGTGGAGTACTCCCAGTCAACTGCTCCACCGACGCCAACGGGATGGATGCGAACCGGGGTCCAGCATAGTCCAGGACACGTCTAGAATTTTTCTCTTTGCCTGGTCGCACTCTTTACGGAAGCTGAGACAGTTGATCCCTCCCGGTCGGGTTGGGACGCAAAAGTACGTCCAAGTTGATGAGTAGTTAGTAGTACTGCCTGACCTGGGTAAATGTACCTACGCTACTCTGTAGTGCCTGAGGAGGTACCAGCCAGTAAGTACCTAAGTACCTAATGATCCAAGTAACTACTCCTACTAGGGAGTAAGGTAAGTCTCATATCCCAATGTGATTATCTACACGGCAGTTGTAGGCGTGGGACAGAAAAAGGAAGGAAGGCAGGTTGACCGCCCGATTGCCAACACTGATGATTGTTACCATACGCCGTATGAACAATACACCAGACGGGCCGTTTTGGCACTTGCTGGTCCCCATCGACCGGCGCGGCCTCCAATCCGCAATCCTCAATCCCCAATCTAAAGCGCTGCTGGATCCTCCCCCCCCCCCAATCCTCATTCCTCCATCGTCCTCGTCCTCGTCCTCGTCCACCAATTCTCCGTCTGTTCTCCTTTCCTCACCTCTCACCCGTCATCGTTGGGTCTCCTGCCATTTTCATTACTCTCCCCCCCTCCCCCCCCTCCATTTAACCACTCAGTCTAGTTGGGACGGCGGTTGCACGGTTGCTTTTTTGGTGCTGCAGATCTGTGTGCTGAGCTGTCGGTTATCTGCAGCGTCCTGCATCCAGTGAATCGCCCTCTCAGGCCCTCCCTCACCTGCTCTGCTTCCTTTTTCCTTCATCTCCGAACCCAGTCACCGCCTGTGTCAGTGTGTTGGACCTGTTGGCTACACTGTTCTGATCCATCCAGCGGCTCTCCACGTGCTAACCGCTGGTTGACGGTAGTCCGCCGCAGCTTCTGTCGCCCTCCCTTGCGTCGTTCAGACATTCTGGATCCTCTCACATCTCCGATTCCTCCGTTCCGCCAACGATACTCGTCCAGTTGGGGCTATCGATCTGACCGTGCAGTATCACCACACCACCGCCCCCCTCCCCGCCAGTGGCCTTGTCCCTCCACCCTATCGTCAAGCCCGACGGTAGGGACAACCGGTGCGCGCACCGCCTCACCCCGTGGCTTCTCCCCTCCCACCCTCTCCCTCCAATCACACCAGCAATCTCCCCGTCGCTCAACCCTGCTGCGCACCAGTCGGCCGAACTGTCCCTCCACCCTCCTTACCCCCCCCCCTCCCCCTAATTCTCGCACGTCATGAATCACGATAGTTTTTCCTCCCTCAAATTTCGACGCTCGTCAAGCAAGCTTCAGAAGGACCCCCCTAGTTTCACCTCCCGCATCCTAAAAAGCCAGCAGAGCAACACGTCACTAAAGCGCCACCCCTCAGCCCCCGTCTATCCGCGTTCCTCCACCGGCGGGAGTCGAGAGCATTCCCGGACGAGGTCGAACGCCTACGGGTCATCCTCATCCTCCCTCGAGCAGAACAGCGGCGGTCCGTCCCCGGTGCTCGCAGGGACCCAGCCTGGTTACTTTCCGAATAACCCCAATTCTGCCAGATCCCGCCCTCCCCCCTCCGGCCGATTTTCCCTCAGCGAGCAGAGCTCAGATGAATTGATCGGCACCCCGTTTGATAACCGGGGCATGCTTAGTTCGCTGCAAGAGAACACCACCGAGACCGTTCCCCAGAAACCCTCCACCCTCCGCTCCGCCACTAGCCCCGACACCCGAGGATTGAGACAATCAGCCAGCTTCACGGCTCTACAGAACCGAATGGAGACGTTCGTGCATAGGAATACCGAGAATGACCGCCCGGCGAATCCGAAACGCCTCTCCGACGATGGCGTGGGCTCCCGGCCGTTTGGCTCCGGCCGCAGCAAGAAGAGCAGCTTCTCTAGCTTCGTCAACAGCATGCTAGGTTCTCCCCGAGGCATCAAGATCTCCGCCCCTGAAAATCCCGTGCATGTCACCCACGTTGGTTATGACAACCAGACGGGCCAGTTCACGGGTCTTCCCAAGGAATGGCAGCGGCTGCTGCAGGAGAACGGTATCTCGAAGAAGGAGCAGGAGGAGCACCCGCAGACCATGGTTGATATCATGAGATTCTACGAGAAGAATGCCCAGGGAGATGATGAAGTGTGGCACAAGTTTGATCATGCTTATCCGCAGCAGCAGTCAGTAGCCACCACCCCTATCTCCGGACCGACCACCGCTGTTGCCAGTCCCTATGGCTCGTCTGCGCAGCGGACCTCCCCCCCGACGAGTCCCCGCTTCCCCCAGAATCATGAGGGTAGCTTCGAGAACCCCCGGGCGCCGCCGCCGATTCCTCAAGGTCGTGGTTCGTCCATGGCGTCACCGGCGATCACACCACCAGTGGGTGGCTTTGTCCCCAATCGGGCACCGCCAAAACCCCCGACTCCGGCTAATATGACCCCTGCTCGGCCTGCCCCTCAGCCTCCCACGACTGGCTCGTACACGACGGTGCCGGCACGCCCTGTCCAGGACGCGTATGCCCCCCAGTTTGGCACGCCACCCATTCCGGAGACGGAGCCGTTGCCGCCGGCCGAGGCTCAACCGCAACCACAACCTCAACCTCAGCTGAGCAGGTCGAACTCCAAGGCCAACGGGACCCCCGTGCAATGGCCACCCCACAATATCCCCACCCCGACCCAGTATCAGCAGAAGCAGGAGCAGGCCATGGCGGCTGCCCAGCAAGCGATTGCCACTATCCAGCTTGATCGGAGCCGCAGTCAGCGCCAGCAACCCCGCCACGAACCCAAGCAGTCCTCGGTCCAGACCCCTCCCCAGCATGCTTCGCCCATCGATGAGGCTGCTCGTGCCGCTCCTGCAGCTCGCCCCCGGCAGCGGGCTCGTCAGAGCACCGCCATGGATATTAGGTCACGACTGCTGGCCATTTGTACCCCGGGTGATCCGACCAAACTGTACCATCATCTCAACAAAATCGGTCAGGGTGCGTCTGGTGGTGTCTACACCGCATACGAGACCGACTCGAATAACTGCGTCGCCATCAAGCAGATGAACTTGGACCTGCAACCTAAGAAGGACCTGATTATCAACGAGATTCTCGTGATGAAGGATAGCAAGCACAAGAACATTGTCAACTTCTTGGACAGTTACCTGCACAATCTGGATCTGTGGGTGGTGATGGAGTACATGGAGGGCGGCAGTCTGACAGATGTTGTCACCTTCAATATAATGAGTGAGGGACAGATTGCCGCTGTCTGCAGAGAGGTTAGCATGATTTTAACTCGAGTTCCCGATCGGACGCTAACCCCACCAGACTCTGGGTGGCCTGCAGCACCTTCACTCCAAGGGCGTCATTCACCGTGACATCAAGTCGGATAACATCCTTCTCTCGATGGACGGTAACATCAAACTCAGTGAGTCATTGCATTGCCTTTTTTTTTTTTTTCCCCCTTTGCGGGCGCAATCTAACAGGATACAGCCGATTTTGGTTTCTGCGCCCAGATCAACGACTCGCACAACAAACGGAACACCATGGTCGGTACCCCGTACTGGATGGCGCCTGAGGTTGTCACCAGAAAGGAGTACGGCCGGAAAGTCGACATCTGGAGTTTGGGTATCATGGCCATCGAGATGATCGAGGGCGAGCCTCCTTATCTCACCGAGTCGCCGTTGAGAGCGTTGTATCTGATCGCCACCAACGGAACGCCCACGATCAAAGACGAACAGAATCTATCTCCGGTCTTCCGGGATTTCCTGCATCTTGCCCTCAAGGTGGATCCGGAGAAGAGAGCGTCCGCACATGATTTGCTGAAGGTATGGGACCCGTGTCTATTGAGTTGAACTGTTGCTAATTTGTTGGCAGCATCCTTTCATGTCGGTTTGCGCCCCCCTAAACCACCTGTCGCCTCTCGTGAAGGCTGCGCGGGCCAGCCGAGCCCAGGAGAAAGCCCAGAAGGGAGGCGCCTAGGTGCCATCACATCCTCCAGTTCCTGTATACGTTGATGCCTTGTGTCTTCTCTCCCCCAGATACCCATTACCCTGATGTTTCCTACCTGCTGAACAGCGACATGCTGGCATTGCATAATGGCAAATTCTTGTTCGCGCATTCCTTCCAGTCCGCGGTTCTCGCATCTCCTGTGAATGTCTAGATGGCGATGATCTCGGATGACGATTCTTTTCCTCTTTTCCATCTTCGTCCGCCTTGGGGTTCCGCGTCTCCTCCACTGGGCCCCCTTGTACCAGATATCCCCCCACGAATCCCCACGCCTGGTTCGTTCCTTCGATGTCGGGGTTGAGATGACGGAAGATGAGTGTACAATCTTGTTTGGGCCGTGCCTGTCCCTCCTGTTGATACTGTTGATTCCCGCGTGTGCTTTTACTGTCATGCAGCCGAAGCTCAAGATGACGCTTGACGCTTCACCTAATGAAGGCGGCGCATAGTTTTGGAGCGGCTCTGCGCCCTGTCTTACTGTTTCTCCGCCCGCTGTTGATGGCCCCCCTCCGTTTTCCCAGCGACCCCTGTTCCTGATGATTCATGAGACATCTGCGACTGTTTTGACGACAAAAGAACAAAAGTGTGGCCTTCTTGTCTCCTTACCGGCCTGTCTGCTTCTTGCTCATTTTCTGCCGGCTCCGGCGAGCCGGGCTGCGCGCAATCTCCATTTATGATATGACTGGGAGCCCGCTCTCATTGACGACTAGTGTTTGAGCGGTTACATTGATATAGAGGGATCTTACCATGGTACCATTGTTTATGATGACCCGACTGCGTTGAAGCAGACGTTCCTTTTTGTTACCCACTAGGCCCAGGAATTCCACATGGGGTTTAATTATCCGGCTGTCTTTTCACTGCGTAGATATATTGTGTTGTGTACTACTACTCTATCGTCAACGCGGCAGGCGATGCCCCACTAAGACGGAAAGGGGCGGGCCCCGCTTAATCGGGCGTAGCGCACCAGTCGGCGTCAGAGGCGCCGCTCGCCGCTCGTCGCCGCCCATCAGCTGCTGGGCGCGCATCAGGTGGCAGCCTTGTTACAGACTTGCACTCTTGCACTCCTCAATCTCCGTCTCCATCTCCGTCTCCCTCCCTCCCTCACCTGTACCTTGCGCCGTCGCATGCCCTGACCCGGTGGTTGTTCTCTGTCCCCGAGAAAGTCTACCGCCCACCGCCCCAATTGACTGACCGACCTCCCTCCGCATCTCCGTGACCCAACTGCGTCCCCCCGCATTGGACATCGAGACTGGGAACTACCACCCCGGCACTATCAAAACCACCTCCTGTCATTACTGCTCGCTCGTCGCTTGCTAGGACAGCACCGAATCTTACCCCCTTAACACCCGATCCATACCATCTGCACCTGTTTCGTTCGATCCATCGTGACCGCGGCTCGGTGTTGAGATACCCATAATGTTTCGCGCACAGCAGAACGCCTTCGACGATGCCGTCGGTATGACACCCCCTGCCTGCCTCCCTTCACGCTGTTCGCTCCATCCATCACTACAGGCTTACTGATGCGGGGTTCTATTAGCCAAGGCGACCGACGAGAACCTGACTTCGGAGAACTGGGAATATATTCTGGTATGCAGCCTCGCAGACCCTCATCTGGCGGACTGGTCGAGGGGGATGATCTGACATGGAACCTTGGATATCTAGGATGTTTGTGACAAGGTTGGCGCGGAAGAGTCGGGGTAGGCCTATCTTCTCTCCCTCTGGTGCTTTACCAGGAGTCGATGCTGACGGGGGCTATCGCCGATAGACCGAAAGATGCCGTCGCGGCGATGATCAAGAGACTTGCGCACAGGAACGCCAACGTGCAGCTATATACTTTGGAGGTTCGACACCCTGTGAATCTGCATCGATTCTTATAGCTTTGCGTTGATCGCGCCGATGCTTACGTATACATATGATTAGTTGGGAAACGCCCTGGCTCAGAACTGCGGCCCGAAGATACACCGTGAGCTGGCGTCCAGGAGCTTTACAGATGCGCTTCTTCGTCTGGCGAGTGACCGGGTAGGTTTTGTTGTGTGTTTGTGTGTGTGGATGGGCCATGCTGATGATTGTTCAGAACACCCACCAGCAGGTCAAGTCCAAGATTCTCGAGCGGATGCAGGAATGGACGGAAATGTTCGCGAGCAACCCGGATTTTGGAATCATGGAGCAGGCATACATGAAGTTGAAGACTCAGAGTAGGTTTATATGAGAGACTAGTCGGTGGATGCGAGGCTTACTATCGTTCGACAGACCCGAACCTGCAGCCTCCGTCGAAGCCCGTTAAGAAGGAAATCACCGATGTCGATCGCCAGAAGGAGGAGGAGGAGCTGCAAATGGCTCTGGCGCTTTCGATCCGGGAAAAGGCCACGATAGGTCCCGTGGCAGCCTCCGCGGTGCAACCTGAAGCCAGCTCCAGCGCCAGCCCCAGTGCCGCCCCAGTCGCCCAGACACAGCCGCCCGCATCGCAACCAGTCCCGTCGGGGACTTCCGCTGCTACTGTCTCGCGGGTCAGGGCATTGTTCGACTTCCAGCCCTCCGAGTCCGGTGAGCTGCAGTTCCGCAAGGGTGACGTCATCGCTGTTCTGGAGTCCGTGTACAAGGATTGGTGGAAGGGGTCTCTGCGAGGCCAGACGGGAATCTTCCCTCTCAACTACGTCGAGAAGCTGCCCGACCCGACGGTGGAAGAGCTGCAGCGGGAGGCCCACATGGAATCCGACGTGTTTGGCCAGATCAAGAACGTTGAGAAGCTGTTGACTCTGCTCAGCACTCGCAGCTCCGAGCTCAACGTGCAGGACAACGAGGAGATCACGGCTCTGTATCACTCGACGTTGGCTATTCGACCCAAACTGATTGAGCTGATTGGAAAGTACTCGCAGAAGAAGGGTGTGTATCGATGGACCTCTTGTATTCCGGCCCTGTTGTGTTCCCAGCTAATCGTGCGCAGATGAGTTCACGCAGCTCAATGAGAAGTTCATCAAGGCTCGCAGAGATTACGAGTCTCTTCTGGAGGCATCCATGGCACACCCGACGCAGCCCCAGTTTGGCCGACCGGCTCAACCTCCGTATGCCTACCCTGGGGTCGCAGCCCCGGGATACCCCCAGGGACCGCCACCCCAGGTCGATCCTCAACGTTACTTCAGTCCCCGTCCTCAAGGTTTGTACTTCAACCAGCCCTGAAAGCAGAGACTGACATAGAACAGACACGCAACCCCCCCAGCCCAACGCCGCCGCATTCTATGGTGCCGAGCAAGCCAACGTCTATCCTCCCACCTCGCAGTCCCCGGACCCCCGTCGCACGCCTCCTGTCGGACCCCCCTATCCCCAGCAACGCCAGTCCTCCGCCGAGTCCTACCAGCCAGTTCATCACCGTCCGGAATCCACATACGACAACCCTCAAGAACTAGGCACCTCGGTTTACGACTCCCCGGTGGAACAACACCCGCCCGGAGCCCAGCGTCTTCCATACCCGGGACAAGTACCAGTGCCGGCCGCGCTTCAGCAACACTTCCAACAGCAACACCAACCCCCGCAACCAGAGTACCCCCCACCGGCTACAGCCCCGAAGATGCCACCCGACCCCCGGCGGGCGCCACCCCAGTCCACCCCGCGCAGCCTCCCTACCCGTCCCAGCAACCGCCCATGCACCAGCCCCCGCCTGTCCCAGGCACGTCCACCACCCCGACGCCCTACCCTGCCCTGAACACCGGCGCAGGGGCCTATCAGGCATACAACCCATCGCAGACCGATGTGTCGAACCCCGCTTCCTACTACCGGTGAACGTCGCGGGAGACGGGTCGCGATGTCCGAACGTGTACCATTCATTGCATTGGCTTCGGTTAGCTTGCTTGTGGTGAGATGCTACGTCATCTCCCTGCCGGGCTTGGTTGGGGAAGGGGACGGATGTGCTATTAGCGTGATTTCTCTCACTTCGGTTCTGGTTCATTGACCATACGGTCGATTCGGGTGGGGTGCTGAGACTGGGGAAGATACTTGTGATTTAATGGTAATGCAAGAACTGAATTCCATTGTGCGTGCTCTGTAGACGAGTACATCTCACCGTAGACTCGCAGCCGAGCCAAGCGGACTGTTCAGTGTATTCCGCTCAAAGGTTTTGTCAGCGGAGTGGTCAGCCTGAGGCCAGTCGGTGTCTGGAGTGGCTGCCTTCGCGGTCTCGCGCGGCTTGCAACCACTTCTCTCCTTCTCTCCTCCCCTCCCTCTCCTTCAGCTTCAAAACGAGTTCAAATGATGGTCTTTCTGTTCGAAGACATTCGCTACCACTTGCCTTGCTTCGCTAGAGAGAGAGAGAGTTGGATGGATTGGAGGGAGAGGATTTGTCTCCTCACTGATGGGTGATTCACCTGCATTGGATGCTGGGGTTTTGCCCAAAGCCTCTTGTTGTCTGTTGATCTCTGTCCTCGTCGAGCTTCCAGCGTCCCGCGCTTGCCTGTCACCCAGCCGACACCCTATCAGGAACGTGCGGCATCATTGCCATAATGCAGTAACTGGAATTTCATTGGTACGTATCACATAGATATTATCTGGCCCAAACTGACATGATCTGATACCCACAGCTTCCATCATAGTATTTTACTCGTCCCCTATCAAGCCAGGCAAAAAGTCACTCCCATACTATAAAACCATATCAAACCATCCAACAAGGCCACAATCAGTAACCAAAATAGGCCAACTTCCAGGGACTTGCAAGAGGCAAATCAGCACACTTGTGGATCGAAAAGCGATACCCCTCCTCCCTGATCTCCGGGCAAGCAATCTCCCCATGAGCCGTTGCCTTGGAAGAATCAAAGTCGAGATACCCAACATGCGAGCTCCCCACCGCAGGTCCCTTCTTCAATCTCTCTCCATCAAGAACCCGTCCAGCCCACTGAAAATACAACTGATGAGGGCGAATCGCGTCCCTAAAGCGGAAGACCGAAGGGCGTTTCCCCCGGAGCTTCTTGTCGCAGTCATCCCAGTCGTCGTGACCTTCGTGACCCACATGCTCCTGCTCCGCGTCCGCGTCCTTAACACCCATCTCCTCGCGCAGCCGACCAACCCCCTCTCTCGAAAACGCCAGCAAGATCGTCCCCTTGAAGAGTCCGAAATCAACTGCGCCCACGACTCCATTCACAGCGGTCTTCGGCTGGATATCCAGAGTGAGTCGCTTATCGGTCTTGATATCCTCGCAACGAACGATATACATTCCCATCAGATCATCCAGCTTCAGAGGACCGAGCGGCGCGAGGTGGGATCGCAGGTAGCTTTGATGCGCCTCGAGGTGTTTCTGCTGAGCGAGGTCCTCGGCCGGAACACTGTTCATCTGGGTGGTGTTCGCATCGTCCCATTCTTTCTTGTCTTTCAGGTAGGCGGCTTGACGTTTCAAGAACTGTGCGGAGAGCCCGCTTTCGAGGTTCGTCAGTGACGGGGAGGGGCGCAGGAGCTGGATGTGGTTGGTTGGTTAGCTGTTCGCTGAGATGGTATATTGATGAAGGGAGAAAAAAAGAGAACCGCTCGACTCAGAGCTTCCTAGGAAGTCCTGACGTATATTGAGCAGCGAAGAGAAAAAAGACGGAAGTTTACCTTTCCAGATCGGTATGCGCTCTCGAGCATGCTCCTGAGATGCGCGGGAGAGCTAGATTGATTGAAGGTGATACCCCAGAGCTGCAGCTGAGCCTTGATCCATTCGTCCGTGGCCAGGCGGCGAGCAGTGGGGGCAGGGACCTGGCGCAGGACGTCGGATAGGACGTTGGGGGGAGCTCGTGAGAAGCCACCAGCTGTAAGGCCTTTCTCGCCGTAGGCGAAGACGCCCAGCTTGATAGGCTCGGGGGCTTTGGGACAGCTTGGATGGGATTCCATGGCGGGGCGGGGTGGAAGGTGAGAGTGAGGGTGAGGACAAGTATGAGGATGAGGATGAGTGTGAGAGAGAATTGGCTCGGAGAGTGGCCATCCTTTCAATAAGGGGGGAGGGTCGGGGGTCGCATGACTTGGGGGTATTCAATAGTGAGTATCTTCACTCAGACACGGCTGGGTTGAACCATGAAAACTCTCTGATATTGGTCCTAGGTCTGATGGAATAGTGGTAGACACTGAGATGACGTCCGAAGCCAAACTTGGAGCAGCATGCACTGGCAATGCCTGCCACATCTGCACTCAGGGAATATGACCGTGCAGTGCAGTTTGCCAGCTAACCTGGACCCAGCAAACCCAGCCACAATTCACCCATCGCAAACCCCTTAGACAGACAGACAGGCCATCACTCCGTCCTAATCAGCAACTCCGGATGCTTCTCCTCATCATACCACTCCCCCGATCCCCTCTGCACCGCCGGCCGATCAGCAATCCTATCCACCCAAGCCGCCAGATGTGGCAACTTCGCCAAATCGTCTTCCCCCAGATCGATACTCCTGAACGTGCGGAGCCACCCCCACGCATTGATATCCGCAATGCTATACTTCCCTTTCCCCGCCCCAGCCAGGTACTCGCGCGGACTGTCGGTGTATTTTCCCGACAGGTGGATTTCTAGCACGTTGTATATACGGAGGACTTCGTTTTTGAAGCGCTGCGCAGCGTCTATATCATCATCAGATTAGCGAGGCTGGGTTGAGTCATTTGGGAGAGAGTCGTTGGGAAGGGAAGAGGATGGACAACATACGAGGACTCTCATCAATCGCGTTCCTACGGAAGTAATTATACTGTCCCTGGATGGGCTGACCCGACGCATGCCAGAAGATAAGCCATTGGGTGAGCTGGCTCTGCTCGATGGGGTCCGAAAACCCGAAGATGTGGTCTTTGTCCACGGAGGAAAGGAGGTAGAGCAGGATGGCGGAGGATTCGAAGACCACGTGTGGCGGGGACTGGGTGTTGTCGATTAGGATGGGGATGCGGCCTGGGATATACTGTAAGTTTCTCTTTTGTTGCTGTTGGATTTGTAGTGGGCTAAGTGGAGGAATGGTGGAATGGGAGGATGGGAGAGTGAGGGGATACCATTCGGATTCAGCTTCAGATACCACGGCTTCTTCTGCTCCGCGGTATCCAGATCAATCAGACTGGTCGTCCACTCTAGACCGTATTTATCTTTCAGCTCCTCGAGGTAGATGTGGGCTTTTCTGCCATTGGGGCTGAGGGTGGAGATTAGGTGTAGGCCCTGGGGAGGTTAACTTGGGATACATGATGGTTGATTGTTGGGGGGGACGGACCTTGGCGTTCCTGACTGCGGCGGGGGTTTCTTCGGCGTAGAAGGCGGACATTTTGTTGCTGGTGCCGTTGATTACGATTTGTTGGATTGAATCGAATGGGGCTTGGGAGATGAGGGGGTCGATGTCTATATATGGCGTAGATGTCGCTGGAAGATGCCAGATAAGCGCTAATGGCGTGATGCCCCTCCTGATCGGAAGGATGGGATCGTTAAGATAAGAGATAAATGACGCCCAAGGTATAGAAATAAGCATGCATAGTACATGGTATTCATCATGATCGTTAGGGCAGACTGGTGGATACTACACATCAGACGGAGACTGTCCTATCTCAGTCCATTGCTGTCACGTTGTGCCACTCAGCCCTAATCCGTCCAGTCCAGCACAGCCTTGACCACCCTCCCCGCGTGAACATCCTCAAACGCCTTCTCAAAGTCCTTGACCTTATACCATCTCTCCAACTTATCGATGGGGAATCTACCCCGTCGGAACTCCTCCACGAGGAACGCAATAGACTATTCCCATTAGCCTTGCCCCCAACCCAACCCAGCCAAACAAATACAAGCAAGCAAGCAAGCAAGCAAGCAAACAAGAAAGAAAGAAAGAAGCACATACCTCTCCCCCGGCACCGCATCCCCCTCAACACACCCCACATACCTCTTCCCCTTAACCAACAACTCCCACACATCGACATCGACCCTCTGCCCCGGAACCGGCAGTCCCACCGACGCGGCCACCCCCCTCGTCCCCAACAGGTCAATCGTATCTCTCTCACGGCGGCAACATTCCCCGTAAAATCGACCGCGAAATCCACCCCGTCTCTGTCCGTGTCCGTCTCCGCATCCTCAGCCCTAATTATATACCTCCCATATCCTGCCCACAACATCCACCCCCTCCCCACCACGCACACAAACAACCCTATCCTCATCCCCATCCCCACCCACCTCCCTCGCCAGATCCAATCTCTCCACATCAAGAAGAAAGGGATTTGCTCTCAGTAGGGCTTCTGAGCTAGGTAGTGAGTTCTGTGTATAAGGCTCAAGCGTATGGATGGAGTGGGAAGCAGAAGACCTGGGATGTGTCCTTGATGGCATTTGCAGCCTTGCTAGAGAGGAGGATAATCCGCAACCGGGGGGGATCTTTTTGTCTGGTGTTATTGCTGCAAAATATGGCTGACATTCACTACTTACAGCGGGATAATATCCACACAGATTCCAGGCCCCACCCTAATTCCAGGGACTGGTTCACTACTATAATAATATATTCAGGGGGCAGGAACTCACTTGCTTATCATTTATGACCAGATTTCTAATGTTGTACAGTGTCTGACCAATCGCATCCCCGGCTCTCGGCCACGGATATCAATTCCGAACTATTAGGGCATGGAGAGAGATGGGGGTGTTACCTTCACCACCTAAGACGCTTCAGGCTAGCTCGTGCAGTAGTGTATTTAGCTATCGGCACCTCTTCTCCAATGGCATCTGTACCCTTCACTCTGGTGGAGCCAAGCTGCCAACGCCAGTCGCCAGGTGGTGACTGCTAGCCGCATTTTCAGCTTCGCATCCTGCGCAAGGGAAAGCCGCAGCTCGCAGCTGACCGAATGGCCAATGATGAGGCTCGGAAAAGGCTGGATACCAGACACTGCACGTCTGACTTGTCAGAATGTAGTATCCACCTGTTTAGTCGACTTTCTCTCACTGATCTACATTGACCAGCCTCACGGAATGCTGCAGTTGCTAATACCCCAAACCCCCCACTCCGGCCTAATCTCTCGATCCTCTCTTAACTGCCCCAGCTATAGGCAATATGGCCATGGCGGATCCGCAAAGTCCAGTGTTTGCTACCGCTGCCTTTTGCATCGGGGTTGCGCTCCATGTCTTCGTTTTTCGCATCGGGGAGTGGGATCTCGCGGCCACCAGGGTGCTGGCTGCCTTTGCGAGCGCAGCCCTCTTGGTCGTGGTCGTCGTCAAGACTCTGCTTCTCGACTCACCGGATAGCAGCCTATGGACGGCGCTCAGGGTTGTCTCCTGGCCCTCGGTATGCCTAGTGGCAGGGGTCGAGACAAGCATGCTGGTCTATCGCGCCTTTTTCCATCGCCTGCACCACTTCCCCGGACCATTCTGGGCGCGTCTCTCCAGCATCTATTCCACCCTGCTCTCGGCCAAGGACCTGCATATGTATGAAGAGGTTGAGAAGCTGCACAACACCTACGGCGATTTCGTACGAGTCGGTATGAGCATGTCCCCAATGCCTCCGCAGCCAGCTAACACCAACAGGCCCCACGGAGCTCTCAATCAACCATCCCGATGCGATTTCCGCCATCTCGTCCTCCCAGTCCCCCTGCACCAAGGGTCCCTTCTACACCCTGCTCGAGCCGCGTAACTCCATGCATATGACCCGCGACCCGGTCGAGCATGCCCAGCGGCGCAAGGTATGGGAACGAGGGTTCACCTCGAAAGGTTCGTCCCTCGCTCCTCTCCCCCAGGGACCAGCTAATTGAACAGCCCTCCGCGATTATGAGCCCCGCGTGGCTCGCTACGCCGATCAACTACTGGCGCACATCGACGAGACGCAGGGCAAGCCGATCAACGTTTCCGACTGGTTCAGTTTCTACAGCTTCGACGTGCTGGGCGATCTGGCCTTCGGAAAATCCTTCGACATGCTGCAGACGGGCACGAAGCATTACTTCATGACCTCCTTGCATGCGGATATGACTAATGTCGGTGTGCTGGGCCACTTGCCGTGGATTTTCCCGATTTTCAAGGCCACACCGGTTCTGAATTACGAGCATAAGCGGTTCTGGAGGTGGGTTGATGAGCAGGTCGAGGGGCGGAAGAAGGTTTGTTGGTTGGAAATAGCTATTGACGGAATGGCTTTTTTTTAGGGCTAACGAGCAAACGTGATAGATTACGCCGGCCCAGCCGGATGTGTTTGAGTGTCTCCTCAGCCACCATAATGCGCAAGGGTCGCCGTCGCTGGAGGCCGAATTGAAACTCACGGGGGACGCATACTTGATTGTTGTGGCTGGAAGGTCGGTAGTGTCGCTTTGGTTAATATGCAGCAGCTAACAGATGGTTAGTGACACCACATCTGCAAGTCTAATCACCCTGTTCTACCAATTAGCCTCGGACCGCCGTGTCCTGGCAGCCCTCCAGGACGAAGTCGATACATACTTCCAAACAATCGAGAGCCTAGATTACCAAGGTCTCTCGAAACTCACGTACCTGGAAGCCGTCATCAACGAGACCATGCGCCTGCACCCCCCCGTTCCGTCCGGCGTGCAGCGGATGACCCCTCCTGAGGGCCTATGGATAGATAAAACATGGATCCCCGGAGACACCATCGTCCAGGTCCCTTCCCACACGCTATTCCGAGGTATCCCACATCACCTTCCTCGACACGAGTGTGCCCCCAACAGCTAACCCTTATCTAGACGAGCGGCTCTTCCTGCAACCCCACGACTTCATCCCAGAGCGCTGGACAACCCGCCAGGATCTGATCAGGGATTCCTCGGCTTTCGTTCCATTCTCGACCGGTAAGGCCGCCACGCTAGCCCTGCACGCGTGATCACATATCAACCACTCATATCACATATGTTCTATACTGACTGACTTAATCTGCCCTATTTAGGCAAACACGCCTGTATCGGGAAACAGCTCGGTCTCATGGAGATCCGGTACGTTGTTTCGCAGATAGTCCGAAAGTACGACGTGGAGTTTGCGCCGGGACAGACTCCCGAGCGCTTTTTGGCGGGGAAACGCGATGCGTTTACCCTCTCGCTGGGTCCGCTGGAGCTGGTTTTTAAGCCGAGGAAGGAAGAGCTGTGAGTCGATGGTTTCATGCAGTGGGGAAGTTAAGAGGCCCTAGTACAGTGGGATAGTAGTATAGCGCGGGCTTGCTTTTGGCATTCCGTGGATGTGAGTGGTCATTTTGTGTTGGGTATTAGGTACACAGTCTGTGCTAGTTTGAGATAGCGCTTATGCATAGTTTCTTATTGTGTAGGTAGATCTCGGACTATTGGATATCCTTATTCAATTCAGCGGACGTATGTAGGCTCATTGTCTAGTGCTAGGTGGGCTATCTGAGCTTGAGTTATAGTATTTTCATCTTGGTCCCCAATTAGGATTTGCGGAACGGATATACTGCATGTGTTGTAATGATTAACGATCTCGGCGAACTCGACAAGTTCGACCTGGAAGAAACGAGATTTCTGAGATGAGTAAGAATCTTTCTAGAAGCAGCGTCATCGGGTGAATCAAAAATGTCTAATTCTATTGCGATCCTACATGGCATCCACCACGGCTACAACCGAGCGCGGAATCATGTAGATGCATGCCTTCAGTCAATTATTTTCAAAGTAGGAATGAGTGGCGAGGACGCTATCCTGACTTGATAATTTGACAGTCCAAGTCTGTCGATTCGAAACCAGGTTCCCCGTTTGAAGAGAATCGCGATAGATAGATAGGTGGGGCATATCTCAGCTGGGATCGGGATTTAGTGTGCTGGGATCAGACCCACAATCGCTCACCTGGAATCAGAACTAAAATAGAAAAGTACTGATACTCTGATCCCAGCACACAATCTAAATCCTGATCCCAGTTGAGCTGGTATCCTAGATAGGTGCTAGGTACGGTAGGTAGGCACTAGGGCGTACGTACAGCAGTCTAACATGGATACCGCATGATCTCCGAACCTACTGCAAGCCTATTGTACGACCAATCAACACCCCTGTCCTGTTTAAGGTACAATCTAGCCAATGGCAAACATCCACGACTTATTCCGTGGACACTATATACCGTAGAAGTACAATACTTTTAGTATCTTTACTCTCGAGTCAGCCAGAAACGCAGTAGGTAGTCCCCCCCCCGTCGGTGAAACGGGGACTACGATGCGACGCCGGGTATATCCCGGTGTGTGCGATCCTGACATCTGATTCTAACTGTGCAGGTCCTCAATTCTTCTGTTTTATTGGTCTGGTTGTGTGATAGCGTGCCCATGTCAGAGGTTTAGAAGAGAACTTGGATATTAATGTACTATCCGGCCTCCGGACCGTCCACGACCTTTAGCCCTAACGGGTTTCCCACAGCTGCCCCCGCCGTCACTACTGCAGCTGCTGGAGATCCTCTGACCCGTAACCCAGAAATAAATATGCCAACTAAGCAACCAACAATGGGCTTGTGATTGATAGAGGAGGGGTGAATGGCAAGGATCGCCCCGTTGGGCCGGCCCGCCGTGGACTATTCTCCGACGCGATGTTTATCTATGGCTAGTGGACGCTTTCCTGTCCTTGAGGAGATCCTGTTGTGTGAATTGTGAATATATAGTTACTGCACATTTGGGAATACCATTCACCATGGCCTTTCAACGCACTTACACCTACACTTCTGTCTCCTCGCTTAGTGGGAGCTTCCTCCTCTACATTATATATTGTCTCTACTCACCCAAGTCGATCAAAAAGCGACAACCCTCCCCTAAGCACACGTACCTACCCCTCTTCACACCATAAAGAAGCCAATAGTTACTAACCAAAACCCTGAACCCCCAGCCCATCCACCCTCGAAGCGGAAGACCTCACAGCCTCACCACCCTTCCGTTCCATCCCAGGAGCCTCCAACTCTCGCTCCCTATCCGGCTACCCCATCCCCCACACGGCCCTCAGAACCCGCCACAACCACATCTACCGCTCCGCGAACCTCTCTCAGCCCTAAACCTCACAGGATACGCGTGCATCCGAGACCTCGGAATCACCAAGATCTTTGACCTCACGTCTGCTAGCGAGGACTCTGTGCACGATGGCGCGCAACCCATGCAACAGAAGCTCCGGGAGTGGGTGCGACGCGTGCCATTGGACGAGGAGCGGTTTTCGGCGGAGGCGCTGTTTAGGAAGTATGAGAAGTTGAGGGCGGAGGAGGGGATGGGCGTGCAGGTATGCTTTTCTTTTTCTTTTTTTTTTTTTTCTTTCCTTCTCTTTTGATGGATGAGGGCTGGGTTTAGCAGGGGCAGGGCTGATGTGGGGGTCTAGAATATCGTGAATAATTATATCCATCTTATGAAGCGGGGGAGGGAGGCCATAAGAGAGATTTTTCTCGCGGTGAGGGATTGTCCGGATGAGAGGATCCTGGTGCAGTGTACCTTGGGGAAGGATCGGACGGGGGTGGTGTGTGCGCTGTTGTTGGCTGTGGCGGGGGTGGAGGATGAGGTGATTGCGAGGGATTATGCGTTGAGTACGCCCGGGTTGGAGAGCGTGGTTCCGAAGGTGGTGCAGTTTGTGAAGAGGTATGGGGCTGGGGAGGGCGTGGGGGGTGCGGAGGAGGTGGCAAGGAGGATGGTTGATGCGAGGTAGGTTTGTTCTTCTTACACTATACCGTTTGCAAAGGGGAAAGGGGGTGATCGTCGTCGGTCGTCGCCAGGACCGCCTGGATGCTTTCGTAAAGGAACACGGCGAGGACAAGGCCAAACGTGTGGCCTTTGACATTGGAAACTTGGACAAGATTCCTGAGTTCGCTGCGGAGTGGGTTGATACCCCATGCTTGTCATGGAGCCAGCCACGCTAACCAGCCGGGCAGAGTCATGCAACAGTCCCCCGACATAGACAGTGTCTTCATCAACGCAGGCACCCAAACGCCACTCGACCTGACTAAACCCTTCGACCTCTCTGGTTTTCATGAGGAGATCAAGATAAACTTTTCGAGCTTTGTCGCCCTCACCCATGCTTTCCTGCCGTATCCCCAGAAGAAGTCCGATCCCACGAGTTTTGTCTAGTAAGCTTTGTCTTTAGGAGTGCCCATCGGTTTCAGTCCCATACTCACATGAATCCCAGTACTGGCTCTCTCCTATCCATTGTTCCCGGCGCCTGGATCCCCGCCTACTCAGCGTCTAAGGCAGCTTTGAACGCCTTCGCGATGTGTCTGCGTGATCAGCTCCGGCACTCCACCGTCAAAGTCATTGAGCGTTCTCCTCCCGTAGTCCAGAGTAAGTCAGCCGATCTGTCTCTGGTTGACTTGAGCTAACGCTTCAAAGCTGAGTTGCACGACTGGATGGGCGAGTCAGGCTGCAGCTTTGGTATGCCGCTGGCTGCATTCACCGAGCGGGCGTACGAGGGACTTGCTGCAGGGAAGGACGAAGTCATCGTGGACAGTATCGGTCATGCGGATGTGTTCAATGATATCGTGGATAAGCGTCGTGCCGCGTTTACAGACCTGGCCAAGATGCTGCGTGGGGGAGAGCCATAGATGGACTTTGGTCTGGGGAGGAGTATATAACGAGATAGAAGAGCGCTCAAATGTGCATAGTATACAGCAGGATCGGAAATTGGATACAGTAGCTTTAGATTGCCCATTTCGGGAAACACATCATAGCCAGTGCCGTAGTTATTCAGGTGTAGGAGAGAAAGATTTTCTCGGTGGACGAGACTTGCAGTGAAGAACACGGTCATGTGTCGGTACTAGGCCCAACGGGGACTCTCCTCGCTCCCCTCCTTCTTCTTCTTCTTCTGTTTCTTCCTCTTCTTCCCCTCATTTTATTCGCAAGTATACTTATACTTTCTGACAGCCGACACCTCTCCTTCCAAGATAAAAGCTATTCCCATCCGCTCCTCTCACCCTTCAGCTATCAACAGTCAGTAAACACCACGGTCAAGGGCAGAGAACTAACCAAAGCATTTAAATAAGGTCCGTCATCGCATACGCCCCAGATTCTTCGACGGATTCTCATGGTGCGCCCAGTGAAGTCCGTTTGGTCCCGATAATCCTACCCACTGTGGCTCACGACGCCACTCAGAAGTGCCAGCATGGAGAGCTCTCATCAACACCACTCGAAGATGTACCTACAAAAAGGCCACCGGCACCAAAGTGACCAAATCGAACAGCAACCCGTTGAACACAAAAAAAGTATAAAAGAGGCCTTCTCCGAGGACGAAAGCCCCAAGGTATTGACTCACGGCCTCTCTCTATGTAGGGAGCTTACTGCTAACTACAAATAGAGTGTGTGGATATGCTAGCCAAAGACATACTCCGTGGACTGCCCACCCAAATAAGCATATTTCTCGTCGAGTATCGGGCCATTTTCTCTAGTTTCCGGGGCGTGGAGAACTGGCCTGGCTTCCTCCTGGCTGGACCCATGCTGGTTGCAGGACATCGAGCGCGAGAAATATCAGGCCCGGGACGAAGAACCCTAATAGCTGGCCGACGCACACTGTGGTCCATTCGACGACAGATTGATTGTGGGTTTGGGAGAGAGCCTGTCACGCAGACTTGAATTCAGAAAGAACCTCCATGTCTAACTGGTACTTTGTTTTCAGTTTCCCAGATAGGCGTCTGGATGTGTTTTACGAGGTCGGTGAGATCATTTATATTAAGAGTGGCATCGTGCCCGGATACTGGCTCCGTGTATTTAGGTCATTAAAGCCTCAAGGTTGGTCACACGCAGGCTATCCCAGGATGACCCATGGGCCGGAAAATTTCTCCTTGTCTTGAGAAAAGTATACGTGCCGGGGGCTTGGAATCAAGATTATGGCCATGTCAAGCGGCAAAATCAAATGTCCTGTTCGACATGACGACTCCCTTGTCCAGTTGATCCCCGGAACGGAACTGTCAGCAATTCCCTGATTTACTGACACCACTTGCTTGACTCCATCTACGGCTCGTATCACAGGGGATGCTTCCATCAAGACTCATTTCTCGTGGGATTAACCAGGCTGTCAGAGCAGCAATATCCAGTGCAGTAATACACTTACCGGAAGAGGAAGCCTCTTGCTTTCATTTATGCCTCCCGAAGTTCCGTCCTATCGACGCCTCGACAGCCCCGTAGTGTGATGCGCCTAGCTTCTTCGGCTCATTTTAGGCGTGCAGTAGAAAAGCATTTCGAGACAGTTACTTGTAGCCTTCCCGGGCCAAAGCTCCGCGTTGAAGGAGCCAATTTTTATATTCGAACCAGACGGAGATTGATGGCAGTACATATCGTGGCGGACGTGACGTAGAGATTCCATTGTTGTGATCGGGATTGACTTTCAGATCATCACCCATCGGTCTATTCTCCTCCTCCTCCTCCTCCTCCTCCTCCTCCTCCTCCTCCTCCTCCTCCTCCTCCTGTGTCCCTCTCTTCCTTCCCCATCCGTGGTACTGTCCAGGTCCAGGGCTGATGGCGCTGAGTCAGCAACACGCGCTGGGCATGCCGCCTCACGTGACCGCGAGTCGGGAACGAACCTCCTCGAGCATTATTGCCGCCTGCGAAGGTCTGGAATGTCTTCATCCCGGAGACTGTCCGTCTCGTGAGTTGCTCCAGATACGAGAGTCTGGGACTGACTGCGGCTGTCGGACTCGACAACTTGACTCGCGTTTCCCCTGCCACAGCGCCACAGCACTTCAGCATTCCAGGACAGGCCCCTCCTGTCTCCTGCCAGCTCTCCCCGCACTCGCGTCTCCGCCCAATGATGCCCGCTTTCACGTCGCTCCCCAATGGACAGACCCAACTGCTGTCTTGAATCGTCTTGACTCCGTGCTATCCCGAACATCCTCCCCCCCCCCTGTATAGTGTCCGTGCCCGACCGGGTGCGATGTCAAGGCCATGGAGGCCGATTGGGATGAATTGTCGCGCATTCCGGTGCCCGCTCCGAGCCTGCACGCCCTGCCGACAGCCGCGACAACAATAGCCTTTGATGATGTGATGGAACTGCTGTGGGCAGGAAATGAATATGTTGGTCCCCTATTGTGAATTCCTACCCCGAGTCCATGCTGATTGGTGTCTCTCTTGCTTAGGGACGAATTACCTCCTTTTACGGCCCCGAGTTGCAGCGATATACCTCTGTTCGAGCGCACCCGGCGTCTGAGGGCGCGGTGCGGCAGATCCTGTTCCATGACAGAGGCGTGATCTCACTCTCCTCGAAAAGTGTACATATGATAACCCGACGCGGCCTGACACAATGGCATATCACCCACGAGGAAATGACCGATCTCCGATGCATGAGCTTCACCGCCCAGTTGAATCGGATCATCGTTGCAGGATGCCAGAAGATGATGTTTACGATCGACATTGATAAGGGAATCATCAATGACAAGCTGCCAACCGAGTACAACTACACGATGATGAAGAAGAGTCGCTATCTGTGTGCTGCGACAGATACTGGGTCAGTCAACGCGCTGAGCCTGAACGACTTCAGTGTAGTGAAGTCGTGGAAAGCACACGGGACGGCAATCAATGACATGGATGCGCGGAATGATCTTTTGGTTACATGCGGTTTCTCGGTCAGGCATATGGGCTCCCCGATCGTGGATCCGTTGGCCAACGTGTACGACTTGAAAACCCTCTCCCCGCTTCCCCCAATCCCCTTTCATGCGGGAGCCGCGTATGTACGCATGCACCCGAAGCTCCATACGACTAGCTTTGTCGCCTCTCAAACGGGTCAACTTCAGGTGGTGGACCTGATGAATCCCAACTCGATAAACCTCCGCCAGGCGAACGTGTCTTTCATGCTCGGCATCGACCTCTCGCCGTCCGGAGAAGCATTGGCGATCATTGATGCCGAATGTGCCATCCACCTGTGGGGCTCACCAGCCAAGGTTCACTTCAATGAGATGAGCAAGGAAACCGAGTTCGCGGATGTAGCCCCGCGGCCGCCCCCCTTGGACTGGTCCCCAGAAACGCCTTTGAACATGGTCGGCATGCCTTATTATCACGATCGTCTCTTCTCTGCGTGGCCAAGCCACCTTGTCTTTGAGGTCGGGAGCCCGCCGGCTGCGGTGGATCAGGCTCTAATCCCTTATCTTCGTCCTGCGGAAATCGGCCATTATGCCCCGAACCCGAAGAAAACGCGACGTTACCAGGTTGAGAACACACGCGCGCTCTCATCTGCGGAACCCGCCTTGATTGCGCCAAAATTCCTGAGCGAAAAAGCAAGAGAGCAGAGCAAAGCGAAGTCAGACGGAGCAATTACCGACACGGTTGAAGCACTGGCAGGTGCGAAGATAAACGGCGAGGCGGACGACGATCCTCTCCTTAAATACAGCAATGTAGAGATCAAATATAGCAGATTTGGTGTTGATGATTTCGATTTCAGGTAAGCTTGTACATGCAAGTTCCCTTGATGATCGATTCTAGCGACTGACTTTCCCAGATTTTACAACCAGACGAATTTCTCTGGGCTAGAGACACATATTGCCAACTCCTTTACAAATGCTCTCCTTCAGCTCTTCAAGTTCATTCCAGTAGCTCGCAACACTGCTCTCCAGCACGCTGCCAGTTCCTGTATATTCGAAAACTGCCTCCTCTGCGAGATGGGCTACCTTTTTGATATGCTTGAGAAAGCCAATGGCCAGAATTGCCAGGCTACTAATTTGTTGAAGACGTTCAGTAGCTACCGCGAGGCGTCCAACCTTGGTCTCTTCGAAGAGAACCTGACGAATAAGTCGCTCTCCGCAGCAATCCAGGCCGTGAACAGATTCTTTCTGAATCAGATCTCGCATGACTTCCGCATGATCTCACCCGCCTCAGACGACTTTGATCACCGTTTTACAACGCTTGCGTCCGAATCCATTCGGTGCATCTATTGCCAGAATGAAATTGTGAGACCAGGCAACACCCTTGTCAACGAGCTCCACTATCCAGCGATCGACATCAAGCAAGCTCGACGAAACCCTGCCTTTCGCTTCTCGAATATATTGCGGGCCAGCATTGAACGGGAGACCCAGAATCGCGGCTGGTGCAACTATTGTCGACGTTACCAGCAGGTTGCTATCCGAAAGTCCGTACACCGCATGCCTCATGTCCTGATGCTGAATGCGGCACTGAGCAACCCAATCTGTCGACGGCTGTGGACGATCCCCGGATGGCTGCCTGAAGAGGTCGGAATCGTGGTCGAGAACGGTCAGACCTTGTGCTTTGAAGGCGATGATCTCAAAATGCGGGTGCAGGCTAAGATGCCCGGGCTCGCCATCTACGACTTGGTCGGTCTGGTCTGTGAAATCGATGTCCCTGAGCATCAGAAGGCGCATCTGGTTTCGTTCATCAATGTTTCGATTTCTTCTCGTGAGCCAGAGACCCAAAATAAGTGGCACCTCTTCAACGACTTCCTGGTGACCGAGGTGGATAAGGAGGAAGCTCTCCGCTTCAACCAGCCATGGAAATCACCGTGTGTACTGGCGTTCCAGGTGAGAGAAGGCCGCCATGCCGTGAATGATAGCTGGAAGGATGCTCTTGATACCGGGCTTCTTTTCCGTGAATGGTCGCTGAAGTAAGCTTAACCCCTTCCACAGATCAATGTTATGTACTAACCGATCTTATAGCGGTGGCCATGCCGTGGAATCATGCATCACGCTTTCCGATGAAGAAAGGCCAGCACCTGGTACACCTGTCGCTCTTGATACCGAGTTTGTCGATCTCGAAAAGGCCGAGATCGACGTGAAAGCAGATGGCTCCCAGGAAATCGTACGCCCCAGCAAGAGTGGCCTCGCCCGAGTCTCCGTCCTTCGCGGGTCGGGAGTCCAGGAGGGCGTTCCGTTCATCGATGACTACATCACCATCAAGGAGCCTATTGTGGACTATGTGACTCAATACTCAGGAATCAAACCTGGGGACCTGGACCCGAGACTCAGTCAACATAACCTGGTTCCGCTCAAAGTGGCATACAAGAAGCTGTGGCTGCTCCTCAACCTCGGCTGTGTGTTTGTCGGACACGGCTTGGCCTCTGACTTCCGCAAGGTGAACATGCAAGTTCCCAAGAATCAGACGGTAGATACACAGTATTTGTTCTTCCAATTCGGCAAGAACCGGCGCCTCAGTCTTCGATACCTGGCCTGGGCGGTGTTCAAGGAATACATCCAAGAAGAACCCGCCGATGACAACCAGGGCCACGACTCCATTGAGGACGCGCGCATGGCCCTCCGCCTGTGGAAGAAATTCAAAGAATACGAAGACGCAGGCATTGTATCCCAGATCCTGGACGAGATCTTCCGCGAAGGACAGAAGCTGGGATTCCGACCCCCGCCGCGCAACGGGGTTCCCACCGTCCTTTCTCGCCCCGGCACTGCGGTAACGATGCAGAACAACAGTGGGCGCAACACTCCCAACACGCCCGATGTCGTCGGCGCAGCTGCCAGCGCGCCGGCAACCCCCCGGCAAGCCTTCCGGCGGTCGATTGCGCTGACTCCCAGCAACGGCAGCTTCGCGGGCCCGGGGACGGGGGACTTCATCACCGGAAGCCCCCTGAAGTAAATCTTTTTCTCGCAGTTAGAGGTGCGAATTTTTGATGACCCTTTTACGATGCTATCAACTTGCTTATACGCGATGAGCTGCGAATGGCTGTGGCGGCATTGGATACCGTCTGTCATAATTGGTTTCCATGTGCGGGTTGGACAGAGGCCAGATATAGCTCCAGAGATAGAAATTCCAGAAGTTTTAAGTCCTTACATGCCAGGGGTCGAGCGTAGACTAAGATTGTGCCAGACACGTATTACCGGGTATTGGTTTTTGGATGGGCGCCAACTGGACGACAGCTGCTGCTGCCCCAGGCACTGAAGCGGGGAATGACGTGGTGGGTTCGATCGATCACCACCGAGTCTCTCTCTCTTCTCCTGCACCATCCACTCCTGCCTACCTTCTCAACCACATCCCCCTCCTCCCACCCCAGCACTCGACAGGAGCAGAAAGGGGCTCTTCCTATACTCTTTTCTTGATTCCGGTCTGAACCGATCAGCCCAATTCCTGCCAGACTTTCCCTCCCGCGAAAAAACCCCTCCCTAGCAACCTGCCCCGCTCCCCCAGCAACACAACCCACCATGTCGCGCCATCGCGTTAAAGCAGTGAGCTACGACGAAGATGACTATGATGATGGCTACGACTCCCCGGATCCCGAGGAGCAGGAGTTCCTCCAGCAGTGTACCGCCGAGGTCCTGAGCCAGCTGAGTGCGGGGGACCCTCCGGTCACTGCTACTCGGGAAGAAGTCCAGGAGGCACTGTGGCATTATTATAACGACGTGGAGAAATCCGTAAATTACCTGAGAGGTACATTTATTGCCTCAGGATCTTGGCTTATTTTGTGAATACCAGTACTAATGAGATCTTGATGTAGGCAAAAAGGCGAAAGAAGTGAAGAAGCCGAGTGCTCCGGCTCCGGCTGTGAAGGCAAAGCCAAGCGCAGGTAAGCCCACTCTCCCGTGAATCTTTGTTGGTGTTTATTGCGGTGGTTGGGCTCGGGCGGGTCAAAGAGTGAATTCCGGATTGTGAGTATTACTTTCTCCCTTGTGATTTATTGGGTTAAACTGACCGCGTGGTGGAAGTTCAAGTGTGTTCTAACAGGCTTTTCAGTGCCGATGATGTACCCTGCTCCCTTTTCTCCTCCGGTCCCCCCGACTGCGCATTTCTCCGCGGCGGACTTCTTTCGCGACGCGCCATGGCTCAATGTACCCGCACACCGCAAGGCGGAGATCTTGGTCGAGCCTCTCTATCCTCGCCTCGGTTTACTCGGGGGCGCTCCTGAGAGTGGTGGCAAAATGTCGAAGCTGGCTGCTCTGGCCGCAGCACGCAAGAAGAAGGACGGTGATAAGGCTTCCCCCCCGGCCCCTGCTGCGGTGCCGGATGTCGAAAAGCCCCAGGCGTCTTTGGGCGACCGAAAGGAGGCGCCGCTGTCTCTGCGGGAGAGACTTGCTAGTAGTGGCAAGCCGCAGAAGTCACTGGACAGTTTGCAGTCGCCACGGTCGCTCGGGAAAGGACCTCGTCTGGGAAGTCCGCTGCCTAAGAAGACGTCCCCGGAGCCAAGGAAACAAAGCACCCCCGAGGTTGTGGAGGTCAAGTCGGAGCCACAGGTGCCGGTTGAAAGCCAACCGGAGGAACCCAGTGTCACCATCCGTGCATCGCCATCTACTTTCGCCAGCACGATTGTGGGAGATGCTACGCGTCCGAAGATGGCCGAGCCCAGCCACTTGTCTGCCAATACGCTGGATCTGATCAGGATCTACGGACAGGATCATGCTGAACCATTTGACTTTGCAGGCCCCAGCCCCGATGATGTTGTGTTGAATGCTCAGAGTTCTGCTAAAGGTTTGGCTATTCGGCGCAAGATATAAACCTTCCCTAATGACCCTGCAGGCTTCAAGTCGAAACAGGCTTCTTCCAAGGCGGCGGGCAAGAAGGCCCAGGCTGACTTGGCGGGTGGCATGAACAACCTTAGCGTCGAGGAGAAGGTGAATGTGAGGAGCAAGAACCTGGATGTGCTGTCTGAATATAGTAAATCGCAACGGAAGAAGGCCATGAACTTTGCGGTCATTGGTCAGTTGGGCTGTTTGGGTATGGGTGAATGCCGCTAACGATGGACAGGCCATGTCGATGCTGGAAAGAGCACGTTGATGGGACGTCTGCTGGCGGACCTTAAAGCTGTCGACCAGCGCACTCTGGACAAGTACCGGAGTGAGGCGCACCAGATGGGAAAGGAGTCGTTTGCTCTAGCCTGGGTGTTGGACCAGGGGGCTGAGGAGAGAGCGCGTGGTGTTACCATTGACATCGCAACGAACAAGTTCGAGACGGAGTCGACCGTGTTTACCATTGTCGACTCTCCCGGCCATCGGGATTTCGTGCCGAACATGATTGCAGGAGCCAGCCAGGCTGACTTTGCGGTCCTGGTTATCGATTCCGGGACGGGCAATTTCGAGTCGGGGCTCAAGGGGCAGACGAAGGAGCATGCTCTACTCGCGCGGAGCATGGGTATTCAGCGCATCATCGTTGCGGTGAACAAGATGGACTCGGTGGAATGGGACCAGGAGCGTTTTGAGGAGATCGAACAACAGGTGTCCTCTTTCCTTACCACGGCCGGGTTCCAGGCCAAGAACATCGCCTTTGTCCCCTGTTCCGGCATCAGTGGAGATAACGTCACCCGCCGCAGCGAAGACCCCAAGGTCTCCTGGTATCAAGGCCAGACGCTGGTCGGGGAGCTGGAAGCGACGGAGCCTTACTCTCATGCGGTTGACAAGCCCCTACGGATGACGATCGGCGATGTCTTCCGGGGCAGCGTCCAGAACCCTCTCTCAATTTCCGGCCGCCTCGACGCCGGTAGTCTGCAGGTGGGCGACCAAATCCTGACGATGCCCAGCGGGGAAAAGGCCACGATTCGCAGCCTGGAAGTGGACGGGGAACCCAACGACTGGGCGGTGGCGGGCCAGAACGTCACGCTGAACCTGGTCAACATCGATCCCATCCACCTCCGCTCCGGCGACGTGATCTGCCGGGCCTCCGCACCTATCGCCAATGTCACCTCGTTTACGTGCAAGGTGCTGGCGTTCGACCACCTGCTGCCCAGCATGGTCGATATCCACCGAGGCCGGCTGCATGTGCCTGGGCGGATCAGCCAGCTGATTGCCACCTTGGACAAGGGGTCTGGCTCGATCATCAAGAAGAAGCCCAAGATTGTTGGGCCGGGGACGGTGGCGCGGATTGTGGTTGAGATGGACCAGGCGGTGCCGCTGGAAGCCCCCACGCGCATTGTGCTACGAGCTGGGGGGGACACGGTGGCCGCTGGGTTGCTGGAGTAATAGAGCGAGACTAGAGGTGTATGTACATGTCGAGACGCTACTACGCATAAGTATAGACTACCTAGATGAAGTACTAGTACTATGATTTTGATGTGACTTCCGATGTGATTTCAATTGGGGTAGGTAGTAAGAGGTGTCTACATTGCGAGAAACATATATATATATATATCTGTCCACATGCCGATCACCGACGTTCGGGGACAATCTCGGCCACTAGACCTGCCATGAAATCAGGACTGGGCTCCGGAGATGAACGTAGCCCCTATTCTTGTCAGCCCCATGAAACAGGCATTCGATGTTTTGGATAGGACAGGCTGGCCGAAACGTAGCCATGGGAGGGAGGCCTGAAACTGGGCGTGGCGGAAGGCTGAGGATGTGGTGTGCCTCCTGAGTGGGGGACGTATCCACTTCCTGGCAAGACCCTGGGGCTAGATACATGACTCAAAAATGGCGGAAGACTTGAGTGATCAGTGAAGATCTGGTCTTGTTCTGGTCTTGTTTCTCCCCAGTAAGTAAGTAGTTCTGTCAAAGCCAGAGTTTGGGGCCTGAGGAGGCGAATCAGCGGAACGGCCAGTTGGCCAAGTGCCGAAAGGGGCAAGACCCAAACAGGCAGGCGGATCCCAGCCGGGGCTAGCGCCCCTGGCACTAGTGGCTAAGCGAGCGAATGGCCGACGCTTCGAGCAGGTTCGGTGGGGCCCCGCGCGGGCGGAAGCCAATCGGGAGCGAACAGGAGGCGAAGACCCAGCGAACGCCTCGCGTTTTTGGCCGGCAGTACCGCTCGGCGGTGAGGCGGTCCGGCTGAGTCAGAGCAGCCTTGGGGGTGGCGGCAGCCAATCAGGGGGCGAGGAGTAACCTTATTTGGGAGGCAGAGGAAAAGGCCAGCATGGCCGCTGCGCTCGCGTTGCCGCCGCGAGCCATACAAGAACTCTGGCCGGAGCTTCCCAGTCACTCATTCTTTCTTCTCTCCGTCGTCACTCAACAACTCCCTCTCCCTCCCTCTTTTCTTCTTTCTCCCCCTTCCCTCTACACCTGGGTCGGTCGGATTCTCTCTTCTCTTCTTACCTTGGTGACAGGAAACTGTACAAGGACCAAGAGACTACACAGCAACAACACCCACCCTCTTTCAACCCGCTTGTTACGTGTCCTGTGGTGAAGGCACATTCCATACACACACACACACACACCATGGCCCGCATCTCGAATCAGGGTGCGGCCAAGCCCTTCGCGGCTTGGACCACCATCTTTTACCTCCTGCTTGTTTTCATTGCGCCCCTCGCCTTCCTTGGATCCGCACACGCTCAGGATGAGAACTCGACTCAGGAGAGCTACGGAACTGGTATGTGGCAGCAGAGCCCTGGTGGTGGTGGATTGCTCGTTTGCTGACGCGTCTTGTCTGCATAGTCGTTGGTATCGATCTCGGAACCACCTACTCGTATGTTGCGCACCGCGTCTCACGGATTCTACGGAACGATCAGGACTGACTGGGTACAGCTGTGTGGGTGTCATGCAAAACGGAAAGGTTGAGATTCTTGTGAACGACCAGGGTAACCGTATCACCCCTTCGTACGTCGCTTTCACCGATGAGGAGCGCCTCGTCGGTGACGCCGCGAAGAACCAGTACGCCGCCAACCCGACCCGCACTATCTTCGACATCAAGTGAGTCTCCTCCCCCACGTGGCTGGTACGCGTTCCGATTGTCTAACCTCAGCCAGGCGTCTTATTGGCCGCAAGTTCGATGACAAGGATGTCCAGAAGGACGCCAAGAACTTCCCCTACAAGATCGTCGCGAAGGACGGCAAGCCCGTTGTCAAGGTCGACGTCAACCAGTCCCCCAAGACCCTCACCCCCGAGGAGGTGTCCGCCATGGTCCTCGGTAAGATGAAGGAGATCGCTGAGGGTTACCTCGGCAAGAAGGTCACCCACGCCGTCGTCACCGTCCCCGCCTACTTCAACGACGCCCAGAGACAGGCCACCAAGGACGCTGGTACTATTGCCGGTCTGAACGTCCTCCGTGTCGTCAACGAGCCCACCGCTGCCGCTATCGCCTACGGATTGGACAAGGTCGGCGATGAGCGCCAGGTCATCGTCTACGATCTCGGTGGTGGTACCTTCGATGTCTCCCTCCTGTCCATCGACAACGGTGTCTTCGAGGTCCTGGCTACCGCTGGTGACACCCACCTTGGTGGTGAGGACTTTGACCACCGTGTCATGGACCACTTCGTCAAGCTCTACAACAAGAAGAACAACGTCGACGTGACCAAGGACCTCAAGGCCATGGGTAAGCTGAAGCGCGAGGTCGAGAAGGCCAAGCGTACTCTGTCTTCCCAGATGTCCACCCGCATTGAGATCGAGGCCTTCCACAACGGCGAGGACTTCTCCGAGACCCTGACCCGTGCCAAGTTCGAGGAGCTGAACATGGACCTGTTCAAGAAGACCCTGAAGCCTGTTGAGCAGGTTATCAAGGACGCCAAGGTCAAGAAGTCCGAGATCGACGACATCGTCCTGGTCGGTGGTTCCACCCGTATCCCCAAGGTCCAGGCTCTCCTCGAGGAGTTCTTCGGTGGCAAGAAGGCCAGCAAGGGTATCAACCCCGACGAGGCTGTTGCTTTCGGTGCCGCCGTCCAGGGTGGTGTCCTCTCCGGCGAGGAGGGTACCGGCGACGTTGTTCTGATGGATGTCAACCCCCTGACCCTGGGTATTGAGACCACTGGTGGTGTCATGACCAAGCTCATCACCCGTAACACCGTCATCCCCACCCGCAAGTCCCAGATCTTCTCCACCGCTGCGGACAACCAGCCCACCGTGCTCATCCAAGTTTGTAAGTTGCTCCGTGCGATGAGTGTTGTGGATGTCTACTAACGGACACAGACGAGGGAGAGCGTACCCTGACCAAGGACAACAACCTGCTCGGCAAGTTCGAGCTGACCAGCATCCCCCCCGCCCCCCGCGGTGTGCCCCAGATCGAGGTCTCCTTCGACCTGGACGCCAACGGTATCCTGAAGGTGCACGCCAGTGACAAGGGCACCGGCAAGGCCGAGTCCATCACGATCACCAACGACAAGGGCCGTCTGACCCAGGAGGAGATCGACCGCATGGTTGCCGAGGCGGAGCAGTTCGCCGAGGAGGACAAGGCGATCAAGGGCAAGATCGAGGCCCGCAACACCCTGGAGAACTACGCGTTCAGCCTGAAGAACCAGGTCAACGACGAGAACGGTCTCGGTGGCCAGATCGACGAGGATGACAAGCAGACCATCCTGGATGCTGTCAAGGAGGTGTCGGAGTGGCTGGAGGACAACGCGGCGACGGCGACGGAGGAGGACTTCGAGGAGCAGAAGGAGCAGCTGTCGAGCGTGGCGTACCCGATCACCAGCAAGCTGTACGGCTCGGGCCCGATGGACGAGGATGACGAGCCCAGCGGGCATGATGAACTGTAAAATTACTTAGAGGATTTATGGAGTTTTTGCTGCTGTTTTCTTGAGACATTGTTTTTGGTCGGCCTGGAGGCTGCCGAGTATGATACCTGTCCTGGAGGGGGCGATAGCCAGCTATACTATTGTTCTGCTGCTGCTGCTGCTGCTGTTTAGTTGTACCTGCTACTGCTTATAACTATCTGCTATGTGGCTGACTGAACATGCTGACATTGCTTGACCATTCCTCCGTGCAAAGGCACTTACTTTCCTTAAACCATAGACCAGACTAGACTATACAGCCATCTCATCTCCATAACCCACCCCCCCCCTTCCCTAATTCAGTCGTACACACACATACATACTAAATAAGTCATATCCACCCACCCAACCCAGTAAGTAGACAGATAAGACAGACAGATGGAGAATACTAAGATAATCCCTACTCTCCCCTCTCCGCCGCAGCCTGAGCAGCAACAACCTCCCCGACGACCTCCACCACAACCTGATGATCATCCTCCTGCTTCAACCCACTGACCACCACGACGCCAACGACGCCATCCACCCCCCTGACCCGAATGGGAACCGCGCCCCCATGAATGGCAAACTCATCCGCCGCGCCGCCGCCCCCCTCACTCCTCAACGCAAACTTCCTGACAAACACCGCCTCCACATCCGCCTCGCCCTCGCCTTCCCGGCCCCCGCCGGACCGAACCACATTCAGCATCTTCTGCCTCATCAGCCACGACGACACCCCCCAGCGCAACACGGTGTTGCGCTTCCGACGCACCCAGATCTCGTTGTCGGGGACCGTGCCCGGCTCGGTCGCGCATTGGAATACCGTGTGGGGCGAGACGGGGGACGAGCCGAGCGTTATGCTGATTAGGGCGGGTTTGCGTTGGGAGGGGGGCAGGGAGAGGATTCGTGCACGGAGGGCCTGGCCTAGGGTGTAGGCTGTTGTGGTGGTGAAGGTCGTGAAGATTTGGGAGGGGGAGGTTTCGTGCGCGGTTAGGGTGGGGAGCTTTTGTTAGTTGGGTTGGTGGTGTTAGGTTGGGTTGTTGAGTTGTTGAGTTGGAGGGGAGGAGGAGAGGAGACTTACATCTGTGCTCGCCGGAGGGAGAGGTTTGTCTTCCATTGTGGAGGTATTTTGGATGTAGAGGTGTAGATGTGGTGGAATTGTAGGGGTGAGAGTTGAAGAGAGAGAGAGAGAGAGAGAGAGAGATGGTGGGGGAAGACTAGTGTGGGGGTTGCCGCTGACGTTCTGTCCCTCGCCTGCTCGCTGTATGATCGGCCACAATGCCTGTTGGCTGTTGGCTTCCCCTCTTCTGCTCCACCTTCCCTTCCCTCACTCCTCCATCTATCTATCCTGTTCCTCACTCAGACATTCCCCATACCACCCATGCGCCCCAGACTCACCAAAGACCGCAGACCGCGGAAGCATTAGTCAAGGCGCCTGCGCGCTTATTGACCATTGACTATGACCGCCCCCCCCATTTGGCGAGACCATCGAACCGCCCCGACTCGCCCGAAAAAGTACGTGGATCCGTAGTGGATACTCTATTGACATCGACGGACGTTCATTGAGATCGACACACTATATATATATATCTGCATGACAGTCACTTTGCAACCTGAAGCACGACCCGTCCCGCAATATCACCCTTCTCCATCTCCTCATACACCTGAGGCAACTCCCTGAAACCCCGGACCTTGATCTCCGGCTTGACCACCCCGCGTCGCACCAGATCCACCGCCTCCATGCACTCTTTCAGCGACCCGATCAGGCTCCCCGTCACTCTCAACCCCTTGATCACAATCGTGCAGATGGGCGTTTCCAGCACCGGCCGTCCGGGCGGGATGCCGACACAGCTCAGGCTGCCGCCGACCCGCAGCATATCACAGGCGTGGGCGAACGCGCGGGCACTTCCAGCCGTCACCACGACAGCCTGTGCGCCGAGGCCGGTGATCTCGTGCACCGTTTTGACGGGGTCTGTCGTCGTGAAGTCGATGAATTCCGTGGCTCCGAGACCGAGGACGAAATCCCGCTTGTCGCCCGCGTCGACGCCGATGACCAGGGCTCCTTGTGCTTTGGCGTATTGGACTGGCTGGTCAGTATGGGGATGTCAAGACCTCATATGAACTTCTCGCCTAGTGTTTCCTGAAGATGGCCAACAGGAAAAAAGATCAAGGCTGAGACTCACCCGCCAAGTGACCCAAACCACCGCCGGCTCCCACAACGACGAGCCAATTGCCCGCCCGGATATTCGTGTTGAGAACAGCCTGCGTCGTCAGCACTCGTCAGTAACAGACGCAATCCCCTCCTCCTACCTTATAAGCAGTCACACCCGCACACAACACCGGCCCGATGATCTTCGGATCAACATCCTCCGGCAGAATAGTCAAATAGTCCGCATCGAGCGCAATATACTCCTGGAAACTCCCATCCTCATGGTGGAGATGATTGGTACTCTTGACGCAGTACTGTTCCTGGCCCGCCAAACAGGACTCGCACCTCCTGCAGATGCGACTCGCAAACCGAATCCCCACGAGTCCCCCGATCTCCAAATCCGAGCCACAACCAGGACCCAGCGCCACGATCCGCCCCACGCCTTCATGCCCACCCACATGCGGCAGCTTGATCTTCGTGACGGGGTTTCCGTCCGCTCCTGCCGCAGTGCCGTTTTTCGTGTGCAGATCTGACCGGACCGTTAGGTGAGTGGAGCTGAGATTATTTACTTGCATTGACCGACCCAGACACGCTCACTTTCACTTTCACTGTACCAGACGGACAGACAGAGAGACAGACAGAGAGACAGACAAAGAGACAGACAGAGAGGGAGGGTTGTACTATACTAACCGCTCTGACAAACCCCCGTGTAGAGCACCTTCGCTAAGACCTCATTCTGCCCCGGGATCGGGACGGGGTAGCCCTCGCGAAACTCGACCTTGCCGCCCAGTTCGTGGACGAGAGCCACGGTCTGCGTTTGGGGGATTTTCTCGGTGGGGAGGGACATGGCGCCCATTTTGATAGTTGAGGATAGTCTGGATGGTTTGGGTTGGATGTTGGGGGAGTGAGGGAGGGGAGGGAGGGGAGGGAGTAGGTTGGGAGTGGTGCTGGGGTTGGGGTTGGGGTCGTTTAAGTAGCTGCTAGGATTGGGTGGCAGATGGGGATTACAGGGGTACAGTGGGTGAGGCATGCAGTAGGGCGGTGGAATAATTCTCCAATTGGTGGATGGGGGGAGGGGGGGGTTTCTGTATGCTGTTGAACTGGGGTGATGGGATGGTCTAATTCTCCGAGCTGCCAGCAGGATAATTGGTTGGAGTGTATTGTTTGCTTGATGGGAGTACTCTGTCGACTAACCGACCCCTACGCGGCTCAATTGTGTTCTGGATGACTGTAGAATGTAGATAGATGGCTTCGTATGATAGGGTTTCCTGGTGTTGGCGTTGGTGTTTCCGCAAGTGGTTGAATAGGGTGTGGAAGGAAGGAAGGAGATGGGGTGGTGTATTTAGTGGTGGTGGATGTGGAGAAAGAGGTGGGTGTGGAGAAAGAGGTGGGTGTAAAGTGTCACAATAATGGGTGTTACAGTAATGAGTATCACAATAATAGGTATCAAAGTAGTCAGTGCCACCGTAGTAAGTTATAAGCAAATCAGAAGCAAGTATCAACAGTATGACTCGGAATAATCACAAATATTAGATAAGTTACAACAAGGTATCCAAATCGTCTCTCTATACAGCGCTAACTTTGTGTGTACCGACGATGCAACAAACAGATGGATTCAGACAAAAAAAAAAGAAACATCTCCCGAAACAAAAAAAAAAAAAAAAAAAAAAAAAAAATAGCAAGCAAGCCACCGTCTAGGCGGAGCAAGAAGAACCAGACTGGCACATGCGGCCATTATCCGCAACATCCCAGTACTCACTACCGACACCCTTGGTGACATAGAAGACGTGATCGGGGTCCCACTTCTCCTTGATCTGGCAGAGCTTATCGTAGTTCTCGCCGAAGAAGGCCTCCTGCCAGTTCAACTGGCGGAAGTTGGCCTCGTTCTCGTACGCGCCACCGCCGGGGGTGACGGCCTCGAGCTGGGGGACGAGCTCGTGGGTGATCTTGAGCTGGGCGGCGACCATGTCGGCCCACGGGGCGGTCTCGTTCCAGGGGGAGCCGATCTGCATGGTGACGGCGGCGGAGCGCCAGGGGGCGAAGACGGCGTTGTCGGTGTCGTTGGCGGAGGTGACGTTGAGGCCGACGCCGACGGCGATGACGCCCTGCTCGGTGATGTTGCGGAGGGCGGCGACGAGGTTGGTGGTGTTGGCCTCGATGGTGGAGCGGGGGAGCAGACGGCCGCCGTAGTTGTAGGTGCCGACGTCGAGGTTGCCGTAGGGGAGCGGGCCCATGTAGTTCTCGTAGAAGTCGTAGTACGAGTCGAACTGCGTGTAGGCGACGGTGTAGGGCACCTCCAGCTCGGTCAGCGCGGACAGGAACGGGGCCAGGACGGCCTCCACCTGGGCGGAGGTCTGGTTGTAGGCCGTGAGGGGGTTGATCAGGAAGGCGTAGTCGGTCATCTCGTAGATGACCGTCGTGCCGGCGTCGATCATGGCGGGGAGGTAGGTGTGGAAGCGCTCGACCGCCTCGAAGAACAGGTCCGTCGTGATGTTGGCGGTGGTGATCTCGAGGCCGGCGCCGGAGACGATGGCGTCGGCGTGCGCCTTGGCGGTCAGGGAGGTCACCACGGCGTAGTTCCCGGCGCCACCCCCGCTGAGGGCCCAGTACAGGTCGGTGTTGTTGGTGCGCGACGCCGTGATGATGTCGCCCGCCGCAGTCACCACCTCGAAGGACAGGGTCTGGTCGGCGCCCAGGCCGAACATCGTGCTCAGCGCCGAGTGCCCTCCTCCCTGCGTGTATCCCCCCGCCAGGCCGACCGTCGGGCATTCACCCCCCACAAGCACGTGGCCGGAGCCCTCCAGGGCATCCAGCACCTGGTAGCCCATCACTCCGCTGCCCAGCTTGTAGGCCGGCCCGGAATACGTCGAGTCGGAGTAGTCCTCGTAGGCGACGCTGTTCAGGCTGTGCGTCCACACGGACAGGGCACCGGCCCCGGTGGAGCGGCCCAGGTAGCTAGAGGGGGGGACGAGGTTAGTGTTGGTAGTGCTCCAGGGTGGATGGCAGGGTTAGGGTTAACTCACTCATGCCCGGTGTTGCGGATGACGAGACGGAGGTTGTTGGACTTGGCGAACTTGACGGTGGCCGCGACGTCGGCGGCGGACGAGACGTTCACGGCATAGCTCACGTAGTTGCCCAGCTCGCAGGCACGGGACTCCGCAGTGAAGGGGTCGCAGCTCTGGTTGGCAAAGTAGCTCTGCATGACCGACGAGGACGAGACGAAGCTGATGATAAGGAGCCGAGGTTAGTCGCGGGGATCGACACCAAGCTTAATTCCTTCGGATTTCTTTTTCTACTTTCCGGGGACCGAGGGAGGGACAAACTTACTGCGTCTGCGGGTAGTACCAGTTGTCCTGCAGGGTGGTGCACTCGTCGCCGTTGTAGTTGGGGTCGTGGCAGGGGGTGCCGATGGGTACGGTGGCCACCAGGCGGCCGCCCACGGTGGTGTTGAGGCTATCCCAGCTGGAGGTCGACGGCCAGCAGCTGTCGCCGGGCATGCAGTGGCAGCTGCTGCTGCTACTGCTGGCGAGGGCCCGAGTGGCCAGGGCGGCCACGGAGGCCGCGACAGTCGAAGCCTTCATCCTGATGATGTGTATGAGGGAGAGACGGGGGAGAAGGTTGACAGGACAGGACAGGATGCGCTGTTGAATTCGACCCAAAAGTGAAGCCGGGACGACGAGGACTTATATAGTGGACGACGACGGTATAGGAGGCCGTTTGTTTCGCATCAGCTCACCCGTTGGAAGGAACGGACTTGTATCCCAAGTGCGTAAAGTCGCGGCGCTGGCGGTGGATATTTCTCCCGCCGCGGATTAGCCGGGCGTTGGTTGATTAAGCAGAGTATTCAATACTACGACAGTACTACGGAGTACTAGATAACTAGATACTACGAGTACGAAGGGAGGGAAGATACAGTCCGAGTGGCAGAGCGACAAGTTCGAGACGGGGGGGGTCGACCCGCTAGCCACGACGGGCGTAGGGCCAGGCACGCAAGGGGGGGCAACGGCCATTACTACTAGTAGACTACTACTACAACTACTCTGGCATGCATCGTGGGCTGCAGGCTGCAGGCTGCAGGCTGCGATGGTGGCTCCGGGTGGCACTTCCTTAGCTAGCAGCCTTTGAGACATTCGCGGCCGACTGCTTCCGAGTCGGCGTGATTGGTAATGACCTGTCTTTAGGCTTTGGGGGGGGGAAATCCAAGTGGATTGTAGTGGGTCAGTAATCATCCCATTGGCAAGGGCCCCTGGATGCCTTTTGCACCATCGAAAAAAGGCGCCCGAAGGACCGGGGTTGGTCTTTGCCCTCATCCACGGTCTTGCTGCACCGGATGCCAGGGAGATGCCGACACCCTAACCAACCAACTAACCAACTAACCAACTAATTACCATCTGCCGTTATCAGCCATCCAACCTTCCATCCATCCATCCATCTATCTCCCACGCTGGTCTGGTCGGGCCAAAAATAACCCCCCTTCGTCCCCCCTTAGATAACCACCCACCTTAGCCACCTTAGCAGCAGGCATTAGCACACACCGTCGTGTTCGTGTCTGTGTCGGACACACTCGTCGCTTCGTCCGACCAGGTGGTGGCTTACTCTCAAACTTTGACCACGCCCCACTGTCCCTCCCTCCTGGCCATGGTTCCGACCTTCCCGGTCGCCCGCCCATGGCGACCGGCGAGAGAGCTTGGGGCAAGGGATCTCCTATCCTTCTCCCCCAATCCCCATCTCCATCTTTTCCCCCCCCCGTCCCGCACGCAGTAGGGCGAAGGAGGAGGGGGGAGGAAGGGGGGGGGGGGGGGGAAGAAAGGCTGATCGGCAATGATAGCCCATCCTACAGTGTATTTAGATAGATATTAATGGAACTGCCGTTGCAGAACTGGGGTATCCGTGTATATGCAATATGCATGTCTCATCCTGCAGCGATCGCGGATGTCATCACCTCGTGGCGAAGGCGTCCTCCGGTGTAACGCTAGAAAGAGCCAGGATGGAAATAGTCGGGAGAGAATGGAACTATCTTCCAATCTGTCCCCGGCCACGTCTGCCTATTGGGACAAAGCTGCGGTCAATTGGGCCAAGTCTGGACGAAAAAAAAAAAAAAAAAAAAAAAAAAAGAAAGAAAGAAAGAAAGGGCTCCACTTTCTTGCTGCGACAAATTGTCCGTCGGCTGGCCGGATCCCTCGCTTCGCTTCTGTGGTAGAGAAGAAAGAAGGAGGAGGAGAAGAAGTCGGCAGGGAAAGTTCCAATCTCCCTAATATTCTGCTATTTGCCCTGCGCCATGGATCCAATATTCAGCCATGCCTGCATTCCCAGTCCATCCGCCATGAGTGAGTGATCCGAAAGTATAATTTTCTTGTCGGGTCCAAAATCCTGCATCGGGTTTGCCTGTCGAATAAATAATAATCTTCTTTTTCTTCTTATTATTATTATTATAATAACAATAAGACATATCAGTCTTGTTGCTCGCTCACTCACTCGCTCGCTTGCCCTCTCGCCGCGACATGACCACCATCGTCGTCCCGGTCGTCTAGACGTTAGACGTTAAGACATCTGCTGCTGCTGTTGCTGCTGCTGCTGTGGTGGTGATGGGTTCCAGCTTCAACAACAGCTCCGGCCTGGCCCTGGAAAGGGGCCTGTGGGCTGGAGCCGCCGTGGCCACAGTCATTGTCACTCTCCGCATTATCGCCAAGTTCAAGATTCACCATTTCCGCCTGGACGACATCCTGATGCTCGTAGCTCTGGTAAGCCTCCTTCCCTCTTTTTTCCCACCCGTCCGCCCCCCCACGGCTCCCGAGTCATTCTGACCCCCCCCCCCTCTCCGTGTTTCAGGCCCTGACCATCGCATCCACGGTGTGCCTGACTCTGTGCGTGAATTATGGCTTCGGCTCGGACCTCACCAAGCTCGACCGCCACGACCAGGAGGGGGTCCTCAAGTACATCGCCATCCAGGTGCCGCTGGTCACCTTCAGCACGGGCATCGCGCGCTTCTCCTTCGCCTATTATCTGATCGGCATCCTGGGCGGGAACAAGAAGTACATGATCGCGCTGTGGGCGGCCGGATTGCTGCAGCTGGCGTGCAATATCGTGTCTGCGGTGCTGCCGCTGAGTATCTGCAAGGATGTGCGCATCCTGTGGGATGCCTCCATCAAGACCACCTGCGGGAACAGCACCGATGTCGTGGACTTTTCCTACTTCTCCTCCTGTGAGTCCACCGGCATCCCCTAATCCCTCTCCATATTCTGTCAACAGCTAACCGGAAGAATGCAGCCGTCAACACCACCACAGACCTCTTCCTCGCCATCTTCCCCACCGTCATCTTCTGGAACCTGAACCTGAAAACGAGCATCAAGATCTCGCTCATCGGCCTGCTCAGTCTGGGCGTCGTGTACGTTTCCTCTCCATCCTCTCCTCTCCCCCTTCTCTCCCCAATCTGACCGAACCAACACACAGAGCAATGGTCGCCTCCATCATCAAAACCACCAAACTCGACGAAGTGCCCAGCGTCGTGAACCTGGGGGCCGGGGGCGCCGTCGGCCTGATCCGCTGGGGCTACGCCGAGAACCTGATCATCATCATCACGTCGTCGGTGCCGTGCATCCGGCCGCTGCTGATGTCGTCGGTGCGCAAGTTCTCCAGCGCGGCGCGGTCGCGGTCGTACGAGCTCACCGGCCCGTTCTCGGGGAACAAGGGCACGTCGAAGAACGCGACGGCGCAGTCGCGCATGCGCGAGCAGCATACGTCGGAGAACCAGCACGATGATGACTGCGATAGCATCGAGCAGATCCTCAAGGATCTGCATAAGCCGCAGAGTGTCCTGGACCGGGGCAATAATACTGGGGCTGGGGCTGGGGGCGGGCGTGGGATTCAGAAACAGGTGGAGATTTCGATTGTTTCGAATCAGAGGAGTGGGAGGGGGTTTGAGTAGGTTGTCCAGCCTCTGCAGCCCATCCAGTGATTCCTGGTTGTTGTTGATGTTGTAGTTGTGGTTGTGGTTGTGGTTGTGGTTGTTGGCATTCCCCTGACCCGAGTCTTTCCTTACTTCTTTTTTTTTTTTTTTTTTTTTTTTTTACTATGTGCTGGTTGGTGGTTATTACCCTTTTCTGTTATATCTACTTACTTACCCTACTTCCCCTACTACTTATTGTCTACGTATGTACGAGTTACGGATAGTTGTTGTCTTGATCAATACGATGATGTGCTGTTTCTATTTTTTCTATATTTCTATTCTGATATCTGATGTCTCATCCCTCAGAGTCTCCCTCTTTCCCCCCCCCCCCCCCCCCCACATTAATTAATATCCTGCCCGTCCAGGCCTGTGCATAATCCCGTCCGTCCGTCCGTCCCACGAATCCGACACCGACAGCGACAGCCCCAGTCCAGCCAAGCCAAGAAAACTCCAATTCCAAGGCCCTGGGACCGGGACTGGGTCAGGGACGGTGGCCACTCGGACTGACTGCCCAGACCGGATAGGCAGGCAGGCAGACAGGTACTAGAGCACAGGACAAGACAGGCACGGACAGGCACAGACAAGCACAGACAGGCACAGAACTCAACTCACCCGGGGAGAAAAACATATCCCACGGATCGGAGAGAGTGTCCGTGCCTTCTCCTCTCTTCTCTCTCTCTCTCTCTCCAGTCTAGTCCAGTCTCCCTGCAAAACTCACTTCCGGCCATACATACTAGTAGATAGATAAACATTCTGATTCTCATTCTCACCGGTTCCATTAATCACCTTCCCAAGCGAGCCCATCCATCGCATCGCATCGCATCGCATCTGCCTAAGCCCTCCAAGGCAGGTACACACCCATGTAGTCAGTCCAAGGAACGCCGGAGAGAGTAGATAGACCTGGTATCCAATCCCCGCCCTATCCCACCGCCACCAGCGCACAAAAAAAGTCAGCCACCTGCCAATAGACGTGTGGGTGTCTCATCGCTGAACCATGGTTCGGGTTGAGGTCGAAGGGCCATGGAATGGACCATGGACCATGGATCATGGATGATGTGAGTGAAAGTCAAACTGTAAACTGTAAACTGTAAACTGTGGAACCGGAAGGGAAGGGAAGGGAAGCGGCGGAACCCGGCTTCTCGCAGTCGTGTTGGCTTGGGTTAGGCGAACGCAGGTTCAGGGCTGATCGCTGATTTTTTGGTCTTGGTCGGAGGGTAACGGTCGGGTCGGCGATGGTGCCGCGATGGGAAGGTGATCGGCTTCTAGTACTAGACATAGTAGGTCTGACTTTGGGGATTCAATATCATCATTATTACTTTTTTTTTTTTTTCTTGAGAAAATGAATGAAATGAATGAAATGGAAAGATGACGCCCTACCCGCCCAACCGACAGCCACCCCGAGTCTTGTCTGTGACTGACTGACTCTTGTGTCTGTCCGGCTGTGGCAACGGCACAATCCCAGCCCGTCGCCGCCGTGTGGCTGACCTAACGAGTCAGGGCTAACTACACAGCATAGTTACATGTCAATACATAGACTATCATCAAATAGTATCATAAATGATATCCCGATGGTCAAACAGTCCCCAGGCACCATCTGTACCGCAATGTCTTATCGGCGCTCAAAATCAAGAACTATACGGAAATGCTTGGCTTCCAACGGCCGATGCTCGATAGAATATTAATAGATCTAGATAGATAGAGTACTAGGTTTCTTCCCATGCATGTTCCACGCTAACAGATCGCCGGTTGCCACGTGTAGATCTCCTTCTACAGTCTATCTATCTATCTACCATCTACTCTCTAGTCCGTATATTGAGAAGGTGAAAAGGTCAAGGTAAACAGAGAAAGTGGGGTTGGTTGGTTGGGTCTGGATTAGGTATGCGTCGCCGAACTCGAAGGGGGAGTTCGAATTTGGACCTAGATACTCGATGGTTGGAGTGTACGGAGTATAGTTATATCTAGACTACACAGTCTAGATGTGTCTAGTCAGCGGAGTTAGTGTCCGGATGAGGTTGGAGGCCGGGGGTCGGGACTGGGACTAGATACTATCTAGATAGTATCCACGGACTATCTACTGACTGGATACGTGAAGGATGCCTAGACTCTGGACTAATTTCGGATCATGGGGGTATTGCTGCATGGGGTGGTTGGTCCGGTGTGGACGGACAGCCCTTCGTAGCTAGCACTGTTATGGAGGAGGATGGAGGGGAATCTTAATTAAGGTCTGGCTCCGGGGGGGTTAAGATATACCCCTGGGGAATCTGCTTATTATTGTTGTCGGTTCTGGATGGATGGGTTATGGATACATGGGGTGCAGACGGTGTTGTCTGGTTGTCTGGTTGTCTGGTTGACCGGGGTGATTTACACACTGAGCAGTCAAACAGCACGTGGCAGATATCCTGACGGCCGCGGAAGAATTATCAGAATCATCCGAAAAAGAACCATAACTAGATAAATCATCCGCGGAGATGAATCATCTCGCCGGCCCGGCGGACTCCGAGCCGAGGCCCCTCTGTGTCCGGGCTGGGCTGGTCACATGACTGGATGTCTGTATCCGGAAGGGGGTGTCGTCGCACTACCCAGGATGTCTCGCTATCATATTAGTTTCTCTCCTGTTGCATCTCCATCCTGTTCCTCACCAGGCTCTCTAATGGAGGCTAATTCTTCCAGGCTGGGTATTTCCCCAGCATGGTCTTAACCACCGTTGTGTCCCATGGATGCGGTCAGGCATTGCTGCAACCGGCCAGGTCCGGCCATGACCGTTACAGTCGAGGTAACCTTGCTGAGCTTCCCTTTCTCTCTCTCTGTCCGTGTCGATCTCGTCTTTTGCGGGGCACTCCTGCCGCTTCTCAGCCTACACCCCGATGACTGTGCATTCACTCACTCCCTCCCTCCCTCCTATATACTTATACTCTGACTATCTACACACCAGCTCTATAACTAGATCAAGCCATGTCTACAACTCACCACCCACAAAGTCTATCCCGACGATCCTGACAATCCCATGCCCCGACCCGTCGGCACCACCCCATCACGTCATCCCGATGATGCCTTGCCCATCCGGAACCAACCAACTCCCAAGTCGCAGACATCAAGACCTGGCCCGGTCAGGGCCAGGGTCCACTGGCGCTGCCCCATGCGGGGGTCTCCCCAGATGATCGCGCGCTTCGGCCATCTTCTTTCAAACAGATCTTCGCTCGGCCGTCGCGCGGCGGCTGTGATTGCACGGTCGACTCGACGCGACCCGTCTGACTGCATTGACTTTGTCAGTCAATATACACATATTCTCTCCTGTTAGCTGTCTCTGGCCGTGTGTCACACGCGCAAGCTATCACGCAACAGAGAGAAGACCGGTCTGGTCTGTTGCTTGCTTTGTTGGTTATATATCATATCGACAGGCATTCCTGGTCTTTCTAATTTATATAGTCTCGACCTTCTCGCCAGGACGGTTCCTATTTCAGTTCGATAAATTTAGGCCGCATCATCAGCAGCAGGCCTAATCCCCTCCACCCACGCATCCAATGGGTCGCAAACTCGGCCTCTTCCGGGCCATATACCTGGTCTCGGCCAGCTGCATGGGCTCATTCGCCTTTGCCTTCGACACCGGAGTCATCAGTACCTCCCCCCTCCCCCTATCCCAACCCCCACCAACTATATCCAACCACCAACTAACCTCTCCGCAGGCGGCGTCCTCACCCTCCCCTCCTTCCAACATGACTTCCGGTACAGCTCGTCGCAAAAAACGACCGTCAACTCCAACGCCGTCTCCATCCTGCAAGCCGGCGCCTTCTTCGGCTGCTTCCTCACCACGCCCATCGCCTCGCACCTCGGCCGCCGGATGGGCCTAATCCTCTCCTCACTAGTCTTCAGCATCGGCACGATCCTCCAGATCCTCAACACCCACACCCTGGCCACCTTCTACGCCGGCCGGGTCATCTCCGGCGTGGGCATCGGTGCCGCAACGGTGCTCATCCCCGTCTACGCCGCCGAAATGTCGCCCACCGACCTCCGCGGCCGGCTGGGCGCCTGCTTCCAGCTCTTCTTCGCCATCGGCGTCATGGTCGCTTACTGGGTGACCTTTGCCGTCAGCGCCGACCAACCCTCCTCCACGAAACAATGGCAGATCGCCCTCGGCCTGCAACTGCTGCCCTCCTCCCTCCTGCTCTTCGGCATGTGCACCGTCAAAGAAAGCGCCCGCTGGCTCGCCTCCAAGGGCGAGACCTCCCGCGCCCGAGCCTCCCTCAAATGGATCCGCGGCGGCGAGGACTCCCCCGCGCTGGATCGCGAGTTCGCCGAAATCCTCGACGGGATCGCCCACGAAGCCCGTCTCAAGGAGGGCTTCACCTTCCGCGAACTGCTTCTCCCGGCGAACCGCTTCCGCCTGTTCATCGCGTTCACCATCCAGCTCGCCGCCCAGCTGACCGGAAACACCTCCCTCGCGTACTACGCCACGCAGATCTTTGCGGCCGTCGGCGCCGGCAGCTCCAGCAAACTGGTCACCGGGTTCTTCGGCGTCGTGAAAGTCGTCGGCGTCAGCATATTCCAGATCTTCGTCATGGATCGCATCGGCCGCCGCTGGCCGTTCATGGTTGGCGCCGCGGCAATGGGCTCCTTCATGCTCATCATCGCCTGCATCCTCGCTACCCACCCCACCAACCCCCACGCAAACGGCGGGGTTACTGCCTCCGGCATCGCCATGATCATCATGACCTATGCCGAAGCCTTCAGCTTCAATATGTCCTGGGGCCCGCTGCCCTGGCTGTACGTCGGGGAGATCTTCTCCAGCCGCACCCGCGAGATCGGGGTCACCGTGGGCGCGGCCTCCCAGTGGCTGTTCAACTTCATGATGTCCCAGGTCACGCCCCACGCTATTGAAAATATCGGCTGGCGGATGTTTCTCATGTTTGCCATTTTTAATTATGCCGTGGTGGGGTATTCGTATGTGTTTTTAAAGGAGGTATGTTCCCCCCCCCCTTTACAATATACTATATCCTTCATCTTCATCTCTTTCCCCGGTTCCCAAATATGATATCTGCATCTCTTTCCCCGGTTCCCAAATATGATCTGGGATCATGGTTCAGAGCATGCATTACATTACATTACATTACGTGCCATGCAATGCAAGCCGATAAACACTAACAATAATAAAATAGACATCAAGATACTCCCTCGAGGAAATGCAGGCCGTTTTCGGTGGGGACGGGGTCCCGTCCACAGATAAAGATAAATCCATCACCACCACCACCACAGCCGAAAAGGGCCACGAGGTAGCCCATGCGAACGAGATCGAAGATAATCGGGCCGCGAGCACGTCAACCTCGAAAAGGGAATGATGAGAATGGTGTATGTTCTGCTAGGTTATATCTAGTGGTGGTAGTAGTAGCAGTAGTGACGAGCGATAGCTCATTAATATAAGGCGTCAATACGGGGAAGAGAATATAGTAATGGTACCCTCTCTTCAGTTGCTCACATGGGATGCTATATCATGAACGCTATGCTACAGGGTCAGCAAAGTACAGAAAACCCAACATCACAAGCAGGGTATCTACCCAGGTTCATGGTTGAACTTACCGACACTTTTTATTTATTGCAATATTAATCGGCGAGCACCTGTCAGATGTTCTCTACGGGGTAGGGTGATATAGTATATATATATATAGGTATATCAGGCAACAGCCCCAACCCTGCCAACCCTGCCAAGACGGACCAAATACCACCAACAGGCTACAGGCTGCAGGCGGTGGGAAATTCTCAGGGGGATTGGCTTATGCGTAGCCATCCATACACAGGGAAAATAGTGAATAGTCATGCATACTAGTACTTAAGTGAGTACTTCGCTAGCAAGCAATAATTAGACAATTATAGCTGCACCCGCCACAGTTCCCAAGTCTTGGAAGCGCCAGATACGGCAATCCGGTTGGCCAACCTCGTGATATTGTCGTCTTGGCGGCGAGTGCATACTATTATCCAGCCTAGGTACGGAGTACTCGGACTCGACTCGACGTTATTATTGCCCCCCTCGACTTGGCTCTGGAGAGAGTTGTGTGGTTGTGAGGTCAGCAGTCCGAGCGGTCTGTCTGTCTGTGTCATTGTGAGATACTACTTATATATCTCCCATAAGGATAATCACCTGGACCCTGACGGATACTAAGTGAGGTTAGTGTCCGAGTCCGCCATTTCCTTCTGTCTAGCTCTGGCTCGTGGGGGCGGGCTGATGCTTGTTCTTCGCTGCTTCCAGCTCCTAGATAGATAGATAGAGTATGGGTGGTTCAAGAGATTGGACCCGGCACATCAAGGTGAAACTGCCCCCTGTTTCCTGTAGATTGGCCGGTCGCAATCTCCGCCGGGGGATGCGCTTATCCACCCGGGGGGAAGCATGCAGGGTTTGTGCCATGGGCTGTTTGATCAGTCTGAACTCTGGACTTGTGTTGGGTGGTCATGACTCGGCAGCGGGTGAGCGGGTGAGATGAGCAGGCGCACAGGCATCCGACCAGCCGTTTTTCTTGTTTCCACAGTGGACTAGATACGGAGTAGATAGATACTGGAGACTGATGATAATGTCCTGATGACGGTGCAGCGGAACGATCAGCGCAGCAGTGAACAAATAATCAGGGTCTCTTGCGTGATGTGGGGAGACGGATCAGCATGGGAGGGAGAGGGAGAGCCTGTCAGAGATGCCAGCCGGTCGGGGAACCGCTGGAACGCTGGAACGCTGGCGAGGCCTGCGTGGCCTGGTGGAGCCTGGCGAGGCCTTGCGCGGCCAGCCTGCCGCCGTGGTGGATATTACTGCCATGGTCCAGCCCAATCACCGCCCCCCCCGGCGGCCCGCCCAGCCTTCCGCCTGCCACATCCAGCCGCCAGCTGTATTCTGCCGGGGATGTCACGGGAGTGGGACTCGAGTGGAGGCGCGAAAGCCTCAAGATTCTTCCTCCTCTCTCCTCTCTCTCCTTCTTCTCCTGGCGATCAGGCGGCCTGGCCGTGGCTCTCCCCCCCCCCCCCTCCTCCCAATAATAATATTTATCTTTGCGCCTCGCCCGCGTGTCCTTCGTTCTTCCTCCTGATCCCTGCCTTTCTTTTTCTCCTGCACATCTCTTCCAGCGTTGATTTCGCCCTGCCTGTTACTTCCTCTCCATAGTGTGAGATAGTCGCTCTTTACCAACCCCCCCCCCCCCCCCCTTCCATCTCCCGGATGTTCCTCTCCCACTCCCGATAATATCCCCCCCCCCCGCATGCCTCGTCTTCTCGCCGCTTGCAGCGCCCTCCTGCTGCTGACCGCTCAGGTCACCGCCGACAACTGGCCCTTCCAAGGATACCGCACCGCCCCTTTCCTCCCCCCGAAAGTCAAAGTCACCAAGTCGGGCCCGACCGACCCCGGCTACATCTTCATCGGCCCCCGCGGCAACCAGCAGCAAGGGACCGCCGCCCTCATCTACGACGAGGATGGCGGTCTCATCTACCAGGGCCCCGAGGAGGTCACCGCCAACTTCAAGGTCCAGAAGCTCTTCAACGAGGATGTCATCACCTTCTGGGCCGGCAACATGATGGACCTGGGCTTCGGCTACGGCACCGTCCACATCCTCGACAACACCTACACCGAGATCTACACCGTCACCCTCCAGGACCACTTCATCTCCCCCGATGGCCTCCCCCGCGACTCCTACATCGACCTGCACGAGAGTCACGTCACCGACCGCAACACCCTGCTCGTCACCGCCTACAACATCACCCAGCACGACCTGTCCGCCATCGGCGGCACCCCCGACGACTACATGCTCGACGGCATGTTCTTCGAGATCGACATCGCCACCAACGAGATCGTCTACTCCTGGAGCGTGCTGGACCACCTCGCCGACATCCCCATCGAGGGCTCCAAGCAGGGCTTGGGCGAGGAGTACGGCACCCCGCAGAAGCCGTGGGACGCCTACCACATCAACTCGGTCGAGCGCATGAACGAGGGCTACATCATCTCGCTGCGCCACTACTGGTCCGGCTTCTACATCCACAACAACGGGACCGTCATGTGGCGGCTGAGCGTAAGTTTTTTTTTTTTTTTTTCTTCCTGCCTAGCGGCCGTACTGACCCCCCACAGGGCGAAGAAGAGGTCGGCGACTTCGAGCTGGACGACCATGCGGTCTTCTCGTGGCAGCATGACATCCGGGTCTACAATCAGACGGACGAGGGCATGGTGGTCGACCTGTTCAACAACGCCAACACGCCCACGGACGTTGTTGCGGCCACCACGGGGCTGAGCCTGTACGTCGACCTGGTCAACCGCAAAGTGTCGACGCTGCGCACCATGATGGACCGGGACGACGTCATCCACAGCGTCAGCCAGGGCAGCTACCAGCTGCTGAGCCCGCAGACGTCGCACGTGTTCATGGGCTACGGGTCGATCGCGCGGGTCAAGGAGTACGACGCGGACAACAAGGAGGTGCTGACGGTGCAGTTCGGCGACGACAACGCGGTGGCGTCCTACCGGGGCTACAAGTGCCAGTGGAAGGCGACGCCGTTCTGGAAGCCGGCCATCGCCATTTTCCGCACGGCGTCCGACTCGGCCACGCTGTTCATGAGCTGGAACGGCGCCACCGAGTACGACAACTGGGCCATCTATTCCGCCCCGACGGTGGACGCGCCCAACCCGACCTTCGTGACCGCCGTCAAGCGCGACGGCTTCGAGACCACGGCGCATGTGACTGGCCTGCGCACGTCGTACCTGCAGGTCGTGGCCCGCAAGGGTAACATCCCACTGGGGTCGTCAGTGATGGCGTACTTCTAGCCAGCCAGCCCTTGCTCTACCCCTCTACTATAGCACCCCTCTCGCATCATCACGGCGTTAGGTGCAACCGCGGAGTCCGTGCATGACGTGCACCTTCTTGTATATATTGATTGACGTTTTGTGTAAATACTGCGTTTCACGGAGATACCATGTGATAGAATAGACTATGCATTGCCCCTTTTCTGCTTGTTGCTTTCTGTACGATTCGGCTACTTGCTCTCACAAACCGGACTTCCTATCTGACCGGCAGGCGCACAGCACAGACACAGGCACAGGAAGGACACAAGAGCCGAGACGGAGAACAGGGTACGGAGACAGCACGGATCTGCGCAGTGACCTGACACGAGGCCGTCGCCGTCCATGCTCGACATGCCCTTCCTGGTAACGATGGGCCGTTGCACTTGGACGGTGTACACCCTCGGAGCGGAGCGGATGCTGGCACGGGCGAGCTGGTGGACACGGACACTTGAAAAGTCCCCAGTGAGTAACTAGGTAGGCTGACATCATTGCGGTGGGTGCACTCGGTGACGGTAGCGGTCATGGTAACCAACGGACACGGAGGCGAGTTTGAGGTAGGTGGGTTGTGTGTGGTTTGTGATGCGTACCTGCAGGGAGTGTAACTGTAACCGGTGAAATTGTCGCATCATGCTTGGCTTGATGGATGGGGGGGAGTCTGTGGGACAGATTTGATAGAGCAGGACAGAGCAGTCGCCGGACTGAAGAATTCCGGAAGAGAGAGAGGACAGGTATATATATCAATCCCCTCGATTCCTCATCCATATCCATCTCGCGCAGCCCATCCTCCCAGATCAGAAGTACCTACCATCACTATCTGAATTGAAGCCAAAAAGAAAAGATCAAAATGCTCCTCCACCTTCTCACCATCTTCCTCCTCCATCTCCTCCCTGTTATATCTGCCTCCCCAATCGCCCTCCCCTCGCTCTCTTCTCTCTCCCTCTCCCTCTCCTCTATCGCAGCCTTCAACCCCAATCCCAACGCCAACACCACAGCCAACATCACCACCACCACACGCACCAAACCCAACCTCAAATCGAACCCTAACCCCAACCCCAACCCCAACCCCAACCCCAGCCTCAAATACATGAACACCCCCTCCCCAACCCCAACCCCAAGCCCCACCTCCAACATCAACATAACCAACATCAACATAACCCCCGGCCACGCAACCATCCTCAACAACTGCACCCACGCCATCTACATCTGGAGCGTCACCAACACGACCTCCCCGCAAACCACCCTCAACCAGTCCCTCTCCTACAGCGAGCCCTTCCGCCACGACCCGGCCTCCGGCGGCGTCAGCCTGAAGATCACCACCGTGCGCAACGGCCTGTACACCGGCGCCCCGCAGACCGTCTTCGCGTATAACTGGGTCGATGGACAGGTGTGGTATGATTTGTCCGATGTGTATGGGGATCCGTTTGCGGGGAGGAGGGTTAGTGTGCTTCGCTACGGAGGCGGACAAGGTGGTGGTGGTGGTGGGGAAAGGCAGGGTCAGGGCGAAGAGATGATTGTTTGGGAGGATGGTGTGCCGCCGAGGGGGAGCCAGGTGAGGGTTTTGCCTGGAGATGTGGATTTGGTGTTGAGGGTTTGTGGGTGATGGTTTTTTTTGTCCTTCTATCGATTTTTCTGGCTGTCTGGCTGTCTGGTGTTAGCTGGGTAGGTGGGTAGGTGGGTAGGTGGGTAGGTAGGAAGCTGGGATTGAGATTGGTGGGATGGGTTCAGATGTGGATGTCTCTGGATTTTCTCGCGGGTTGATTCGAATTCGAATGATGGGGACCTGGCCTGAAGGGGTGTTGTTAGCTGAGAATGAGACTTGCAGTTGCAAGGGAGATGGAGGGTACCTGTTTCCTGTTTCTCTATCTCACTGTATCTCTGTCTCTGGTGCGTTCTTTCCATGTGGTAGAAACGGTAGAACACTAGGGATGGCATGTATGTCAGGAAGAGTCTCGAGAGATGGGATTCTATTCTATTAGTGAGCTGGTTTCTGCTCCACGGAAATAATGGGTGCCTGTCTACCGAGGATATCGATATCGATATCGGGAGATGCATTTGGGTCTGGTCTCGCGTGATGGAGAGAAGAAGCCTTGTATCCAGATGGGCTAATTCGGATAGAGTCCAGGCAATGGCTCAAGGCCTCGGAAAAAGGATCCCGGGCGCGGGGATTGGTGACTTTGATTGGGATGGGTATGCCGAGTAAAATCAGATAGCCCTACGCCATAGATCTACGTTCTTTATTAGGCCTGGTGCATGCAGTAAGGAGCACCCGAGGCAGCGACAACATAGATTGACACAACGACCTTCTTTCTTGATTGGCTGTGAGGTATAACTATGTAATGCATTTGTTAGAGGGGTCATGCAACATGCCATGTTGGGCGAAGCTGTAGAATCATGGGGGCGTGAAGGGAGGCAATCCAGGCATATTCAAACTCATGGAGACAGCATCGCTATAGTATACATACTTCCCTTGCTGGTGGCACCAACTTCTGACCCAAGAAGCCTGCAAGGCATGATGTACCTGGAGGCAACGCGCAGGCAGGCTGATAGTATTGATGAAAGTCAAGGTCGATTGCTAGTTTATTACAGTGCGTATCGGCAGGCTTATACATGAGATTGAGATATAGATAGACAGGCAGGGAGGCAGGGAGGATAATGGTTCCGAGAGGGGGGTTCGTGCATGAATAATACAACAAATAGCCAGAGTAGCCTTGATAATGCAAGGACTAACTAATCTGGTATAAAAGTTATAAGAAAGAGCTAAATGGCAGTTCTATTGGGTACTTGAATGACTAGTGCAGGTCATCGCTGTTGTCGTTACTATAAGCAGTTGCTTGCATGCATGAACCGAGGAAACGCTAAAACAGAATAGCTGGTCTCTTTTACCTACCCAGGCCATTGATGCGTTCAGGAAATTATAACCACATACATTCACTGGCCAGTCGCGGAATAGTCATGGGATCACAGGATATTCAGTCATGATTAGAACCATATAAATCCATCCAACCTGTTGCGAAATAGCCATGACATCACGCAGTGTCCGGAATGCAAAATGGAATTGCCATCAAATCGGGCTCAGCTGGTTACCATATAATAATGGTGTATAAAAGGACGATTTCTTCCGGTCATTGTTTCGTCGACAACACCCGATTAAAAATACCCAAGGCAGCATCAATCGTTGTTTGGATATCATTTTACTAGCCCCACAGTATCGTTTTACTACCCCCAGTGTTATCTATGCATCAGACTATGAAGCCCGACTTCGACGCGATTGTAATTGGTGGGGGCTTTGGAGGAACCCGGATGTTATATCTGTCTGTCTACCCTGCCTTCAGTGTAACAGTACGCATCGGGCAATACTGACGACACAGTTAGCCTGAGAGAGAACGGATTCAAAGTGCGCGGAATCGAGCGCCACCAGGGGTTGGGTGGAGTCTGGCACGCCAACCGCTACCCGGGCGCGCGTTGTGACAGTCCGCAGCCCTTCTATCAAATCCACGACGAGACGTTGGTGGGCGGTTGGACATTCTCGGAGAGATTTCCAGACCATCACGAGATGCGAGAGTACTTCCGATACGTCGACTCCAAGTGGAACGTGAGCAAGGACTTTGACTTCGGCGTAGCCGTCGTTCAAGCCTCGTTCGAGCGGGACCTTGTCTGGACCATCTGTCTTTCTGATGGGAGACGCATGACCACGCGATGGTTCATTCCGGCGGTTGGGGTCGCGTCCAGGCCATCCTTGCCAGAGATCAAAGGCATCGACCAGTTCCAAGGCGAGCTGCATCACACCGGAGACTGGCCACTCTCGGAGGTTCCCCTCCAGGGCAAGCGAGTTGCCGTGATTGGCACCGGCGCGTCCGGGGCGCAGGTCGTCGCTAGAATTGCGCCCGAGGTGGAATCCCTGACGGTATATCAAAGAACACCTGTGGTGGTGATTCCAGCGTCCCCGGAGTCCAGCCAGGATTCAAACCCGCATGCTGTCCCTCTGACACCGGACGAGACTCGCGCCGCGTTCCAGCGTTCAGCGACGTCATTCTCCGGCGTGGACTATTCCTTTCAAGATCCCGAGTCGGTAGCCATCGGATCGCCCCTGCGAGACATCTTCAACATGCGCCTCTACAGGGAAGGAAGTCTCGGGCTCGTGTGGGGCAATTTCTCAGATATATTCACAAACAGGGAGGCGAACAAACAGCTGTATGTCTTCTGGGCGACGCAGACGCGTGCGAAGATACGAGATCCCGTCAAAAAGGAGATTCTCGCGCCTTCCAAACAGCCGTACCCCATTGGGATCAAGCGTGCCTGTTTCGTGGACAACTATTACGAGTCATTCAACCGGCCCAACGTGGATGTGGTGGACATCAGAGAGGCCCCATTGACAGCGATCACGAAGACGGGCATACAGCGTGGCCCAAGCCACCGCGAATTCGATGTCATCATATGCGCGACGGGATTCGAGTCCCAGACGAGTGGAATAACCAGGTTGAATATCACCGGTCGACACGGGGTGCCGTTGGCCGAGGCTTGGAAAACCCGCGTCACCTCCTACCTGGGGATGACGGTGCCTGGGTTTCCTAACATGTTCTACCTGTTCGGGCCGCAGGGCCCAACCGTTAAAGTCAATGTCCCCACGACCGTCGAATGCCAGGCCCAATGGATCCTGTCTTTCTTGAAAGTGCTCCGAGCATCTGGTGTGAACTGCTGTGAACCGACACGTTCTGCAGCCCACGAGTGGCAGGAGGAGCTGAAGCGACACTGGGAAGACTCATTGTACTTGGGTACGGCGCTGTGGGAGGCTCGCAATTCTTCCGACCAGCCTGAGCCGCTTTGGTAAGCCTCTCTCTCCACAGCCATGCTGGCGATTCATATACTCATGCCATCCGTGCAGGATCCAAGGAATTCAGAAGTACCGCCAATTTCTGCAGAAGACCCAAGCGCGCAACTTCCGCGGGTTTGTCGAGTTGCGGCAGAGGGACTCTTCCGTGCTTTAACTGTTATGTCATCCGAGGCACGCACAAACATTGGAGTGAGCGTTCATGGCTGTAGGAGTTTCTTTTTGGCGGAGAGAGAAGTGATTTTATTGCAGATATAGAAGAGTGCCATTTCGCTTCCACATTAGAGCCAACAGGCGAGGATTCTTCGTGCGAGAAAGAATTCCTGGTGCGTCTTGCCGTCTGTGGCTCACCTCAACAACGATAGCAGAGGTGTGGAAGAACGATCTGAGGTCATGTCGGCCAATGACATGCCTATAGAGAAAACGGGCTTTTGAGGGGGCTGGCTTCGGGGTGTCAAGGGGATGATGAAAGTATGCTGAAGCTAGGGCCTTCGTTGCCAAGCCGCTCTGGGCAGTAGGGGTGTCGCTTACTGTTCCGATTCCGCCCGGCAACTACCAGTTGGGAAGGCGGAGAGCATAAAATGATAGAATTGGGGAATGGGGTGTGCAAATACCGGCTCATCTGTGTAGAAACACAACAGCACAACATATTGGTAGACGCACTCGGCTGAACCCCATACCCAATTCTTTCTTCTTTCTTCCCCATAGCAAGGGATGTCTCAGATGGCAGCATACGGCGACGACGGCCATTGCATCTATCGATCTGCAGAGGCAAGTCGGCCCCATCCTCGGACCCTTTACGCCTGGGATTGGTAAGCATCAGAGATTGCGACTCGCAATGAGTCAGTTAGATCTTCTCAGTCGTTCGCAGTTCCAGAACCAAGCCAGGTGCCTTTGCAGTCAATTACTCTTCATCAAAATGACTACGTTGGTGAGGTGCGTCCGCCAACCACCGCAGCAAAGTAGGTCTCCGGCACATTCACAGCTCCAAGCAGAGATTATGATTCACCAGGGCAATGCCTCTTTACAAGGGCAGCAAGCATTCGTCCTTGGACAAATCATCGACTGAGTTCCTCCACAGCAACAGCGGCACCCGATGACGCGACAGCACGCGCGAAAGCAAACTACAAGATCGTGCAAGACCACGGCAACTTCAAGGAGATCGAATCCAAGAGACCTCGGTTCGACCACGCAACCAATCACCCTACCTAGACTGGGAGTACGGCCAAGGGGTACCGGACGGCGGCGCCAGCGCGAGTAAGAAGCACCACGAGATCGACCCCTACGCCGCAGACCGCCCCATGATCAACAACTACCGACTGCTGGTCTCAGGCATCGCCCCGCGACCCATCGGCTTCATCAGCACGGTGTCCGCCGACGGCCAGACCGAGAACCTTGCCCCGTTCAGCTATTTCCAGGCGATGGACCATGACCCGCCGATGTTCATGGTGGGGTTCTCGTCGCGACCGGGCCCGGTGAAAGACACGGGGGAGTGTGTGATCAACACGGTGTCGGAGAACATGATCGAGGCAGTCAACGTGACGTCGATTGACGCACCGTATGGGGTATCGGAGTGGAAGGTCTCGGGTTGCACCAGGCGGCGAGCTCGACGGTGAAGCCGGCGCGGGGGCGGGAGTCGGTCTTCTCGGTGGAGGGACAGGTGGTGGATGAGGAGTTCAGTCACATCGATCTGCATCTGTTGAGGCCGGTGGGGCAGCTGGGGGGGGGGGGGGGGATCTCGTATGGGCGGATCACGTCGACATTTGGCCGGCCACGGAAGAGGTGGGAGGATGGAAGTGGTGGAAAGCGGAAAGCAGAAAGAAAGTAGAAAGTGAAGAGGAACAGGTGACATCATGAGGCGTGCCTGAAGGGGCTGGCTCCACTCCCGCCAAGACTTTCGGCCGACGCGGACTTTCCTTCTTCCCGCTTGTTGTAACCAAATGCTCCATCTGCCATCCGCCATCCGCCATCCGCCATCCGCCATCCCACCCTTTGCGTTGCTAGTGCCGGCACTCAACATCGCAGCCATGTCGCTCTTCCTTGCATCGGCCAGGGCGACTCCATCGCGACTCCTTCAAACCACATTCACCGCGCAACGCAGCTTCAGTACCCCGAAATCCTCGAAGCCATGGCCGCGGAAGGAGTGGTTGTGTATGATCCGTGAGAAGCCAAACACTGCCAAATTGAGACAACGATATCTCGGGTAATTTCAATCTGCATCTGTTGTATGATGGTCTACCTTGGCTCATGCTATTGTCTAGCCCTCACCTCAGGAGGATGAGGCGTCTGTCGGAGGAGAACAAAATAGTGTCAGATGGTCAGTTATCACAGCATCGGGGTCTGCAGTTGGCTGACCCAATGTCCAGGCAATATGTGTCTTGCGCATCCGGAATATAAAGGCGAGAAAGTACCCACTACGGGCAGTCTGATCACCTTTGTTGCCGACTCAGAAGCGGACGTTCGTTCGCTCATTCAGCAGGATGTTTTAGCGGAGAAAGGTGTCTGGGATGTGGAAAATGCTGTTGTGGTTCCGGTATGCTCCTGGTGGCGTTGGTAGCCAACCGATATCTTGGTATGGTAGGGCGCTCATGCTGATCACTGGTCTGTAGTACGTTGTGTCTTTCCGCTCCCCAATCGACTACACAGCAAACGAAGTCCTCGCAAATGCCTTTAGTTTAATGGGGGCATTGCAGCCTTCGGCGGCGAGCACAAAAAACAAACGCAAATTTGTCTTGTCGAGCTCTGAGAATATTAACAAATCCGAGGATGGCTCCATAAATGCGGAACCGGATGCCAGCGTCGCCGAGTCGAAGGGCACCCCAGCGACTGAGACAGCGTCCGGCTCTGACAAGGCCGCGCCCGAAGATGGAAAGCCCGTTGCGCAGGATGCTGAGACGGCGTCCGGCTCTGACAAGACCGCGCCTGAAGATGGAAAGCCCGTTGCGCAGGATGCTGAGACGGCGTCCGGCTCTGACAAGGCCGCGCTGGAAGATGGAAAGTCCGTTGCGCAGGATGAGAAGGAAGCCGATCACAAATAAGCGCTTCCCTTAACACCGACCCGTGGGGTTTGCCGTGCGAGGGCTTGCATGGAATCTCATCAAAGGCCCGGACGTCAGCAAAGATCATCCGGGATTCAACCTCTCATCGGATTCTCAGGTCCATCGAACTAGCCTTTGACCCTACCAGATCTAGTGGCCAGCAGATGGGGGCAGGCTAGCTATAGAATGGATCAACCCAGGAGAACTTCTGTATTATACGTGTGCCCACTTTCATTTGCGGCGTCGCCATTCGATATATTGAACAAACGTTTTCGTCATTCCTTGCATCTGCTTGGTATATGTTTGATGCCTATCATCATGTAGCATTCCTGTCGTATGCTGGGTTGGAGGGGACTGAACTGCAACATATTACTCTTGGATCCGCCAGGATTGCGTTTACTGCATTCCTTGATTTATATGGCTTGCAGTGCAAAACCCCAAATACCGTGAGACCATGATGTTTCAAAACCATGCTCGATGCGGGGAATAGTATATATGGGGAAAAGGGAGTCTGTGCATCTCTGATGTGGATTTTCTAGAAGCCAGTCAGGCTACTAACACATGACTGCATGTAGGCCCACAGGATGTTGAAGTGAAGGCTACTCCAGCTGTCAAAAGACTAGTCGAGGGCCGGAGGAATAGCAGATGCGAAATATGGTTTCGAATGAAGCCGACGAATACGTTTTCCGGCGACGCTTTGCTAACCCGTCGCCGGCAGCGCAGAAGGCTACAACAGTGAACTACTGTCGCCTGGAAAGCTCCAGATCTAGACCACGACGGAGTATGAGATTGCTGACGATTACAAATCTCGATGGAAGAGGGGCTGCAGTCGGAAACACGTCGAATCGCAACGAGGAGAAGAAGAGGGGATCGACTTGGATGGCAAGTGATCAAGTTGATCCATCCTGCGGGGTTGAGACAAGGTATCTCGATAGCTACCTTGCATTCCGTTGGAGGCCTGAGCGTCTGAAACCCATCACTAGCCGTACCTGGTAATCGTTGAGTCCGCCAGGGTTGTGGTACTGTTAGGGCTTCCCTCGTCTATGCAGCAATTGTCCGCCAATAAAGACAACCCCATGCATCGCGATCGGGCTTGCCAATATGGGCAATGTACTCGCAGACGTCACCGCGGCCACTTTGGCACGTCAGTGGTCAAAGATACTACCCATATCCGGCTGCATGACCAGCTGATCGGAAGTAGTACCAGGGAAGCATCGATCTTCAGGCCGGCAGTTGTCCGCAACCGGTCGTCTTGACTCCGCAGCATATAAAGCCGCGTATCCAGACGGGCAGAGTGGGATCATGAACCACTGGATCCATCATCAATCGCCATGGCCGACTCAACAACCATCCTTTTCGTACCCGGCGCCTGGCACAATCCAGACTGTTTTGACCTTGTCGTGCAAGTCCTCGAAGCCGCCCACTACAAGACCGACAAGGTGCACCTCCCCTCCGTCAACGCGCCCACACCCCTTCTCGACTTCGCCCCCGACGTCACCCAGATCCGCACGCAGATCGAAAAAGCCGCAGACGCAGGCCGGAAAGTGCTGGTGGTTGTGCACTCGTACGGAGCACTGCCAGCAAACGAAGCAATCAGGGGCTTAGAAATGGCGACACGGAAGTCCCAAGGCCTACCCGGCGGCGTCTCGCACTTATTCTTCTGCTGCTCGTTCGTCATCCCGGAGGGCGATTCGCTGATCAGCGCGTTTGGGGGGAACGATCTTCCGTGGTTCTTGGTTGCGGAGGACCGCTTGCTAGTTGACCCCGACACGCCGGAGTTCGTGTTCTATAATGACTGTGAGGAGGGCCAAACTAAGAGTGCGGTCGCGGCGCTGCGGACGCACAGCTATCAGACTTTCCTCTCTCCTTGTACCTATGCGGCGTGGAAGCATGTCCCCAGCACGTATCTGTACTGTCTGCGGGACGAGGCCATTCCGATGGCCGTGCAGAGGATGATGGTGGAGGAGACTGCTAAGGGGTATGATATGCGTACGGAGACTCTGGACGCGTCGCATAGTCCTTTCTTTAGTATGCCGGTTGATATGGCCGAGGCGATACGGCGCGCTGCGGAGAGGGGGTAGTTGATTGTCGACGCTGTTCTTGATGATATGTGTTCGGACCATGGAGGCAAAAGAAGAACTCCACTTGCCGTGGCCCTGGGGATGGTCCAGCACTGTCAACAATAAACGCACCCGAGGGTTCATATTTAACAGGAAGGACATACTGGGAGGTTGACAAGAAGCACCAGGAGCGGTCTTCGATGAGTATTCACTAGATAGATGGATAAACGTTAATCCGAGCAGTGGTGGTGCAAAGGATCGCTGTGACTAGCCTCGAATCTGACTTCATCTTGCTTTGGCTTCCTGCTTACAGGCTCCAGAAACGGACCCCGGCAGGGATCCACGGCTCCTGCAATCATGGATCGACTGCCGCGCGAGATTATGGATATAATATCCGGATGTGTAAGTGATCAGTGCACGATACAGTGACCTTCGATCTGACTGAACAACAGAGCTGCGACCTCTCCAGAGAGAGCCTCCAGACCCTAAGCCTACTCAGTCGGGACTGGAATCAGGTCGCCCAGCCCTACCTCTTCCGACATCTGGTCATTTGTCCAACAATAAGCGAGAAGGATCTACTCGAGAAGATAGACCAGCTCCTCAGCTACAAGACTATCCTCGCGCACGTGAGACAACTGAGCCTCATCACTGTGCCCGACGATAAAGCCAGAAAGACGATCAGCTTCGCCCCAGTCCATCGTTACCGCGACTTCTTCTCGGGGAACCAAACGATGCCCCGAACATTCGGCTACCGGGGCAGCTGGCCACCTCTGGTCGATCTCATCCGCGAACTTCCTTGTTTGACGGAATTCAATTTTCTCCTCCGGTATCGGAATCCGTCAGAATTGCTCGAAGCCCTCCGTCAGTATCATCCGGCGTGTCGACTGTCCATGTCGAAGTCGACGACCCCTTTACGGAAAATGCCCTTGGAAGAGGAACTGCTGAGCTCGCCCGCGCTGCATGCCATTTATTTGAGATACGGTGAAAATGAAAAACACAGACAATATGTCGAGCCTCCCGATAGAAGCCTATTGAAATTTACTGCCCTCGCGCCACATCTGAAACACGTCGGCGTCCAGATTGATGGGATTAATGGGATCAGCGATGCCTATCTGGACAATCCAGACCCACAAGAGGACTTACCAGAGGTGCTGCCAGCACGCTCCCCACGTGCCAGTCTGGATTCGCTTTCTTTCTGCATCCAGACCAGGCTATCAACCAGGCAATTCGCCGACTGGCACGCGGCTACTGACTTCTCACAGCTCAAAGCCTGGACAATCGGGTGCATCGAGGAGTCAACCCTTCCTCGAGCCATCGCACAAATAAGCCCCTTCAGCCAACTCGAAGGCTTAACCCTAGCGATATACCCACCCACCCCGGACGAAGACCCAGGCTTCTTCCTCGCCCTGGAGACCATGTTCGCAAGCCTTCCGCCACTCAAACACCTCTGCCTCCTAGGCCAGTACAGCCCCAGCTTCCTCCACGCATTGATCCTTAACACCCACGGACAATCCCTCCTCGGACTCAAACTTCACGGCAACAACCAATTCTCCAACTACGAGCACTACCGCCTCAACCACAAGGGAAGCAGCGGACAACTCTTCTCCGCGGACTCCATCGCCCAAATAGCCGCCCGCTGTCCCGCCCTACAGGACCTGAGAATCGGGATCCAGCGCGACCGAGGATCCCGGACAGAAACAGCCCTCTACACCGCGCTCGCGCAATTCCCCTCCCTGAGAACCCTAGACCTAGTCCTCAACTGCCTCCCCGCCGTCACCTCAACCAACTCGCCCTCCCCCCCACGTCCCCTCTCCGACTTCGAAGCCTCCCCCACCCACTGGCGTGACATCCCCGTCTGGCATGTCCGAGACTGCGTCATCAACTGCGCCATCGACGAGGACCTCGCCACAGCCATCTTCTCCCACATACTAAATAACCAATCCACGCGCCGCCTGTGCGAGGTACGGCTCAACCCGCTTTATGGCCACTATAACCAGGCGTATGCGCACGGTGAACCCACCAGGCTCTGGAAGTTCAGACAGGGCGATCTTCATAGACTGCTGAGTTGGTTGGGGTCGCCGTGGTTGGTGGAGCGGGTGCCGTTTGTGGGCGTCCAGGCGAAGAGGGTTTCGCGGAGTCCTTGGGCGTCGTTTGCGCCCGTGGAGCCGCGGGAGAGGATGGTTGGACCGGCGTCGGAGGAGGTGAGGAGGCTTTTCACGTCGTTGTGGCCGGAGGCTGGGGGGCAGAGGGGTGGTGGGTCGGTTGGCGGAGTTGGCCGCTGCAATGAGTGTTCTTTTTGCGTTGGGAGTGAGGCATGTTGCGTTTGGATTGGGAATCTGTTAAGGGCTCGTTGCGATGATGCTTTCGGGTCTATTCATTGAATCAATGCCAGATATTGATCCCATACAGAGCTTGGGCTATGAGGTCATACACGGCCAGAGGTGATTAAGACATATCAACAGTCGCAGAACAGCGCCGAGACACATTACCCACGATATCCCCCATCATCCTGAACCCTCTACCCTCAAAACGCAATACACTCAGTATCATAAATCGGGACCGTCACCGTGTACAACGTATCATCAAAAAGATCGGTCACGGACGCCTCAACATCAAAGACAAAGTCACTCGCAAACCAGTACCCATTCACGCAGTCCCCACTCCCCTGGGAGAACGTCACCCCAGTGCTGGTACTCAGATCCAGGTCCCCATCAACCGAGAACTCATTCACGATCTCCGCCTTGGCCTCAATCCCCGCTGTGAGATCAATCAGCCCATCAAGCACATTAACCCCAATCGACAAATCGACATCCGCAAACGGATTCAGCTCCGCATCCACCTCCGCCGACAAATTCGCCGACGCGCCGTACGTGGGCGTCCAACCAGACGTAGTCGACTTGCTGCTGTCGAGCAGATCGAGGTAGACCTTCCCGTCTGCAATCTGCGCCGATACATCGGCAGTGGCGGTCGCTTCGCCGGAGATAGCGAACTCAACACCGACCCCGAAAGTGAGAGATGGTCCGATGGTGAGGATGCCGGCGATGTCAAGGGCAGACACATCCAGCGCGTCGAAGGTATAACTCCACAGATCGGTGGAATACGACGCCTTTGCCTCCGCGGTGACGCTCACATCCGCATACAGACTGAGATCGAGTTCCAGGTACAGCGTGGTCGCAGTGAGATCAGTCAGATCGATATCCACCCCGCCGCTGAGATCGATCGTGGTGCTGAGGTCGACATCATTCACGTCGATAGTCAGATCGGTTATGTTGACCAGCTCGCCGGACCATTCGTCCGACAGCGTGACCACCACGTCGCGCTTATTGGATGCGGCTGCCGTGCAACTGAACACGATAGACAGCAGCTCTGCCTCATCCTGGAAAGAGCTCGCAGTGGCTGAGGCAGTGATGGTCAGGCTGGTGCTGTCGTTTGACAGCGCACTGACGGAGTATACACCACCCGAGTTGACGGAGGAGCACGACTCGATGTTGTTTGTGAGGAGAACGAGGTCGGATGCCGACCAGTCCGACACGCTCTGCTCGTAGGCGCTGCTGCTGGAGAAGGTGATTGAAACGTCCGAGTCCGTGCATTCCACCGAGGAGATCGTGGAGATGTCATCGAGCACGACGGTGGGGAGCTTCATCTGCGCGTTCAGAGTGGCCGCTGCGGAAGAGTTCGTGGCCGCGTAGTACAGCGAGACGTTGTATGCCGGGGCGATGCTCTCTGAGAGAGTGGTGGCTCTGCGCTGGGGAGATGGGTAGAGCTGCTGCGTTGGGGCCGCGGAGCAGCCGGCCAGGAAGAGCGCAGCCGTAGCTGCTAGGGTTCGGGAGAACATCATGATTGCAGCAGGCAGTGGGCAGGATGCAGCGGATGAATGGATTTCAGAACCCCTACACAGGAGAACAGATCTGGGAAATGTTCCCGGACAGAATATCAGATTATATAGTCGATCTTCCCGAGTGCTTCTTGGCCTTGCAGAGCATTGCGCAATGCAACCCGTCCCTTCCAAATAAATTAACTAAAATTAAACCCCGGTGAAACATTCATCAGGCGACTGCGACTCCGACACCGACACCGACACCAACTGCAACAACGAGCGGACGGAACATGGGGCACGGAGGACAGGACAGGACAGGACAGGACAGGACACACCCATCACCTCCGAGCCCTAGCCTAGGTAGTCTCGATAGTTCAATAGTCCACAACCACTGACCATCTCCATAACGGCCCACGCTCCGTAAAGAACCCATCCCGGAGCCAAACGGGGAGCTTTCAATCCCTATAGCGGGCGGGTGCCCCTCATCCATGGGATGGTGGTGGTCCGGGCATGCACTGGTGTTTTGGGGTGTGATTGGTGGTGAAGGGTGGTTTTAATATATTTGGACTGTGGGGCTAGGATTGATGTCTTACTACGGAGTGGTACTTAGTACGTGGATGTAGGCGTTGACATGTGAATGGAAGGGAGGAGGGGGGGGATGCCGGGGGATTGAGGGCTGGGGTGTTGGTGTCATGCCATGGATTTGAGCAGTTTGGTGGAGGGATGGTCGGCTTGGGTTGGGCGTGGTTGTGGTTGGATCGGACTCGGAGAGAAGGATGAAGGTTGAAGGGTTAAGGGTTGGTTAATTGGAGTGTACTGCGGAAGGGGAAGACCAGCGGTGGAAAGGGGAAGGGGGGTACGTACTTACTCGGATGGATGGGATGAACTAGACTATCTAGGTAGTTAGGTTAGTTAGTCTACGGAGACAGACCGTTTGTTTGTATCTGGACGGCATGAGGGGCCGATGCGATAGTAAGACAGGCAGATCGGCAGGAACTCGGAAGTTGAAACAACGGATTGAGTAAACTTCAAGACAGGATGGTTGACTTGACATTTTAAAACCCCTGCTATGAATAATATCTTCCGGGAAGAGTTTTAGTTCCTGCCTGGAGATACCCAGACAACTTGACTTGGGTTTGGGCTTGTACTTTGTTGGGGCGTGGGTGATACTGACAGGCACGGCCCAAGACAGGGAGGGACATCATTGCTAAATTTGTCCCTGTCTGTCGGCCGTCTTTAGCACCGGGCTAACCGGCCATTACCCGTGGTTCACCGTCGTCTGGTTGATCTAATCTGATCCCCCCCTCCCCCCCCCTTGGGCCGCCATCTGCGATGACTCGGAGGGTGAGGATGCTGCTCTTTAGTAATGGAAATTGCGCGAGTACTATATTGTGACTCTTATTGTTCTTGAAGGCCCCATACCCATTTTCTAGCAAGACTTTGCTTGGCTGCGATTGTCATGTGGTGAGATCGTTTTTCTGCGATCGCCATGGGTGGTAAAATGATAATCAGGACTTTCCAGTTGTCTGTTCGCAAGAAAGTACAATAGTAAGAAAGACGATAGCCGTTGAAGCTGTTAGATCCACGTTGTCTGCCCCGGATACAGAACTGACAAGTATGCGGGAATACTCCACGAAACAATGGGCACCAGTAAGTTACTTCGGTCCCAAACATAGGTAGCGTTCGCCCCATCAAGAGTCAAGACCGCCGCCCTGTTTACTATGTCTGGTAAACCCTAAATCCAACTTCAAACTACCAAGCCTACTCCTCGTTCCCACAACATGCCCGATATACTGCTGGGTATGTAAGTCTCTTATACTGCTGGGTATGTAAGTCTCGTGGACTGCTCCTATGTCCCCCGAAGTATGAAGCGTATATACCGAATGCCTGGTCAGTTTCAATTGACGAACAGGATATTGCTTTTTCAGGGACCAACCCTGCGTCATGGGGCTTATCAGCCAACCTAGGACGAGGCTGTACCAAGTGGACTGCGGCTGGGATGATATTTTGGACGCGATATCGCCTGGTCGTACTTGTTCTGTTCCCCAGCTCGGATGTCCAGTTGCAGACAGCCTCAGGAGAAAAGAACTCATCAGCGTCACATCTTCGGCTCGACGGCATAAGTATGTCAGCTGCTAAGCGGCGGATCAGCCTCGTGAGAAGCGCTCTTCAATCTACAGCATCACTGACATATCTGCCGACAGCGGTCGCAGGCAACGAGCTTCATTAGGTCATCTTATGCTCACTGCAATAGCCACCCCTGCAGTCTCAGATTCTCTCACACCTGTGGACGTGGATCCCCCATCAGATTTCGGCCCCCTCTGGCAACAAGCCATCCGGGAATACGAAGAGATCACCGAGAGAAAAGTCATCCCGTTAGAGCCAGTCAATAATGTGGATGCAGTGCTGCGACAGACTCGAAAGACGGCGTCGTGATTCCGCATCCATCGTCATGATCCCGAGTACCAAAGCATACAGCATACACGGCTGGACGGCACTGCTGGTAGCCGCTCAAAGCGACCAGCCTGAAGCCATCAGTCTATTGCTCCGGAGACATCCCAATATTGTCTCGCAGCGATTTCCATCCGGCGCAACCGCAGTCGCGGTGGCAGCCGAAATGGGCAGCGATAGGGCCGTAGCAGTGTTACTGAATGCCATGGACAAGGATGATTCAGGATCTGGTTTGCTTACTGCGGAGAAGGGTTCAAGGCCGGTGGATTCTTGAGTTGGTTGGAAATATCTATCCTGTATCTGCACTGTACCTCGTGGTATAGATGATTCGGAGATGATGGAGATTCTTCCTGATTGATTTGCCCTTCAATCCAATATTGCATTTTCCAAGGCCTCACCAAACCTTGAACACTGATACTTCTGATATTCTTACAATTGATCACTGCCCTTGGATTCTCGCCGAACCTCGGTGCATATATTGATGTCGTACCACACGGCCCTTCCCCGCGGACTCCACTCCCCCGCATCAGCCTAAACCAGCCGATCCAAACAGGGTTTATTAATCATCTCTTGCCTCCCCCTCAGCCTGGTCCTTCTCTCTTCTCTCCATCTCTGATATTCACCTTTGCCAATAACCGCCATAGCCCAAGCATCTTCAGCATAGACGATGGTTTTAACTTCCCTGGCCGTCTTATGGCCAGGCCTAACCGACCAATCCTCCTACCTCCTCCTCGCAGCCCTCATCGCCACCACCGCAACTTTCCTCCTCCACTTCCTGGACCCTCTATCCTCCATCCCGGGACCCTTCTGGGCCCGCTGGTCACCCCTCTGGATGATCAACCACTCCCTCAACGGCGACATGCACCGCACCATGATCCACCTCCACGACAAGCACGGCGCCCTCGTCCGCACAGGGCCAAAGGAGGTCAGCACGTCCGATCCATCGGCGATCCAGGAGATCTACGGTTCGTGTATCGTTTCGTGTCGTCTCGTTTCGTTTATACTCCGACCTCACGGGGCTGTGTCACCATGGGCATCGGTGGAGGATAGTGTCTGTCCGGATGGTGTCCGGCGTGAAACCAAACCACGTGATCTAACGAACAAGACACAGGCGTCGGATCCAAGTTCATGAAAAGCGACTGGTACAGCGTGTGGCAGGGTCGACGCAAATTCGACCTCTTTCCCGAGCGCGACGCGAAGGTGCATGGGTCGCAGCGCCGATTCGTGAATTCGATTTACTCGATGAGCGGGTTGAGGGAGCTGGAGCCGTATCTCGATGATGTGTTGAGGGTGTTGCTTGATCGGCTGGGGGAGGTGGATGGGAAGAGGATCGATATGAGCTATTGGGCTCAGTTGTTTGCGTTTGGTAATTGGTGATATATTCGGGGGTTGTGGTACTCGGGGAGGGGGAATGTGGGCTGATTATTGTTATTTGATAGATGTAATCGGTGAACTCACTTTCTCGAAACGGTTCGGCTTCCTTGACACGGCCAACGATAAAGGAACCTTTGCGCAGATTGAAAGTGCACTTCAGTCTGCCGCGTGGATCGGACAGGTGCCCTGGCTATACTGGGTGCATGATTGGCTGGCGCCGTGGATTGGAAACCACCTCGGAATCACGAACCGGAATGGCATCCTCCGGCAGATCGCAGCGAAGGAGGTCGAACAGCGCAAGACCAGGGATGGCGCGCACCGAGACATCCTGGAGAAGTTGATGAAGGTGCATCGCAAAACTCCGGAGCAGTTCGATGGGACGGCCGTGTTGTCGATGGCATCGAGCAATATTTTTGCTGGGAGTGATACCACGGCTATTTCTATCGGGGCGATCCTGTATTATTTGTGCAAGTACCCGGATTTCAAAGCGAGGCTGGTGGATGAGATTCTGGCCGAGGCGAAGGAGGGGAGCATTGAGCGGGGACTGGTGCCGTGGGAGGTCGCGAGGAAAATGCCCTACTTGCAGGCTTGTATCCATGAGGGCTTGCGGTGTCATCCGGCCGTTGGGATGTCCATGCCACGGGTTGTGCCGGCGGAGGGCATTACGGTAGATGGGAAGTATCTTCCCGGTGGGGTGAGTTTGCCTGGCCTTCGTGAGATTGGAATAATTGATATGCTAAAGTGGGATAGACCGTCATCGGAGCCAACCCATGGGTCGTGCACCGGAACAAGCAGGTCTTCGGGGATGACGCGGATACCTTTCGACCCGATCGGTGGCTCGAGGATGATGCAAATGTAAAAGGTGGGATTTAACCACTATGGACCCTTGTATGAGGAATTGCCATATCTGACAGATAGCAGAACGATTCTTCCTTGCATTCGGGGCGGGATCGCGAACCTGTTTGGGCAAGAGTGTGTCTTCTTCAATCTCTGTGGCGGGAATTGATCCTTATGAGCGACGCTGACTGGCTCTAGGTTTGAGTTTGATTGAGATCTCCAAGGTGAGAGACAAAGTATTCAACTGTGCTTCTGACATTTGCTGACATACCAAGCTTTTGCCGTGCTTATTGCTCGAAAATGATATGGAATTCGCGGATCCTAGTGCCGATATTGTGGAAAGCTGCTGGTGAGTTGGTAGTATAAACTGGTTTGAATTTATCAGACCAGTACTGATTTAATTGTATGTAGGTGGTTTGTGAAGATCCAAGGGCTGTTCCTCCGTTTGACACGGCGGGAGGGCTTTTCTTGAATGACCGTGTATTGGTTATCGTAAAGAGACGAGTTGGTGTCGCAAATACCCCGTTCCATGTTGACAGGGAGCTTAGCGGCGTACCTACGGCTCTATATAGTGGAAGACTACTCATTACGAGCAGTACGAGTCGGGTGTTTAGAAGTCCTCTCCCAAGGATCTCTCTCTGATTATCTACTGGGATCGGTGAATTCTAGCAGTGTCGATTGGTCTATCTTGAACGAACCTCGGTTAGTACATAAGAGGTGTAAAGGCTTTGAATGAAGTCCTCCTTTCGCGCAGTGATCATCCTGTCAAAACGGCACTTTGGACCTTTCTTAATGGCACATATCATACTTCTCTCTGTCATGCGATTCCTACTTCTTCCGGAACATATTTCATGGTCGGTTGGCTGGGTACTTCGTGCAGATTCTCAGAATGCATATTGCTGTGCTGAAGAAGAGATTTGAGGTTTTCCATCCGAAGGGTCAACTGGCAAATGGAATTGCATCGTGGAATTCATCCACTCCGTGCCTTGGCAGTGTTGACCTCCTAGAGACAATCAATTGCTACAGTGTTGATATTCTCTGCCAAGTAGCATATGTCCAGTAGCAGAAATCGCTGAATCCAGGTTTGAGGGAAGGCACAGCAGCAGGGAGGGCCCTTGTTATGTTGTGGATATAATATAATCAGACGGTTTTTACCTCTCCCGCCCGGTGGCAACATCAGGCGAGTGCTCATCAAATGATGCAGCTCCAGATCGTCATATATTAGTAGGTATTTCCAAGCATCCACCGATAAGTATGCCGCCTGGGCCGTGAATGAACGAGGGCAATTTACGTAACTGATGATGGCATAGCTGCATTTCCCCGCGAACATGCCGGCTCTCGAGCGGACTTTGACCGCATCTCCCAGTGACTCCGCCGGCGTGCATCGGCGTCCGCCGGGGCAGAAGCGGCCAAAGCTTGAAGTTATTCAGAACCAGTCCACCCGCCAGTGGCGTGATCCGAACCAATCCGCGCCTGGTCGGGTTATCTTGGGGGAACCTGGAGATAACCGGCCGGCCATCGATTGGACGGATGAAGCTGCCCCTTGAGGGTGGGTTGCTGTGCGGCCGAGGAATGCGGGACGGTGACGATGTTGAGGCCCGTCCGATTGGATCCGGGACGGCCGGGGGTCCACTGCCCTAAAAGACCCCCCACGACCAGCCTCCTCGCCGCGAGATAACAGCTTCCCATACATAAAAGACGGCCGCGGTCGTCCAGTGAATCTTCCAGCTAGCTGCCCGTCCCTGTCAACATGCGGTCTCTCTTGTTTGCGGCCCTCCTGGGTGCCGCCCAGGCTCAATTCGTGACCCCCTCGAACCTCACCCAGACCAAGGGCCATCTCGATCTCTCCGTTCGCTACAAGCAGGTGCCCAATGGCATCTGCGAGACCGATCCCAGCGTGAAGAGCTTCTCCGGCTACGTCGATGTCGCCGAGAACGAGCACATCTTCTTCTGGTTCTTCGAGGCCCGCAACCAGGAGCCCTCCGAAGCTCCCCTGACCGTCTGGATCAATGGAGGCAAGTTCACCCCCCCCCCACAGCCCAACCACCACATACTAACCTCCCCAGGTCCCGGATCATCCTCCATGATCGGTCTGTTCCAAGAGAACGGCCCCTGCGGCGTGGACATCAACGGCACGGTGTACAACAACCCGTACTCGTGGTCCAACGCCAGCAACATGCTGTACATCGACCAGCCCGTGCAGACAGGCTTCTCCTACAGCATCCCGGTGCCCGGCTACGTCGACCCCTCGACCGACAACGTCATCGCCCTGCCTTCCCCCTACTGCCCTGAATACGCGACCGACATGTCCTGCGGCACCTACTCCTACCCTAACGTCAGCCTAACCGCCAACACGACCGACAACGCGGCCCCGAACTTCTACAAGGCCCTGCAAGGCTTCATGGGTGCATTCCCCCAATACTCGCGCGAGAGCTTCCACTTCACCACCGAAAGCTACGGCGGGCACTACGGCCCCGTCTTCAACGAGTACATCGAGCAGCAAAACGCGAATCTGCCCAAGGGCGCCAAGAAGGTCCAGCTCGCCAGCGTGATGATCGGCAACGGCTGGTACGACCCCATCATCCAGTACCAGGCCTACTACAACTTCACCGTGTACCCCGGCAACACGTACGACTACCTGCCCTACAACAGCTCCATCAGCTCCCTGCTGTACAACAACCTGTACGGGCCCGGCAACTGCCTCGACCAGCTCTACGACTGCGCCGCCCGCGGCATCGACGAGATCTGCAGCACGGCCGACGACTTCTGCGCCGACGAAGTCGAGTCCATCTACGACGAATACCTCGGCCGCGACGAGTACGACTTCCGTGAACTCACCCCGGACCCCTTCCCGTATGAGTTCTACGTCGACTACCTCAACCGCGCGGACGTGCAGGCCGCCCTGGGCGTCCCGATCAACTACACCGAGAGCAACAACGCCGTCGGCCTCGCCTTCTCCTCCACCGGCGATGACGGCCGTGTAATGAACACGACCCAGGACGTGAAGAAGCTCCTCGAGCAGGGCGTCACGGTCGCCATGTACGCCGGCGACGCGGACTACAACTGCAACTGGCTCGGTGGAGAAGCCGTCTCTCTCAAGGTCGGCGCCGCCAACTTCAGCACTGCGGGCTACACCAACATCTCGACCTCGGATGGCATCGTCCACGGACAGGTGCGTCAGGCGGGCCGGTTCGCGTTCACCCGTGTCTACGAGAGTGGGCACGAGGTGCCATTCTACCAGCCCTTGTTGGCGCTGGAGATGTTCTCGCGGGTGATTGGCGGCAAGGATGTCGCGACGGGTAAGGTGGATGTGGCCCCTGGGTATCAGACGAAGGGTCCCTTCAAGAGTACGTACCGTGAGGGGAATGCGACTATTCAGTGGGAGGTGTTGGATGAGTCGGCCACGTATAATACCACCCTGAATGGGCCGAATCCGGTGGCCAAGAAGGCGAAGAGGCATGGCGCGGCCTTGAGGTTTCAGATGTAGTTTGGATATGGAGACTGTGGAGGATGAAGGTGGGGATATGATGTGATGTAGTGATGTATATATGATGAATGAATAGTCTTGTACCCCCACACTTCTTTCTATTATTGAGAGGCATAGTTGCGTATACCTTGGTCGAGGCGGTGCAGCAGGAATGTCTGGACACTGGAAACGAGTACAGCGATGCGGCTGCGGGGAACAATCAGCCACGACCCGTTGTTAGATCGAAGTTGTGTTTTCAAGTTGCTTTCAAATCGCAAACCCCTTAGGTATCAGGGACTGTACCATGAAGTGGATTGCTTCTTGCCGCCATTGTTGACCGTTCCTTGCTGCTTTCTTCTTTCGATCAATTGTCTCTTATTACTCGCCGTTGCTTTGTGCTGCTTGTTATTGCTTGTCGTCGCGTTGTGTTAATACTGTTGCCTCACATGTCAGACTAAAAATGTTCGAAAGGGGATTAACAGCGCCAATGACCTTGTATAAATGGATCCTACTCCTCGATAGAAACGTTCCAGGCTCTCCATTTCGTAACGTTCTTTTGAGTATAATTCTATCGAGACTTGCGACAGCAATACCGGTAGACCCTGTCTCACATTGCCTTACCATGGGCCTTCCCAAAGAAATAGTCAATAGCACGGCCCACTCTCGAGACGGGGCATGTAGGCTCTGTTATAATGATGTCTAACACCCCGGATGAGAAGGACTATCTCAAGGATGCAAGCAAGGCTGCGACGTTATCCCGTCGTGAGAGACCTCTTCTAACCACACCGCAAATGAACTTTCAAAAGGCGATGTATGAATCGACAGTCAGAAGGTTTAGAGCAACGTCAGATTCCAACTCAGAAAGATACTGGTCGCCTCCCATCCAAGAAGCCACTTGGAACCACCAGCTTCTGCGACCAAACCGCATAGCCGTTGTGAATTCCCAATATTCTGGGTACCAGCCTGCCGATTCCCAATCCAAGAGCCCAGATAAATGTCCATCGTCATTCAACGAGAATGCTGTGCGCCTTGAAATCCCCGTGAGTAAATACGACTCGATAGGGCCGTTGGTCGAGCCGATTCGCAAGTGTCAGAACTTCATTGTATTTTGTGGGTGATTCGAACCCATGCATTGAAGCCGGGTAGGTGAGATGTTTGTATAGTCCTTGGTGATTTGTAAAGGGGCCCATTACATGATCGGGAACTCTGGAACTTCGCAGACATGTTTAAATCGGCGAGGATATGACTTCTGGACTTGGGGGGCACCATGAACGCATGGAGCATACACAAGTTTTCAGTTCCTCCAGCCAAGGCTCCTCGGCATCAACGTCCAGCGGATCATCGGTGTTCTCAAGAGAAATGCCCGGCAATCTTGTCATCAGGATAGAAAATTTCCCGTTAAAAAACTCATTTGGGTGTCCACCGCAACTTAGGACCTTGGGAACGGGTATCCCCGCGGCTTCAACCATTTGCATCGACACCACTTCTTCCACACTGGTCCGATCTGTCCATTTCATCACCAGCCCGAATGGGAGCTGTATGATGTGGTGGTCGAAGGGGACGTTGAACCAGGAGCAGTACCATTGCGAGAAGTGGTAAAGTCCCCTGTGGATGATACCCATGCGATTCGGATGGTCTTTGTATAATCCGGTCGTAAAATCAATGGGATGAAAGACATTCCCATCTTGATGTCGCAAGAGGAAGTTGAATGGGGTCAAGTGGGGGTCGGTGGTTGCGATGAGTTGTGGTTCTCCGCTGGAAGAACCCTAGAACATCATCATAATGCCCCATCTTGGGTGCTTGTTCCGTCTACCCATGACTGGAATTCTTCATTCTGTTCAATACGATTAAACATCTCATATGTCCTTTCAAACTTTCCATCCGCAACACCAAGCCATGCTAGAACCCGTGAGGCTTGACCATAAATGCGGGACATAATCATGACTTGAGCAGTGCGCTCATCCAGGTCAGTCTGATACGTGATGACGCCACATAGAGTTCCCGATACGGAAGGCGGGCCCGTCAGATATCTAATTCATCGACTCATACGCAAATGCTGCTTTGTCTTCTTTACCATTAGATTCAATTCGATTCAAATTCTACTAACCCAGTGGAGCCCGCTATTTGTGCTAGCTATGTAGACGCTTCTCCAGCTAAGCAGGAACTCGATGCTATATGCCTGAAATCTCTCAGAACTTGTATAAGTCACGGAATGAGTCAAAAGCTTGACCGTGCATCTAACTTATATCGAAAGGCAATATAGGGCACGCCCCCAGTTGTTCGCCGCTTTCCCGGTGGGTGCGAGCCTTACCATCCTCGCGATAGCATCTCATCCTACTCCCCATCTGGTCCGAACCCCCTTGTGTCTTTTCCACTCCTCTAGTAATTTCTATCTTGCATAACCACATAAATTCAACTTGGTGTGTTCCATTCGGCTTAGCCATACTGCCCCTAACTGCTCCAGAGCAGCTTATTCTTGTACCTCCCAAGGATTTGCGTAAGAGTAGATGGGCCACAGATTACCCCAAACCAACAAAACGCGCACCCCATGACAGTTTTCCTGATCTCTCCACCGGGGAAATTCTAAGACACCTCGCGTAACGCCACCATAAGCGGCTTAACATCCCACCCGACAAACGACTGCTGCAGCTCCCACCGATTCCCCGGGCCCGTTTCCGACAGATCGAAATACCAGAGCACCTTGGCCAAAACAAGGCGCATCTCCGCCCACCCCAACGGCTTACCCAGACAGCCGCGCGGGCCGTACGAGAAGGGGTTGAACGCCTTGACCTCGTGGCGCTCGAGTACGATACCTCCATCCTCGGGAGCCAACCACCGCTCCGGGAGAAAGTCATCCGGGCGCGAGAAGTTGTTCGCGTTGCGGTAGGTAGACCAGTGGGGTATACCGACACAGACACCCTCCGGCACCCACTGCCCACAAATGACCGCACCGCCCGCTGGAACCACCCTGGGTCGGAGGGTAGGTGACGGGGGAGTCAGACGCATGGCTTCCTTGAGCACGGCAGTGAGAAAAGGCATGGCCGACACACCAGCTAGGGTGATTGCGTCGCTCGTCTGGAAGGCATCCCGGAGCTCAGTCTGCAGCCGCGCCAGCGCCTTAGGGTTCCGCAACAAGTACCCCGTCGCGGCGATGAGACCGGTCGAGCTGGTCTCGGAAGCAGCACTGACCAACACGTCGAAGGTCGAGTCGATCTCCGGCCTGGCCGTCTGAATCCCCATCCGGTCACTGGCGCGGAGCATATGGGTGATGAAATCGGGACGGTCATTCTGTTCGCCTTGTGCCAGGCGGCGATCGATCCTGTCCACCGTGAAGGCGAATCGCTGCTTCGTGGCTTCTTGGAGACGCCGGGGGACGAGATAGCGCAGCCATGGCCGAACGGCGGGCACGAGCGCCACAAACGAGGCGCCGATCAATAGGCGTCGGAAGAACGCCCGCATCACACTGAGCCAGGGATGGAAGTCTTCGCGCTCCAGACAGCCGAAGGTCTCACCGAACATGAGGTCTCCGGCGACGTCGAACGTGGTGAACTGGTAGAAATCGGTCAGGTTGACCGGGTGGGGAGGGCCGTCTTTGCGAGCATGGCTCTGGAGCTTGGTGATCAGGAGGCTGGAGTAGTGCTGCAGGACGGATTCCTGGTCGCGGACAGCGGCCTCGGTGAATGCTGGGGCCAGGAGACGTCGGATGTAGGGGTGTTTCAGGTTGTTGGCGGACAGGATGCTGTGTGCTCCGTTGACGGCGGGCTGGTAGAATCGGGGGTCGCGGTCGAAGTTCTTGGCGGCGCCGCCGTGGAAGCCGTAGATGTCTTTCCAGGCTTGGCCGTCGGCGTAGGAGAGGTCGTTGACTCCGTAGCGGACGATAGGGCCATATTGGTCGTGCAGGGCTTTCATGCGGTGGATGAGAGTGCCGGTGCGGAGGCCGCGGGCAAAGGGGATGCGGGTGAATAGCCACGATTTGGGGCCGGGGTACTTGGCCAGTGGGTGGAAGTGGAGCACGTAGATGGCCCAAGCAATCTGATAGCAGAGATATGCGGATCCAAGGGCTAGAAGTGCGTCTGTTAGGTCCAGGTGGACGAGCCTGTCCACCAGGCCACGGGTGGGTGGACTATGGGGGAGTGACTGGTTGGCTGACATGGTGAAAGAGGGATTCAATGGCCTGATGTGTTGTTTTTTTTTTTCTTCTTAGCGGCCTCTTGTTCTCCCTGCACCCTTGATATGCCCGTAAGTCTGTAGGCATGGGTACTAACAGGTGATGCATCGAGGCAGATGTCGGGGTGTCGGGGGTTGATTCCCCGATTCGGCGGTCGGCGACGGTCGGCGACGCAGCAGCCCTAACTGGGCACCACTGCTGATCCCTGTCAGGCGGTTCAGCCGAGGTCCATGGCAGGGCCAGGCATGGTTTTGGTCTCGGTCCTGGTGGAAATAGTCGGAGTTAAAGGCCGCAAAGTCCATTTCGCTTGCAGGGGGGATTCGAGGCACTTGTCGATCTGACCTCGCACGTATGCTACGCATGCACCAACACAGCCAGGTCAGTCGGTTTGATATTAAAAAAAAACAACACAGATGCATCCACTTATGCCACTATGATAATGACCTATAAATCTCCCGACCAGCCCGCTGCGCGATCGGAAGTAGCTTTACTCTTGCAAGCTTTACCATGTCGCAGACACCGACAGATGCTCAACGCGCGCCCCCGGCTCCCATCGCGAGCCCGGGCTCGGGGCAGCCGCAACCACAACGACCACAAATGCCACCCCGGTTAGACCAGCCAGCAGGTAAGGGCTGGCGATTCTGGGCAGTTCTGACTTCGCTCGCGCTGGGCAACCTACTGGTGGGTCTGGACGTGACTATCCAATCGTCTGCCTTGCCCTCGATCACCGATGATCTGAACGCCGGCGAAAACTACATCTGGATCCAGAACGGGTACCTTCTCACCATGACGGCCTTCTTGCCTCTGTACGGGCAGCTGGCACAGGTACTGGGACGGCGGTGGCCCACGATGGTGGCGGTGTCCATCTTCCTGCTGGGCAGTGGCATCAACGGCGGCGCCTCGTCGACGGCCATGCTGATAGCCGGGCGACTGGTGCAGGGCATCGGGGCCGCAGGGATGACGGCCATGACACAGCTTATCATCACCGACCTGGTGTCCATGCGTGATCGGGGCAAGTACATCGGTTTCGTCTTCGCCATCTTTGGTGTCGGATCGGCCCTGGGGCCCCCAATCGGGGGTGTCATCGTGCAGTACATCTCCTGGCGCTGGGTGTTTTACATCAACCTGCCAATCGCGGGCTTAACCCTGGCCATGCAGTTCCTTTTCCTGCAGGTTGCCTTCGTTCGGCGCACCAGCATCCGCCAAAAGCTCCGCTCGCTCGACTGGGTCGGAAACGCCATCATTGTCGCGGCCGTGGTGTCCATCCTCATCGCTCTCTCCTGGGCCAACACACGTTACCCGTGGTCCTCGTGGCGCATCATCGTACCACTCGTCCTTGGATTCGTCGGACTGGGCATCTTCGCCGCCTGGGAATCCTCCCCGTACTGCATCCAACCCACCATCCCGCCGAAGATGTTCGCCAATCGCACCTCCGCCGCCGCCCTGATCATCACCTTCCTCATGTCCATGCTGACGATCTGGCGCTTCTACTTCCTCCCGGTCTACTTCCAAGCGGTCAAGCTCACCTCATCCTCGCGATCGGGTGTTCTCCTCCTCCCGTCCGTCCTGATCGGCGTCCCCGCTGCCATTATTTCCGGCCAAGTCCTCTCCCGCGTCGGACGGTACAAACCCATCCACTTCTTCGGCTTCGCCACCGTCACCCTCGCGTCGGGGCTATACATCTACCTAGGCCTCGACTCCTCCCTCGCCGAGATCGTCATTTTCCAGCTCATCGCCGGCATCGGCGGCGGATGTCTCATGACGACGCTCCTCCCAGCCGTCCAGGCCCCGCACCCGCCCATGCTCATGCCCGCCGCCACCTCCACCTGGACATTCATCCGCGCGTTCGGAAATATCTGGGGGATTGCCATCCCCTCCGCCATCTTCAACGTGCAATTTAATGCCCGAGCAGACACGATCTCCGACCCGACCGTGCGAGCGTACCTCGGTGGAGGGGAGGCGTATGCGCACATCTCGGCCAAGTATATCCGTTCGTTGACACCGGAGGTGCAGCATGAGGTGCGGGAGGCGTATTTGCATGCCTTGAAGATCGTGTGGATTGTCTGTACGGCATTTTGTGGCCTTGGTCTTGCGTTGATCTTTTTGGAGAAGGAGATTGAGTTGAGGAGGGTGGTCGAGGGGAACGTCAAGTTGAAGGAGAAGCAGAAGCAGCAGGATGCGGAGAAGCTGATGAACGCAAACAAAGAGACTGCTGCTGCTAGCGAGGCGGGTGTCAATTCACCTGCACCTGGACAGACGCAGGAGAAGGTTTAGAGGATTCACCCCAGGAGTAATTAAGGGGAGTTCCGGAGTCGATCTATTGGCTTGGGGTAAATGGGTAGGGACTGGGACTGTAGAATGAATGCATGATGCCTTAATATTCAGATTTGCTTCCATACAGACTTGTTTCAGAAGTACCTGGTAATGTTGTTTTCGTCAACCAGTTTAACCGTCATAAAATGCGCGATCAACAGTTTATGAGCTGAAAGGCTCATTTTGCTCAGTTGTTGTGGGGAGTGCAAGATAACCCAGAGGAGGTACCCGTGAAGATATATTTATCACAACAACTACAAATAACCAAGGAACAAATTTCCATTTCACTCCTCAAAATATTCGGTAATCTCTCATTCACTAACTCCTGCGTTCATTCCTGGATTGAAGATAAATATATAATACGGAATCGCGACCACCTCACTCTATCTACACGACAAAAACCAACTTGGACCCCTTCACCTTCCCTTTCCTCAACACATCCACCTTCGGAATCACCGCGGATAGCCCCCCTGTCCTCTGCACATCCAACGGATGAGGCACCAGCCTGCCTGTAGCCAACAGCCCCTCCATCTTCTCGGCCCAAGCCTCACCCATCAACCGATCGTCAGGCCTGGCAGGCCGATAATACGCGCCGCCCAACAGAACCTCCTTTCCCTGCAACGTCCAGCCCAGAATCCAATCATGCTGGACATCACGACGCCGGATCGTGAGCCGACGCGGATACTGCTCCAGCGCGGCGTACCGGCCCCCATAGTCACCGATCGCGCCGTAGCAGAGCGCCATTGTCTCCGGACTACCGATGCAGTCGACTGCGAGCCGCAGACCGTCACGGGTATACTGTCGGATTTGGTCGCGGACCGTGGGATCATTATAGTCGAAGGTTGCGACGGCGCCACGGCTGCGCACGAGCTCCGCGCTGGCAGGCGAGCACGTCGCGATGGGCGTGTACCCTGCCAGACTGAGGAGTTGGATGACGATGGTGCCGGTAGAGGTTGCGCCGCCGTGCACGAGGACGAATGGCTCTTCTCCGGCGTCAGTCACCGCCGACCTACTCTTCCGCCCGGGTTCGTTGCCAACGGGAGAGTCGAAGTCGAGCCCCAACGAGCGGAAGATGAAGGCGCTGGTGAACAGAGCCATGGGCAGGGACGCCGCCGTGGGGAAATCCATCTCGCGCGGCAATCGCACACAGAGTCTCGCTGCGGCGACGACATACTGCGAGAACGCCCCGTTGCCCGGGTTTCCGGGGTTGGACCCGAAGGCGCAGCCCAGGACCCGGTCCCCGATGTGGAGATGGCTGTCTGGGGACCCGAGTCGGACGACCGTGCCTGCGAAGTCGGCGCCGGCAATGGCACCAGGAGTGGTGGATTGGTCGAGCAGTTTGTGGTCGGATGGGTTGAGGGCCACCGCTGCGGTGCGGACAAGGACTTCGTCGGCTTCGAGCTTGCTGACAGGCACGGGCTTCAGGGCTAAGTTCCCTGGACCGGTGGCCACGAGGCCACGTTGGATGCGGGGAATCCGGGGCCCGCTGGTGGGAGGAGCGGTGGTCATGATGGAGGGATGCAGAATGCCAGGAAGGAAGATGGATGAGGCGGGAAAATACTTGTTAACGTGGATCGGATGAAGGTCATATTATCAGGGCTATGCTATGGCTGAGCAGGCTGACTCGGTCCTCTCTCTCACTCCCTTCGGCCCTCCCAGACACCCCCGATTCGGCGCGGAGAGTAGGCACCCCCGAGTTAGGGCTCTGTCTTCGCCGACAGGCAGCTCATTTACCTACAACCCGTCCTTCCAAGAATCATTTCATCATCATCATCATCATCATCATAATCACCATTATCATCACCATCGGATTACACTACTCAGTCACCCACCAACCATGTACCGCCTGTTCAAATCCGATTTCTTCAACTTCGAGGCTCTCCGCCTGCTCAGCTTCACCGCGCACGAGGGCGGCGAGATCGCCGAATTCTTCGAGGCGCTCGGCAAAGTGAAAGACCTCGACCGCGGCAGCTGGTACGCAGCCTGGACGGAGGCGGCCGACAAAGCAGAAGCGCTGGCCCTGGCGGCCGAGCAATCGCAGAACCGGCTCGCGGCGCGACGGGCATTTTTCCGCGCCTCGAACTACCAGCGAGCGGCGCAGTTTATGCTGCAGGGGGGACGCGCTGCGGATCCGCGGATTCTGATCGACTCGGAGAACTCGATCTCCAACTTCTGGCGCGCGGTGACACTGCTGGACTGTACGGCCACACGGCTGCAGATTCCCTACGATGCGGGCGATGGGACCGCGCCCATGATGCTGCCCGCGTACCTCTACCTGCCCCATCCGACGAAACGACCGGCTTCGATGGGCGCGAAGACCCCCATCCTGATCAACACGGTGGGTGGGGACGCGACGCAGGAGGAGATCTTCTACATCTTTCCCATGGCGGCTCTGGAGCTGGGGTACGCGGTGCTCACGTTCGAGGGCCCGGGACAGGGCATCGTCCTCCGTCGCCACGGGGTGCCGTTCCGACCGGACTGGGAGGCGGTGGTCTCACCGGTGCTCGACTACCTGGTCGGGTACGCGGCGGCACGACCGACGCTGAGCCTGGATGTGGATCGCATCGCGCTGGCGGGTTCGTCGATGGGTGGGTATCTCTCGCTGCGTGGGGCGACGGACGCGCGCATCAAGGCGTGCGTCTCCAGCGACCCGTTCTACGCCATGTGGGACATGCTCCAGGGGCGGATGCCGCAGATCGTGAGCGACACGTTTGTGGCCGGCGGCTTCGTTTCCGATCCCCTCTGGGGCGCGCTGGCGAGTCTCCTCGGCTGGCTGGACCCCCAGACGCGCTGGGAATCCGAGCAGACCTGCTGGATGCTGGGCGCCGACGGGGCCGCGGACATGCTCCGACGCATGCAGCAGTATACGCTTGCCACCGCCGATGGGAAAGGCGTGCTCTCGCGCGTGCGATGCCCGGTGTTCGTGACGGGGGCCAGACATGGGCTGTACTGCACCCCCGAGGTCAGCACGGCGCGCATCGTCGAGGAGTTGGTCAATGTGCCGGAGGGGGCGAAGGAGTGCTGGATCGCCGAGGACGCCGGCGAGGGGGGCTTGCAGTCGAAGGTGGGCGCCTTCGGGGTTCTCAATCAGAAGGTCTTTGCCTTTTTGGACGGGGTGTTTGGGGTGGCGCGGGAGATGGCGGTTGGGAGCCAGGATTGAATCCCAGGGGGAGAGGCAGGGGGATGTGCATAGTTAGGGCTAGAGCTAGTGACAGGAGAGTGTCGAATGAAGGTGCCCCCTGGGCTACGTCGGCGACTCGGGGCTCCGAGGGCACAGGCTGGGTTTATGAGAGAATTGTTCCACGGGGTTAGGCGATAACATCTCCGGGTTAAGTCCGATTTACGTCCTCAACAGCTTCATTTAAACTCGGATCCTCCAGGGCAGTCAATGGCCTCAGCACAGGATCTATTAGCGTGATTCCAACGAAATCCAACTATCCGCCCTTGTCCATCTTCACCATGACCAACTCTACCGCCGCCCCCGGTCGTCTTCTGCGCCTGACGCTCCAGATCTACCGCAACCAGCTGGAGAGCACCGAAGCAGAGAGGGAGAAGTTCGCCCGTGAATATCTGACCAAGGCTGCCTCTATGGCCGCCAAGCATGGCATCGAGAAGTACCAGCAGGTGAGAATCCTTCACCCCAACCAAAGTGCCCCATTGCTCCGCAATCCACCCTAACCAATCGCACGTTTGCGGATCGGATCAGGTCTACACCCCCCCCGCCTTCCGCGAAGCCCTAGAAGAAGTCAGCCGTCGCGGCAAGCGTGGCTGGGTCATCGACGTGCGTATTCCCCCGTCTGGTTTCAGCGCAATCCTTCGCCTTCCCTCCTCCCTCCACCAGATTACCTAACACTCGACGATCCCTCCACTACAGGATCATGATCTGACTGTGGAGTTCTACTTCCGGAGCTTCGCCGCCATGGGCTCCATCGGCGCCGATCCCGAATGGCGCGCCCTCCAGGCCTCCGAAGGCCCCTACGTCAACCTCATTCACACCGTCGCCACCTTCGGCTGGGTCGAGCAGTATGTCGACGCCGGCAAGGTCATCCACATCGGAGAGGATGGGAAATCGACCTACCCGTCCTGGGCGGAATTGGGTGATGTCAAGTCGGCCTTCCCTGCTCCTGCGGCGGCTCCTGCTGCGGCGACCGCGGAGGGAGATGCGAAATAGGCGGTGGACGGATGGATGGATGGATTGATTGATTAATGGATGGTGTGTGCAGGGATCGGGGTCAGGTGGCGGGCTGTAACATGATTTGTTTTAGTGTGGAGCCCTTGCTGGATATATAGCGATAGGATTCTGAATCCGGTCCTGACTAACACCCCATATCATCAAGCTCTGCATTAGCGGTGGGTAAATGGTAAGCCACCCAGTAATATTCATAGGTAGGGTAGGCGTTGTGCACGGAAGAGTGAATCCGTGGAGGAAATGCGGGCCAATTCCCCCTCACACTGACGTGGATATTAGACACTAGACAGTCTAGATACTATGGATGCAACAGTAATTCCTGCGAGCCAGTGAGCGGGCCTGGCCCTGACGGAGTGGATGGGATTGCGATGACGGCAGCCCCCGAGGGGTTGTTGGGGCCGGCGGGCCGTTTTATTGGCGGCGGGAGACGGCAGCCTACCGTATGGCTCGAGTGACAAAGTCCATGGGAAAGCCGATTCCTTGGTTGGTTGGCTGATCGAGGCTGGCCCCCAAAATTGACCCCGGTAATACGGCCCGCAGTTCTAGTAAGTAGTTATTCTGACTCGTGGCTCATCCGTTCTGGGGTCTGTGCTGCGCAGCGGGGCCAATAACGCCCTCAAGCTGCACGGCACTGCGGATCGTCCTGTCGATGGCGGGAGCGCAGAGATCCTTCTTTATCTTTCTCACATCAGCCTAGGGTAGCCCGGAGTTATCTTGATCTTACTGTGTCGTCAGGAGGATTTGAAGGAGCCATGGAGTCAGACAGACAGAGTGGCCGCCTTATTTAGTCGAGATGTCGAGGGATCCAGGTCTCAAGAAGGGGGGGGGGGGAGGGGGTTAAACCGTTATTCTCGAGCCGCAATGGAACAGCAACGGCCCAAGACTCGCCGCGCCTGCGACCGATGTCACACCCAGAAGCTCCGGTGTAGGAGGGACGAGACCATCGGAGCGACCAAAGCCTGCATGCGTTGTACCAGGGACAACCTGGATTGTGTTTACAGCCCCCCCAAGAACAGCCAGAAGCAGAACGCAGGCCTGCCTGCATCCCGACGCAGTACGGTTGCATCGCCCTACCAACAGCCCGTGGAATCGGTCCAGTACGGCAGAGAGGATGGCACCCCCAGTGGCAAAGAGGACGATGTATTGACATCCTCCTGGCCTCTGATGCCGGAACTACGCAGTATGGACGCTCTCCCTGTCTAGGACCGTTGGTGGTTTCCATCTGATGGACGCAGACTCAACCGGCCTCGGCCTCGACCCTTATGACCTGGATGCCCTGTCCGACCCGGTAGATCTGGCCTTCGAGCTCAACGCCGTCACCGGCTCACTTTCGCCGGGCATTCCACCTGGCATGGTGCAGCTTAGTCCTGTTGGTAGTATGTCCCCCCCTGGCTGTGGAACCTGAAGATGCTAACCTGGTGCAGGACATTCAGCAGCGACCCCCAGCCTCGGCCTCTCCGCCGACGATAAGCCCATCCCAAACCTCCACCTGCAGGCCAGGGGCCAGAACACAGAGGACTGGATAGGCCAGATATCCGATATCAACCTGCGGCTGTTGAACCACGCGTCGTACATCAGCAGCCTGGAGGCACAGGCCCTGCTCGAGAGATCCGACCCGATCGAGCAAGGGTTCGGGATCGACCAGACCTTTCTCCTCTCGCAGCAGTTGCTTGACCTGCTGAGTGTTCGCTCCATCGACCGACTGGGACGACTGACGCGACACGCCTCGACGTGTGCAATGGACGTACCCCCCGAGCTCGTCCTGTCGGGCTCCCAGAGCAGCAGCACCAGCTCCAGCTCGTACATGGCCCCCTCGCCACACTCCCCGCTACGCAACCTCGATCTGGCCACCACTATACTGATACTCTCCTGTCACCTGCGCGTGCTGAACATCTACGCCAAGACCTTCCACCACCTCGAACGATGCATCCAGGAACGGCGCGCTCCGGAGGACATCCACCTTCCGGGTATGACGTTTGGTGCCTTCTCTTTACACTCCTCGTCCAGTTTACAGATTACACTCATGATCCAGTTGGCGGAGACGCTGCTCGGTCGGCTGCACGACACGGTCAGCGCCGTCAACTACCCTCCGGGGCCGGTCAATGGCCCGGACAGCCATCGACCGCTGAGTGACCCGTGGGACGAGGTTTCGGATAGCATACTACAGGCCCTTAAGGCCAGCCATAGAGATATGATGCAGACGGTGGCACGCATTCGGCGGTCGCTGGAACAGTCGGGAATGCTATAGATCTTCTTCTTCCTTCCTTCCTTCCTTCCTTCACTTCCGTAAGCAGGAGACGGCGTTGCACCATCGAAGATCGACGGTGGCGCATGAAGCGCTCGGGACTCCGCTGCACCGCGTGGCATCCGCATTGCATACGTCCATGAGATCACCGTCGGGCCTATTCCCGGACCTGTCGGGCTTACCTGCGGCTGACACTGCCCCGATTGACGCCAATGTAAGATTCTGCGCTTGAGTGGTGTTTCATCATATCATTCCCTCCCGGCGTTGCCCTCGGGGTTGCAGTCATGCATCCCATCAGCCCCGTAACGCCGACGAAGCCGAAGCCGAAGCCCTGCCAGTCCTCCGAACCCTGATGCCCTGTAGACCTGAGCATCTCTACTTCTGTTCCCTGCCGCACCACACCACCACTGCCTTGCCTTACCTTCCCTTCCCTTCCCCGACCAGCCGTCTATATCACCACACTACCCCACACCACACACACCACAACCACCCACGCAACCAACCTCCAATGTCCCAAATCTTCCAAACCATCCTCACCTACCTCCCCAACACAACCCCGCTCACCAGCAACATCACCACCACAATGAGCAGCCTACCCACCACCCTGTCGGACCCCAACTACGCCTCCACCCCGCTCACCCTCCCGCGACTGGGCCTCGCCCTCCTCCGGCTGGCCCCGCTGATCATCTCCTCGGGCTCCCTCATGTGCGCGTGGGACCAACAAAACGCCTTCGGCTCGTTCCTCACGCCCCCCCTCCTCGCCAAACCGGGCCACCTGTCCGCCCACGTCGTGGTCGACTGGTTCGCCGCCTACGCGCGCCCCACCAAATGGGTCATCTTCCTGGGCTACCCGCTGGCGCTGGCATTCTCGTTCATCAACGCCTTCACGGCGGCGGGCGACGGCCTGCACCCGCAGACCCGCACCTTCTACGCCCTGGGCGGGGTGTTGTCCATCCTGCACTTCTATTTCGGGGCGTATTCGATGATGTGGAATGCGCGCATCTCGACCAAGACGAATGTGGGCAAGGCGAATGAGGATGCGCTGAGGGGTTGGTTGGGGAATAATGGCACTAGGATGGTGGTGGTGAATTTGCCGGCTTGGGTGTTGTTTATTTGTGCGACGGCGACGTTTGTGAGGGTTTAGATGGGTGAGGGGGTGAGGGGGTGAGGAGATTGAGGAGGGAGTGGTGATGTTTTTTAAGGGTATGGAAGTGGAGGGGAAATGGTGGAGGATGAAGATAGGGGAGGATGGGGAAGGGGGGGGGTTGTTAAGTCGGAGGTGGTCCTAACGGATGGGGTTGGGCGGGGCGGATTAGTTAGGGCTTGAGAGTTGGTAGAAATGAAGAGATTGCGAAAACCGTCTTGACCATGACCATGTGGATTCTGCGGAGGGAGATGTACAGCTGAGGGCGAATTGTGCGAAGATTGATCAATATAGTTGGACTGCATAGCTGAAGGGTTAAAGAGGACAAGATATGGTTCATTCATTCGATGTGCACATGGTAGAGAAAGGCAATGTGTCCGTCCTGGTTACTCCGACCGGGGCAATTGGACACAGGCCAAGGTCACCTTGCCTGTGCGAAATTGGTGGTTCTCTAACTCATCCGGACTCCATAACCTACAGTTCACGTGCGAGCGAGAAAATATCTTTTCTCGGATAAACAGGAGTGGTTGGGAAAATGAACGCGGAAGACTTGGGTGCGCAAAAGATGTATTCATTCTATTCATTGACGACCCGCCCATCAAACGCGTCGAGTCCCCCACCATCAGCAGGACTACAACTCCAATAAACTCTCTATGTCAGGACCCTGTCTCAAGAAGCCAGCAAGCGTCTCTAACGGAACAAAGCCACCTTCGCGCCACCCGACGGACACACCGTCAGGGTCAGATTCTCTGTCCACGGCATGGGGTCACGGCTCTGAATGGACGAAAACTCCTGCGCAAAGCGAGTGACCACCATCAACGCCTCCGTGAGTGCGTACTGCTGTCCTAAGCAGATCCTGGGCCCGCCGTTGAACGGGAGGTATTCCTATGATCATTAGCAAAAAAAAAAAATCCACCCCCTAGGTTGCGAAGGGAACATACCCAGGAGAACTTCCGATTTTCCCATCGCTCCGGGCGGAAAGAATCGGCATCCTCGCCGAACAGGTCCTTGCGGCGGTGCATCACGTAGACCGTGTAAATGACGACTGTTCCCTTGGGGACATGGATGGGGTCTTCACCCGTGGGACCGCCACCGTGGGGAAGGACGGTGTCGCAGGCGGCGACGCGGGCGTTGCTGGGGAGGGGCGGCCAGAGACGGAGGGCTGGACCAGACCGGTTAGCCATCCATCAGATCTCAATCTCCGCAGACAGATCAGACTCACCCTCGTTGATGCAATACTTTGTGTACTTGAGATTGCGCAGCTCCTCGTACGACGGCTTCTTGCCCTCCAGCTCCGCCACCTCGGCCCTGATCTTGTTCCAGATCTCCGGCCGACGGGCCAGCTGGTGGAACAGACTGCCTAGCAGGCTGGCGACGGTGTCCCGGCCGGCGATGAGGATGTTCAGGAGCTCGTCGCGGATCTTCTCGTTGCTGGCGTCGGAGGTGGCCAGGTCGCGGAGGAAGATGTTGCGGCTGTCGCTCTGAGTGAGCCGCGACTTGTGGTCGGCGTTGCTGCGGAAGGCCATGGCGTCGTCGACAAACTGGTCGAGGTAGGAGCGACAGACCTGGATAGCATCCACAGCCTCGCGCTTGATGGGCCGCAAGCGACGCAGGGGCCCGAAGCGGAACTGCAACGCCATTTCCTTGAGTGCGGTGTGGAAGGCCCGGCTGAAGGCCCAGTCCTCGGGGGTGCCCCCGCCCAGGGTGTTGGTCGAGTGGCCGAAGAGGAACTCGGTGGCGGAGTCGAGAGTGAAGTCCATAAACAGGGGCTGCAGGTCGACTGTTTCGCCCGTGTGGATGCGGTGCAGCAGGTCGTCGATGTGACTGTTGACCAGCCCCAGGTCGGCGACCTGGTCCTTGACGAAGCTGGGCCGGAGGAGCGCCCGGGAATGCGACCATTCCTCACCGTCCGTGACGAAGATGCCACGTCCCAGGAGGGGACCCAGGATGGACTGGCGTTCCCCAAGCGAGTAGTCCTTGAAGCGCACGGACAGGATGGTCTTGATGTTGGCCGGGTCGACGGTGAAGATGCCGCGACGGGCGATGGCCTGCGCGGAGAACGTGGGCCCCGCGCTGGTATGGCGCTGGACGAGCAGTTCCAGGAAGCGCTTGTCGCGCATCGCTCGGACGTTGTCGACGACAAAGTCGAGGCCGAGCAGCAAGTGGTTTTGCGGATAGCGCACCTGCACTGGCTGACAGCCATTTTCGGCGGCGAACCTCCTGGAAGCGATGCCGTATGAGATGCGTCGGAAGGTAAGCCAGGCAAGTCCGACAGCGGCCAGAACAATGGGCAGCACACTGGACAAGCCAGGTGGTAAAATGTGGAATCCGGTCATGCTTGGGGCGTTGGATGGAGAGACCGTCGTGGGTGGGTGCGAGGGAGGGTTTCGTCAAGTGTGGATGGGGGATTTTGTACTTCCTCGGCGATGCCCTGTCATCGCTCTCTTCCTCAATCCTTTCTTTTTTTTTTTTTAGATCGTCATGTCCAGACTCCGGTGGTTCCAACAGCGACAGACACACGGCACTCGTCGGAGTTTCGTTCGGCGCTGACGTCGGCGTCCTCGGGGCTTGCATGGCGCAGAACTTCAGCATCCTCACCCGTCGGCGATGGATCAGGCTGAGTCCAGAGGGTAAGCAACGGATCCTTTGCAATGGATTCCGTACGACCTCTGTGAGTAGACAGCTCCAGCAGGACAGCCGCCTCTATATACCCCCGGACTTCCAAAGTCCTGCATCTCAGATCATACGATTCTCATACGATACCCCCCTGCCCCCCTGCTGTCAGCTCCTCTCTCCTCCTACACCAATGCATCCTTCGTCTCCATCGGAGCCCATCGCCATCATTGGCAGCAGTTGCCGGTATCCGGGCCCGGCCAAGAACCCTTCCCACCTGTGGCAGTTGCTTTGCGACCCTTACGACCTCTCCAAGAAAGCTCCCGCCGACCGATTCAATATCGACGGTTTTTATCACTCCATCGGTGAGCATCATGGGACGACCAATGCTCCCAAGGCCTACTGGCTGGATGGGGACGTGCGGATGTTCGATGCCCCCTTCTTCAGCATCACACCCAAGGAGGCCGAAGCTATCGATCCCCAGAGCAAGATTCTCCTGGAGGTCGTCTACGAGGGCATGGAGTCAGCCGGCCTGACCCTGCAGGGCTGCGCGGGGAAGAAAGTGGGCGTCTTCGCCGGCCTGATGACGGCCGACTATGAGCTGATGACGGGCAAGGACGATGTCACTGCCAGCCAGTACACGGTAACAGGCACCTCGCGGTCCCTGGTATCCAACCGCCTGTCCTACTTCTTCAACTGGAACGGTCCTTCCATGACCATTGACACGGCGTGCTCGTCAAGTCTGGTAGCCATGCATCAGGCCGTGCTTAGTCTACGCTCCGGCGAATGCTCGCTGGCCTGCGTGGCTGGAGCGAATATCATGCTCGGCCCCGACACCTTCATCATCGAATCCAGCCTGCACATGCTGTCCCCGGACGGGCAGTCCAGGATGTGGGATGCCTCTGCCAACGGCTATGCGCGTGGCGAAGGCGCCGGATGTTTCTTCATCAAGACCCTGTCTCAGGCCCTGGCGGACGGCGACGGGATCGAGTGTATCATCCGCGAGACGGGCGTCAACTCGGACGGCCGCACCAAAGGCATCACCATGCCCAGCCCTGATGCACAGGCGGCTTTGATCCGCGATACCTACTACCGCTCCGGGCTGGACCCGCAGAATCCCCTCCACCGGTGTCAGTACTTTGAAGCCCACGGCACAGGCACACAGGCGGGAGATCCTCGGGAGGCCGAGGCCATCCACCGCGCCTTCTTCGGGATGCCAGGTGATTCGAGTAACGAGGTGGAAGGCAGCCTGCTTGTCGGCTCAATCAAGACGATCATCGGGCATACGGAGGGCGCGGCCGGGGTGGCGGGCGTCCTGAAGGCCTCGATGGCCTTGCAACAGGGCGTCATCCCCCCCAACCAGCACTTCCACAACGTTAACCCTTCTGTTGCCCCGTTTATGCAACGCCTATGTATTCCCACAGCGCTGACTCCTTGGCCGACGACAGAGCCCGGACAGCCATTACGAGCCAGCGTCAACTCGTTCGGCTTCGGGGGGACGAATTCGCACGCCATTCTGGAGAAGTACGACCCGGCAATCCACGGCCGAGCGACGACGGCATTGGCAGTTCCGTCCACATCAGCGAGCCTGCCCTTCGTCTTCTCGGCCAACTCAGATCAGGCTCTCGTCCAGATGGTCGATCGGTACCGCGAATACCTGGCCACCCATCCGGCCATCCAACTGAACGATCTAGCTCATACGCTGGCCTTCCGTCGTTCGCCTCTCGCCCAGAAACTCTCCTTCCCACCAACAAATAGCATCGACGCCCTGATCCAGAGCATGGAAGGCAAGCTGACTGCCGCGCGAGAGTCCTCTTCAGACATCGGGGTGCGGACCAAGCCGGGCGAGAGCGCAACGCGGATCCTGGGGATCTTCACGGGGCAGGGTGCCCAATGGCCCACCATGGGAAAAGCGCTCCTCGAGACCTCCCCGTCCTTCCGCAGTTCTATGCAAGCCCTAGACGAGGTGCTGCAGGGATGTCCCACCCCTCCCCGCTGGTCTCTCATCACCGAGCTGCTGGCCCCACCAGGCCAGTCGCGTCTCCAGGAAGCCAGCCTCTCCCAGCCCCTATGCACGGCCATTCAGATCGCCCTGGTCGACCTGCTGAGGCAATCTGGCGTCCACCTCGACGCTGTCGTCGGCCACTCATCCGGTGAAATTGGCGCCGCCTACGCCGCAGGCTCTCTCACAGCCCGCGACGCCATCCTGATCGCCTACTACCGTGGTGTGCACGCCAAGCTGGCCCGCAGTCCAAACGGAGACTCGGGGGCCATGATGGCCGTCGGAATGGGCGTCGATGAGGCATTGGATTTCTGCAGCCATGTCGATCTGGCCGGAAGAGTCTTCATCGCAGCTAGCAACGGCGGCGCTAGTGTCACCCTCAGTGGTGATGAGATCGCCATCCATCGCGCCAAGGCCCTCCTCGACGAGGAGAAGCGCTTCTGTCGACTGCTCAAGGTCGATACAGCGTACCACTCGCATCATATGGACCCCTGTGCGGACCCCTATCTGCAATCGCTCAAGGCCTGCGGCATCAACGCCCAGCTATCCAAACCCGAATGTCCCTGGGTCAGTAGTGTATACGGCCCAGCCGGGTCTCCGACAGCCCTGGAGCTCTCAGGACGGTACTGGCGCGACAATATGGTGCAGCCGGTGCTTTTCTACGAAGCGCTGACCCGCGTGCTGGCCCAAAACGGGCCATTCGACCTGGTGCTGGAAATTGGACCACACCCTGCCCTGAAGGGCCCGGCTATGCAGACCATTCAGGAGTCCATCGGTCGGAAACTGCCCTATTCGGGCGTGCTGAACCGTGGCGGCGACGACAGCACTGCGTTCGCCGACGCCCTCGGCATGATTTGGACCTATCTCGGCCCTGCGGCCGTCGACCTGGCAGCCTATGCCCGGAGCACGGCAGGGGGTGCCTCCTACAAGCTGGTCAGGGATCGGGCCCTGCCGTCCTACCCATGGGAGCACGACCGACCGCACCTGCGTCAACCACGCACGATGAGGCAGTATCTCAATCGCCCGACCCTCCCGCACGAGCTGCTGGGCATCCGCACTCCCGACGACACCCCCTCCGAGTACCGGTGGCGTAATATCCTGACCCCCGCCATGTTGCCGTGGCTACAGCACCACCGCTTCCAGAGCCAGATCATCGTGCCTGCGACAGCATACTGCGTGATGGCGCTGGACGCGGCCCGGGCTATGGCCACTGGCTATGGGAAGAATGTGGGGATGGTCGAGATCCAGGACTTGTTGATCCGGAACGGCATCACGATGGAGGACGACACGCAGGGCATCGAGATCCTGGCCAGTCTGCAGTACGATGCCGTCCTGTCGACGGAACATACCCTGGTCACCACCTTCACCCTCAACTGGACGCCCCTATCGGGTAACCTCCCGACCAAGCTTGCGGTCAGTGGGCGGGTGGTGGTCGACACCAGCGTGGCCAGCCCTAACGCCCTCCCCCAGCGGGTGCAGAACGCTGCCAGCACGACGCCCATCGACCTCGACGCGTTTTACGAGTCCATGAGTGACATCGGCCTCGCCTACACCGAGCCTTTCCGCGCCCTGGTTGGCCTAAATCGTCGCATGAACTTTGCCTCGGCGCAGCTGCAGAAGCCCCATCCGCTGGATCCGTCAGAGCTGTCCGTCCGCCCTGCTCTGCTGGACGCATGTTGCCAGACCATCTTCGCCGCGATCGCTGCACCGGCAGACGGGTGAGCGTTTCCCTGTTACCCAGCGTATGGAATAAGCTAACCAAGCCAGGACCCTCTGGACATCGTTCCTGCCTCAGAGCATCGCGCGCCTGCGCTTCAACCCCGCCCTCTGCGAGGTCGATCCGACCACTAGCCACCTACTCGACGTCGAAGCAACCGTCACCCGGTTCGAGCGGACTTCCACCAAAGGCCCCGCCAGCTTCCGCGGCGACGTGGAGATCTACAACGCGACGGGGCAGATGGAGATCCAGATCCAGGGATTGACCGTGCAGTCCTTCGCCACGGCAAGCAGCGCGGATGACCGCGAGCTGTACCTGCAGACGATCTACAAGCGGGACCCATGGACGGGCTTTGACCCGGTCGAGTCCACAGGCGACATCCCCGTCAATCAGGATCTGGCAAACTTATGTGCGATGATCTCGGACTCGTATCTGGATCCGTCCCGCGCAACCCCAGAGCTGGAGGCCGCCATCGCTGCCTCTCCGCATCAGCGGTATCTCAATCTACTCAAGGCCTGTGGCGATGTCATGCCGGGGCTGATGTCCGGTGTGACGAAAGAGATCCTGCGCGAGAGCGAGGAGGTCTCTGCGTTCCTGAAATCCCTCACCCATGTGGTTGACCGCATTACCCATCGCCATGCGCATATCAATGTGCTTGAGATCGATCTCGGCGGTGCGGAGCCCCTCACCAGCTCCATTCTGGAGGGTTTGGGTCGGCAGTACGCGTCATATACATATGCCGGTCCGCAGGGGGTGCGGTGCCCCCGCTAGTGCGCGAGATGCTGCGCTCCCAGCCCCAGACGGTTTCTCACGTGGAGATACAGAAGGATGAGCCGGGGCTGGGGCTCCAGCAGCAGGAAGAGAGCTTTGATCTTGTTGTCATATCAAGGATGGGTGGGATGGGCGCCGGGGTGGAAGCTCAGGCCGCGGCCGTCCGCGGTCTGATGCATGCGGGAGGGTTCCTGATCGCTGTTCATTCGGACGGCGCCATGATGCAGGAACGTCTGCTTCGACTGCTGCGCAGCGGCAACACTGCCGACCAGCAAGCCCCGACCCCGTCTGGCGTCTCCTTCGAGGAATGCGGGTTCTCTGCCCCCGTCCACCACCACCGCTCCCTCCGGACGGGGATGTCGCTGTCCGTCGCCCAGGCTACCAGTCCGGAGATTCTTATGCTGCAGTCGCCTATCCAACATGCTCCGTTGCTTGGGATCACCGGAAAGGTGCTCATCATCGGAGGCAGGAAGCCGGAGACGCGCGGCATGGTGCAGCGAATGCAGGAAGTCTTATCTCAGAGCCAATGCCAGGTTCTGGTCGCTGACAGTCTGGAAGACCTGCGCGCCCAGGACGTCGCGGGCGTTCAATCCACCGTTCTTCTAGCTGACCTGGACGAGCCTATCTTGCGGGACATCAGCGCGAGCTCCCTTCCCACTCTGCAGGCCATCTTCAGTCCTAACCGCTACGTCCTGTGGCTCACGCAGCAGTCCATGACAGAGAATCCGTGGCACGCTGCGTCAATGGGCCTCGGCCGGACGGTGAAGAGTGAGACTCCGCAGCTGGAACTCCAGTTCTTGGATCTCGATACCCTCACTGGGGTGGAGGACCTGGTGACCGCATCGTTCCTGAGACTGGCGTATGCGTCGGAGAAGGGCACCAAGGGGCTGACGTGGACGGATGAGTCGGAGCTGCGTCTCGTGGATGGAAATCTCCTGATTCCCAGGGTGGTGCCGATCCCGCGACTGAATGACCGGTTGAATTCCGCGCGGAGGACAATTACTCGCGACGTGGATGGCGGAGACGCAAAGGCGCCGGTGGAGTTGCTGGTGACGGAGGAACGGGGTGAGGAGGTGTATTCGGTGCAGAGCCAGACTGAGGTTGTGAGTGACGGGCAGACAGTGCGTGTCAAGACTCTGTATAACAGCCTCGCGGCCCTGAAGGTCGATGGGGATGGCAGCGCGTTGATGGCGGGACTGGGTGTCCGTGAGGATGGGAAACACGTCCTGTTCCTGGCACCTCAGAACTCCTCGTGGGTGACCGTTCCGCAGGCCTGGACTCAAGAGATCGATGACAACGTTAAGGATGATGCCTCTGCAGCGGCATTCCTCTTGAGGATCACCCTCGCCAGCCGGATTCTGGCGACTGGAAACCCGATCTTACCCCTGGCGGTGCTGGAGGCCGACTCTCTTTTTGCGTCTGCCATGGACTTCTTGCTCGAGAAAGACGGCCAGCGGAGCTGCCACTATGTCACCAGCTCCCAGGAGCTGGCGTTGAAGGATGATCGCTTCCTCTTTGTCCATCCACACTCCTCTCAGCGCGTTCTGCGGGCCGCTCTCCCGGCGACTCTTGGGTCGATATTTGACCTGAGCGTTGGCTCTCCCCTGGCTGGTGCTCTCTCCTCGTACGGACATATCGTACCGGCATCGTCCCTGGCAGGGGTGTCGAGTAGCGTCACGGCCGAGAGCGTTGACACGGTGGCACTGCAACTGACACAAGACTGGCTGCGCACCAAGCCATCCCAGGTGGGCACGACGGCCATCCGCCCCGTGGCCGAGTTAGTAGGGCAAGATCACCCCCAGCCCATCCTGACTCTGGTGGACTGGACCCGACCCGACAAGCTGCCCTCGCGCATCCGACCCATCGATCCCGCCAGCGTGCTCTCGCCAGAAAGGACCTACGTCTTCGTCGGCCTGGCTGGAGATCTCGGTGAAAGTCTCTGTCGCTTGATGGCGCTGCACGGGGCGCGACACTTCGTCATTGCCAGCCGGAACCCCGTCAAGGCGGAGGGCTGGGCTCAGGATCTCCGCACTCGGGGTGTCCAAGTCCATCTGGCCTCTCTTGATGTGACGAGCCTCGACGCTGTTCGCCAACTGGAACGAACCCTCAAGGACCCTGCCACCGGACACCCTCCCGTGGGCGGGGTGGTCAACGGGGCCATGCTGTTGTCCGATGGACTGTTCGCTGACATGACTCTAGAAAGTCTGCAGAGAGTGATGGACCCCAAGACGGTCGGATCACAGAATCTGAGCGATGTCTTCTGCGACCCGGGCCTGGACTTCTTCATCATGCTCTCGTCGTTGACGTGCTTGGGCGGTAACCCAGGACAGGCCAACTATACGGCCGCGAATATGGTGAGTTTCAATCGGAGACATATTCCTACCCCACCCAGCTCTTTCCCCAGTGGCACAATCTCACTGACAAACACGAAACAGTACATGGCGGGCGTCGCTGGCCAACGCCGCAACAGAGGTCTGGCCGGCTCGGTCTTGGACATTGGCATCCTGTACGGCATCGGGTACGTCAACCGGGTCGACGGGGCCGAGATCTACCAGAACCTGCGCCGCCAGGGCTACCTGCCCATCTCGGAGCGGGACGTGCACGAGATTTTCGTCGAGGCGATCCTGACCGGACATGCCGGGAGCGCGTTCCCCTCGCAGATCTCGACGGGATTGCAGCGCTGGAGCCCGAATGCGGAGGTGCCGCTGCCGTGGTATCAGGATCCGAAGTTCGCGCACCACCGGCTCCTCGCTGATGGGGGAGCTTCCGCGGGATCCGGGGCAGGGTCAGGCGGCGGTGCGCAGACCGTCCAGGCGTTGTTGCTGGAGAGTAAGACTGCAGAGAGCATTGCCGAGACGCTGCAGACGGCTCTGGCGGGATTCCTGGAGTCGATGTTGCGGCTGCCCGCTGGCAGTGTGAAGAGTGATATGCCCATTACCGATCTGGGCGTGGATTCGCTGGCGGCGGTGGATATTCGGTCCTGGTTCCTCAAGGAGGTTAAGCAGGACATGCCGGTCCTGAAGATCCTGGGTGGCTCGTCTCTGGCGACACGTAAGTCCCTCCCCTGTTCTGTCCTGTCCTGTAGGTACTAACACACATTGTCCAGTATGCCAGGAAGTGTCCGTCGAGATCGAAGAAAGCCGCAAGACCGCCACGACTGACGACGACGAGGACGCAACCACCGAGGAAGACACCAGCAGTGCGGCATCCGACCTGTTCAACTCCCTCCATCTCGCCCCTTCGACAGACCTCAGCTCGGAGCCCGACGACGCGGATCCCGAGCGCCTGGAGCAGATTGCGCCGATGTCCTTCGGCCAGGCGCGCATGTGGTTTCCCTTCCTGCTGCTGGACGACAAGACGACTTACAACTGCACGACGTCGTACCGACTGCGTGGGCCCCTGGACGTCGACCGCTACGAACGGGCCATCCAGTCTGTCGTGCGCAAGCACGCCATCTTCCGCACCTGCTTCTACACCGAATCCGACGAGCACTCCTCCAGCGAGGCCATGCAAGCCGTATCGGCCACCTCGCGCTTCAAGCTCAACATCGTGCATGACCCCGACGACACGGCCGCCGTGGACCACGAGACAGCCCTAATCGCCGGCCACTCGTACGCCCTCGGCGCCGGCGACGTGTTCATCGCCACCCTCATCCAACACTCTGCGACCTACCACACCGTCATCTTCGGATACCACCACATCATCGTGGACGGGGTCAGCTGGCAACATTTCCTGCAAGAGGTCGAGCGCTTCTACACCTCCACCGCCACCTCCGCCTCCCCAGCGGCGGACTACCTCGACTTCGCCATCAAGCAACAGGCGGACCTGACCTCCCCCTCGCAGACCAAGAAACGGACGTTCTGGAAGGACCAGTTCACCCCGTCCGCCCCGTCCCCTATCCCCCTCCTCCCGTTCGCACGCGTGCCCGACCGAAAGCCCCTGCAGCAGTACTCGGTCCGCGAGCACTTCATCGAGTTCGACCGGTCGCTGGTATCGCGGATCAAATCCGTCGCGACAGCAAACCACAGCACGACGTTCCACGTCTACCTCGCCGCGCTGCAGGTGATGCTGTACCGGCTGCTCAACGTGACGGACGTGTGCATCGGAATCACCGACGCGAACCGGTCCGACCCCGCGCACCTCGACACGATCGGTCTGATGCTGGATTCTCTCCCGCTGTGGTTCCGCCACTCGCACGGGGGGGAGACCTTCGCGGAGCGTCTCCAGCAGACCCGCTCGCTGGTGTACTCCGCCCTCGGCAACAGTGGTATCCCGCTGGACGTGATCCTCGCCGACTCCGGGATCGAATCGTCCACGACGCATCTGCCGCTCTTCCAGGTCCTGGTTAACTACCGCATGGGCGCCTTCAAGCAGAAGTCCGTGGGCGAGGACGTGGCGCTGGATTTCCTGGCGTATGAGGACGCCAGGCATCCGTTCGACTTCATCATGAACATCGACGAGGAGGATGGGCGCGCCGGCCTGACCCTGTCGGTGCAGACGGCGCTGTATGATGTCGTGGCCGGGGAGGGGTTCCTGGGTGTCTTTACCCACTTTCTGGAGGTGCTTACCCAGGACCCTGGCGTGCCTTTCGGGGTGCATCGGGCATTCCCAAGGGAGATGGTGCAGAAGGGGACGGGCCTGGGGGTTGGGAGCGGGTGGGCCGGGGAGTGGCCCGCCACGCTGCCGGAGAGGGTGGAGGCGCAGGCGAGTCGGTTTGCGGCCGATGTGGCGGTGCAAGAGAGCAGTGTGGAGTGCAGCTATGCGGAGGTCATGGACAGGGTCCAGGGTATTATGGCCGTTTTGATGCAGCGGCATGGCATGGTGAAGGGATCCCGGGTCGGTGTGCTGGCGGGTCCCTCGCTCGGTTCCGTGCTGTCCCTGTTGGCGCTTCTCCGCGCGGGGGCGGTGTATGTTCCCCTGGATGAACGGAACTCGGATGAGAGACTCGCGGGCATTGTCCAGGACGCGTCCGTGGGGATCGTTATCTGCGATGCGCAGGCGGGGCAACGTGCGCGTGCACTGTTGTCTGGCGTTGACGGAGGCGAGGTGATGGATATCAGCCCGTGGACGGGAACCACAGCGCCCCCGAGAACAGCATCCAGAAACGAGGCCGCCTACCCGGCATCGCACGACCTGGCCATGATCATGTTCACCAGTGGATCGACCGGTCGTCCGAAGGGGATCATGCTGTCGCATGGCAATTTCCTCGCACATGTGCATGCCGCGACGACAGGCATGGGCCTGGGCCGGGAGACGGTGCTGCAGCAGAGTGCCCTGGGATACGATGCCTCGCTGGCGCAGATCTTCTATGCGTTGGCAAACGGAGGTAAGCTGGTCATGTCGAGCAACCGCTCCGAGATGGGCGAGATCGCCGCCGTGATGCAGCGCGAACGGGTCAGTTTGACCCTCATGGCGCCCTCCGAGTACGCGGTGCTGTTCCAGTACGGCGGCGAGGCGCTGGCCAAGTGCGATGCCTGGCGGGTGGCGATGTGCGGTGGTGAAGCCTTCACACCGCAGTTGAGACTGTGGTTCCGCCAGTTGAAGCCGACGGGCGGGCTGAAGGTGATGAATGCTTATGGTGGGTACCTCCTCCCCTTCTGTCCTTCTAGCAACCGGCCCGGTGACTGACGCAGTGCATTAGGCCCGACGGAAATATCCGTGGCATGCAACATCGGAGAGGTGGACTACCTGGACGAGACATTGGACGCGGAGACCCGCATTCCCATGGGCCGAGCCCTACCCGGATACTCCGTCATGCTGGTGGACGACTCGACCAACAGCCCCGTGCCGCTGGGCTGTCCGGGTCAGATTGCCGTGCATGGCCGCGCAGTGAGCAGCCTGGGGTATCTGAACAACGAGGCCCTGACGCGCGAGAAGTTCGTTCTGCTGTCCCAGGAGGGGGCATCGACGAGATGGTATCTGACTGGGGATATGGGCCGCATGGACGCCGACGGCCATGTCGCCTATCTGCGGCGGATCGGGCAGGACTCGCAGATCAAGCTGCGCGGCATGCGGATTGAGCTGAGCGAGGTGTCGAACGCCATTCTCGATCATGCCGGCGGAGGGATTTCCCACGCGGTGGTTGGCGTGCGCGGAGCCGATCTGGAGCAGTTCCTGGTGGCCTACGTGGTGCTGTCCTCGGCCAATACCGTCGGCAACCGGAACCCTGAGGAGTATCTCCAGGACGTGTTGCGAACGCTGCCCCTTCCGCTGGCGATGCGTCCGGCGCAAGCCATCCCCCTGCGCGCCCTCCCCACCAACGCCAGCGGCAAGCTGGACATGCCCGCCCTGGATGCGCTTCCGCTGCGCATCCCCAGCAGCCAACCCATCGACGGGAGAAGCCTCACTGCCACGGAGCAGCAGCTGAAATCCATCTGGGAGAGCGTGCTCGGCCAACGCCCCGGCCTGGCCATCAGCAAACACTCCAACTTCTTCTCTTCCGGCGGCAACTCCCTGCTGCTCCTGAAACTGCAGGCCGAAATCCGCAAGCAACTGGGAGCCGAGATGCCTCTGCCCGAGCTCTTCCGCATCAACACCCTCGAGAGCCTAGCCCTGACCATCCAAGACTCCTCCTCCTCCTCCTCCTCCTCGTCCCCCCTCCCTCCCAGCCAAGTCAACCCCTTCTCTTCCATTGACTGGGAATCCGAAACCCTCCCCCCCGCAGCCTCCCACCTGCACCCCTCCCATCTCTCCCAACTGCCCCTCCCCACCCGAAACCTCAGCGTCATCCTCACCGGCGCAACAGGCTTCCTCGGCCGCGCCATCGCGCGCGCCCTGCAGTCCCGCCCCGAGATCCAACAAATCCACTGCATCGCCGTGCGCAACCGGACCTCCGCCGCCGCGCGCGCCCTCGAAGCCAGCTGCCCGAAAGCAGTCCTGCACTCTGGATCGCTGACCCAGCCGCGTCTCGGTCTGGGCGACGACGAAGCGCGGCTCCTTTTCGCCGACGCCGCGGCCGTCATCCACAACGGCGCGGACGTGTCCTTCCTGAAACCCTACGCCACGCTGCGCGACGCCAACGTGGGGTCCACGCACGAGCTCCTTCGCCTATGCGGCGAGGTGGACGCCCACCCCGTGCCGATCCATTTCGTGTCCACGGCGGGCGTCGCGGCGCTCCTACCCCAACCCCAAGCCGGGGATGCTGGCGTTGTTCTGCACGCCGAGAGTCTCTCCGCGCACCGCCCCGGCTCCGCGACAGCGGCAGCGGTAGACGGATACGTGGCGTCGAAGTGGGCAGCCGAGGTGATGCTCGAGCGTGCCGCGGGGACAGGATCGCAGTCCGTGACGGTTTACCGCCCGTCGAGCATCACGGGTCCGGACGCGCCGATGCTGGATATCCTGCATACGGTGCTCCGACTGTCGATGGAGATGCGCACGGTGCCGAGCATGAAGGCGTGGGAGGGCGCGTTCGATCTGATCGGTGTGGAGGAGGCCGCGGAGGGTGTGGTCGGGGGTGTTTTGGGCAAGGCGACGAGTAAGAGCAAGACCGCGTTTGTGCATTTGTCCGGCCAGAGGGTCGTTCCGGTGGATGATGTGAAGCGGACGTTGGAGAAGGATGTCGGGTGTGCGTTTGAGGAGGTCGGCATGGCAGAGTGGCTGAGACGTGCTAGAGGTGTCGGGTTGAATGAACTCGTCGCGGCGTATCTGGGGGAGATGCTGGGGGAGCAGGGCGGGTGGAAGTTGCCCCGGGTTGAGAGGACTGTGTAGGAGTTGTCGGTTCAGTTGTCCCTGGGGGGATGTGGCAGGTGGACTTGGTGTCTTTCTTTCTTTCTTTCTTTCTTTCTTTTTTTCTTTCTTTCTTTCTTTGTTTTTTTGTTCCGTGGTGATATTCACTGGAACATTCACTTGGCCTTGTCTATGGTCATTTTCTAGGTAATTTCGAATCCTTCTGTGCTATTGTCGATTATATATATCATATGAAGTTTCCATCATAGACATAGGTACATGTGTAGATTGAATTGATTACATACTAAGCCTGTCCCCCCATCCTCTTTCGCTGTTCATCAACTATCAACTTGAAGAAACACATACACCCCCTGCCCTTTCCCCTCCTACCTTGATCCTCGGCCCACGACGCCCTAACAGAACCGTTCACCAAATGCCATCCAAAATGCTTTTCCAGCATCCTTAAAATCATCATACCAAGGAAGGAACCACGACGCCATCCCCAGACCCAATATACCCCCGAGCCACTAGCGAGTGCTCAGCTCGCCATTCCATGCCACCGCGGATTCCCGCGGAGGTGCCAGTGGCCATCTCTCTACCGCGATGTCCACCCTGGCGTTTTCCACGCTAGAAGCCCAGCCGATGCCATAATCGCACGGCATCATTCGCCGAGAGAACGTATATGTATATCATGTCCATGTCCTCGATACAGACACCGTGTGACGTGCAGGATCGACTCCTCCCAATGCCGCTGCCGCGTCTTACAACCACCAATATTGGCGTCACCGAACGTCAGGGACACTCAGCATCCGGCAACAGGAAATCCCGGGTAGTCGCGAACATCAGTAATCACTTCAGTTTCATGACCCAAGTGTCAAATCCAACAGTCACGGTCCGAGTCACTGGTGTTCCTGATTGGGCCGGGAAATACGGTCCCGGGACTGCATGGAAGGGGATTACTGATCAGGACGACTGATCCCCAGATCACACTGGCAGTCAGTCCCATATACTTAAGACCGACGTGCCCAGACGGAAAGGTGGGGCGTGGATGGATGGAAGATCAGTAGGACTTGATTGGAACTAAGGTCGTCATCTTCTTTTGATTGAAATGATATTCCATCCGTCGAGTTACCTGCTCTGACTATCCTGCTTGGTTTCAAACTGACGACATCATATATATATATGATATATATATGTATATATATCCTGGGCTCCTTCTCCAAACAGAATATTGCCGAAAAACACCGCAACCGTGAGTATCAAGAATGAGATCACAATTTGACTGGACATGCGGCAAGGGGAAGTGCAGTACATCTGATTGAAAGTTTCACATCGGATCATTACTCCCGGAAAGGCAAGAAAGGCCATGCATTATTTCCACAACGCCATCCGAAGAGCCCGCTCCACATCAACCGGTTTCCACCCAGGCGACCGACCAAGACATATTCCCCAGTTGACCAATACTAGCATCGTCAGCGACCGGACCAAAGAGACAGGACCGGGAGGGAAAACCATACGCTTAATCAAACTGGACGGATCGACCGCCCCCCGTTTCCACCCCGCCTCCTCCTCCCCCGACCCCGACCCCGACCCCGACGGCGGTCTCGCAAGCATATAAACCCCCCTCTGCTGCAAGAAGCCCTGCAGATCCTGAAGGTCGAACCACGTTCCATCCAACTGCTCCATCACCTCCGGGGAGAAAGTCGAGAGCGGATCCTCCCTGATCGGGTTCTGGAATTGGTATAGGGCGGGGGGCGAGGGAGGCGACGGATAGGGCAGGTAATGGCTTCCTGCCTCTCCGAGACGGAAGAAGGGGATGCCGTCCCAGTCGTCCATGCGGGAGGGATCCATGCGCGAGTGGAACATGCCTTCGAAGTAGGAGGCGAGGTCTTCGCGGCTGATGATGCTGAGGAGGAAGCGGAATTTCTTGTTCAGGTCGGTGAGTTTGACGGCGGGGTTGCGGAGGAGGTTCAGCCCGTTGGCGATGCAGGCGAGACGGAGCTGGGTCATGAAGGTTGGGAGTGAGATGATGGGGATGTTGGCGTTGTTGAAGAGGAGGGGGGAGTCGGAGCTGAGGGGCGTGGAGGGGTTAGGGTTATGGCTGTGTGGGGGGAGGGAGGGGGTGGTGGCTGTGGGGGCGTGGTGTCGCTTTCTTCGGGAGATGGTGATATGCAGCCATCGGCGAGAGTCTTGCATGTCTGCAGCGTGTCGTGCAGGTGCGATCGCAGGCTGGAGTCGGATGCGATGACCCCCGAGTGGGCGAGGTGATCCCCGAAGGTGAAGATCGTGGCGTTCATCTTCTTCATGGCGGTCTCGAGCTCGAGGATGCGGGCTTCGTATCTCGACAACGCCGCCTCCTTGCGGTCGCGATACGCTCGTTGAGCGATTCGGATCTGCGCTCGACGTCGCTGTGCTGCGTGAGCCCGTTTCCGGGGTTATGTGCTAGGAATGGACGCAGTGTGAACGACAGCACCAGACAGACCAACCTCTTCTGGACGCTCCCCTGTCAGATCGGTTTCGCTCTTGCGCGGCCTACCACGCTTCTTCGGCGCGACCATCGTCCTCGACGCATTGGCCTCGGAGCTGCGACGCGTGGGGATGGTTAGGTCGGATTCGGTTGATGGGTCAATCTGGATAATCGGCTGCTCCTCGATCGCCTCGTCCACTTGGACTTCGCCATATCCGCCATACAAGGGCGGTTGCTCGACATCGAGCTGCACAGGTCGGACAACCGACCTGTTGACGGGGTAGGACGATGCGGAGAGCAATCGGTCCAGGTCGGACACGCCGGGGTCTGGTATGGCGGCGTAGCTATCGTGGGTGGCCATCTGGAGCGACATGGTGCTTCGCTTCCTTCGCACGTCGAGGGCGGGAAGGGAGAGTTGATGATGCTCGTGCGGCCGACAAAAGAGCAGCCGCTGCGAAGGAAGGCGGGGCTTTGCTGATTCGAGGCAGCTGGTCTGGCCCCCGGATCGGCCTGCCAGGGTCGCTGGGAGGGCGCCACTCGGCCCTGGTTGGTGGCATTCGCCCGGCCTCTCCGGGTTCGTCCTCCCGGCATCAGCTTCGTGTCTCGATGCGGGTGCGGATTTGTCATCTTGCTGTGTCTGGATGGCTGGGGTGATGGCGTTCACTGTCCATTTTGGCGATGTTAGCACATGCTGAGATGGTGACCGCTCTTGTGGCTGGGATGCCGGCTGGGATGCCGGCTTATAGTATAGTTAGGTGCACGCCACACGCTGACGAGGTCCTGCAGGGCCTGATGACAGTCCGGGCGCTTACTGGTCGATAACAGACAGCTGCCAGCTGATTATCGGATCAGTAATCAATCAGTTCGCCATGTCTCGAGATTCATATCCATCTCCGGCTGGCTTTCATGTGCAGGTGCGACGGTCTAACAGAGATTTGCCTTTCTGGATAGATACTGCAGACTGCGCCCGAGGGAAACCCAGCCCGACCTGTCAAACCAGAAGGACATGCCGTGTACGCATTCCGAAGCAGCTCCCAGCAACTGGTCAACCAACACAGCCCAACCAGATCAGATTCAATCATGATGCTACTATATCACTCTCTATAGAGATGCCGTCACACCTTCTCACCCAATGATCTAAAAAGAACACCCCCCCCTGCCAGCCCACGAGTCCAGACAAAAATCGATCGATCTATATCTTCGCCCTCTCCCCCTTCACGTTGGGAACCCTCAAAATCGACTGCTGCGTCATACAAGCCACCAACCCGCCCTTCTCATCCCACAGCCGACTCTCACTATACGTCCTCCCCCGACCGGCCTCATGATTAACCAACTCCCTCAAATGCCACTCCTCCATCCTCACGTCCGCCTGAAACACCCGCAGCGCGAAATCCAAGCTCGCCACCGCCCCCGTATCATCAAAGAACATATGATTATGCGTCAGCGCCAGAATACTCAGGAAGGAATCCATCACCAGTCCAAGGGCACCCATCTCCTCTCCCTCCGTGGACAGGGGATGCAGAACCCGCAACCAGTCGGCGGACGTCTTCGCGGTAGGCGGTAACTGATCCTGGCTGGTATCCGCGTGCTTGACCATCCCGTAGAGGTTCTGCGCCATGATGCCTTCAGGGCAGAGACGGCCCTCATAGAGGTGCCGGGGGAGCCCGAAGACGGTGTTGAAGGTTCGGGCTTCGGGCGAGGGCATCCGGCCGGGTTTGACCCATTGGTCGTCGAGGACGGCGGTCCAGGGCGGGCAGTCTTTCCAGTGGCTGTAGGGACGGGTGGGGGGCGCGGAGTAGGAGAGCAGCGAGGGCTCGTCGTGGTGGAAGTCGGCGAGGATTTCGAGACATTCGCGCGGCTGCGTGCTGTCGGGGGTCTCTTGTTCGATGGCGATGCGGTAGGTGATGAAGTTGCGTGTGTGTCGGAGGAGTCGCGGCTTGATGATCAGGCGGGCGGCTGTGCTGACGGGGCGGAGGTAGTGGCCTACCGCTGAGTAGAGGTGGAAGTCCCCTGGGAGGGATTTGTAGGCCGCGTGGATGGCTAGCGCGATGGAGTAGCCGCCGTACGCGACTGGGGCTGGGTTGGTCATGCGTTGGGGGTGGTGTGTAGAGACATAGTGGTCGGTGACTTGGTTGAGGGAGATGTGTTCGGCTAGCGTGGACATGATGGCGGTTGGACTTTGTGAGGGGGAGAAAGGGGTGGTAGGGGGGGGGGGTTATGATCAAGAAGTATGCAAGTACGGCATGATAAAGTGTGTCAAAATGTACAGTGGCTATACGCTTTCCTGGTTGGGGGACAATTTGACAGGTTCTGGTGTCAACTTGCTGCCCTGTTCCTCGAGACTTCGAAAGCTTATGATGAGTTGCAGTAAGGATTGTCCTATCAGTTGGGCGGGTTATGCGTCATACGAAAACGGAGAAGCTGGCCGAAAGGCTAATTAATATTCGGTCGTAGAGGTCAAGATACTGAAAAGGGAAGGAGCTCTGTTCGTCAAGGCGGGTGTTACTGCCCTGGTCTCGGGCATCGCCGTCTGCTGGCTGTCTGCTGCGCTGTTTGCCCTGTTTAAAGATTGAAGATGATGGCCTCCACTCATATTCGTTGCCAGGTTGGAAGGTAGCTTGGGAGGGTTGGTGAGACAAGGCCGTTATTGCCGCCCAATTCAATAATTCATCATGAGGCATTATTTTGCGAGGTATAACGAACAAAATTTGTTAATTGAAGTGTGTTTAATTAGTACGTAAAGAGGCAATCTGACTGCCTGCCAGGTCACAAGTCAGATCTAATTCCGCACCCCAAACGCCAACCCATGCAACGAAATCCCAAAACGAAAGCATAACCGCCCTCACCATCAAATCCACCTATCTACTGCAGCTGGAAGGACTTCCGAATCGCCATACTCAACCTCTGAATCGCCGTGCCCATCGCCTCCTCACTGGCACTCGCATACGTCGCCCGAAAGAAGATCTCACTGGCAGGCGTACCCGGCTCCGTCCGGAACCAAGAGCCCCGGGCACACAGAACACCATTATCGATCGCATGATGGAAGATTTCTTCCTCAATATCCAGTGCAGAGCGACGGGGATAGTCCGGGTGTTTGGCAGGATCAACCTTCATCCAGAGCTATTATCCATGTTAGTGTCACCTCGCACAAACCAGAACAGGAGGGGAATAGAAACATACAAACATCCCCGAAGAAGGCGGAGTCCAGCTCACGACCTCCCTGGGCAGAAACTCATCGCAAACAGCCAACAACGCATCACGTCTTCTGGTGTAATGCATCCTCAAATCCATCAACCACCTCAGATACCCCTCGTGACCCCATGTTTCATCAAGCAGCTTCCACAGCATGAGTTGCGAAAACCCACTGGGTCCCTGGTTCGCGACCTCGGCGTGTCGCTGGTACCGCTGCACGATCTGCGCGCTGGCTGTGATCCAGCCCAGTCTGGAGCCGGGGACCAGGACCTTGGAGAAGGAGTCCATGCGGAGGACGCGGCCGTCGACGTCGATGCTCAGGAAAGCGGGGACGAGGCCTGCAATGAAGGTCTCGACGCTGGTGGGGTCGGATGAGGACGGGGCGGTGGGCTGGGCTTTGTAGGCCGGCATTTGGAGGTAGTAGTACGGTTCGTCTTCGATGATGTACAGATCGTGTTTCTGGCACACGGCGTAGATGTCCCTCCGGCGTTGGATGCCCTGCGTCGCGCCGGTGGGATTCTGCCCGGACGGAACGGTATATAGGACGTGGGGCTTGCGGGCGCCCCGGGCGTCTTCGTTCCATTCGGAGAGGGTCTGGTCCATGCTTTCCGGCAGCAGTCCCTCCCCGTCCATCTGCACGCCGAAGGCCTTGACACCCAGTGGAGCGATGGTCTCGAGGGCCGTCGCGAAGGTGTATTCCTCCGTCAGGATGGAGTCTTTTCTCGCGCGATCGCACAGCATGCGGACGGTCTGTTCCAGCGCGCTGGTGCTCCCGACAGTCTGACAGATCTGCCAGTCAGCGTAGGGCGGGTTGAACATGAGTTCGGTGTGCTCGGTGATGAACCGCGTCATTTGCGGAGATCCGGTCGCTTGCCCGTAGTTGAGGGCTACGGAGAGGTCGTATTCGGATGTTCCGTCTCTGATGTCGTGTTTGCCGATGGTGACGAGTTGCGTCGGGTCGGTTTCGGCGAAGGCGGGCGCGGTGGGCACCCGCATGCTGATCTCGGAGTACGGGAAGTATTCGCTGGATGGGAAGCCGCCGCCGAGGGAGATCATGCCGGGGACTTTGAGGTAGCCGGAGGCTTGTTTGAGGATGCATGGCGGGCGGCCTTGACTCTCTGGGCTGAGGTGGGCTGGGGGTTTGTTAGTTGGGGTGCGAGGGATTGGATGATGTTGGGCGCTCACAGTCCCAGTTCTTGGCCTTGGGCTTGCCGGACGTCTTGGGTTATGTTAGCGAGGCCTTCTGACGATGTAGTGTAGGGAGAGCCATACCGGGGCCTTGAACATGTCACTATCCGAGACAGCTGCTATACCCGTGACGAGCCTGCCGGCCTTGGCTCTTCTCTCCATGATATCCGTGATGGAGGGCCGTTCGTGGACAACCACGCCATTTTGCTGAACACTCATGATGCTAGATGGTGCGAAGACCGTTCGTGTCGATTTGATGTCCCTGTCCCCATGAGGCTCTGGGATAGATGGCTGCTTTATACAGCAGACTCACGATACTGAAGCGCTCCACCACGACCCACACGCAGCCCCTTAGGGCGCATCGCGGTAGGGCGCAAGACCGTCCCGTTCTGTAATCCCGGCGTCGGGCTTCTCTCCGCTCCATACCTTTCTGCCGAAATTCTCCGTACGGTATCGTCACAGCCCACCTTCTGCGCCCTAGGGCGTGGGGGTTCGGGCTGGATCCAGGCCGCAGCCATTACTTATCTGTGGACTCGTCCTGTCAGACCTTTAATCTGTAATCTACTCCTCCACTGACTGACTGACTGACTGACTGACTCACTCGATCGCAAGTCCCTAGATATGGCGTCATTCACAGGTCTATCCAACCCGCTGCGTGCGGTCTTCACCGAAGGTGAACGCCCGAGTTTGGGCGTTTGGCAGATGTTTCCCGGGGCCAATATTTCTCGGGCGCTGGCAAAGACGCCGGATATTGACTGGGTGTTGGTGGATTGTGAGCATGGGAACATCGATGGTTGGTTGCGTTCATTGGCATTGGGAAGTTATGGTGCTGATAGGAGTAGATGGCGCGATGCATGATGCTGTTCCAGCCATTGCCGCCCTCGGTGTATCCCCCATCGTGCGAGTTGCTGATAACCAGTCGTGGATGATCAAGCGTGGGAATCCCATGAATTTCATAGTATGATAGGGTAGAAGTGTCCGAATTGACTGATTATTTACCAGGTGCCCTGGACTGTGGTGCCCACGGCGTGAGTATACGTCAAGACTGATATCCGAAGAGCAACTGTTGATCGTCTGTAGATTCTAATCCCCCTCCTCCGCACGGCCCAAGACGCCAGAGATGCCGTCAACGCCTCGAAATTCCCCCCTTGGGGCAACCGCGGGTTCGGATCGCCCTTCGCCATGGAGCGATTCAACCCGGTCCCCTCCATGACCGAGTACCTGCAACACGCCAACGCTAGCCTCCTGACGATGGTCCAGATCGAGACGAAAGAGGCGCTGGCAGAGGTAGAAGACATTGCAGAAGTGCCGGGCATTGACGTTCTCTTCATCGGACCTTTTGATCTTGGTGAGCTGAACCGTCCCATTTGCACTTGCGGTTCCTGACTCCGAGTCCAGGTAACAACATCGGCCACCCGGTGATCAACGGCGAGATCAAGCCCGAGCTCAACGCGGCCATCGTTCGCATTAGAGATGCGGCTCGCGCGGCGGGGAAGAAATCCGGCATTTTCTGTACGTCCGGTGCGCAGGCGAAGCATTTTGCGGATATGGGCTTTGATATGCTTAGCATCTCGACGGATGTATCGGGCTTGTCGCATGCCATGACTGAGGCGGTTAGTCTGGCGAGGGGAGAGGGGAAGGTTGAGAAGAAGGCGTCTTACTAGTCTGGCTAGTTTATGAATGTTATGAGTTGTTGATGTTTGGTTCCGCTTTGATGCGTGGATATCGTAGGTCTGTAATTTGCGATCGCAGATGAATGGTGAAGGGAAATGGCTGTGACGACAGGAACCCATTCCTTCGCTGGGGCGCAGTAGCGACGTCTTTTCCGCAGAATCAGCCGTGCTGCCTGTCGACAAGATGTACCGACCATCCACAGAAATGCCAGAAAAATCAAGGTATATCCGTGGTCTCCGACAGCGGGTATTCCTGCATGAGATGTCGTCTTCGAAATTCCGCCAACCACTCGATATTATCAGCGATCGTCTGCTCCCACGCATCCCCCGCATCCCCATAGATCAGCCGTCTGGACTCATCCTGTAGCATCTTATCATCGGGAAACATGCCCTGAGCCATACTCTGCTGCGCGAACCGTTCAAGATGCGACACCAGAAAGTTGGCGTAAGTTTTTGAATCCAGCTCCGGCTCCTGCTCTTCAGGCAACCCTATTCCTAGCATATCGCTCGATTCATTCCCGGTGGAGTGCACATTCCACCCATTCTTATACGACATTTGATGCAGGTGATCTTTCGTTCTGGGATCGGTAGCCGAAAAGGGAATCATCGTGCCAGCCTCCGTTCCCAGAACGTACGGAGGCAGGGCATTCCGGACCTGCACCGCGATAGAGGGGTCCAGCCCGTGATCGCCTCTCCAGTCTTTGATGGTCAGACCTCGTCGGAAATGCTCGGAGAGGTGATCAGCGCGCATTTCCCAGGAGGACAATTGCTGGTCGCAGAATCCGCACCGCGACACCACGGTAGGGGGCTCCATCTTCCAGTCATCGATGATAGGCATGGTATCTAGGTGATGGAATACCCGAAGATGTTGCACCAGATGGTCCTTGCGGCGGAATATCCGCGCGTCGTGGTCTTTATGGCACGCGGTGTGGTTGTGACCTTCCAGATGATCGGGGGTAGGATCGAGCACATTGCAATACGCGCAGTGACTCCGTCCAGTGAGGGGAGATAACACCGAGCCACCATGAGGCGCGCAGACCCACTGGTCGAGGTCCAGATGGAGCGATTTCTCATGTCGAGTCCAGTCGTGTTTCCGCTTGAAGGTGTCGCAGCAGAACGTACACGGGTACCGTCGCTGCTCAGAGTCAGCTGAGGCGTGCGACTTCCGGGCCTTCCTCACGCGGCCCCGAGATGTCGTCTGGAAGCTCTGGAAACTGCTGGTTCGGGATCCAGTCGACGAGGCGATGGATCGCGAGGACCCGGTCGTCCACCCGTCGACGCTTCCGCTCGAAAGTGCTCTCTCCCTTGAACTTCGTGATCGCGTCTCCTCGTCGCGAACGGAGGTTCGCTGCAGTGCGTTCGCGATAGCGGAGAGAGACGCCGCCTCGGACTCCGGCGGACTTTCCTGCCATCGCTGCATGGGGTCCATGCTGCTGGCTGGCATTCGGGCCATGGGAATGGCAACGGGTCGCCCCCCGGCCCTGGAGCCACGGAAGTACCTGCTTCTGCGACGGGGGAGGCCCGGGGTAGGGCGATTGAAGAGGTTGGTGGGCAGGAATGGATACTCGTTGCTATCGGACTGCTGCGGTGTTGATGGTAGAGGGTGATTTGGCCAGTTGCCATTAGTATCAAGCCCAAGGTTTGTTCCTTCGTAGAGGGGGCTATGCAAAGCACTGCCTGTTCCGGGACTCGTCTCATCGAAAGGTAGAGGCGATTGGAACGTGAGATGAGGAGAAGCGTGAGACACCCCGTTGCCCTCGCTGGACGGGTCGAAACCGAGAGGCGATGGCTGGCTGCTCAGGGAGTGGGTGAGCCAACTATCCGTCCATTCGAACGACTGCTGGGGAGTGTCCACTCCGTAGCTGTCAGACGGCAGCCAGGACTCCAGGTCTGATAGCCCGTCCGCAGGCAGGCCTGTTACGTCCGGATAAAGGGGTTAGTGGAGGTTGTCGGGGTTGGCATAGGGGTGTCTCACCATTGTCGTACGCGTCGAATCCAGACATCGCGAGCAAAGTCGGTCGGTCTGTCCGAGGCGCCTGGTTTGACGGGTCCCCCTGTGTTGAATTGATCGCTGGGCGTTTAGGACGAAGGCCACGTGGGTTTGTTCTATCGTGAACTCCAAAGTGGTCGGGAATCCGGGAAAAGTTTGATTGCCGATCATGTATCCCGATCGCGATAAGTGAAGGGAAGTGTGGTGGGGCGCCCTGGTCCGTGCCAGCCGACCGCAAGCACCTACTCGAACAGGGATCTCACTCGAGGTAGTGAATGGTTCTAAGTTTGATGCTGCAAGGTGATATCTCTCCCTTTCACAGCGAGTCTTAATGATCAGTGGATTATCTACACCATTACCAATAGAAAAATCAATCTGGTAAATGATTGAAATGGAATCTTTGGCTTCTGCCGTGGAAAGAGCAGGGTTAGGATATATACGCTCTTACCCATAAACACATTGACACGGCCAAGGATAAGCCCAAGACCAAGAATCGCTGTCAAAGGTGGCGTGTTTTCCCAACCAGTCTCACCCACGAATACATACTCTATTTCCTTGCCAAAAGCACAAACAGGCATCAAAGTCATGGATTCATATGGACAGTCGCCACCAGTAGTAGTCCTATTCACCGACGTGGGATTGCCCGCCCCGTATCATCCAACTCATGCACCTCCGAAGCGCTTGCATCCAACTCCTGAATCACCCCTGGCACGTTCGGCATGTCATATACATGCCATCCCAGACTCGGACGGTTATCAGCATGCGAGTACTCCGAAACCGACCGGGGGCTCTCCGAACTGACACCCAACGAGGGCGACGTGAAGGCAGTCGAAGAGCCGGATAGCGGCTTGACGATTATGTTAGGGCTGCTCGTTTGCGAGTCTGTACTGCTTAGCACCGCCATCCATCCAGAGGGTACATACATCCTATCCCATCACGTACCTTGATCAGGCGATGAAGAGGCATTTTCTCCGAGCTGCCCCATCAGGATCCTTCCCCCCTCACCGGCCGCAACTTTCTCCTTGCCTTCTCCCCCCCTCCCCTCCCTCCTCCTCCAGAGGAAGAAAGCCAACATCCCAACAACAACAACCCCCACCACGGCACCGACAACAATCCCCGCAATCGCCCCACCCGATAACCCATTCGTGTCATTCCCCCCCGTATCCGAAGGCACCGTCCCCCCATCCAGAAACAAACTCAGCTGTCCAACGGCCGCCGTACTCCACGCCGCGGGGAGCAAGTCCCCGTGTACGCATCCATTCTTGGCACAGGGGTTACTCTTGCAGCACCCGAGGAACGACGGTTTGGTGAAGTTGCAGGCGTACCAGTCCGAGCTGGTCTGACCGATGCAGTCGTTGGGAAGGATCTGGGGGAAGAGGCTGGTGTTGAAGGACGCAGGGTGTAGGTCGCGGCAGGGCGCGGAGGCGGGGTTCTTGCAGGGGTCGGAGGCACAGCAGCCGACAAAGTAGGGGGCGTCAGGGCATATGAACCAGGTGCCGCCGGAGGGGCAGCTGAAGTGGCAGTTTGTTGAGCTGGTGGGGCAGGTGGTCATTTTGGTTGAGGGGCGATGTTGGTGGTTTGGGAGCGGAGGAGGGGGGCTGGTGGTGGTGATGTCAGGACGTGGCTGGGTATGGTTGTGATGATTGTGGTGGGTAGGGTTGTGATGATTCTGGTGGGATCAGGCTGGGGTCGCTGAAGCTGGGATTTGTGTAACTAGGATTGACACGAGATGGCGAGGATGATTTCATCCTGGGAAGCATGTCTTGTGAGTGGGGGGTTGATTGGCTGACGGTGATCGAGTTGGGTGATACAAGAGAAAATCTCAAGGTGAGGTTCGTTTGTCCTTCATGATATGAAACAGATAATCATTATTCATCTGGGTATGTTGAACCCCTTCGAGCGCTAGCTAAATGCACCCGAGGTAGCCCCCAGGTAACTAGTTGAATTGTTCTTTATAAGCCGCAGCCTGGATCATTGAATCGTTGCGCCAACATGCAGCTGAATGCAGTGTGGCTGTAGGTGTGCCTGCCGGTTGTATCACTTTAGTCTCTCTCCTCCGGTTGAATCCCCCCCAGACTCTGCATCTGGACAAGTTCATAGTAGTGGCCCCTTCTCGCCATCAGTGTGGCGTGTGTTCCTCGCTCCACCACACAACCATGGTCAATGACACAGATCAAGGTCCGCGTGTTGGATTGTGCTCAAGCGATGCGCAACAGCAATAGTCGTGCGTTGACTGGATGCCCGATCCAGAGCTTCCTGAACGACCTTCTCCGACTCCGAGTCTAGCGCCGAGGTAGCCTCATCTAGCAACAGGATCTGGGTCTTTCGAAGGAGTGCCCGCGCGATGGCCAGTCGCTGCTTTTGGCCGCCGCTGAGCATGGTTCCGGATGTGCCGATGGGGGTGTTGAATCCGTCTCTGTTATGGGTCAGTTTCTCAGTTCAGACATGCCACCTGAGTCAATCAAGTGTCTAGAAAGCATCCAAACCGGGGTGTACTCACGGAAGAGACGAAACAAAATCATAAATATTCGCCTCCCTGCAGGCCTGCACGAGCTGCACATCATCAACCAGTCTCTCAACACCCAAGAGGAGATTGTCCCTGATCGATCCATCATACAGGGTTGGTTCCTGGCTAACCAACGACACCATCCTGCGATACTCATTGACATTCAGCTCCGAGATATCCCGCCCATCAACAAGTATCCGGCCATTAGTCGGATCATAAAACCGCTCAAGCAGCTGAATGACAGTACTCTTCCCGCTACCACTGGCCCCGACCAAGGCGACGAACTGACCGGGCTGGATCTGAATATCCACCTTCTCTAAGACCAGCCGTTCCGAACGAGTGGGGTACCGGAAACTGACGTCGGAGATATCAATACGCCCGACAGCCTGCGCATCCACCTGCCCCGTACCCTCACGCCAGGTATCAATAGTAGGCGTCAGCTCAAACAGAGCCTTCAAGTCCCGACCGGCATGAAGCGCCTTGCTCATATCGGGTGCATAATTAAATATCGCCCCGGCAATCTGGGACCCCGAAACGAGCGCAACGAAGCAGATATAAAACTGCAGGGTGGTGTACTCGTTGCTGTCTAGCAGGGTACCGCCGTACCAGAACACGAGGGCCGCGCAGAAGAACCCGAAGGACTGGGATGCAGCGTACAGCGTCGAGGCTTTCAAGATCGACCGCAGGGACTTCGCAACCTCCTTGGCGAGAATGTTGGTGTACTCACTGAGAACATGCTTTTCGAGCGTCAACGACGCAACCGCCCGGATACTGCTGACCACTTCGCTGGCGTACGTGGCTGCTTCTTCGTGGGTCTTGCGGACTTTCCCGTCGAAGAGAGCGAGGATTCGCAGACGGATGTAGCCAGTTCCCACGAGGATGGGGATCGTGGCGGTGCAGACTAGGGCGAGCTTCCAGCCGATGGCGAGCGACATGATGATCCCCGCCGCAAGGGTCGTCGTGAAGGTTAGGGCTGCGCCGATGATGGCGCCGCTGAGGCCGGTGAGTTCCCGTGCTGTGTTGGCCAGGGAGGCTGTGAATGCGCCGGAGGAGTGGTTCTTCTGGTCGAAGTAGCTGACGTCCAGGCGTAGGATGGAGCGGAAGGATTGGTGTCGGGCTTTGTGGGTGAGGCGCTCGGTGGAGTACGAGAAGCAGATACCTTGGCCGACCCATGCGATGAATGTTACGATGGCGATCATCAGGAACATGAGGCACCAGAAGTCGATGTTGTGGCGGAGTTTGGGGTATTCCGAGGCTGGGAGGGAGATGGTGGTGATGGATTCGGCGAAGAAGACGGCTTGGCTGGGACGGTTAGTGTATCGGATGGACGGGTTGGGATGGGTGATACTGACACTGGGATGATGCATCCTGCGATGATGCAGAGGAGAAGACCTGCGATGATGATGGGTACCTCCTTCTGGTTGAGCTTTCCCACGACCTGGAAGTATGTTCGGAAGGTAGGTCTGGCTTCTGCGGCGATCACAGCTTCAACTTTCTCAGGGGGGTCATCAGATGTGTCATTCACCTCGGGGCTTTCGCTGACTTTAACAAGGTTAGACTTCACCTTCACTGTGACCAAGTCATCCTGTTTGGGGTTGGAGATGTCCGTCTCTGCTTCTGCCGCGACCTGCTGGGCCTCCACAAGTCGGGAGTAGGCACCACCTTGTGCAATCAGCTCCTGATGCCCCCCTTCCTCAAGCACACAGCCATCGGCCAACACGATAATGTTATCCGCTTTGCGAACAGTCGACAGACGGTGAGCAATCACAACGGTGGTCCGGTTCTTCGCAGCCGACTCCAACGCCAGCTGGACGACTCTCTCAGACTTAACATCCAGAGCTGATGTGGCTTCGTCCAGCAGGAGAATCTTCGGGTTGCTGATGACTGCCCTGGCAATGCAGATTCGCTGTCTTTGGCCACCGGACAACTGAAGTCCTTTGGCACCGACCTGGGTCTGGTAGCCCTGCGGCAGGCCCGTGATGAACTCGTGGGCGTTGGCTGTTTTGGCTGCGTCGTGGACCAGTTTATCTTTTTCTGCCCCCGATAGACTGACCATGGTCTCGTCCAAGCCAAGCAGAACATTCTCGTAAATGCTCCTGTTGAAGAGCACCGGCTCCTGAACGACATAGGACATCTGCCGTCTCAGCCAGCTGAGGTTCAAGTCGGCGACATCATGACCGTCCAATGCTGCGTCTGGTTAGCATACTCCTCCTTATTCTTTTCATCATCAGCACTCACTAATCCTGCCCCCAGTCGGCTCATAGAACCGCTCCACCAAGCCAACAATACTACTCTTGCCGCATCCCGACGCCCCAACCAGAGCAGTCGTCTTGTTGGCCGGCAGCCGCAGCGTAATGGCCTTGAGCACATCAACATCCTGCCTGGAGGGATACACCAGACTGACATTCTCCAGCGCAATATCCCCCTCCACCTCCTCCAGCACCCTCCCCTCCGTCGAAAGCGGATCAAGAGGCGACTGCCTCGCAATCGCGTCCAAAATCGTCCCCGCATGACCAATGCTGCTGATAAAGGACTCCGCACTGGGAGCAATTCTCCCAACAGCAAACGCACCGATAATCGTCGCCATGGTCGTGGTCACCACGGCAGACGCGCTCATCGCCCCGTCGACAATATATCTCGAGCCCTGCCAGAACGCCAACCCATAACTGAGATACGGCACCGCATTAATCGCGCCGATCATCAACGAAATAGCCAGCCGCATCTTGAAGCCCCAAGTTTCCGCCGTATCCAGATGCCTCACATACCTCTCCTCCATACCCCGCTGGATCCCAAACGCGGCAACATGTCTAATCGACCCGAGCGCCTCCTCCGCGACCGCGGACCCGCGACCCAGCGCCGCCCCCATCCGCCGACTATATCTGACCGCATACAACGAGCCAACAAACTCAATCCCGCCCAGCAACACGGCAGTCGAGATCAAAATCAGGGCTAATCTCCAGTACTCAATCAACTAAATCACCACCGCGGAGAGAAACGTCGCCAGGGCAGTCAAAAACATCGAGACCTTGCTGGTAATCCCCTCCTGGATGACGTTCATGTCGGAGGTGATCCGCGCGGTCACCTCGCCGGCACTCAGGGTATCGAAGAACGAGATGTTCTGCCGCACGATGGCTTGGAGGTATGCCCGACGTAGGGCCCGGGTGATTCGTTCGCCGGAGTGGTAGAACCCCACGGTGGCGATGTAGATGAGGATGAACTCGGCGATGCCAAGGTACACGTAGTAGAGGGAGAAGCGGGAGATGGAGGACGAGAGGTGGCTGGTGGTGCTGGTGCCGTTGGCGTGGTCTTGGAAGGAGTGCACCAGGAGGCCGTAGATCACCGTTAGGAGGGGGTTTAGGGCGCCGGCGAGGATGGCGGAGAGGGTGCTCAGGGTGATCAGGAGGATGTCGAAGGGTGTGGCGTAGGCGAAGACTGTCTGTTTTGCTTGGGAGGACGCTGGTAGGCCGTCGGTTTGGCGTTGGAGGATGGCTTTGGTGTGGTCATTGTGGGTGGGTTGGGGGGTGCGAGGCTCGGAGCTGGGAGTTGTTATGGTTTTGGACTCCATGGCGCGTCGTGGGTTTTTGGGATGCTCGTCTGCCTGCCATGGAACGGTTCCATATCTTCGAAGACTTCGACGAAAGACCCCCTATTTAAATGTCAAGGGGAAGTGCCTCGTGGTGACGCCCCTGGCATGGCAATGAGAATTGTATACTCCGAGGTGAGTTGATTCCGATGCCGATGCCGATGCTAATAGCCTACCTATCTACTAGTGTCCTCGCACTGAAGAGTGACTGGCCAACTGATAATGCAACAAGGGCTAGTCTACACTACACATACCAAGGGACTTATTGGCCGTCAGATTTCATATGTTCTTACCACCACTGGCAGCATCATGAGCCTCTGGTTCGGATATCCGCCATCAGACTTCAATTCCACAGTCTACCATCCCCGATATATATATATATCAAACACGCAGATCGCAAGTCGCAAATCGCAAATCGCTACAATCAATCCATAGCCTACTGCAATTCCACCGGCAAATCTAGGGAATGTACTTTCCACTCATCCAAGACAGGACTTGGTTTACAGTTCACACCTCAAACCACCAGCTAGGGGCATCAGTCACAACCCGATCTCTTCTTCGCACGCAATCCATCCATCAATCCAACCCCCTCCGAAACATATAACCAAAACAAGCCTCTCACCAGATCACATCCCGAAAAAAAAGTCAGTTCTCCATCCAGGATCCATTTCCACGCCATAAAGAATACGACGATACCATTCTCACCTCCCATCCACCCTCCACCACCCACTCACTCCCACAGAACCTAAACCTCGGAATCGATTACATTCCGCAACTCCGCTGATAACGACCCTCCAACCGCAAGCTCAGCTAAATCAAACCAAACCACGATTAGCCAAGTCTAGCCCCAATCCCGCCCTTCAAAATCCAACTTGACCTAAAATGGCTTCCGGATGGATAACATATTACCCACTATACTGACTACGGCAAGCGCATCGCACTAATAGTCATACTTGTGGCTAGACGCTACGATAAACATTTACCCCGTGCCGAGGCACTCGTCGCGTTCCGTCTTGTCGGATTCGGACTCAGCTGGGTGGATAGCTGAAAGTAGTTCGATGTCTCATGTTATTCCTGTGTTGTTTGGCGGTCTGTGGAGTGAACGGGATTGGGCCTGATGAGGATAAAGATGTAGATCTCTACAATTCATGAACATAAACCCACTCAACAGCAGCAATACTCCGTACAGTCGAAGACATGATATGGCTCCACTTCTCTGGATACTATATATATTGCTACATCCCCCCTTCAACATCCCCGTCCCCATCGCCATCCCCCTTCCCCATTCCCTTCCCCATCCTACCGCCCCTCCCCTGCCTCAACCCCTCCAAAACGCGCACCCTCTCCCTCAACCCCCGAATCTCCTCGTCCAACTCCTCCCCCGACGCAACCCAATACTTCATCTTGAGGACGCCCGCCGAAAGAACCAAAAACCCCACCGCGACCAACGGCTCCCACTGGCCGACCTGCCGCGGGGTCTCCTGGCTCGGCCCATCCCGATGGATATAGTACTCGATCCAGACGACGAAGGCGACGACGGTGAGGGGGCTAACGACGATACTGAAGAGGAGGGCACAGAGGATGATGGTGTCGAGGAGGAGTCGCATCCAGGAGCCGATGGCGTGGAGGGTGAAGAGGCTGGATGAGGGGTGCCAGGTGGAGAGATGGTTGCGGGTGGTCTGGAGGATGGTTGTGTTGTGGGGTTTGGGAGTGAAGGGATGGGTGGCTGTGGCGGTGGTATTGGAATTAGGATTGGAATTAGAATGCGAGATGCGGATTGCGGAGCGGAAATCCCTCTTGAACCCCGCGAGGATATTCGATCGCTGGGCCCAGATGGTCAGGACCCTGGCGGAAGGAAGACGGGAGCGGTACGGAAGGATCTTGAAGAGGAGGAGAGTGGAATTGATGATCGCTGTTAGGACAATCAGACTGTAAATATATCGTTTCGAGTAAACGACCTCAGACCAGAACTGGTGACGTTGGGGGAGCCGGTTGTCGCCTGATGCGACGGACGCTTCGAGGGAGGATTGCTGGCGCAGGGGCTGGCTGGTGTTGAAGCAGGGGTAGAAGCATATGGCGTCGAGCTGGTCGAAGGCCGTGGCGTTGGTGAAGATGGTCCAGATGCTGGAGTTCCAAGCCGAGGGGGAGGACGAGGGGCGCTGGCTTGGATCCCAGCCGTCGCTAGAGACGGTGTTGGTGGGGGGCAGGTCGGGGAAGCAGAAGGTGTATTGGCTGGGGGAGTCGGCGAGGGTGGGCCAGTAGATCAGGGCGGAGATGGAGCCGGCGAGCATGAGAATGTGCCAGAGGGTGTAGAGAAGGTAGCGGGCGCGGTTGTGGGAAAAGGCGCGCGACCAGCATTGGAGGGGGAGGAAGGTGAGGTAGGCGGTTACGACGATGGCGAGCACGGCGTCGGCATCGAGTTCCAGGGCGGCGGGGATGAGGTCCAGGTGGGTGGTGTTGGTGATTAGGGCTGGGAAGGCGGACCAGAGGGTTGTGTTGTCGGGGACGTGGGGGATGGTGATCGGGGATGGAGGCGGATGTTTGGGCGGGCTGGACACCAGGATGAAGGCTTGGATGGCCGCCGTGCCGGCGTAGGTGGCTGCTGCGCCGAGGAAGACGTCCGCGAGCCAGCCCGTCCAGCGGGTCACGCAGGTGGCGAGCAGGAGGGCGTAGAAGAGATATCGAGGACAGGAGTCGTACAGGGTGCTGATTGGGTAGGCGCACAGGACTTCTTCCGCGACGAAGAGGGGAGAGTCGGCGGGTGGATTCATGGGGGGGGGGGGGGGGGGGGGGGGGAGGGGCTGGCGAGGGAGCCTCCCCGTCGCGCTGCCGAGATGAATCTGGAAGGAGAGAGATATCTTGGTTTCTAGGATTATCAGTCAGGGACGGACGGGTTAAGGTTCGGGGAGGAGAAAGGTGAGATGGGTGGTGTGTTCGGAGACTCGTGATGTCATCGACATACGAGCCCATTGTAGCCCTACAGGAAAGTGCGGTTCGTGCCAAAGTCATGAATTCGGGATTATGTTGTCTGTAAGGGTTAGGACGAGTCCGTTGGACAGGTAACCCCGTCCCTTGCATATGCATTAACTATCGATTCATTGACGGTCTCAGACCATTTATAAAAGACATGATCATAAACAAATCATACATTATCATCGCCACATATCCACATCATCTCCCACCGCATAAACCTCACTCCTCAACCAATTACTCCCGACGCGGGCATCGACAACAGCGGACACTCGTCGTTGTCGCAGCCAATGTACGAGACCTCATTGCCCCACCAATTAACATTAACAGCGTGATACTCGACGGCAAAGAAAATGACCAGCGCGGAGATGGCCACACCGCACGACATGGCGGATGTGAACACATACGCGTACTTCTCCCACCAGGCCATCCAGCGGTTCTTGATGATGTAGTTGAAGAAGAAGCCGACGACGAGAGGGGCCCAGGCGTAGGTGACGTTGTAGGGCGCGAGATCCGTGATCCCGTAGTACACAAGCGGGAGATACACGTAACGGACGGGGGAGCGAGGGAAGTATTTGGTGTAGATGTAGAAGGGGATGGGGCTGAGGGCGCCGACGAGGAACCCGTAGAGCACCGAGTTGTAGACCTTGCCAGCGCCGAAGAGACGACGCGGTCCGATGGCCCCCCAGATGACGGAGGAGGTGTAGAAGTCGCGGGCACCTGAATTGCAGGATTAGCAAGAAACGGACCAAGAAGGAGACGGCTGGGGGGGAAATTACCGGCACAGGTGAACTTTTGTGGCTGGTCAATAGAGCACACGTCGCTGATGTTGTCGAGAGCCCAGGTGTTGACCCCGAGAGAGACAAAGGCACCGACGATGGTGGCGACCAGCTGGGCCGAGAACATCACGCGGGGGGCAATCTTCATATAGTGGCCAAGCTTCAAATCGGCGACGAACTGGATCGATTGCGCACAGGCAATGTAGCCGTACGCCTTGAACAACAGGTTGGCCACCGGCTTGCCGGCAATGGCGTAGCCTCCAATGAACTCTGCGATGACATTGTTGGTGACCTCGGAGTTGGTGATGGCGTACACCATGCCGTAAGGGATCTGGAGGAACAGGCACAGCGCGATGGCAAACACAATCGACCAGATGGGCAGTCCGGTGTCGTACACGGCCACACCGACGCAGGCAAAGACAAAAGAGATTGCCAGAAGAGTCAGGTACCACCATTCTGGCACTTCTTTGTATGCCTTCATCAGTCGGTTGTGGATGTCCTCGTGCTCATCCCTGGCGTTGGTCCACTTCCACATGGCCTTGAAGCCCTTGATGATCTCGCGGCGGTTGTACAGCGCAACGTGGACAATGGCGGCCAGGTAAATGGCAAAGGAGAAGTAGAAGATCATGATATATCCAGTGGTGAGGAATGGAGGGCTGTAACTCTCGTACCCTGCCAGGTCAAACTCGCCCTTGCTGTTCAGCACCCGAGTCACATTGTACGTGGAACCCGTGTTGTCGTAGACATCGTTGCTGAGAATCGGGAAGTAAGCCGCATTCCACACGTTCTTGTAGTACAACGGGACGATGATGAAGAAACCTCCGACGATCGTGCCGATCGCGATGTTCGAGAGCGCGTAGAAGGGGTAGATGATAGGGTCATATAGGGCGTAGATGATGTTCCAGTCGAAGGTGGGCAGGGGGTTGAGACCCATGCCGGTGACGGTACCGCAGATGATGGCCAGGTTGACGTTATTCGGCGCAATCCAGTTGATCCAGTTGAAGTAGGAGAGGGCCTGGAAGAGGTAGCCAGGAAGCCAGTAGTAGAAGAACATCCCGATGAAGCAATACATGAAAAAGCGGTAGCGGGTGATCTTCCAGCCATGAACATGCCCGTCTCGACCCTCGTCACTGTGGAGGGCCTTGTTGAGGGCGATGGTCGAGAGGGAGGTCGGGTAGATCATGGCAGGGGGATACACCAGGAATCGCCGCACCACACCGGCACACCCGTATCCCAGCAACTGGGTCGAGAGAGTAACCAGGATCTGGAACCCAGCCTTGTCATACAGAGCAGTCATGTCATAGAAGTCTTTGGCCTTGAGCACCTGGAAGATGTAGGTCACGTAGGCGGTTCCATTGGTGCCACCGAAGGAGACATTGGACATGACCGTGATCAGCATGTGTTCCTTCTGGTTGAAGGGGCCGGGGTTTAGGGTGAATTTCCAGCCAAAGAGATTCCACTGGCGCGTGGGCAGAACCTTGGCCAAAAACACACCACAGGGGTATGCAAGCAACTGCGCGACCAGGGAGTAGATGCTGATGGCCGGATAGCGCATGGTAAACAGCTGGTTGACACCCGTGAAGATGATGGTTGCCACCAGGCCCAGGAACCAGGCTCGGAAGGTGTTGGCCGACACCGCGGGATCGTCGGTGGGATCGACGACGGCGCGAACCTCAGGGTAAGGCGAGTCATTCTCAATCAGGAAGCGCTGCTTCTCGATTTCGCCAATGACAACGTTGAGCTGTGACAGGTCGATGTTGTGCTCCTCGGCCTCGAGGATCTCCCGAGCCTGGTCGAGGATATGGGAGGGGAAGTTGACGTCGAGCTCGTTCTCAGCCACGATCTGTCTCAATTGCTCCAGAAGGCCGCTGATGTCGGAATCGTCAAGCTTGGTCGTCGTCTCCCCAAGCTTCTCCTTGTCATCCGGCTGAATGCCGTAAATCACGGGCTCTCTCTTGTATTCCGTCATCTTACCTCAACTCTTTACCTGGACCATAGGGGAAGGAAGGGTGTGGGAGGAAGAAACAAAGCAATGGAGGGCAGCGGAGACTGGTGCGGGCCTGTGTCCTTTATAGGATCGTCGACAGGTTTGGGGGGGGGTCCAAAGATGTTCGCCATCATGCATGCATCTATGGAATCGCTGGACGAGCACCTAATATTGGCTCCAGATAACGCACATGCAGCTAGTCCTTAGCCTTGCCCCGGGGGGCGACTATGCTGCGAGTGCAGCAGCCACCCAAACCAACTCCGCCGGCGACCGATCGGGTCCGACACTATCTGGCCCTTGATGCCCACTCCCATAATCATGTCCCCATCTTCTCGCCTCACCGTACAGGGGTGCGAAGACGAGCTTCTGACACGGTGAAAGGCAGGAGGATGAATGGAAGAGTGAGCGCACCAAGCCTGAAAGAGAAAAGGCCACCACGACACACTGTCGGATTCTCCGGTCAGCGCTCAAGCCCCGGGGGCAATCGAACAGGTTGCGGTTGGGGGATGGATGGGCAGCGATTCCCGATCAGCTCTAGATAGTAGTGGAGGCAATCAGGGCCGGTCTGCTCCGTAGGGCAGACTGATAAGACTAGTACACCGTCCTACCTGGTAGTGTGGTGGTCCTCCTTGGGTGCTCTATGCTCCAGGCGCAACCGCTCCATGGCCATTGACCCCCTCCTTCAGATCCTTGGTAACAGGGAATAGATACCACAGGGGGGTGGTTGTCGTCGGTGGGATGCTGAGGCCAGAGCTCCCGGTAAAACAGGCTTGCGGCAGTCCGGCACACCGTTGGCTGGCGCTGGTAACCGCAGGTCCGTGTTGCCAATTGACTGTCCGAAGATAGGAAGATACCTAGATAGACACCATCAAGCATGGAGCGCGGCGGGCAGTCGTGCCACATGGCTTGCGACCGGAATGTTTATTGACCGGGTGGACGCTTGTCCTGGGCGAGTGGGAAAGGAGGCGGTGGGTGGCTTTAGGGCTAGGCGGGCGCTAGGGGGATATCAGCCATTCACAGACAACATGAAGCAATCGGCCTGCTGTCTCCACAAGTCTTCCCCGCCCGTCTCCAGTGCCAAAACCGCAAAGAATCCCGTGGGAATCCGTCTTCATCTCCGGCTGATGGGCGGGGGCACCTGCGGACCACGGCAATAGAGCCAGGCCAAGCTTTGCGGCCTGAGATAAGACCACCCTCGATCTGCTAATCATTCTCCGCTGTGTCCTCTTATCATGTCAAGCTGTTGGCAGCGTCGATAATGTCCCGCCTTGCTTGGACAGGGGTGGGAGCGCTAGCTTCAATCATGGGACAAGGCAGAAAGATTCCCGATTCTTGAGACACGCATCGGATGGGTGCTAGGCAAGACTCCGTCCGTCCCATAAGCCACCCACCATTTCTGGTCCTATGCCATCAACCACCGCCGGGATTACGTGATTTGCGCAAGCGAGGGCACGGAGGAAGGAAGGAAGTGGCACAGGTCGAGGGTAGCAACGTCCCTACCCCTCGCACCAGAAAGCTTGGTTGTTTTCAAGGATTGGGGGTCTGATGACACTCCGCAATCGCATCCAGCAATGAGCAAGCACCCCCCCCTCGAAATAGACAGCCCACTCGTTTTGAATTTGAGATAGATAATAGTTATCACCTACATAAAACGCTACCCAATGAGAACATCAAACCAAACGAGCAGACCAGTAAGAGTTTTCCGTGCGCGATCTGTAGAATGTCTCACGCTCGACTCCGTCCTTCGTGCTCCAGACAAGGACGGCGAGCAGTACCCTAACCTCAAGAGTCTACCGGCCCCTCAAATTATCCCCAGGAGGATGGTGGCTGGACCTGAGCGGAGCAACTCGTCTATAGACGACTAGTCGCAGTGACAATGCTATACCCCTGGGATTATACTGGTCGCCACACCCCACCTAGGCTGCACGAGGCGCTTAAGCAAGTGTCCTTACTTTATGCACCCGGTTGTCCGGGGATTTGATGGCATTCTTGCTGGAAGGATAGCCGGACAGCTGTCCGCGGAGTCCCTATCTCCATTCCCACTGCCACAGCTACCACGACCCCAGTCACTTTGCTGCGGAGGCGTTGCAGTCTCCGGCGCGGCTCCATCTAAATCGCGCCGGTGTATGTTTCTCATCTTATCATGGAGGTGCTGGTCGCCAAAGACACTATCCATCGCACCCTTGGCCTGGATTTCATTGGATGTTACAGCAAGTCGCAAATCAGGCGTTCCATGATGGCGATAGACGAAGGACTAGTCCCAAAGTCAATTCCCCTATTTAAGAAATGTAATTTGCCTCCAATGGCAGGTCTTACCCACACCCCCGGTCATACTTCCAGGGGGGTGGAAGTGGGGAAGAGATGGCGGACCACATGTTCCTGGGCAATTCGCCGCGTCGTGTAGACGGTGAGTTGATATCAGATAGGAATCACGTAGGAGGGAGCGTGAGGCAGCAGTAATGGATGGGGCTCATTTAATATCGCTCCCTCCTCTGGTTGGCTCGAAGGATATGTTGTTGAGGCACCTCTCACCCCTGGGAAGACTCGGGCGGGGATTTCCCCTTTTGCCGCAGCGGTCTTCCGATGCATTGTCCTTGCGGCATCCTGGGCTGACATGATAAGATGTGCCAGCCATGGGCGTTTGTATTCTCAGCTGGACAGAATAATTGGGGGTTTGGGTTTTGGGGATTGCACTAGATAGCCTTAGTGATGTCTTTGTAATGTGCTGCCTTGGAACCAAATACGCTGCTGGTTGGTAGCGATCCAGAGACATGTACTGATGATATCCTGCATTTGTCATCGACTATGGCTCATATCTCATTGCTCATCTTTGGAAAGAAAAGACCTTGGAGGCCCCAGAAACAATCTCGATGCGAAAGTAAATGCAGATTTTGCCCTCGGTTATAACACAACATCCCAGTGTTTTGAATCTCACTCATGTGTCCAGTAGAACGCAGCACGATCATAGCACCTCAAAGTTAGCCCATTCCGCCATTCCATCGTTCAGTTCCTTGACATATTGAGGGATACCCCCTTGGTAGAACATCGGTTGTCCCTCGCTAGTGTATCGACATGTAGTTGTGGAATAAAAGTCCCTTTTGAACACACCGTAAACCTTATCGTTCCATGTCTCCATCGACCGCGATGTTGGCTGGATGGCCATGAGCCCCTTTCTCTCAATTGTGTCGATCATATCCGCTATCCATCGCACTTGGATATCGATGCACGTGGGCACATTAGACTGCTCACCGGGGGACTGGGGGCCCGAGACCATGAACATGTTCGGGAGTCCATGATGCATGACACCAAGGAAGGTCCGCAGGCCATCAGCCCAGAGATCCCCCAGCGGATGGCCATCCAAGTCCCTGATCCCTAACGATACCAGGTTCTCGCGTACATTCTTGGAGCCTATGGCAGGGATGACGATATCATGGTGGTGGAATGCGCCATCCGCCGTGACAATGCCATCGGCCACGACCGTTGCAATCGCGTTTGATCTCAGATCAACGATATCCACGTTTTTTCTGTTGAACTGCTCGTAATAGCCCCTGCCTAGGCCGGGCCGCTTGACGCCGAAAAAATGGGTCGGTTCCGCGGGCGCGAGGATGTCCCGCTCCCATGGATCCCGGATCTGCTGTCTTGTTTTGCTCGCCCAGAAGTCGTATGCAGCGCGATTGGCTTTGGGGTTCAACGTTAGGTCGCGGTACCCACATACCAGGAAGGCCAGGCCCTGTTGGAAGATCTTCTGGAAGTGACTCTGGCGTTTCTCGTCGGATACCGCGAATGTTTCCTTGTCTTGGGGCCCCCAGACTGCCATTCCATAGGGCGTGGTCGTCCGCGAAGCTATCAGTCTCTTGCGTTCTTTGATCGAATTGGAATGGCATAACCCATCTGAGGGTCGCGAAGGTACAGGTAAGACAGTGTTGTAGGTGCGTTGGTAAACAGTCAATGATCGTGCCCGTGGTCCCCACTCCTCGACCAGTTGGACCGCAGTATTCCCAGTCCCTACGACTGCGACGTCTTGTCCTTCCGGACTGACTTCGTGTTTCGGCCAGGCGCAAGGGAAATAGACCCGTCCACGGAACCGCTTGACTTGCTTGTCCATCGCCGTAGATCGCTGCGATGTCGTTCCAACAGCACAGACCAAGTACTTGCCTGTGAGAGAGGACCCATCATCCAGATCAACCGCCCACCTGCCGTGCACGATATCGAAGTGAGCACCGACCATAATCTTCCCTAACAAAACATCCTTCCGTATCCCAATTTGCTTGTCGCAGTGATCGATGAATCGTCTCATCTCATGGTGACCAGGGAACATGATGCTCCAAGTCCATGTCTCGTAACACTCGGGGATGTTCAGCTCATATGATGGTATTCCGGAGTCGGTGCGTGCCCCAGGATAGCAGTTCCAGTACCAAACACCGCCGATGTCTTTGCCTTTCTCAATTATTAGACAGGTGAGGCCAAGCTTGCGGAGATGGTATAAAGCGCTGATGCCTCCAAGACCGGCACCGATGATGATCACATCGGGTGCACTGGAGGTGATCGGTCTTCGATACCTGGTCCTTGTCATTCTGGTGCGGGTTTGACGGTTGTACAATCTGCATGCAGACGAGGATTGCTCTCTCCGTGGGTGGTGCTCCGATCGATATCTGTCAGATGGATTGATAGTGTTGTGCTCAGAATATATATTCGTCCTCGCCTGAGTGGGACATCGTTTTTCACAGTGAATATATACTCAGTCCATGTCATCACCATCACTTGACATTATTACAACAACTTTCAGCTTTGGCCGAAGTGCGAGCCTCCTCTGACATTCACTGCAGCGATTTCCTCGCGCAAGGTAATGGGGTGGGTCCCTGACTTCATGGCATTCACTTTCCCAGTTTTGTCTTGATCTGATCACCCAACATGCCAGAAATGGGAAACAGGGCATGTTACTGGCAATGTTCCTGCTTTCCGGCTTCCATCGGAGATAGAAGCAAAACTTTAATTGGCATTCAGCTGATGGCATAGTATCGCAAACAGCTGGTAATAGAATGTATTATTGGACAGATTTGTTCATCCACGAAGGTACGTTCGAACAACCATCATAATTAATATGCTGATCACTAAACCGCAGAATGACCAGTCAAATTATATGATATGGGAACACTTTACAAAGATTCCTAACAGACCAGGGCATCTGGTTCAGTCTAATTCCTCTCAGCCTCAACCCTAGCAGGCCGCAACAGCAGCGCATACGAGTTATACTCCCCCGGGTTCCCACCCCATGGCTCCAAGTCCACCGTCACCCGATCGACCTCCTCGAGCCCAAACCTGACATACAAACCATACCCATCCGGCGAGGCCTCAGTATAGGCTTGCAACCCTAAACGATCCGCCTCATCAATGCCCCACTGCACCAACGCACCCCCCAGCCCCTGTCGCTGAAACTCAGGCCGCACATAGAGCTCCTTCAAAACTAAACCGCGCTCAACCATAAGCCAACCATCATCATCATCACCCAAGAAGACAACACCCAGGAAAGAAAGACAGATACATACTCAGCGTCTCCCGCGTATTCAACAGCTTCGCACGTTTCAAAAACCTCACACCACTAGTCGCATCCATAAGCGCCTTGTTCATCGAATCCGGTCGATACCGGTTCGCATATGTAGCCGCCCACTCCTCCTCCGTCTTCCCCTTGGCATGCTGCCACCAGACATACGCTACGGGGTTCTCCGTTGCCGACTCGATGATCCAGGCGTATTTGTTCGCGGGGTCGCTGAGCATGTCGATTGTGTGAAACGGGTCTTCGTCTTTCTCCTCCTCGTCGTTTTTCTTCTCATCCTTCGTATCAGTAGATTGCTTCGGCCACAGGAGTTTGGCGAACGAAGCATCCGCCCCGTTGTCGATGGCGGAGCTTTCAATCTTCGCGAGTGTTTTCCCGGCCTCCCGGGTTGCGGGGACGGGGGCGATGGTGAAGCCTGGTTTTAGGGTCATGGTGAGTGTGTGCTTTTTGAGGGGCAAGGTGCGGTATAGGATGCTATGGTGAGCGTGTGAGGGTCGAGGGGAAGTAAATAGAGGCAGGGCTTGGCTAGTAGACACGGTGGCTTTTTGCTTGCCTGATAACGCGTACACCTGGTGAGAGCGCTGTCGAATCACACCTGGGGCAGCTTGCAGGCTTATTGCTGACGGCCTGGCACTAGTAGTTGTCGGAGTGGTTGTTTCTTCCGGTTGTCCCCGTGTGATTGTCTTTCCTGTCAATCTCCTTCGGTGCATCCTGTTCTTGTATTCGAGGCTAGGAATCTCAATGAACAGTGGAAGGCAAATTGAGTTCCAGATGGTTTGTCTGATCTCATGGGACACCCTATACAAAAAATATATCTTTGGTGTCAGTCAGGAGCTTAGATGTCGACACCTTTGAATTTTATAGTAGGCCGCTGGCGCAAGTTACCGCGAGGTTGTGGCCAGTTGTGGCCAGTTGTGGCTAGTTGTGATTAGTTGTATAATAGTTTCTAATAATTACTGACTAAAATAAATAGTAAGTATTTCTGTTATACTGTATATAATAATTATTATATTATTTTAAAACTATATTTAAGAAAATAATAAGAAAGTAACTGTTTGAAGCTTATTTTATAATTATTTATTATTATTAAAAACTTATTATTTTTCTATTTTTAATCTATTTATAAAGAATTATATTATTATTTTTTTTTTTATAATAAATAAGTTTTTTATAGATTATTTACTGAATTACTATTATTTTACTGTTAATTTATTATTAATTTACTGTTAATTTATTATTAATTTACTATTATTTTATTTTTTTTTTATATATATTATATTTTTCTCTTTTCTTATTCTCTTACTCTTTTTTTTTTTATATTATTTTTTTAAATTATTTCTATTATTTTTTTTTTTTTTTTTTTAAGAAAGAAGCTATTCAGATAATTATTTTAAAGATATATTTTATATAAATAATAAGACAGAGTAATAGAATAGTAATCTCTAAGCTAATAATAAAAAAAAACTAATTCTTTTTATTATAATTATTAAAATTATATTATTACTATTATTTAATAATATAACTATAGTAAAGAGTTCTGTAAAAAATATTTATAAAATTTTTTTAGTAATACTAAATAATAGAGTGGCTTAATCTGATTATTATATCTTAATCTTAATCTGGCCATAATCTGATAATCAGATTAAAATATAAAAAATTTTTAACTGTATAGTTAAGATTAGATTAAGATATAATTATTATTATAACTATTTATATTTACTGATTAGAAAAATCAGATATAGTAGATAGATTAATAATTATAGATTAATTTATAATATATATATTCTTCTTATATAAATAATATATAAAGTATAATATATATTTAATTATAATATAAATATAGTAATATTCTTTAGATATAGTTTATTACTTAATCTATTTAATTAATTATATTAAAAAATATATTATACTCTGAAAAAGACTTTTATAAAATCTAGTATAAAAAAAATAAAAAAAGATATAGAATATTTATTTTTTATATTATTCAGAATAATAATTATAATAATATAAGAATTATAAAGATCAGGTCTTTATCTTTATCTAAATATATATAATAATTAAAAACTCAGATAAAACTAGTTTTTTTAATTTTAATAATAATTTATTCTCTGAATTATTTTTAAGATTATTTATATTTTTATTTTTATTAATATAAAAAATAGTAATTATCTTATTCTTTTTTTACTTTTTAAATATAAAAATAATTAAATCTAGATTAAGATTATTAAGTATATTCTAATATTTCTTACTTATAGTAAAATAATTAATATATATTTAAAATATAATTATTTTAATTATATTAAGATTAAGACAGCTCCGGTGATAGTAGCAGATATTTTAAGAATTATTAAAAAAATATTTAATATTAATATTATTAATTATAACTAAGAGAAAATCTTTAATTATTTAATAAAAAATAGAAAACTAATTATAACAGGACTTTCAGTAAATAAGAATATTAATATATTTTATAATATCTGAAATTATATTAGTTTAATTAAAGATATTTTAAAAAGCTATATATTTTTAATATTTAGATATATTTTAAGTTTTTTATATATCTTAACTATAGATAAGAATCTCTGATATTTAGAGATATTATAAAAAATCTTATTTAGATCTAATAATAATTTAAAGATTATTAATAGTATATTAATTACTAGATTTTAACTAAAATAAAAAAAAAATATCTTCTTAAAAATAGTTTAATATTTATAATATTAGTTAATATTTTTATTTAGTTATATATTTTTTTTAAATTTTTTAAGCTTTAATATTAGATTCAGAATAGTTATAATTATATAAATATAATCTTTTATTTAATAAATATAATAATAATACTTTTAGAATTTTTAATATATATTATATAAGCTCTCAAGAATCTTTTTTTTTAGAATATCTATTTTTTTTTTAGTCTATTAATTAAGTAATTCAGATAATTAAAGAGATTATTATAAATATTATAGATTTTATAAATAATAGATCTATTATTCTTAAAAAGATAGAAAATAAAAAGAAAAAAAAAATATAAAAACTTAAGAAAATATTTTATTTATTTTTATTTTATTATAATAAAATAAAGATAATTAATATTATTATATTTATAGTACTAAATAAAACTTTTAATTATTTAATAAAATTTAAATATTTAATAAATTATAAAATAGATTAAGTTTCAGTAGATTTTATAATTAAAAAAAAAATAATAAATTAAGTTAGATTTAAGTTATTAAATAAATAAGAACTTTTTATAATATTAAAAACTTATATTTATAAATTATATAATCTTCTAAATTTATAATTAAGAATTAATATAATAAACTAACTAATAAAAGACTTCTAGAAACTTTTTATAAAAAAAGATTTTATATTAGTTTTTTACAGATAGTTTCTAGAATATATCTTTTTAAAAATTTTTAAAATATTAAAAAAAGCTTTAAAATTTTTATTATTATTTTTTTATATATATTTAATAATACTGTTTAAGATCTTAATCTAAAGTTTTTATAAAAGAGTATTAATCATAAGCTAAATTATATAAATAAGATAAAAAATATAATACTGATTTTGAATAATTTTTAAAAAATTAAAATTAACTAGAGTATTATAAAATTAAGTATTTTAACTAAGTTAAGTTTAGAATTTAACTAAGATTATATTAAATATTATATTATTATTACTAGTATTATTAATTATTATATCTAATAATTAATAGATAAGATTATATTTATATAAGACTAATAAAATAATTATAGCTAGATTCTTATTAATATAAAATTTAGATATTAGTTAAAAGTCTAGCAAAATCTTATAATAATTTATATTTTTTATTAAAAAATATCTAATTAAATTAAGAAATATTTTCTAATCAGAACTAATCTAATAGTTTATTATAATTAATATTTATTTAATATTTAGAAACTTTAATAGCAGCTATATATATATCTTTTTAGATAGTTTTATAAGATATTTTTTAATCTATATTTAATTAAAAGAATTTAATTTTTAATAAAAAGATAAAATAGCAAGATTAATTATTTATTTAAATTAAATATATTTAATAGTTTAAAATAATAAATAATAGATAATTATAAAATATAGAACTTAATTTTAAAAATCTTATTTATTATAAATTATAAAAATCTAGAGAAAGATAATAATTAAAAAAGATTTATTTTAAAAAAATAAATAAATATCTGTAATAATTTTTTACTCAGTATCTAATTAATTATTTATTTAAATATAATTAATAATAATTTCTTCTTATAATTCTTACAGAGATAATAGCTTATAGAACTAGTTTTTAAATTTTTAATTCTTAGATATTATAAAATATAAAGATATATAATATAATAAATATAAAAAATTTTATTAAAAAATAATATATTTTTCTGAAAGCTATTCTATATTATTAATAATTTTTTCTAATTAAAATAAAATAGCAGTTTTTTAGTTTATATATAATCTTTAGAAAAGATTATCTTTTATTACTAATTCTAAAAAATAAAAAGCTTTTTTTAAAGAGCTAAATATAGAATAATTTTTTAATTTTTTATAATATATATAATCTTAAGATTTAAGAAAAAAAAAAAGATCTGACTTAAAAAGCTTATCTTAGTTTAAGTATTATTATAATTTATAAAAATCTAAGAAATAAAAAAAAAAGACTTGATAATATTCTTTAAAAATAAATTAAATAATTATAATTAACTTATAATTCTAAAATTATTTTATAAATAATAAATATAAAAAAATAAAAGCAGAAAACTTTATAAAGACAGTTTATTTTATTTTAAAATATAATTTTATATAGAGTGGCTTAACCTGACCGTTATACCTTAACCTTAACCTGGCCATAACCTGGCGGTCAGGTTAAGGTATAAAAAATTTTTAACCGTACGGTTAAGGTCAGGTTAAGGTACAACCGTCACTATAACCGTTTATACCTGCCGGTCAGGAAGGTCAGGTATAGCAGGTAGGTTAATAACCGCAGGTTAATTCGTAATATATACATCCTTCTTACATAGATAATATACAAAGTGTAATATATATTTAATTACAGTATAGACATAGTAATATTCTTTAGATATAGCCTACTGCTCGACCTGCTCAACCGGTCGCCTTAAGAGGTATACTACACTCTGGAAAAGGCTTTTACAGAACCTAGTATAGAAGAAATAAGAAAAGATACAGAATATTTATTCTTTATACTGTCCGGGACGGTGATCATGATGGCGTAGGAATTGTAAAGGCCGGGTCTCTATCTCTACCTGAGTACGTGTGATAGTCGAAGACTCAGGTAAGGCTAGTTCTCCTAATTCTGATAATAACCCATCCTCTGGGTCATCTTCAAGATCATCTATATCCTCATTCTCACTAATATAGAAGGTAGTAATCACCTCATCCTCCTCTTGCTCCTTGGGTGTAAAGA